CAGGTTGAGTCCGACTAGTCAGTCAGAGACACGCAGTAGCACGGGCTGGCGTAAGATGCTTGGGCAGTGTATGTCTGGGCAGTGCCACCTTTATAATTGGTGTAGGTAGTAGTCGGCGTGGGCTCATTCTCTTTGATGTTGATGATGTTGCCCGAGAGAAGCGCCAAACCCCCGTTATTGCGAATTTGCATTTGCTGACAGTAGGGAGGCTCGCGTGATGGGTCGTCTCGTCGCTCCTCCATCTTGATCCTCCGTGGGTAATCGGAGGGGGAGGAGTCGCGTTTGGAGCCAACAGTTGTGCCAGCTGTGCTTGCTGCCATGTCGCTGTTTGTGGAAGCGGTGGTGCTCAAGGAATGAGACGTCGACTGGTTGACATACAGGAAGAACTCCATCATCGTGTTATTCCACCAACAGAACCATGGCTTGTCGCCGACTTCTGCAGTCTGCTTCAGGTTCTTGTAGGCGTTTGCACTTGCCCACCCGTCTTCCACCCACGTGCGCTTGGAAATGGAGTTAGAGAATGTATCGTCTGGGACAATGACCAGCTTGTCGAACGGAGCAAGGAAGAACAGAGCAGGGCCCATGCCAATATCAGTGGTATCAATGGCCATATTCAATGCTTGTGTAGGTGAAGCAGACCAATATGGCGCCTGAGCACCATATGTAAAGGTCGGGGTGGGAGCACCGTCATCGAAAACGATGGAATGGTGACCTTTGGATTCGCCGACAAAAATGTCGAATTTGCTCGGCGATTGCATGCATTTCCAGGCTTTCCCATAATTCGACTCGTCCACACAAAGCCCTGATCCATTCTGGTAACCGGAAGGAACCAAATAGTGGCCGGTAGGGACTTGTTTGATATTTGTGGGGGTGGATATCATGGACGCATCCATCTGAGGAGTTGCAGTGACCGTTATAATTGGCAGGGCACTGGATTTTTGAGCTTCTTGGTCTTCTTGCTTTGCAGCTTCTGCAGCTTTCTTGGTTCCCAGAACACCACCAATGACACCTCCGATACACCCTCCAATGAGCATAACAGTTGCAATGAGGACAAACGTCCACACCGGCAGGCCACAGCATGCAGTCTGTTTCCCCTTGCGTTTGAGCTTCTCTTCGAAGGCCATGATGCCTGTGATCGCAGCGACTCTTTCCTCGCCGTTCCCACCATCGTTCCCACCATCGTTCCCACCATCGTTCCCACCACCGTTCCCACCACCAGAATGTCCAGAACGTCCAGAGTGTTCAGGCATCAAAGTCCTTGATGAGGTTTCTGAAATCGGCGGCGCTCTTGGGCTTTCAGTGTTGAGGCGTTGTTCCTCTGGTGGGGTGTTGTGATCGGCCACCGTCTCAGCCCCTGGAGGCTTGGGTACAACACCAGTCGGATAGCGTGAATAAGGTGGTAGCGGCTCTGCGTGACCATCCGGTCCAATGATATCACCCACATCATCAGCCTGGCGACCAGCGGGTGGTTGATATGGTGGGTTATGGCCTGGAAATCCGACTGGGATGATATCGTCATCCATTCCTTCCTCGACCACATTCTGCGAATACATCGCGTAGGGGTGCTGTGGACCAGTTGATTCTTCAAGTGGGCGTTCGATTGGACGTATCGTCGAAGTACTACCTACACTAGGCGACCGGCTAACCCCAACTTGTGGATACATACCATATGGATGGCTGGGTCCCGTGGCTCCGGTGTAGGGGCTGAGAGCGCGGGGAATCGAGAAACGAGAAGAAACACTTTGATTTCGCTGGATCATAGAAGGCGTCGAGTTGAGAGAGGAGGTTGAGTTACGGTTGTTGGCGAAAGCGTACCCCTTTTGGGGCAAACTTGACCGATGAGGTTCATCGAAGGACACTCGAGCGTCATCACCAAAAGGGTTCTCGTTCTCGGTCGGGGCCGTGCTAGTAGTCCTTGACTGGGTATTTTCACGAAGAGTGGAGGAGGATGCGATAGAAGAGGGACTGTGGGGGCGTTCGATGCGATCGGAGTCAATGGTTTCTAATGAGTATTCGTCGGCGAAGACATTGGGGTTGGAGATGGAGGAGCGACCGAAGGAGTGGCGAGGTGTCGAATCCCCAGAGAGTCGAGGCGTATGGGAGGATCGTGAATTAGAGCGAGAATGCTCCGATGAAATATGACCAGACATTTCCCTATCGATCTGGCAGCCCTGTCGGGCCACCTCGTTGTTTGATCAATCCGTTTCGCTACCCGGCGAGGATGGGTGAATGGGCGGAGCAAGCAGATACAGCAGACTCTTCAACTCGAGATATTAAGGAGTAAGAAGAGGTTGTTGGATTATAGATGGAGAGAGATGGGTGTAGGATGAGAAACTCAAGTTGGGAAGGGAAGGGAGGAGTTTGAGACTTTAGTGTGACGGGTTTACTGAGGGGAGCCGGGGAGAGAGAGTCACTCGGACCAACTGAAATTCTTGGCTTTTTGATTTGCACCGTATTTTGGGGGCTTTTTTCGATTTTCTTTCTTTTCTTTTGCTTTTTTACTTTCTTTAAAATCATCTTCTTTTATTCTGGTATCATGTACACTCTGTACACTCCGTATGATCTACTCCGTGCCTGGAACTCCTCTGTCTACGCTACTACGACTAGGGCGACCAACTAGCGAGCCCATCCCGTCTGTGGTGGGCCTGAATGAGCTTCGCCACTATGCATGCTTCATGCTATATTGTTCTATTTTGATATTCTCCTGCTAGTATCTCTGTACTAGTATACAAAATACAGGTCCCGGTTCCCAGATCTAGACCAAGGTTCCAACGTTATTTGCTTCTGCATGAGTCGGATTTGAAACGTTTTCGTTCTCGCCACGCAACCACGTGAGAATACCCAACCCCTTTGTGTGTTTGGGTCTGGAATCCACGAACTGGAGAACTGGACCCTGCAGAACCAATTCAGGGCCTTGATTCTGGGCTCACGAAAAAAGAAAAAAATCAACCTGGAATCCGGAACGTTCAGACATCAGGGCTGAGCGGATATCTCGGGTGCGGACTAATCCCGAGGTCGTTATCCGAAAAATGTAGAATTGTTCGTCATGATCATGAGTTTTTTGTGAGCTGATGGTCGCCTAGGACATCCCCTATTCACAGATGTTATAGCTGAAACAAAAGTCTACTTGAATATACGGGATATACCTAGGGTTTCTCGATTTCGGCTAAACTCGATTCGAAATCTTGGTTCTAACCTTGGAAAGATTCTCAGGCATCGTATCCATGGAAGACCTATGCAGTACCTAGGTACTCCCACCCAGAAGGGTTACGATATTCGGTCTCAACACAGAGGTTCACCCGAGGACCGTATGGGTCAACAGTTTCAGCCGTTCAGGGCTTCTTCGGTCCAGCCCCTCTGGCACGGGGTTGCGTGCGTAACGGGATCCATCCAGGGCCAACCCCATCTGACTCCATCTGACTCCATCTGATATGGATAGATCGGGTTTGATTTCCGCCTTGTCCTTATGTACTAGTATTTCAGGAAAACATGAGATAGTTTCCTAGGCTGATCCTGGACCTGATTCATCCGCGACTTTTATCCAGATCTACAACATCGTATATCAATATTTCATATAGGTCACATGTAACGTGCGAAATTCCCAATTCACCATCGCTAAAGAGCCCCCTATATTCTTTTTTCTGTATATTAGCAAATATTTTAAAACTCACTCTATGATTGTAGATTTGATACTGTGTAACTACTTAGCATCCGGAACGATTATAGGTGGCCTACATCATAGAGAATATACAAGCCTTGATCAACCGTGTTTCTCCGCAAGAATTGAATAACATACAGCAGACAGGCGATGCGTAAATCGGCTATTCCTCAAAGAAAAGGAATCTGATTCAAATGCTTTAATAGGATATAAGAATATGCAGTAGATGGTTGATAAAAAGACATCTAAGAAGACATTTAGAAAAACTAACCGAAAAGACGTCATAAGGCCGCATAAGCGGCTGGCTATTCTTGTATGACTAAACGCATCTTACACGCTCTTCTCAGCATCCAGGTCGGTCGATCAACATGATACACTACATCGTGGAGCCCATCGCTACATCCCGTGAGACATTCGAGCCGGTCCACCAAGGGCCCCAGTTTGTGGAGTAGGGGCGATGATCCGATGTAGATCCAACTATATCGCGCAGCATATGGATATCAGATATCTAAGAGGTATTCAAATTGACACATAAATCTCAGAAAGGATGCAAAAGAAAATTCGCTTTGTTTAATTCCCTACTGAGACCCCGCTCATAGTCTTCAGGGCCATCCATCCTCGGGTGATCTTATATTTCAAGACCAATAACGAATCCTACAACGCATGAACCATAGTTGACCGGATATTTCAGACTGCAGGTCAAAGCAAGCATGGCATGGTGTAAGGAATTTATATTTGACTCGGCTATAACCCCATATTCTGCTCGGCTTGTCGGTCTAATGATGACCGCCCGAGATCTGAGAGCACCACCACTAGTGAGGCCTTAACGGGCGATTGATGGACTACCATATTTTCTATTGGTCAGGATATGCACCTTCGGAAAAGCCGAGTCACGAAGCGCACGGAGTACAACGGGGCTTTTTTGAGGAAACCCAGATCATGCCAACGCCCGACTAACGAGGAGTGTCTCGGCCCCAAACTTCCCCGACTTCTCCACAACCTAAACAACTTCGTACTCGGTCCACTGACAAAGATGAGATACCCCTACAAATTCTAAATAATTTGCGAGGAAGCTACTCCTCCATCGGAAGCACTGATTGGTCTGTCTGTTCCCGGTATGCAGTAAGATAATTGCTAGCGAGCTAGGGACGAATGGCAGCTGATCTTGCGAAAAATTGAGTGGCTTCGCTATGCATTATCCCGCTACCGGACCCTCATGGCTCCCATGCGGAGCTGGGGAAAATCCGGGGTTTGTTTATAAAATCCGCATGGTTTTCTACGTGTTTTGTTGCATACTTGCAGGTCAACAGGTCGATATTTATCGATAATCCAACGAGCCATCATGGGTATTTTCAAGCGGAAGATCACTGTTGAGGACAATGCCGTCACATCAGCAATTCACTTGACTCTACGACAGTCTCTACTCCCAAATGCATTAGGTATGTATCGGCTCGTTATATTAAATGGCAAAGCTGTAACATTGGTCCCGTAGTTATGATCCTCTTTTTTCTCTGGGGGTTCGCGTACGGACTGCTGGATGTTCTAAACTCGCATTTCCAAACAACCCTCAATATCACCGCTAGCAAGTCCAGTGGCCTACAAGCCTCATACTTTGGTGCCTACTTCATCTGTCCACTAACCATATCCGGTTGGATTGCCCGCAAATATGGATTCCGAGTTACTTTCATGACTGGTAAGAGACATGAGGTTGCTTCCAAGAATCTATTTGTATCGCCAGCTAACATATCCTTTTGTGAGTCAGGCCTCGCTGTGCTAGCTGTTGGGTGTCTTCTCTTCTGGCCTAGTGGTGTGAAAAAGTCATTTGGTGGATTTTGTGGTAGCATGTTTGTACGTGAAACAAAGCAACTCGCTCTGAGATAAACTTCTAACCATACCAATAGGTTGTTGGTGCTGGGTTATCCACACTGGAGACCGCAGCTGATCCCTTCCTCTCAATCTGCGGACCCCCAAAATATAGCGAGATCCGTCTGAACCTTGGACAAGCCGTCCAGGGAGTTGGAACCTTCGTTGCGCCTCTCCTTGCCTCTCGCGTCTTCTTTGCCAACACTGTGGACGACAATGCCGGACTGAAGAATGTACAATGGACATACCTTGGGGTGGCCTGCTTTGTCGCTCTGCTTATCATTCTCTTCTGGTTAGCCCCCTTCCCCGAGATCACAGATGCAGATCAGGAAGCACTGGAAGCACAGATCTCCGAGCATGGTGAAGACACCGGCCCATTCAAAAAGCAATATAATCTGTTCTTCGGCGTGTGGAGTCAATTCTGCTATGTGGGAGCGCAAGTGGCCGTCGCTGGTTATTTTATCAACTTTTGCAAAGAAGCTGGCAAAACCTCTGCAGAATCATGTAAGTGACATGAAAAAGAACATGTCTCGGTGTCGAAGTCTAACAATGCTCTCCTAGCCGACTTGCTTGCCATTGCGCAGGGCCTCTACGCTTTCAACCGTTTTGTGGCTACTGGATTGATGATGATGAAAGCTTTCAAACCTCGGTATATGCTGACGGTATACTTAATCCTCTGCTGCGTCTTCTCGATAGCTGCCATGACCACAAAGGGCTATACCTCAGTGGCGATGATTATCCTTGTTCTGTGTTTTGAGTCGGTGAGTAACATGATGAATCGGTAAACTGAGCCCTATAACTAACGAAGATTATCGACAGTGCTGCTTTGCAACCATTTTCTCTCTAGCTCTTCGTGGCCTTGGTCGTCACACCAAGCGTGGTGGCTCCCTGCTTGTTGCAGCCATCTCAGGTGGCATGGTCTTTCCTCCTATGATGGGGGCTATTGTGGTTCGTTTGCAAAACCTGGCTTTTAGCCCTTTTTCGGGTTTCAAGTACTAACATTGTGGCACTCTGTAGACAAACAAGAATGCTCACATTGCCATGGCAATCCCAATGATGGGCTTTGTGCTCGCATTAGCCTTTCCCGTTTACGTGAACGTCTTCAATAAAGATGTCATGGACAGCCACCGAAACACTGAGCTTAATGTGACGATTTCTGTGGGGAAAGATATTGCTCTAGAGGAGGGTCCTCAAAGTAAGCCTACGACTGCAACGATCGAGACAGCCGAGGAAACAAGAGCGATTTCTTGATGAGATAGATTGAAGAATCGAGGAAATATTAAGCCAGTCTGGTATGTTTTTATATTTATTCTATAGCGTAGGAATTCTCGAATACATATTTACGCATGTTCTTTGTTCTAGAAGGTAAAGCCTGTGACTCGGTGCAAATTGAGAACTCAAACATCTCGATTCTGTTTTTATCTCTAGTTATGCCTCATTGCATTAGTTCGCACCACAAATTCCTTTATTCGCCATCAGAATCATGATTTCTAGCGGGCCTACAACTCCCGGGAGTGAGTGATATAGTTCCGAGGAACGGTGGGTTCGCCAAGCTATAGATGCTGGGTATGGGCTTGGCAGTGCATGTATGGGGCAGACCTCATCTATTCCCTCCTTCGGTCAACTTATACCCACAACATCTTTGTGCGCTCAATGCTCCAATGGTGAAGTTTTTCAGAGACTCGCCATTGCCAGAAGCATATCACCCGTCCCTTGTTTCCGCAAGCCATGGGTCTGTTCCAGGCAGCTGTCCGGTTCCTCCCGTCACTTTTCCACCAGTCCACAATCATTCCGCGAGGAATTCTTTCATCTGCCTGCCGTGCTATATTTGAAGTCGAAGTTGAAGTTGCTGCCGTTCTGAGAACGAAGACGCCTGATTTCGTCCGATCTACCTAAGAAAACGGGGTAGAGAGCTAGGTAGACGGGCTGTGGACCCGTCTAGCTCTCTTATAGGGGATTAGGTAGACGATCTCACTCGAACCTGACTACTATTCTAAAGAACCCGACCTTAACCCGACCTTGACTCGACCTATCCTCGACCTATCCTCGGCCTTGACTCGTCCTATCCTCGACCTTAACTAGACCTTAACTAGACCTTAACTAGACCTTAACTAGACCTTAACTAGACCTTAACTAGACCTTAACTAGACCTTAACTAGACCTTAACTAGACCTTAACCGGACCTTAACCGGACCTTAACCGGACCTTGACCTGATCTAAACTTGACTCGACCTGAACCTGATCCGGAACCTAAGCTGGAAGCTAAGCTGGGATGAACCTGAGCTTGGGTTGAACCTGACTCGAGATAGAACTAGGGTAAATTCTCGATATGGGTATATCGAGAATTAGGGAAGGACGGATCCTATGGCAGATCCGGAAAACGGTCAAAGGGTTGTCTATAAAAGACACCCACCCACCTAGTCAATATTCTTCCTTAGCAAGCATCTCATTTCCAGTCAATGAATATTCCTTGGCCCGCTGGGCCCGGCCCGGGTCCTTCCTGACTAGTCTTACTCGTCCTGAGTGAGTCTTTCTTGACTCATCCTTAAAAGGGGGTGTAATTATCCATGGATAATAATACCCTAGAATAATCACTCGATGTTATTTACTATACCACGTGAAAAGTATCAAAATGTTAGCCTTGGAAGTTGGAACCTTCTGTGGCAAAAAACACAGCCACTTTCCCACTAGACCATAACAAAAACCATGATTCCTGTTTAGGGCCTAGGGAGGCCATCCATATCCCATTTCGACACCTCCTTATCGGTCCATTGATAATCCTATCGATAAAACGAACTCAACTTTGGAAGTCTAAATGACATTCACCGCCTTTTTCTTGCCTGCTGCCGTGCACGTGCCAAGGCGTAACGCCCGCTGATTGGATGAAGCCCGACCGCCTACTATAGCGTAATTGATTTGTTTAGTTATTGAGAGGTTTATTCTTCTAGCTCTTCTAGAACTGCTGTCTCTTCGGATATCTATCAAATTCCTTCATCCTGCTTGTTTTTGAAGCTCGTTAGCTCCCTGCAGTTACAGCTGATTCTCATCATGTCGGACGAGTCGAAGGGGAAGACCTTCCCCGACGTCTCTGCGAAACTCTCTGCGCTTCCAAAGAAATCACTTTTTGAGCGTCAAAAGGCCGAAGCGGAGGCCAAACGCGCCCGGGAAAAAGCAGAGACAGCTGCAGTCTATGAGGAATTTGTCAAATCATTCGAAGATGAGGATTCAGTTGTACCACAGTCATTAGATGGAGGACCGAATACATTTAGAGGCAGGAGTGGTGGCCCTCCCAGGCGTCATTTCGCAGCTTCCTCTTCACGCGGCAGTGGCCATGGACCCTTAGCCCCTCCGCCGCCCTCACTTTCACACAAACGTTCCCACGAAATCTTTCCCCCTCCCCGTCGCGACCCTCTCAAATTTGAAAACATGCTTACTTCAACTGAAGCCGACAGAGCACTTGACGAGGAGGAGAGGGCAGCTCCCAAACCCACGTTGTACCTCGCGTCGCTTCCTCCGGGGACATCTCCGTCTGTGATCAAGGCATTGATCCCCTCGACCCTGACCGTGGACAATGTCAAGATTATCCCCCCACCTGGACAATTGCCAACTCACCGCGAGTCCTCTTCTGCACTCGTCACCCTCGCAAGCGACTCGGCCGCCTCTAATATCGATGCAGCTGTGAGCACGCTGCAAAACAAATACCTTGGCTGGGGGTACTACCTGACCCTCTGTCGACACCTTTCCTCTACTGCGATGAATTCAAACATGCATCTGCCCTCCGGCCTCTCGTCGACTACTACTTCTCTTCCGTTTGGCGCCAAGCCTATTCCACCGAGTTTCGGCACAAGCTTGAGTCGAGCTCCACCACCAGGGCCACATCGCGGGGGATTCGCACCCCCAAGCTCTTATGGACCAAGCGTTGGTAGAAATGGCCCAACCACTCAGGTGCAGGTGGAGCTACCGACAGATATAAGACAGTTGAGACAGATACACAAGACTATTGAGCAACTCGTGAAACAAGGTCCTGGATTTGAGGCATTGTTGACGAGTCGGCCAGAAGTCCAGATGGACGAAAAGTGGGCCTGGTTGTTCGATCCAAGGTCGCCTGGTGGTGTATACTACCGGTGGAAATTGTGGCAAATAATCACAGATCCCAAAAAGAAGAACATTGATAAGCCGGCGATGATCTTTGAGAATGGACCGCTCTGGTTACCCCCCAAACAGCATCTCAAGTTTGAGAACGTCACTCGCCTGAACCAATTTGTGTCACACCCAGATTACGACTCATCTGACGAAGAACATTCGGATGGGGAATCTGAAAGACGGAACCTCGGTGGAGCACCTTCGGACGGAGCCAACACACACAGCGATGAACCGAGCTTCTTGAACCCCTTCAAGATGGCCAAGATTACTCATCTTCTTGCACGACTTCCGACGACCAGTGCAAAGCTCCGACGAGGAGATGTTGCGCGAGTCACAGCATTCGCTATTGATCACGCGGCAGTGGGGGCACCCGAGGTTGTCGACATGGCCATCCGAAACGTTTTCCGGCCTCTAGCTTACACCGGCGCCAACCCAAATCGAGAATTGGAAAAGAATGCTGCCAGACTAGCGATCACTGATAAGGACAATGCAATCCCATCCGATGAACAATTGGATATGTCCTCCGCAAAGCTTGTCGCCCTCTACATCATCTCTGATATTCTCTCGGCGTCGGCAACCAGTGGCGTCCGCCATGCATGGCGATACCGCCAGCTGTTTGAAAATGCTCTGCGCTCACGCAAGGTGTTTGAACACCTTGGCCGACTTGACAAGGACCTGAAATGGGGACGACTGAAAGCAGAGAAGTGGAAGCGCAGCATTGGCTCCCTTTTACATCTGTGGGAAGGGTGGTGTTGTTTTACGCAATTGAACCAGGAGCATTTTACCAAAGTGTTTGAAAAGCCACCGCTTACAGAAGCAGAATTACAGAAGCAGAAGGAGACAGAGAAGGCCCATGCAGATCAAGCTGCTGTTGCATTTGCCAAAAGCAAGAGTCGATGGAAGACAGTTGATGATGAGCGAGGTGGAAAGTTTGACCCTACTCGCCCTGCGAATGAGAAAAAGCTATCTACCTCTGATCATGCAGTGGACGAATCAGTGAATGGAAAGGATGGAGCTGCAATGGAAATCCGTGAACTGAAGAATGTTGATGGGGAGTCCATGCTTAAGGCGCCGTCATTGGGCGATGAAGATACCCAAACCGAGATACCCCAGCAGCTACCTCAGTACTCACCTCAGCACCCAACTCAATCTGACAAATCTGAACAATCAGCTGGGCAGCAGGAGCCAGAAACACGACGACGAAAGCCACGGCCCAAAGCTGAAGATATGTTCGCCTCGGATTCGGAGTAAGGTTGGGCATGATTGTAATCGTTTTATGGATAGCACCGGATGATACCTGAAAGATACTTGTAATGAATAACAATGAACAATGAATGATTATTTGAAATGATTTTCTCTTGTATAAATAGAGACTGTAGTACTACTTCAGACCTGTCAAGTGGAGGCTCTTTCAATACATAAGGCAGCCAGGCATCATCGGCAGAACATTTCCTGCCCCACAACCCCTCATCAACAAATACCTTTCTCCTTTCGCGCTCAACTCCCTGTACTCTTCAAATACAATAGCATCACCCTTTTCTTTCTTTTATTCCAAATACAAATTCTTCAAAATGGCTGGTATGTCTTCCTCCCGCACTTGGCTCATATATACCCCTCCCGAAGAGGATGGAGGGGTCTGATCGTTTGGATCCCAGACAGCAGTGTGTGACTATGTTGCGCAATGCGATGGGAACTGATGAAAGAAGCAATGCGAACATCAAGATGAAAAATTGACTAACAAACTTGGTGATTTACGCAGACTTCAACGCTATCGCTGGTACATTATACCCATACTTTCCTGCTTCATCCCCACGGATCCAGCAATGCGCCTGTTCCCAATGATCCTGCCGCCCTAGATGGAAATGATGCCCCAAGAGATGGGTGTTATATCATACACAAATAATCATATTCTAACCTTTGATCAACCTGTACAGAGCAGTTTGTGCAGTTCTACTACCACACCTTTGACGGAAACCGATCTGGCCTGGCTGGTCTCTACGTAAGCCCCGCTCTCCAGATCCCCTTACAAGCGAGAGATATATGAATGTGCGCTAACGGCAATTATCAACCAATAGCGTGACCAGTCTATGCTTACCTTCGAGACCAACTCGGTCCAGGGTGTCTCTGCCATTACTGAGAAGCTCAGCGTTCGTCAACCCCAAAATCCTGACCCACGTGGGTCAATATGAGAAGAATATTCCAATACTGATTTTGCAACTCTAGACTCTGCCCTTCCAGAAGGTTCAGCACCAGATTGCCACCTTCGACGCCCAGCCCTCCAGCGGAGACGGCATCGTTGTGCTTGTTACTGGTGCCCTCCTGGTATGTTGAATGCCAATCACTTCTTCTGTTTTCTTAACTAATGTCAATTTCTCTATCAACAGGTCGACGAGGAGCAGAAGCCCATGAACTACACCCAGTGCTTCAAGCTGCAGCCCGATGGTGCCGGAAGCTACTTCGTGCTCAACGACGTCTTCCGTCTGATCTACAGCGCCCAGTAAATTATGGGCCCCGAAACAAATACCACGACGCGATGACAGGGGGATGTGTTTTCTTGTGAAGAGGATATGCCTTGGAGGTGACCGGGATAAATATCTGTCGTTTTGTCGCAAGTGACACCCCTCGACTTGCGATATGCCTGCCCATTGAAGGGTTTATTAAGAATTTATTTTTTGGATCACCAATCTTTCTAGAACTGTATGGTATTTCGTTTCTACCAAAGCTACGAGATAGCACTATATAAAAGCAACACGCCGCAAATCTGGTATGCGCACATCACTGGCTCTGAAGCAGCGGCGTCTCCTCAGATGGTCGCTCCTCATGCGCAGGTTCTTGCTGGGCACTCTCACCAGCATGAGCCGATCCATTGGGCGCCCCATTCTGATCACCCAGCTGCCCAACTTCCCGCTTGTTGTCGGACCCGAAGTACTCAAAATAGATGGCCATTATCAACAAGGTACCCTGCAAACAGGCCGTGACAACTAGCACGCCCCAAATACTCCAGCCACTCCAACCCTTGCGGGCAGCCAGACTAGCAGCCCAGATAAGACTCCCCGGCGTCTGGATGCACATCATGGGGATACTCAAGCTCCCCACGCACCGCAGCCGGAAGGTAGTATAGATCTGCGGGAAGTACTGGATCGACGCGAGGATCGCAGCGAGGACTCCGAGGAAGTTTGCCCAGGCCGAAACAGCAGCCGGCTGGCGCAGCTCGAACGCTAGGGAAAGGATGATCGTCACGAGCGCGTGCAGTAGACATATCCCCGTTATAACGAGCGCGGTGCGGTAGGTCGGTCCGCCGGAGGCGGAGGACACAGTGTCCAATGGGTCTGTGGGGGATGTGGCGCGCGGGAAGTAGATCACGAATAGCAAAAGACTAGATACGATTAGACAAGCTCGGGTGTGGGTTTTGGTGGGGGTGTTCGATCGGGAATTCGGAATCAGAAATCACTCAGCGCTTCGTTCAACTCACATGGAAAAGAAACAGAGCCATTGCATGGCCATCTGGAATACCCCAAGTAGCCCTGCGAAGCATGCAATCCCACTGATCTCCTGGCAGCAGGCGACATCTTGCGCGGTGGATGGGAATACTAGGATATTGGCAAATGCCGATGTCCCTGATGTTACCCCTAGGAGGATGAAGTATGGGGAGATACCGAAGGAGCTTCGTCGGATGATGATGCGGATGTGTTGGGGGAGGTATGAGAGGAGGATGCCGAGGATAATCAGGCTATATGGTACGTCAGTCATTGGGGACTGTTAGTTTTGATTCCGGGGATACGTACACAGATAGTACAGTTTGGAAAATGCCTGGCGAGGCCAGCTTGCGGCAGTAGGGTGTTAATGGGTCCATTGTTGTGTCTTTACTGTCTTTACGAATGTATGAAGCTCAGATGAGGAGGTCGGGGCGTCGGGAACTCGTGACAACAGCTGATTACATCAGTTCGTCACATTGGAGATTTTGCTCTCTACTTGAACAATTTGAGAGGGAATTGCTATTTCCAAAGACAAAGAGAAGGAATTCCCAAGATATGTGTCATAAACTTGAGTACCTCGTTGGGCACCCCTCCCTCTCTGCCCTGATGTCTTGATGCCTTTGTGCCTTAAATAGATGGCATTAAGTGGTTCTGGCTATCCCTAGTTGGGATTAGTGTCAAATACGTTCCAAGATTGGAACTATATAACGCAGTTTCAGAGCCGTCGCGGGACTATCGGTCGTACTCGGCATTTCTAGATGTCGAATCTCAAAAATGCTTCACTGATAGTGTATAAACGGTGGTAAGTAAAGGGGGGGATAGAATTAAAGAAAAGAACAAAACTAGCCTTGAAATACAAGGCAATGCTATATAAACCCACGATTCAGCGCAGTTTCAGTGCCGCCGCGAGGCTATCCGTTGTACCAAAATCCTCCGAATGCTGAATCTACTACAGAATCAAAAAATACTTAGTACTCTGTTATATGTTTATAGTTTTTGTTTTGTTCAAGATTCACAATATACGCAAGGCGGGCTTTTTTTGATGAGGTGGCTAAGTGTCGAAGAGTAAGGGGACCCCTCAATTAGCAGCCCCTAGCCCCTTGCTCTAAACAAACAAGCCCGAATCAGAACTCAGACATTTCACATATTCGTTATTAGTACGGAGTATATTATTCTAAGTCGGAGACCGCACAGTTGCATCATTAGAGTATGTCTTGATAACTACCAAATCAGAAGTGGTAAAACTAAGTCGAACAGCAATTCAAAAGTTCTTTGCTCCTGGTGCCGTTGATTCGGATGGAAGCTAGCCTTCATTCAGTACGGCATCGTCGTGCCGTCCTAGCTATTCTTGATGGAACAATTCCGATTCAAAGTGGCCCTCACGGTACGATAGGAATGTGCTCCCACGGCAGAGGGGCAAGGTGGGTGATCTATCTAGCGACCTAAATTTAATATGGATGTCACCGGTCTCTCTACCGCGAGACAGGTGGGTTATATGTCTATTTGCCCTCCAGTAGAAGGTGTAGATAGAAGTCATTTAGAGGCTTTCAAAGTAAAGAAACAAACACGCACCGGGAAGGTTAAGGGCAGAAGCACGCTAAACTCAAACAGGCACGCTAAACCGTATCAGGTAATTGGCCATGAAGACTACGATGTAGAGTAGAAAAGCCTTCGAGATAAAAACTGGTATGTAATAAATATTTCTATGCTATTAAATAAATACAGAAACAAGCTAGGAAATGTTCCAGACCTGGGCAGCATAGAATGAAAATTGATGATTCATGCACTCCAGCTCAATCCAAGGCAAATTCCCCAACTACGTCACTGCGCAATCATGGCCCTTTCTTGCTTTTGCAGCTCTCTTTAAAACCATAAGTTTTGTTCCTATTCTCTTCGACATCTTCATACCATTCTTGCCAAACACCAAAACCCTATAATTTTGTCCAACACAACATGAAGTTGAATTTGGCCACTGGCCTCATCTGCTTGCTCGCTTCCACTGAAGTAGTGGCAGCTTCCAGTTGGTGGAGCAAGGCTAGTATGTTGTCTTGGGTACAAAGATCCCCTTTCGCAAGCTAATAACATCAACAGTCTACAACAAATGGCATGAAACTGAGCTTGAGCGATGGCTCTCGGACCATAGTATGTAGCACTGCTCTTTCTAACAGCTTCATATACTGACGCTTCATACAGATATCCCCCATCCCAGTCCCGCCGACCGCCGCGACCTGGAGAACCTGGTCAAGACCAACTGGGATAGCAGAGTGCAGAAGCCCCTTGGACAAGCTGCCGATAACATCAATCATGAGCTCCATCATGCCAGAGAATGGGTCTTTGACACGTAGGGTGCTCACATTTCCCTGTTTTGAATGAAGGCTGACCGGTATAGTTGGACCGACTCTCAGTTGAAGGCTTTCCTCGATCGCCATGGCATTCCTGCCCCCCAGCCCCGCAGACGCGACCTTCTAATCAAGACCGTGCGTGAGAACTATGAGAAGATCGCCACGAAGATTGGCCAAACGGCTTCCTACCCCGGAGACTGGCTGTATGAGGAGTGGTCCGACTCGGATCTCAAGGAATGGCTCGACGAGCGTGGATGGCCGGTACCCCAGCCGTCCACCCGTGATAAGCTCATTGCATCTGTTCGCCGCAACTCACGCATTATCAGCTTGCAGTCCCAGAGCATTGCTGCATCTGCATCCGCTGAGGCTGAGGCTGCCAAGGAGACTCTGAGTGATCAGCTTTTCAACGCCTGGTCCGACTCGAAGCTGAAGGAATTCCTTGACGAGCACAATGTCAAGGTGCCTCAGGGCTCGAAGCGCAATGAACTCATTGCTCTGGCCCGGAAGAACCGTTACTATCTTTCCGGCCAGGTGTCGAGTGCCTCCTCCGCTGCTGAGGAAGCGTTTGGCGCTGCTACTACCAAGGCTGGGAACGAATATGCGAGCGCTACCGATTATGCCAAGCTGAAGGTCGACGATGCTTTCGAAACTGCGTTGAATGGCTGGTCTGACTCCCGCCTGAAAGCGTTCCTTGATGCCCGAAGCATCCCCGTCCCTCAGAACAGCAAGCGTGATGAACTCGTTGCTAAGGTCCGCGCCAACGCCCACAAGGCTGCCGGTGGATGGAACCAGTACAGCTTCGATACTTGGGACAAAGAACACCTGGTGTAAGTACATACCTATCTGTTGATTATGATCTCACCCGCTGACCTTTCCCAGGAACTACCTGTCTGCCGTGAACCACAAGGCAGCCAAGCAGGCCGGTGCCTCACGCGAGCAGCTTATTAAAAATGCGCAGGACTCCTACGCCAAGGCTTCCAAGGCTGGCGGCGAACAGTACGCCTCTGCGACTACTGCCCTCGCCCAGGCGACTGGCACAGCCAAGGATGCCACTTTCGACCAATGGTCGCAATCTGAGCTCAAGAGGTACCTGGACAACTATGGTGTTCCTACCTACCAGGGCTCGAGCATCAATGAGCTCCGAGCTGCTGCCCGACGCAACGCCCAGTACTTTAAGTACGGCACCGCAAGCCCGCAAGCTACCATCTATGCCAAGGTCATGGATACTTTGCAGTGGGTTATGGATCAATTGAAGATCGGTGCTGCTAGCGGCCGCGCCCAAGGCACTGAAGCTGCTGAAAAGGTCCAGAAGAAGGTCTCTGAGCACACGGAGAGACTTCGTGGAGAACTTTGAATTACTCTTTTCATATTCACATCATTCTTGTTATTTGTCTTCCGCGACAAAGTTGGGGTGCACGATTGGTTTTGTGATATTCTTTAAGTTACGATGATTATGACATTTGGATTGTAACATTTGATTTCCAACATTTTTATTGTAGATGTTTGATAATCTTGTATTTTCAAGATGTAAAAGCATGGGGTTGATTCTTGTAGACTAGGTACTGTAGGGAAGTCGAACACTGAAGTATCCCTAGTTAATGAGGGATGCAGAGCAATAAAGCCGAGAAGGATAGTACTAACTAGTAGGGCCTTCGTACATGTTTCAAAATCATGATACATCTGCTAGTTTCTTTTGCCACAGCACTGATGCCTCCATTGCGAGTTTGCATAGGATATGGTTGCATGGCTTAGAACTGCATCGTAAGTGTTCTTTGTGCCCCGAGGCGGACGTATATAATGACCACAACTTCCAGGTTTTTCGCCTTGCTTTATCTCACACCGCTATTTTTCCTGAATCACCACATTATCATATATTGAGAGTCACAATCTCATTCCGTTTAGTATAGTCGGCTGCTTATGCGGCCTCTGTCCTTGATGATATAGGACTTCAATAACGGCCCAAGTTCATATCATAGATGTTATATTTAACAGTCTTCTACAATGTCTTTTTGGGTGTCTTTCTAGATGTCTTTCAAGATTTCGTTCTCCATGTCGCTCTCGATATCCTCATTCTGGTATACACTACACTTACTCACGATTTATCAGTGTACTAATAGTTGTAATATCTTAGAGGCGAAATTGCCCGATATACGAAAGCTGTAGCGTGGTCCTTTGTCCACGTACGAAACGATATTCCTCAGAAAGGTTGAGATCCGAGGAACAGCTGGTATTAGGAGGCGAGACCGGCCTACAAGGACGCTTGAACGAATGAATGCCTTGGCCGACCAGTGGCTGCATTTCTTGAAACGCAACATCATCGGTATCTGTTTGATGCCTGATTGGTGCCTGATTAGTTAGTAGTTAGGCATCCATGGGACAGATTCTGTTTGCTACATAGATAGGTACCTAAATATGTAGGTAGATACAACATAGATCTCTCTTCCCCCTCCCCCCTCCCATTATAGTACGGTCCCAAGAGTATCGCAGACTTCAAAGCATACCTGCAACAGCTGGATACAGAAAAGTTCCGGATATCGTTATCATTGATAGTAGCTCTTCTACCAGAGGCATTGGGGAAGCGAAAGTACATAGCTCCTGGAACACTTTCATACTATGGGATGTGCTGTGGGATGGACTACTGGATTTTGAGAATTTTGAGACCGGACATGAGAAGGGCTTCGTCGTACACTTGGTGCGATATATGTTATATCGATGATTTCTTCATGCACTAATATTCAGAAAGATAACCATCACCAGACTGTATAATCTGGTGAAAAACACCTTCATGTATACTGTTTATAGTCACGTGACCCCGTGATCTGCAGCCGCCCGGGGTCCACTTGACACTCCCGTCCCCTTCCATCCAATCAAATCACTTCCAAGGTCACCAGTTGTACACCTTGGAAGCAACCCATATTGTTCCCATTTCTTTCGGGGCATTCAATTCTGACGATAAAGTATGATGATTCTCCTTCTATGATATATCTGAGCCTTGGCTAATACTAGGAAGAGCACTGTCTCAGCTGCGGCCCGAAGGTGGAATATCCTAACCACGCTTTTTCTTACGGAGTACAAGTCGACCATCGGACCGAGAGTCGATGAACCCGAAAATGGCCTTGCTTCATGTAAAGTCATGCATGATCATTCCTGAGGCCTAATACGTTCCGCTGTACACTACAGCCCTTGGTGAGATAGATCCTCTTCCGATACTCAACTCAACTAACTTGTTAATCTAAATAGGATGCCCCAAATAGCGACAAAATCAGAACATGCCGGCGGTTTGACCCCTTCTACCAGGCCATGTCACCAACAAAACAGTTGGATAGGGTAGGGGATCTGGTAGACCGAGAAGACCACAAATGGGACACATTGGAGGGGTTGTCAAGATGTCTTGCATCAAACGGTTCGACGGGTGTTGCTGGGCTACTTCACTTTTTCGTATCTGGTCATGTCGTTCTTCGAGACTCGAACCTTTGGTGCGGAGCGAGACCTCGGTTTTTTTCGTTATTTCTTACTATCGTGTGCCATTTGAATGCTAGCGGGGGCCAGCTGGGTTACATTTCATGGGGCTTAGATAGTATTGCAAAATAAACCCGAGATTCGGTTGCGGCGCTTTTGAATTGATGCCGGAAAAAAAAATAGATCACATATGCCTCGTGTCTTCCAAGCTCACCCTCGTCCTTGTAAACGCTAGATATCAGCCATTGCCGTACAGAATATGTATTAACCCAATAATCCTTTCGCTGTGCGGTCACGACTTAGGAGCCTCGGGATCGCCCTCAGCCACCAACTTTCCAACAACCAAGTACTTTTCATTGAAGCGGTCTTCCCACGACTGCAGGTTCTCCAGCTGCTCCGCATCCAAATCCTTCAGATCGTCCAACGGCGCGGACAGGTCCTTGGTCAGCATATCCTCATCGAAGCTCTGGAAAGCCAAGCCGCGCGAGGCGTCCCGGCCAGCGAAGTTCTCGTAAGGTCCACCCTGTATCAATCGTATGGTCAGCTTCAGCTCCAACGGCGCTTCCCGGTGCTCTTTCACGAATTCCAAACACATACCGGCCCATAGAAGTTCCTGCCAGGGGTGACATCGAAGACGCGGCCGCGGACGGACAGGTAAACGGGCCGGCCTTCCTCGCCGTTGAACTCAATAAGAGTCTTGGGAACGTAGGTCTTGAAGACGGTTGGCGGCGGAGCACGGGGGAGAGTGATTGGCGCCTTGGGGCGGAAGTGCCAGTACACCAAGACTCCAAAGAGGGAGACTAGGATCAGGTTGATGGGCGAGGCGATAGACATCCTGTTGGGTAGCTAGCGGTTAGTTGGGTTGATGTTTCATCTTCCGTGTGTATCGAGTGAGATCGAATGAGATGTGGGGGACACGAACACTTCGGCCTGTGGCGTAGAATTATCTGCAGTTGCTAGATTAGCGGGTGTTCAGACCATGAGCAACGTGGGACATATGTATACCCATTATGGCAAATTGTTTGTGTTTGGAGAGAGTAGGTGGAAAGTCGGGAAGCTCGGGATGACATCGACATCTTTCCCCTACACGTGATTGGACCTTATATGAACATTCTCTTTCATTCTTTGGCTTCTTCAGGTTATATTTAGGAATTATCGACGGAGTAGCCACTTCTCTCACATGTGAATTGATTGGATACTAGGCTCTCGGACTCCAAAAATAAAACGTAAAACGCCCAACAGTCCCTGAAATGTTTCAAGAGCTCTCCCCACTGGACTATCGCCCCCATTTTAATCTGCCCACTTCTATTAGTGGATGCCATGTTATTTCAAGTTATTTCCATCGAGAATTGATTTCCTTGTCTAGTTCTTCTTTCTTTGCATTTCTTCTTAGCTGTTCGAGTCATTCTTATCCGTATAACTTTTCGCATTCTTCTTCCTAAGCTTCCGTGTTGGGCTGCGCATTGTGGCCTAGAAAACAGAGCCCCTTCCATATTTTGCGATCCTTTACCTCTTTTCATTCCCTTTCATTCTTTTTGTTGTGACTTGAACTTTTTTTATCGTTTTACGTGAACTCTGCACTTTTTTTTCCGACCAAAACCAACCCTCTGCCACGTCTAGAGCGTGAGAAAATCGATATGTGGTCTAAAAGACCGTTCCACAAGTCCAAACGGCCCTCGATCAGCGGCCCCATATTGAGCGGCAACCCACCCACCACATCAGACCCTGTGCATGATATGGTCGCAAAAAAGTTGCCCGCTCTGCCTGAGTAAGTCTCGTGTTTGCTACCTGTTTAATAGCATATCTAATGGAAACCAGCGATTTGCATTCGTCGTTACAACCGAATCCCGTCCCGCATGATGATATCAATAAGAGACACTCGGATGTCTCGCCTGCTGTTTCGCCGATTGTTGAAGCTCATCGGCGGGCAAGCCAAAGTAGTTTCTGTGTCTCACCCATCGGCGAAGGGGACCCATTTCCTGATTATGCGCAACAGGAGACTGGGATCTCGTCATCGCCAACTCCTATTCCCAAGGTAGACTATGTTGACACACCCTCTCATTCCCGGGTTCAACCTGTCCAACCTGTCCAGCCTCCCCAGTATGATCAGGACCCCAGGCGATTTATCTCTGGCAAATCGACGCGCTGGGATAACTTTTCGGGCGAACCGACCTCGAGCGATTTTGGTAGAGCTAGCCAGGTTGATCCCCGTAACACCTCGTTCCACAAACCCCCCGGGGCTCATTCGTCCAACCTACTAAACTGGGGCCAGGGATTCAATCCCAAGAAGACCCTCAACGCAGCTCGAAACCGGATCAGCAGTTTCTCGAAGACCGAAGATTTTTCGCAAAAGGAACCCAGAAGTAGATCATCGTCACGTGTGTTTCCAGTGGAAGAGCATTCCAGCAAGCGCAGCGGAAACGGCGTGCTAAAGACGAGTCCCCAGCTCGATAACTTTAGCTTCGCTCCTACAACTGTAACCACTATCACCGCCGGTGGTCCAGTGTCATTTCCCCGGAGACCGGCAACAGAGCACGCTCCAAGCCGCCTGCCAGAGGAGGATAAGCCACTACTCAAGTTCGACAACGATTTCAACGACATGATGCTCACGAGAAATGAGCCCAGGAGCCGTTTCAGCGCAACTACATACACAGCCACCGAACCCGGCAGTCAAGATGCAAGCCCGCGGGAGAGTATGCAACTCGAAACCCGATCTACAGACGACGTATCCACATCTTCTATCATGGCTCGACGCCGCCCAGTCCCAATCGGCGTGCCAACTTCGAAGAAGCAGCCTGTCTCGACCAAGCCCGTCCGAAAGCCCACTCCATCTCAGGCCGCACAGCAAGGCGCGCAGATGCCCGTGCAGTCGCCTTCGCCTCCACCCGAGATACCACTAGATGCGAAGGGCCGCATTGAAGCAATGGAGGCCAAGAGGGACGATCTTACTCAGCGCAGATTCAGTTTGGAGGCGTTGATCCTTGAATTGAAAAAGGTCATTCAGCCTACTTCGGCTGTGTATGACCTGGCTGCTAAAGCTGAGGCCCAGAAGAGCATCAAGGGCATCGAAGACGAGATTGCGGATATCAAGAAAGAAGAGCATGATCTTGGTATGAAGATTTCTCGAGCGTGGCGTCGTCTGGACGAGAAGGAGAATTCTGGCGATGGCAATAATCTCTGGGTCAAGCGAGTTACTAGTTAGTGGAGGTTGGACTGGATTGCTGTTGGATTGTGATTTGGTCTATGCGCGGCTGATCTTGATCTCATTTCTGATGCTACTGTGGATTTGTTAGCGTCCTGTTTGATTCTACCTTTTTTTTTCGAGGCATTTTGCTTGTTCTTTTTCCGATATTGGGGCATGGTGGTTGTGTTTTGAGCGTTTGATTCCCCTGCATGGCAGGATGATACCCACTTTATTCGGAATTTGCCCAAGCTGTGGCGGTTTGTGTTGATATGTTTTGGCCTGATTAATCCCATTGCTTTTTAAGGAAGTCAATCATCAATCATTCTAGGAAACTTGTATATGTGAAAATGCGATCAAGCGCGAAATAGGTATTGGTGGCTAAAGATATACAAAAGACCCATAGCAATGAACTATGAGTGCAGTGATGCTGGCGCGATCACACATTCGAAGCCACCCATCCTCCGCTCTCTCATTGAACATGGCTCGTGTAGGTCGTGAACATGGACTCGAGAAACCTGGTGTCAAGGCTCGTTGTGAGGATTGTTGGCAAGTGATCCGCTGAGGGGTATTCGATCCGTTTATTTCTTGCCGGACTTCTTGATGCCCTGCTGGCCGGTGTTGAGGGGACCCTTCTTGCCCTTGGCCGCATCTTGCATGTCCTTGCGGGCTTTGGCGTCTAAAGAAAATTATCGGTAAGTGACTCTCTGAATAGGGTCATCAAAAAGACATACCAGCCTTGATCTTGGCCTGGTGAGCGAGCTCATCCTCGTCGAGTTCCTTCTTCTCCTTCTTGGCTGCCTTCAAGGGCTTGGCCTTGCCACCTGTAGACCATAAAATATTAGTGAACCGGATTTCAAGAATACAAGAATGTGAGGTAATATATACCTTCTCTGCCGATTCCACCCATTTTGTCAGAATAAAATAACTGGGAGAGCGGGTTGAAAGAATCTTAATAGCGCGGGGTGAGTTGACGGCGTTGGCAATGAGAAAAAAAAAAATACATGAGGGGTGCCTATCCACACCCTCAGTGGCCACCTGGGCTAAGTTGAGGCGCTTTGGATATATTACTAGTGGTATAAATTATGTATTATTGCAAGCACATACACGCTTATTATGCTGAAAATAGGCTACTCATCAGGACTCAGTACTTAAAATACTATGGGGCTAGACCAGAAGAGGCTAATGGCATCTTTTTTAAAAAAGATGTTCCCCGCCAAGCAGGGTACATGGCAAAACTTTGAGATACCGCCTACTACACCCAGACTAGCGCCGATTCTGCCTTATCTCGACCATCGAGCATTCGCCATGGCTTCCAAGGTTTTCAAACCATCTCTTGTTGTCATTGAGATCCTGTGCACGTGCTTTTATCTACATCTCAAGCCTGTTTCCTCGGCAAGCTATGCGCCAGGGATTTTAATCACTTTTGCAAGGCTTTGGTGTGAAGGCAGGCCTCTTACAGCCGGTTGGACTTCACAAACCCTTTGAGAAGACTTATTGTCGCTGGAGCTTTTGCTAACTGAACCTTGTTGTTGAAGCTTCCTCCAAAGGCCAAGTGAAGTGAGCCCAAGAGAAAAGTATTATCTACGCGCCTTGTTTGAATCTTTCGAACGTTGCAAACATGTCGCATCCCAGGTCGAGGTCCCCATCGGTCCCCTCTGAGGGTGAGATCGTCGAATCAGGCCCAGAGACGAAGGCAACTGCGTCAAAACCTCCTCTTAATGGCACCAGCGTTGACCGTCCCACCAGAGCTAGCCCATCCTCTGTACCCAGATCTCCCGCGTCGTTGAAAGGCACTCGATCGCCACCCCGGCAGAGATCGCGGACCAGGTCCCTATCGAGATCCCGCTCTCGCTCCCCGTACAGAGAGAATAAGACCCAAAAGCGCAGTCACGACGATCTTCCCGATTCCTATGATGGCGGCTACGACCGGCGACCCCGCCATGAGCCTCCGCGACGCTACAGGTCTAGGTACGACGACAGACGCCGTGACAGACCCGCTCCCAACAGGCGCCCGAACTCATACTACGACTATGACCGCGAAGAGACCCATGGAGAAGCGCTACGATACAGTGATGATTACGACCGACAGGACCGACACAAGCGGAAACGCACCCGCAGCCGCAGCCGATCCCCTTACCGTGAATCGAGGAAACCCAAACAGTATTCAGGCGATGAACTTGATTCAAACGTGGTTAATGCCAGGCCTTCAGCGGATACCGGAAGGCGCTTGCCCACTGAACAGTTGGTGAGGGAACGAGGAAAGGCTTCGGTCGTCGCTCCGGAGAAGGTTGGTGCTGAAAAACGAAAGAACCAGGTGCAGGCTTCTTCTAATCTTCAAGCCCATGTGGCTGACGAGTATGTATATTCTGTTACTGATGAGAAAAAGCGTGTGACTAATATCCGTCCCAGAGAAACCACCCCTAACTCGGAGATTGCGCAAGAGCCGGAGCTCGCTGAGCCCATTAACGAAGCTGATGCACTTGAAGCTCGCCGCAAACGCCGTGAAGCTATTCGGGCGAAACACCGAAGCCAAGCGACTCCACTACACCTCAAAGCACTGAACGTCGGGGAGGTTGAAACGGATTCATCCACGCCTGGCACTGAGCCAACTAGCGCAAAGGAAGCATCTGGTGGGTTTCTCTCGGACAAGTTTATTTTGGTATCAACGAGACTGACGCCTGTAAACTCAATAGATTCTCCACGAGCATCCCCCTTCGAACAACCCGGGGAGGCATTTCCTGGTTTTAGTATTGGAAAAGACATGGACATGGTCAACTTCAATGGGCCTGTTGTCGGTGCTGATAAAGATGACCCCTCTGCTGCTGATTATGATCCAACTCTTGATACGAAGGAAGAAAGACAAAAACATGGCCAGATCCAGGATGGAAAGGACGATGTTTCTTCTGCAGCATACGATGAAACCAAGACTAGCAAGCAGGACATTCTCCTCCCTGATGCTCCCCCAGCGCCAGCGCCAGCGCCGAAGACCGAGGCGTTCGATATGTTTGCAGACGACGACGATGACATGTTCGCAGAGGAAGTACCTGATGCCAAGCCGGCGCATGCTTCGGCCACAGCTGTACCCCAGGGCAAGGAACTAGACATCAGTATGATGGATAACTGGGACGATTCGGAAGGTTATTACGCCGTTCGACTCGGAGAGCTCATCAACGGACGATACCATGTCCATCAGAACCTTGGCAAAGGAATGTTCTCGTCTGTCGTACGTGCAACTGACACCCAGACAGGGGGTCTGGTTGCCGTCAAGATAATTCGCCAGAACGCCATAATGCGCAAGGCCGGTATGAAGGAGATTGGCATCCTGGAGCAACTACAGGAAGCCGACCCGCAAAACAAAATGCACCTCATCAAGTTCGACCGATACTTCGATCACAAGGGTCACTTGTGCATGGTGTTTGAGAACCTTAGCATGGACCTGCGTGAGGTCCTGAAGAAGTTCGGTAGGGACGTTGGTTTGAACCTGCGCGCGGTTCGGGCCTACGGGCAACAGATTTTCCTTGGGCTGTGTCTCCTTCGCAAGTGTAACATCCTGCATGCAGATCTTAAACCGGATAATCTTCTTGTCAACGAGCAACGCAACATTCTGAAAGTTTGTGACCTGGGTTCAGCGTCGTCAGTCTCTGATAATGAAATTACGCCTTACCTCGTCAGTCGTTTCTACCGTGCCCCGGAAATCATCCTGGGTATCCCTTACGACTACGCCATCGATGTCTGGTCCATTGGCTGTACCCTCTTTGAGCTGTACACGGGCAAAATTCTCTTCACCGGCCGAAACAACAACCAGATGCTTCGCTCCATCATGGAGTGCCGGGGCAAGTACCCGCCGAAGCTTCTTCGGCGCGGAACCCTATCGCCCCATCACTTTGATGAAATGCTCAACTTCCACAGCGTGGAGGAAGACAAAATTACCGGCCGCCTCCACACCAAGATTGTGGACTTCAAGAAACCGACACGTGATTTGAAGACGCGCCTCATGGCACAAGGAACACGCGGGATGCCAGATACTGAGGTCAAAGAACTGACAATGTTCTTGGACTTACTCGACCGGTGCCTGAGTCTTAATCCCGAGAAACGGATCACGCCGGCTGAGGCTCTAAAACACCCGTTCCTGGCGCCTAGGATTTAACTAAGCAGCCTGATGAAGGGGTTTTACTGCATGTTTTACTGCATGGTTTGCATCTTGATATCTCTGGGTTTACCAGGTTGTCCAATATTGGTCCTGGGATGGCGTAGCTCGGCTGGAAGGATCGGCGCTACCGGGAAAGAGTTGATCTATGGTTTTTTTTTTGTCAATATGCAAACTGCGACAGTAACTTGGCATCTAACTTCTCAAATGCAAGTCCATATGTAACAAACATATCCACAAGGCACCAGCCCCTGTCCATCCTCGACCCTAGGATTCCTGCCGAAACCGGGGGTGGCTTGGTATTTGTCCAACCTTTCATTAGAGCATAAGCATAGCTCTGTGTACGGAGGTAGCCAACAAAGAAACCCCCTATGGAGTACTCCGTGCATGATCTCGTAGTCCCACACTGGCGCCCAGCTCCTACCAAAAACAAACAAGCCCCTGGCCCCCCAATTACAACACCCAGCACATCAGTAGCGCGCGATAGTCCGATCCTGAATCCAATTCATCACTATCACCAAACAAGAAACATCCCAGCATCAACACCAACGCAAGCCCCTCCCCCGGCCCCCTTCGGCCTTAGCCCTCTATTGACCCTAGCCCCTGGTAACATAGATCTGGGAACTAATCAAACTCCGTACAACTCCACTCTATACTCTATTGCACAATATCATATGATGCCAATACTCACAACCCAGACCCAGTCCAAACACGGCAACACCCAACTCAAAATGCTCGGACCCGACAAAACCCACGGTACCGAAGAACCGTTCGAAGAGTTCGAAGAGTTCTAGATCGCCTCTAAGCCAAACTCAGTCTTAGTCCAGCCCGCATCCGCGGTTTAGTATTACATAGCCGGAACCTTAAGAGTCTTCCTGGGCTCGGTTCCCATTTCTGTGTTGTGGGGGAAGAGGGAGAACCTTGGATTCGGGAAAGAATCTAAGTCTATCTTACCTCGACCACGGGAATACGGGGTAGATAGATGGGTAGATGGTAGATGCTAGAATATCCGATTGGCACGATACTTTTTCTGCAATGCATGTTATGTAAGTATGGAGTACCGTACACTAGACTAGTCTATTGAATATTGCCTCCTTTCTCGGGCCAGTTCTCCTAGGGGCGGCAAAGGCGGGGGTGCTCGCATTGCGCTCGTGTTTTCCGGTGGCTGTTGGTGGCCATTGGATAGAAGACGTGTCGTCTTGGGTAATGTTGGCAAATGGGAGGATGGTGAAGCTGGCTTTTTTGGCCTGGATAGGTGCCGATAGGTGCCGATAGGGTCGTTTTTTTCTTTTTTTTGTCCTGGATTTGCTTTTTGTCTAGCTAGTTACTTGGAACGGAACTAGGAGATATCGTTTCTGTACTCCGTAGTGTTGGTTACTGTTGATTCAGAAAAAGCAATAAGCATGGATATCTATTCCGTGCTGATTTGATAGTTGCTGCATGTGGTTTAGTTTACTTGCAGGCCCACGTACTCGATATACGATGTGCATCATAGGCATCATCATATCAATCCATGATATGAAGCACGCACCATTAACTTTCTCCCCCGGGCTAATTATGATAACATACAACATACAATTACGTTGTATTCCATCGGATCTTCGAGTGGAAGTGGAGTGTTCCAGAAGGCGACGGCGATCGACGGAAGACAGAGCCCCTTGCCACCTGGGTTTGAAATCCACACTGGCCGGGTGAGTCTAAACACCGTATACAACTTAACTTATGCCTGTATACGAAATCCAAGACCCAGAATGCCCTGTGGCAAAAGAATCGGCGTTTAATCTCCGACCCCCTTTCGTCAGGTTTATTGATCTATTGGTCTATTAATCGGGACTAGACATGGATGTTCGCGCCATATTAAGAACAAGTAATCATGATGTCGAGATGTGTTTATATTGTGGGTCCCGCCACCTGCAGGGCACCGAGTCATCTACATTGGGAGATGTTGGGCGTTCAGAAAGATAAACAATCCTTGGAAGGGCAAAGTATATGAAAGTTGTAAAAGGGAGGAAGGAAATGTGCTCATTGGGCACGGGATATGGATGATCTGTGGCGGTCGCAACTGAAGATCACACCTGCGTTGTAAGTAGAGTAGTTTGTTTCCAATAAGTTGGCCACTTTACAAGATACATGTTGTACTCTGTACAATATTCTCTAACACACACCGTAGTACGGTACGGAGCACAATATACAATATAACATCATAGGTAGTGACAGATCTGAGATCATCTCTAGCGGTGTAGACCCCGAAACCAAAGGCGCTATAACAGTTCACACGCCTGAACACAACATTTGCCGGTCGCAGAACCAAAAAAGCAAAAAAGCACAAAAAGCAACGGCCGGGTTCCGAGTGAGAAACGAGAAAACTTGTTGATCTTTGGATGAGCCAGCTGCATTGCCAATCCTGGGGTACATTAATCGTTGTGCTCGGAGGCAAGCAAGGCACGGTACACAAAGGGGAACGGGCGTCTATCACATATAGCACATATCATATCACACAAATCAGCATATTCTACACCTTGTACGACATACCAGAGTACGGAGTACATAGTTGTACATGGGACTAGTCGCTATTGTACAGCTACCTCTGCATGGACAGGTTTCGGGTCCTGAGAACCGACAACGGATGTGATGAATCGTAGCCCCGATCTCTATCAGGTGATTGGACAGGCTGCGGGCTTGCAGGGTCGATCTAGGGAGCTTTGTGGGTAGAATATTGATTTTGGTGCATTCTTGTCTTTTGCTCACCGCAACATACAACATAGTGTGTGTTGTGATGACTCCGTACCAGAGAAGTGGCACACTATCACACCTTATACAACATACTTTACCCCGGGATGGTTGGGGGGGCGGGATTACAGTTCGAATAAGTCAGACTCGGATCAGTACATGGCCCTTGCCTGTGTATGACGCAAGTGGTGAGATACAGACAAAGGAAAAGTAGTGAGATTGAAGACTCGGCGAGGCAACTTTATGTTTGCAGGGGTTATTCTTGCCTCCGGGCTGTACGAAGTACACCTTGAACTACGGAGTACCTATGGTACTGACGGGCGGGCAAAGGGCCAGCCACCAACAGAAAGGACCAAGGTCTAAATGGAGAGACGGCAGGGAAAGTAAGTCCACGGCAACGCCAATAATAATACGAGCATTTTCCATAGATGTCCCAGATGGTCAAGGTACATTAGCGCCAGGAGAAGAAAGATGAAAGTGTATGGCCCGTGCAGAACTAGTCAGAAGGGAAGCGCCAACCTCCCCCCACTCTGCTTTTAGGGGAGTTTCTCGAACAACGAACAGTTCGAGCAAATGGTTGGCCATAGCGCCCCTCCATCATCGCCTCACTCTTGGACTTCTTTAGCGTCCTGCCTAGACCCGAGTCAGCCTAGAACGGGGAGTGAGAGGGGCCAGGTGGGTTCGGGATTAAGTTAGGTGTCTGTGCAAAGGACGGTGTAGGAAGTTAAGATGTGTGAGAGTGAAGTCGTATACAACATATACTCTTAATAATCATCATATAAGTGGAAACATAATTATGATACCTAATCATCAACGGAAAAAGGACAGATATGCTGCATTCAAAACATCCCGAGGTAAAATAATCAAATAATATCCATGGATGACAACCAGATCTGACTCAAAATGCCATAGCTTTGCGGGGCTGGGGGCGATGAGCTTATTGGCAGAATGTGAGTGGCGGGTGCGTTGGCAAATGTGTGTCAGGAGGTTTCAAGGCAGAAACACCGTTGGGGAGAACAGGGGTTGGGATACGTGGACAGAGCATTGCCACACTAGGCCTAGAACAGAATCATCTCAGAGTGGAAAAATGGGTGGGAAAATGGAAAAATAGGAGAGACACTGCAGTTTCCAGTCGATCGTTATGACCCATGGTCCAATCATCGGTTGTGGCGGCTGCAGGAAACACCGACCGAGTCATAATGATTGGTCTAACCATACTCGGACATGCACACCGCTTCGTACACATGGCCTTATTATTATTTTGGTTATTAATAATTATTGTCATTATTCTTGTTTCTAGTGCCACTCTATTTTGTACGCATCATGGATTTTTTTGGGGATTATTATTTTTCTTTTCTTTTTTAGATTCCATTCGATCCTTCCCCTTTTAGGATTTAATTTAATTTCCTTTTTGACTAGCGCCCTTTCCCTTCTGTTTTATTATTGTCTTCTCGAACCACGAGGCGGCCATCTGCCTGATATCCCTTCTATAATAATCTTCCTTCTTTCTCTACTTCGCGACTTTGTATATTTCAACATCTCTTTCTTATATATTTTACTATCTCTCCTCTTTTATTTGTTTTTGATTTGTTTCTTTTTGTTGTTCTTGCTTCTGGTTCCTTGTGCAACAACTCTCCTTCTCGACTTCTATCAAACACAACCAGACCGGACCAAACGGACCTAGATCGGACCATCTTGAAACCCCCATTGGATTGGAATGGATGCCTTTTGAATATCCGTGGATTTAGGCTTCTCTTATAATCTCCCTGGATCAGACTACCTTTGCGCTCTCTCTTCACTCTTTCCTCGTTCTCATCCGGGAGAGGAACATTGGATCCCCTCTACACACAATCCCCAAGGACAATGTACCCGACCATGCTACCAACACCACCACCATCACCGGCTCCCCGCCGCTATGCTCCCGAGGATCGCCTAGGACTCGTATTAGCCAACCGGCTGGAACTCACCAGAGTCCTTGGTGTCGGAGCCTACGGCGTCGTTTACACCGCTTTAGACATCCACACCAACGAAGTCTATGCCGTCAAGGTTCTCTGCAAGGATGGTCTGGATGCCCGCCAACTCAAGTTCCAGCAGCGCGAGATTAGACTTCATCACATGGCAAGCCAACACCGCAACGTGGTTCCCTTAGTCCGCATCATGGATTCCGTGGATTGTACCTACGTCGTTATGGAGTATTGCCCAGAAGGAGACCTGTTCTCTAACATCACCGATAAGGGAAACTTTGTCGGTAATGACTTCTTGGCCAAGAGTGTATTCCTCCAGATCCTGGACGCTGTACAATTTTGCCATTCTCTTGGGATCTACCACCGGGACCTTAAGCCTGAGAATGTTCTCGTGACCGAAAATGGAATGACCGTCAAGCTTGCCGACTTTGGCCTGGCGACGACAGATTATTATACGACCGACTTTGGATGTGGTTCCACGTTCTACATGTCGCCTGGTAAGCGCTCAACTACCCTCTTTCTTGTTATGGCTGTGTGGCTAACCTAAATGTTTATAGAATGCCAACAATCCAACGCCCGACCCTTGTCCTGCTACATGTCCGCTGCCAATGACGTCTGGAGTCTGGGCGTGATTCTTGTCAATCTAACCTGCGGTCGCAATCCATGGAAACGTGCCTCGGTCGAGGATTCCACATTCCAGGCCTACCTCAAGGACCCATTCTTCTTGAAGACTATTTTGCCTCTTTCTTCCGAGATGGTTAGTATACTGAGCCGCGTCTTCGAGCTTGACCCAATTAAGCGGATCTCCATCCCAGAGCTGCGCCAGCTCATTATGGAGTGCCCCCGCTTCACGGAGAATCCCATGGTCCAAACCCCCCTGGGTGCCGGAACAGGTCGACTACATTCCCCAGCCCCAGATGCCATTGTTCATGGGCCCCATGGAACCCCTGTATGCCCAGACCTCTGGCTCATCCTTGGACTCTGCGCAATACTCAGCCTTCTCCCAATCTGCTGCTTCCGACGGTTCGGCAATCACCGAGGATTACTCGGATTTCGATACCATGTCACCTGCAGTCTCGGAGCAGGTCCCCGATTGCAAGGCGGTCTTCCCTTCTGTCTGCGCGGAGCCCTTCTTTCCCGCGGATCCCTTTGCTTATGGCCTCATTCACCCCAACCTACGGGGCCTCGAAATCCCCGTTTAATTGCTCCTTGCCTCGCAGCTGCATGACTTGACGCTCTTCTCTTTACATTACCATTCCTTGATCGAAATGGTCTCTAGGGATCTCCTTTCGCATATCTCGGGTCCCTTGCTCTCTTCTCTCTTCCCTCTGCCACTCTTAAAAGCTGCCGAACAACAAAAAAGTTGATCGCGTTGATCATGATCCACTGGACTCGGCCACCAGCTTTCTTTTCCCTTGGACATATTTATTTACTCTTTTTTTCCCCCCTGGACCACGGTACTTCCCTGCTTAACGACCGTGACCTTACATGGACCGTTTGACCACAGTCCCGTGTCTCGCTTTGCGACCGGGTCTCCTTTCTTATTGTTTTAATATTTCCACACATACCTGGAGGGTTTTTTACGTTTCCATTTTCTGGCGTGATAATACACTGGGAAGCATGATTTGAAGATACGCCCCTGGGAGGGCTGATGAAATACGGGGTCTTGTTTATTTTTTTTTGGATTGGTGTATTTGGACATGTTTACTCGGCGTTTGACGCTTTTCGACTTCTTTTCTCTGTTTATCTTTTGGGGAAGGCTTTTTGTTATTTTGACGACCTAAGGGTGATCTTTGTTCTTTTCTACTCATATGTGCATAGACTTTTCGCATTGGCGGGACATTTCGGGACATCTTGTTCCCTTTCATTGACTCTTACGATATGATACCTCGGTGTGGCATGAGGATACTTTACAAATCTACACCACTGCATTCTACTACAGCCTACTTCCACATTCCTCAATCTCACCTTCGAACCTTGTAAAGTTAACCGTCTTCAAAACACGCCCCCAACCTCTTCCCAGTATACTGTTGTGCAACGTTGCGCCGTCCCACAACGGCCGAGACTCGATTGGGCATGGGGGGATGATGTTTTGTGTCTCGTCGTGTGTGATGGGCCCGCGCCACCGTGGAACCGCTGGCTGCCCAAGTGGCACGCAAGACGGGGAAAATCCATTCTGAGTTGACGGTAGATGGATCTCTGGTGGGTTGGATGAGGTTTTACAGTACCAACCCTGTGCATCTCGTGGTTAATCGACCGAATATATGCAGCAGGGTAACATAGTACATTCCAACATCTTAACGATGATATATATATATATACAGACCTTCAATAAAGCAGATATATACTTTTCAATAAATCGATTTCGCATACATCCAGCTTTAACCCCGGATATATATACACCGCTATTACATACAGAATCTACATATTCCGCCCACCGGTAACCCGAATCGTCTCACCATTAACATAAGAGAACCACGGCGATGCAACACCCAGAATCGCCCTCGCAGCCTCAACGGGTGTCGCAGGCCGGCCAAGCGGAATATCAGGGTAAGTAGGAGCAGCAGCCTGCTTCTTGTCCTGGTCCGCGGAGCCCTTCTTAGTGGCAAGCTGCTTGCCTGGGATACCCAGGGCGACCTTCGTGCCGTCAGGCGTGGTGATGAAAGCGCCATCTTCCTTGGCGGCGGTGAGACGTGTCGTCACGAAGCCGAAGGCGATGGTGTTCGACCGCACACCGAAGGATGGACCCCATTCTTTGGCGATTGTGCGGGTCAGGCCGACAACGCCGGCTTTCGCGACTGCGTAATTGGCTTGGCCTCTGTTTTGATCCATTATTAGTATTTAGGATTTGGCGTTGGGCGTTGAGAAAGAGAAAGAGTGGAGACGGGGGCTGGGATTTCGGGTACTTACGCATTGCCGTGGATGCCGCTTGTGCTGCTGATGTTGATCACTACGCGCGGCTCTTGGTCTTTCACTCGGAAGTAGGGTGCTGCGGCGCGCACGAGCTGGAAGGGTGCGGTATTGTGCACGGCTAGCATGGTCTCCCATTGCTTGTCTGTCATCTGTGTGGGGAATTGGATTGTTAGTGGAATGCTAGCTTTGGTAGTATATGTTAGAGCTGAGATCGTCTCACCTTGTGAATAACACCATCCCAGGTGAACCCGGCATTGTTCACGATAATGTGGATCTTGCCATTGCCGAACTCGGCGGTTTTCTTTACCAGCTCGGTGATATAGTTGCTATCAAGTACATCGCCGACGACGGCGAGGGCACGGCCGGCCTTGGCGGAGTTGATCGCGTCAGCGACGGCGTTGGCTTTCTCTGTTTGTTTGTTAGATATGTGGGCACTGTAAAGGCACACAATGTCGATGTGTGATTATGGATCTCATACTGGCATCGATATCAGCGACTACGACCTTCGCGCCTTCGTTTGCGAATAGTCGTGCTGCTTCAGCGCCGATGCCTTGACCTGCACCGGTGATGATGGCTACTTGGCCTGCCAGCAGACCGGCCGGGTAGTTGAGGTGCTCATTAACCTGGTTGAGACGATCAGAAGGAGCCATTTTTGAAATGATGGAATAAGTCAAAGGTGAGCGTTGAGCTTGTAAGAGGGGAAGGTCTTATACAACCTCTCGGCTCTGGGATCGCCGAGGCTCACCGCGGACCGAGATTGTGGGGTATACATAGTAGGGAGATGGGGTTTTATGACCACAATTTATTTTGGTATACATTATATTTACTTTTCTTACTATTAGATCGTATATAGGCGATATATATAGGCGATACGTTTTTCAATTTTCTGCTAATATAGCCGATCTGCGTTTACTGTCCAGCTTTTTAATCCAACTCTGGCTTCTCCGCACTCTCTACATTCTTCCTCCCTACCGTACAGTAGCGACAGAAAACAGTTGACCTCCCATATGTAGGTATAATTCAAAGAGACTCGTCATGCATCACTCGTCCAGATCCGCAGATACACTCCCCCCATGAAGTCGACTGTAAGAACGCTGACACAGTAGCTTCGTAGCCTGCGATAATGGGAAGCAGCCCTTCACTTCTAGGTGTACTGCTCGGAATATCGGTATCTAAGTCGGGAAGTAAGCCGACATGCCCCGAAAGAGCCCAGTGCTGACTGGCGTGCGCATCTGATAGTTTCGGTTCTGATGGACCTTCGTGGTCGCCCAACTTGGGAATTTGAACATCGGCAGCACTAGCGGTGCTTTTCAGAGCCAGCAATACATCCCGGCAATGCAGCAAAAGGCCTCGAAGTAGGAAGTTGCGTATTTGCCTGTTTTCTTCGTGGCAGATCTCATAGTATCCGTAGCGGATATCGACTCCGTGTTCTGGCCGCGGTGCGCGAGACGTCTCCCGCGAAACCCAGTACTCAAAGAGCTGGAGGGTAAGATTGAGTACCGAGATAGTCAGCAACAGGTTTGTGCTGTCTTTGGCACATTTAGTACACCGGAGGAACATCTGGCAGGCGCAAAAGGTGCATTTGATGGTCTGCAGGCTGTGATCGAGCCGCAAGGGCATTGATCCAGCGAGTAGGTGGTTAAGCCGATTCATGTGGAATAGCTGCATATCCACACACTCGCATGGCGAAATCGGATACGGCGAAGCCACAGAACCGGCCAGAGATGGACTGGCCATTCCGTCGGCCAGTTCCCCTGACAGAAATGTTGGCGTCACGGGCGTTTGTGGATATCCCAGGCCGGCTGGGAGAGCAGGACATGGATCCACGAGATCTGTGAATGGAGAGCTCTCAACTGCCGTCAACTGCCCAGGGCAGACGGATGATTCTAGGGTTGCTGTATTGCCGAAGCTTCGGGGACTTTCCCAGAAGCCCGGCTGATTTGATATCAAGCAGACCTATAGGACGGCAAGTTATTAGAAACCTGCCGAATTGATAAGCGTATGGGAAAAAGGGAAAGCTTACATCGTCGTCAATTGCTGGGTCAGGAATATGATTCCCATAGCTATTCCCAACTAGTGGGTCCATGTCGGCCACAGGGGCAACAAGTCGACTACCTCGAAAGCCACACATCGTGGGCTTCTCTTCTTGCAACTGACCTAGCTTGCGGAGGGTAGCTCTGTTTTTGCTACCCTTTGGTTTACCAGATCGATTTGCAAATCCGTATTGGCACTGTAGGCCGTGACGTAGGCACCGAGTACAGACACTCTTACCAGACAGGTTGCATTTCACTTTGGATTGCCTGCAGTTTTCACACGCAGTTCGAAGTTTAGGTGTATCTCCGCCGGCATATGGGCTGCCATTGGACTCTGTAAGCATTGTCTGTTTGGTGCTGGTTGTGGACGGGGGGACGTTGGGGTGGGAAACACGAAAGAAGCTAGTAGGCTCTCCCAATACGATATCAATGACACTACCTATAGCCCAGGGTTCGGTGATATATGGATATAGATGGAAAGAAAAAAGGGGAAAAAAAGAAAAGCAAAAGGGAAATTAGAAATAGAAATCCAGGATCAATACAATGAAACCGCACACGTCCAATGAGGTAGAAGCTTCACACCCCCGTCCACGCCCACTCCTTGTATATATATAAACAAGCTCAAGCTTCAGGGAGAAGAAATGTCACTCTGGCATTCAAATCCAGTACCGACGGCAGCCGCATACAGAGGTCAGCCGCTGTGAAACCCCAGATGCTTCCATCTGATCAACCACGCATGGGACGCCAACTGGCACCGGTATTCCGAGGTTAAAAAGAAGCATCTTCCCTCGAAATTTATTCTTAAATCTAACCCAACCTGATCTGGCAAAAGGAAAATTGCTTTGATTGACAGCGTTCGCTATTTTCGAACACTGCTCGTGATATGAGAAGACAGGGTCCCCCAAGAGAAACCGGCTAGGGGTCCTTTTGTTGGCAGTCGTCACACCCTGATGCAACATCGTAAACGCCAATTTCGGGGTTAAGTTTCTGGGTTATTGGAGAACCAGATGAACCTTTTACTAACAAGGGCTGTTGGTCTCTTATCCCGCTGGGGCCTTGTTTTCTTGCCAATGGAACACAAGTACAATAGCCTCGAATGGACAACGCTGGGCACCATGTGAATTAGAAGCAAAAAAAAGGTCTCTTTTTTTATCGGCTGACCGGGTCTAGTCCCTTCCCTGTAAGTAAAATATGCGCTCATCGCTTCATTCCTTCGTCATTGTGTCATTGTTGCACATACTAATTCGAGTCAACGTCAGCAGGGGACCTTTGACCCTTGAGAGATGCTTGAACATAAGCCGCGCCACGTACGCTACAACGTGAACATTTCATTCCATGCTACCTCTTAAAAGAATGCCATGAGCATGTTGTCCAACCTCGAACTTGTGTTGCGCCAGACCCCGACTCAGCCGCGTGGAATCTGACAGGTCTCGGCAGCCCCGCTGTGCCGATAATCGAATGCCTTCAACAACCCTGTCAGGTGAGCTAGTGCTGCGCAGACCACCAGCACGTGGAAGATTTGATGCGAGCTCCCCACAATGTCGAATTTCCCGGGCATAAGTCGCTCAGGTACTCGGGCCGCATAGATCCCGGCTCCAAGTATATACAAGAAGCCCTGGAAAACGAGCCAGTTCAGACCGATCTGCTGTTGCACACGGTCAAGTCCGAAGATAAAAATTCCATGGAGTACGGGGAAGACAGCGGATAAGCCCATCCCAACAAACATGGTAGCGCGGAACGGACGCCAGCGAGGTGTGCGGAACCGGGGAGAAGCGGATACAATCACGCAGCCTAGCCCAATGGTACAGATCATGGTCCAGTACCTGTGCTGCAGCTCGGGTACACAGTAAAATCCGTAGAAGACACTAGGTACAAAGCTTCCCACGATCAGTCCCACGATACCGATATAGTCGAGTGCATTTCCAATGCGTGCAACCACAGGTGAATGGTTTGAAATGGTGTGATAGGTTGCGGACATGCCAAGACAGAAGGCTGCACCTGCGAAGAAACAGGAAAAAGCGAGGATATCAGAATCGGCCGCATCCCGGTACCGCGGAGAAAGCAAGTGGTAGAGCCAGTATGCAGCGGGGGCAGCAAATACTGCTGGCAAGAGGTGGGTGTAGATGTTGACCGTCTCATTGTGAACGTAACCCAGCGATTGAAATGAACTTAAAAATGAGGACGAGGCGGGCCGATATCCAGTATGGATGTGATGGTTGTCGCGTTGCCAGTGAGGTAGATCGTTCCAATGAAGAAGTCGCTTTACCAAATTGTGAGCCTCCTCCTCGACAGCAGTCATCTCCGTAGGCTGACTATCTACCGACACTTTCTGGTACTCAATAGGGCGACGCTGGTGAGGCATAATCACATGTGATATGCAAGTATGCAAGTATGCAATGAGTTACAGGAAAATGGTTTGAAGTTGACCAACAATAGAACATGTAAGACAAGTCAGCAGATAAAATTCTTCGAAAAAGAAAATAAAAGTGGAAAAAGTAGAAATATATATAAAAAAGAGAAAAAAGAACGAGAGAAAATGTCATGAGCCGTTGGGCAGTTGAGGGAAATCGTCGTGTTGGGAAAGCCTCGGCGTGGGGAGGAAACAAACAAGACAAACACTATATCAACTCCAACGGTTGATCATACTCAATGTCAACACATGTCAACACATGGAAAGATGAGTCGTTTACGCCCGGTATCTGACTCCCTGGAAAATGTCGGATTTGTTTCAAAGGGCGATAAGAAGTGCGTTTAAGATGCGCACTCTTCCGAGCCAAGGCTGACATGCTAACATCCGCAGACTGTTGGACCATAAGGTTCAGACGCAGTACTTCGACAAAATAGTTGATCGATATATGCGATTTTGTGCCCATCACTCCAAAGACCTCGATGCCGCATTGGCCTCTCTTCCAACAAGTCCCTCAAACGATGCGACTTCCAATCCGCCCGCTTCCCGGTCGCCCTTGAAATTAAACCCCGCACAAAAGGGTGTTCCGCCACCATCAACAGAGCTATCCACACTCCTTCTCTCCCTTCGGAAGCTGCGCGAAGCCGTTCTGGCAACAGCTACAACTACACCAGCAGAATTCTCACAGCGAGTTCATGTCTTCTCCATTCGCTTGTCTATTCTGGCGCATCACCCACCGTCATACTTCCCCTCTCTACGATACGTTCTGGATAGACTGCACTCCACATCTCACCCACTACCCAGCGCCGAAGCCACGGAACTGGTCACATACTTGATTCTCGATTATGCCTGTCGGCAAGGAGATATGATTGCGGCATTTGAATTGCGTTCCCGGGCGCGGAAAGAGCATTCCTATCAGTCACAGACAGTGGATAAGGTTTTGGCTGCCTTAATGCACGATAATTGGGTGGTATTCTGGCAATTACACAACAGTGTGGATTCCCACATCCGCGCAGTGATGAATTGGGCTGCAGACCGAGTTCGCAGGCATGCGCTCAAGGCCGTGGGTAGTGCTTATCTCAGCGTGCACATCAGCTGGATTTTGGGCGGCTGCACAGGAGACGAACAGAGTTGGACATGGGAGAAATTGGTCGAGCAAGAGAAGGTTCGCTGGGAGCGGGAAGGTGATAGGATTATTATCAAACGGCTGAAGCAGAGGGCCCCTCCCAAGCCGGAACCAAGCGCGTCAAGTGCATGAGTACATGTCGGGCTAGACTTTCTTTGGACAAGAGCATTCAGCGGCGTTCTTTTCATTGCATGGCGTTGGTTGGGAAAACGTCGTATCATTAGCAGACTGATATCATTCACCGAGTATTAATTAATTATTTGGATCGTGTGCAGACAGATTGAATTCAATGGCCCCCAGGGCGAAGTGATTTTCAATTCAAAGCGTTATAACTTCAGGTCTGAGTTTGGCCGATCTAAATTTGTCTGTCCGATGACAGGTTGTTTTGATATCGTATCAGCCAGCTGTTCCTTCATGCGAGTTGCACTGTCGGTACAAAGCTCGTAGACCGTCGACAAATTGAATATCAAACTACCAAACGAATGGTTGGACGCGACCTGGGCCTCAAGTAGCCGACGAGACTAGGAACAAGCAATCAGTCAACAGATTCAAACCACCCTTCAAATAGGTGCATGGGATATAGGGATCAAATACCTCATCTAATTGTCCAGCATACAGAAGACACACAGCCAGATTTTGAGCTACCAGAGCCCCATCCGTCCTTGTCCTATCCTCCCCGAGAATGCGCCACTCAGCCACTGCATCGGCGAAGCGACCATCTGACATGCTTATCAGAGGCTTCAATAAAGCAGCCTCTTTCGTCTCATTAGCATCACCAAATATCTGGCTTGCTGCGTCCAGATCACCAATCCGCAAAAGCAAAAGTGCTTTCCTCAACTTTGTGATGTTTGACTCTGGCCCGGGTACCCGGAGATTATCAAGTGATCTCCTAGCTGCATCGAAATCACCCATCTCTATAAGCGCATTCACGCTCCTAACACCAAGATCTGCCAATCGCTTTTTCCATAATTCTCGCTCAGCTTCAGTAGCTTCGCTTCTCATGATCTCCCGGCGCGCTTCTAGGCCGATCTCGTACAAACCACCAATGCTTCGGCGGGAATCACCAAAGCCTATACTCTGGAGTCTCACAGCCAGTACGCGAAGCGGCCATGGAACAATATGACGAGGATCTTGTACATGTTCTTTTTCAAGTTCTAGGCCTTTATCATTATCGACTGCAGCCGATTCAGGCTTGAGATCGATGTAATAGAATGCTGAACTCAGATCTTCCAGGGCTTTCGATTCCTGTGCTGCGATAACCGTATTGCCCGACAGATCCAAGCAGGCTAGGCGCGTGTAGAAAAGGGAGAAGATGATCTTTATATCCGTCGGGGATATTAAAGACGAGGTCAAGACCGAAGCAGAGAAATGCGCTGCAATGAGGAATCGACCTTCAGCCAATAGCTTTTCGAGGGTGCCTAGAGTAGTCGATAAAGGTTCCCCTGGGTTGAGGATCAGGAATTCGGATCGCAGTGGTGGAGGGATGTCAAGATGAGAGAGGGTATGGAAGTTGCTGTGACGGAGTAGGAATGAGAGGTCTTTTTCTACAGTTTCAGGTAGATCATCTGGCGCAAGCGGATCTAACTCGTAGAAGGATGCCCCAGAAAAGGTGTCGTCGGCAGCAAGCATTGATTTGTGTTTGACGGGCGAGGTGGATGTTTCGGGAAGAGCGAGAGGACTAGATTGTGTAAGAGAAAAGACATAGCGGTGGAGGCCAAGGTACCATGCTCACTCATCTGATGCATCTAAAGGACCTCTTGTTGAGCTGCGGGGCCGAGAAGCTGCATAGGCAATCAGTAAGGGACAGTCGAAGTGTGATGGGAATGAAGTGAGCGCTTACACCTGGAGATATTCCGAATGTGCTTGTCTGGTGCTGAATCCATCTCTACAACCTTTGAAGTGTTTATGAGATCAATTAGAATGAAAAGTAGAGTAGGTATTGTAATTGAAGCTTGGAAGTCGAAGCAAAACACCCGATAAGCTATCGGATTCTGCCAGGGCGGTGGATTCCGGATCTGGAGACTTGGCCGCGATCTGGCGTTGCCGAATGCATCAAGCTGTCAGCCATACGTTCCCTACCCTTTCCTTTTCTCTTTCTTTTTATACGATCTTCGCTCCGATCTTTTACCGCTCCTTACTTTATTAATTGACTTGTGGGTTTTGAAAATGGCCGCGGCCAAGAACAAGTACTCGGTCATTCTTCCCACCTACAATGAGCGGAGGAACCTCCCTATCATCATCTGGCTGATCCAGAGGACTTTCAACGAGGAGTATGCGCTCATCCTGATACAATTAAAGCGATATGGGGGCTAACATCTGTTTTTGAATTATAGGAAGCTGGATTGGGAGGTTATTATCGTCGACGACGGATCCCCTGACGGCACCCTCGAGATCGCGAAGCAGCTCCAGAAACTCTATGGCCCCGAACACATCATCCTCAAGCCCCGTCAGGGCAAGCTCGGTCTGGGTACAGCTTACGTCCATGGCTTGAAATATACCACCGGCAACTTTGTTATCATCATGGACGCCGATTTCAGCCACCACCCCAAGTTCATCCCTGAGATGATCCGAATTCAAAAAGAGACCGACGCCGACATTGTGACCGGAACCAGATATGCGAACCGTGGAGATATCAAGGGTGGTGTCTACGGCTGGGACTTGTTCCGCAAGTTCACTTCGCGCACTGCCAACCTCATCGCGGACGTCATGTTGATGCCCGGTGTGAGTGACCTGACTGGTAGCTTCCGGCTGTACAAGAAGTCAGTGCTGGAGAAGGTTATCATCAAGACCGAGAGCAAGGGCTACAGCTTCCAAATGGAGATGATGGTCCGTGCTAAGGCAATGGGTTACAAGGTGTCCGAGTGTCCGATTACCTTCGTCGACCGTCTGTACGGCGAGAGCAAGCTGGGTGGATCCGAGATTGTCGAGTACCTCAAGGGCGTGTTGAGCTTGTGGGTTAAGGTCTAAATCGGGCCTTTCCATTAGGACTTTGGTGCCCCAATGCTTCGATTCATTTTTGCTTCAAGTCCAACATAGTATCATGCCTGGACTTGCCTACTGCCCGTGCTGTGATATACCCCTTTCTCACCTCTGTTATTCCGAATCTGTGCACTTCTGGGTGGTGTTTGAATGACCTGTTTATTGTCGATATCAATTCAACGTTCTCTTGCCTTCTGGATTTCACATTTCTATGCTTCCATATCATCAACCTCCAGCGCTCAGAGTGTCTGGAGGTATCGTAGAACTCGGTCAATGAGGTCCTGCTGACCTTTGTCATGAACATTGTGGCTAGCTCCAGGAATGACCCCACTGTTTTCCGCATCCCACTTGGCGCCTCCTGCTTCGGTGGCTTGCTGCCATCTCTGCAATAGCTTTTCCTTGTCCACCCAATGCGGGCAATACTCATCTTCGCTAGAGTACAAGACCAATAGTTTTGATTTGACAATGCCCTGGGTGCCCACCATCCCAAAGGTCTCTTGCAAACGCTTATCACTCAAGTCGGAGCTGAAGAGATCGTCATCAGATGGGTTGTCGGGGCTATGAGGGCTGACTAGACTCAAGAATCTCCGGGCACTGAGAGGCGTGTCGGCCGGATAAGAAAGCTTCGCAGTCAGGTTCATTGGGAGGATTGAGTCGTTCTTATCCGCTGTGTATGGTTTCTCCTTGGCAGAGGCCACAAGCTGATCGTAGACCTTTCTAAGCTCGTCGGGCTGCGAAGAGGAATTGATAATAGCCTGCAGACCCTCTCTATCAGAGGCAGGTGCTTGTAGAATAGCACCATCGAGCTCAGGGCGGACCATGTGCTGAAGGCCAAAATCAAACTCCTTCTGCGGCACCGGGTTCGGCGAATAAAGGTAGTGCAGCACGTCCTGGCTTCCGGTCGAATGTCCCATGATCGCAATCTTTCCGGCTGTTGTCAGTGCCCCGGGTTGGCGTGATGCCTTGAGATCGCGAATGAACCGCACACATTGCCCGATTTCTTCTACATCGCGATCAAGGCTTCCGACTCCCCATCCGGCATAGGAGGACGAGAGTAGGACAGAGAAGAGTGACCATTCGGTGTTTTCCAGAGCTTTGGCTAGCTTAGAAACATAGGGAACAGTGCAGAATCCATCTGTCAGTCCGCCCATGAAGATAAGGCTGTTGGTCTTGTTGACCCCCTGATGTGGTGGGGTGAACTCAAAGGCCACAAGTTTGGGAGCCTGTGGGTGTTAGCTTGGCATTGAGAATGAATAGAGTACATAGTCTATACATATTCGTGGAGAACGCCGTTATGCGACGAGCCGCGGCTAGCGTGTGAGGACATGATAGAAGCGTTGGTGGTGGTTGACAAGGTGAGACTCCGCAAAGGTGGAAGATCAGCAGTTGACGTATTCGACAGGCGGGATCGGCCATGTTTGCACATTGGTCCTCTTTGATCTCATGAACTTGAACATTTTGTTTATATTTCCGATTAGACCATGCCAATGGAATCTGCCCTACGACATACGGAGACTCCGTATAGCGGCTCATACTACACGTTTTAGGCCTAGCCACGCCCACTGTCGCCAAGGCTATACGATGTACCTCGTATGTCTGACATTCAAACCCCCTCTACGCATCAAGATGTGAGATTTCACTCATTTTTCTACCATGAGGCCGACCGCAAAAATACGCTTTTCTACGAGAAGCACACAGCCAACTACAAAATGCCGATATATTGCGACTACAAGCTCGCGGGTCGATCAAACCATGCGGCTCTCGGACGGGAGGACCCTAGGCTATGCCGAATATGGCAGTGAAACAGGCTATCCGCTGATGTTCATGCATGGCTATCCCCAATGTCGTCTTGAGGCCTCTGCTGTAGACCATATCTTTCGTCGGCGCAGAATTCGTGTAATTGCCCCGGATCGCCCTGGCTTCGGTCTCTCCACATTCCAACCCAACCGGCGCATTATGGACTGGCCCGACGATATTCAAGCCCTGGCTCACCATCTCAGCCTCTCTCGTTTTGCAATCATGGGCGGCTCCGGTGGCGGGCCCTATGCATTGGCGTGCGCGCGGGTGCTCCCTCAAGACATGATGTCCGCGGTCGGTGTATTTGCCGGAGCGGGCAACTGGAGGGCTGGGGCTCATCATATGCCTTGGATCTATCGTGCGTCAATGCTAGCGGCAGAGCACTGGCCAGCTGGTCTACGGGGCTTGTTGACCTTTGTGGTATGGATGCTTAGAAATGGGTTGAATACACAAATGGCAACTCGGAGAGTCAATTATTACCTGCTAAAGGACCGGGACCAACATGACGAATCGGTTGAGGAACGAAGAGATCAATTGCTGCGCATATTATTTGAGCCTTTTGCACAGGGCGCTGGCCCCGCTGCATACGAGGCGAAGCTATTGTCACAAGACTGGGGCATTGAGTTCGGCGACATTACTTACAACAACCTCCACATCTGGCATGGAGGGAAGGATTGGAATTCGCCGCTGCCCATGACGGAGTACTATGTCAAACTTCTTTCTAACAGCCCATCCTTCAAAGTGTTCGAAGGCGATACACACTTCACGATTCATAGGCATCTGGACGAGATCCTCTCAGAGCTGATTCCTGAGAGCTCTTAGCATGGCAGCAAGAGCCTAGATGCGCCATTACATTAGGACAGAGAGAGTCCGCCACTGTAATTCTCTGTTGTAATGACCATACCATGTACGTTTAGTTTACTCCACTCAATCCATTGTCCATATATCATATTTTGCTCGGAAATCTATTGGGGACAGTCGTGCTGTAGCATCCCGGACACAGTCTCTGTTGCATTGGCGGAGTACATACAATCCTGGCGATCAGAGTATGCAGAAAATCACTTCACTATCATTAAACTATAGGAATATCAGTTGCTGGACTGGGTTACCGTTGTCAGACATTGGTATAAATTCCGTTCCCACAAAGACACAGGAGCCATAAAATTTCCAAGACTGGTGTGTAGAATATGATGTCATCAAGTCCCTGGGTTAGGAAGGTGGTGTGTGCATAGTTTGACACAACACCCCAGTTGATCTAGATATAGAGTTGTGCATGTCGTTGGGGAAGAGAATGGGATACTTCAGGGCCTGAGTCACTAGGAATGGATTTTGGCCAAGTAGACTGTTTGATACGGTTTGATCTTGGGCGAGCCCATGACAAACAGCTAAAATATCTGAATAGATAGACCCGAAGCCATTCAGAATTATTAATTCAATTTGATAGTAAAATGAGGGATGCTCCACGAGTTGAAGGGTTTAATCCATTGCTGCCTGAAATCCAAGGCGAAAGAACTAGCCATGTTGGGGCTAGCGTCACCGCCCTTGACCTTCGTGTATTGCTGAAGCTTCTCTATTTCCCAAATCAAATAGCAGACGTCTCAAATACACAAGATCGCAGCTGAATCGCTCAGTAAAACGTATATTACTGAGATTTGGACAATCTGACACACTTTGCACATGCACAACACTGTTGTCATTGGCTGTCGTTAACGACGCGACCTATCTAAGCAACATGCCTTCCGGCCGCAGGTCTGGCCGTTTCAAAGGTCCCAGGGCTGTATACATTGATGATCCATTCAAGGCAGCTGGGATCAGTGATGATGAGGTCTCCACCAATCAGGAAAGTTCTCGCAAGGGGAAAAAAAGCGCGCCCCGACAGAAGATTCAGCCTCAGATAATGAATTTGTCGCTGGCTCAGGCGAAGAAGCTGATGAGGGAATTGAGGAAGAAGACGAGCCAGAAGATGAGCCGGAAGATGAAGTAGAAGAGGAATTACGATCAGAAGCCGATGCCTCTGACCCCGAAGAAATGGAGATCGACAGCATCGAGGATACTCCTAGGAAAGACCGCTTGACGTCGTACCAACACGATGTGAGCTTCAAGAAGCGAAGAGCCGATGGAACAATTGTGCCATCCGCTGAAGAAACACACATTCGTGGCATTATCGAACCTAGAGATCACTTGTCCAAAGGCGCCTATTACACTCTCACTTTCGGTTCCGACGATCGAGATCTGATGCCAGCTGTTCACTTCCGAATGCGATGGAACAAGGGTCTAGATGCCGTTTTCCCCTCTCGCTTCACATTGGAGGAGACTGAGAAGAAGCCTGAATATCTATACGGGCCCACATTTGGGGTTCACCCGGATGATGTTATGAAAGAAAGCACCCGTGGATGGGACTGGTACCACGACAGGGATATCGGCGGAAGTTTCCAGAAAAGACAGCGCATTGAGACGATTGAAGAGTCGATGGTGTTCCAAAATTACCTGCCTCAACCAGATACGCGAAAACATGGCATCTTACTGGGACCGCATAATAATCAACAAGTCTTTGAGCTGGGATATCATGAGACTTTGGACTTTGGAAAAGCTTGGGAACAATCAGGCTCCAAAGCAGATGAATCAAAAACTGGGACCAAAAGGACTCGGGAAGGTTGGATGTTGAACATCGGTCACAAGGCACATTGCATGACTTGGGCTCCAAACCAGAATGGTCTGACCCAGTATCTTGCTGTGGCGGCGCCGATTACAGAAGATCAGAAGAACCAGTACAAACCCGAAGATAGTGAGCCTATCTCATCGTTTCAACCCTCAGAGCCTTTCCCTAGTGCCCTGCAGATTTGGGAGTTCAAAGGCAAACCGAGTGAGACTCCTACAGTGACTCTCGATATGGACTTCAAACCCCGGCTTCGACAAGTCTTGTGTGCTGACTGGGGGGACCTGAGACGCATGGTATGGTGTAATTTGCCTCGGACCGAACGAGTGGAGGACGGAGAAGAAGAAAAAGAATCCATTGGTTTACTCGCAACAGTTTGGGGGGATGGATATGTCAGAGTCCTGGATATAAAAACAGCTAGAGGGTCACAAGAAACAGAGTTTCGTGGGTGTCCATTTGGAGAGATTTTCACGAGTCCCGCTAATGTGCAAGATATAGTCAACATCAAATCGCCTGCGTTCGAGGCAAGACCGCCATCAACAGTCTCCACATGTGTCACTTGGCTATCCCCTAGTGATCTTGTAGTGGGATGCGGTAACGGTTTTGTGGCTATCTGGAACATCGAACCTTCCTCTGCGCCCGAACCTCTACCTTATTTCTATCGGCCACTCCACGCCACTTACATACTCAGTATCACATCGGCATACCCGGTCCATCCCCAACTAATCATCACTATTTCTATGGACGGCGAAACGAGGATGTGGTCTGTCCTCGATCCCACCAGTGAAATGACCTCGACGGGCCGCATGCGAGGGGCATCTCCCTTCTTGAGCTATTCTCCCATCTGCCAATCTGTTGTTGCCGGGGATGAAAACGAATTCGCTCGCGTAATTCCAATTCGACGGTTTTTTACCACCACAACCATTGCGCGGCTCAGCAGCACCATCTCGGCCATGGCGCAATGCAGTAATCATCACCCCTGTGCCTTGTTTGGCAGTGCCGCAGGTGAGGTCGTAGGAACAAATCCCTTCCGACGAGTTGTTTACAACAAGGAGCAAATCTGGCAGCAGATATGGTTCACACATGAATGGATTCCCACCTCCAAGACGGATACTGTGGGCACTAGTCGGTTTCACGACGGATACCGGGCAGAGAACCAGAAGCTGGCAAAGTACAAGCTGTTCGAGACAAACCCTGTCAATGGGATGGGGACCTCGACGATCTTCGAAGAAAACACCCACGTCACAGCCCTCGGGTGGAACCCCAACCACCATTGTGCAGCATGGGCCAGCGCTGCGCTGGGATGTGGATTGGTGAGAGTGGAAGATCTTGCCATCTAGTGCCACAGGGACAATCAGGACAGCTGTGTTGATGAAACAGGAGATCTGCCTGGATTTTCCTGTCGATCAGGGTCATGAGGACATCATAGTTGATCTATGAAAAGAAACTAGGCGACAGTGAAACGAAATATACCATGTCAGTTGTGTCACAGTGGATCCTCGGAGCCCCCAGCCACACCAATTGCTTACTTAACGTCGCCGTGGGAACCCCACCACAATATCGTGGTTGGCAGATTGCGCCATGTGGGTTTACTTAAATCGAGCTCCACCCAATTAAAATTAATAGAAGCCAATTAAAACCGAATTAAAAACATAAAAGCCATGGCTGGATTGTCGTCAACCCAGCCACCGTAGATCCCAGCCGCCTATTTTTGGCCCAATAGAAGTACACTTCACCGTGATAGTAGATCTTTTTCATATCACTTTTAAACCCGGACTTGAGTCCTTCTCTTTCATTCTCAATTCTCTATCTTCCATCCAAACCTCTCTTCCAACATCACTCATATCTCCATTCTCTTGTTTACATTTCGGCCTTCAGTTTCAAGCGTCTTTATTTTTCAATTACTATTGCAAGCTTCGCTCCCCGTCATCATGCATTTCTCTTCTACTGCACTCCTCGCCCTTTGCTCTATCAGCGTGACCTACGCGGCGCCTTTCGCCAATCCCGAGAACGAAGACCTCGCTCGCCGCGCAGCCTACTCCGTGGTCAATGCCGATGAAGACTCTTCCAGCTCAGTTGCACGTGAAGTCGACACTGTCTTCGAAACCTCCACAGTTACTGCCCCTGGTGCCGCCCCAGTGCCCATCACTGTGACTGTGACTGCCACACCTTCTAGCGTGGCCCAGTCCTCGACTCCTGCGGCTAGCTCTACTCCGTGCTGGGAGACTCCTAATGTTCTTCCAACCGCTGGCTCTTCCTCTTTCTTCCGCCGGGGCCTGAGAGCCGCTGGTCAACCTGCTCTTTTTGCTCGCGAGTACTCTAGCTCCTCTTCTGCTTCGCTGTACGCGAGCGGGTATCCTACTGCCTCTGCCGCTGAGTCTCTCTATGCTCGTGGCTGGTACTCTTCTGCTGCTACCCCCTCTGCCTCGGCGACTCCCCTCGTGGCTCGCGGCTTCGGTGATTCGTACTCTTCCGCTTCCGTCTCACCTTCCTCCTCCGTCGCTGCCACTTCCCTCGTCGCCCGTGGCTGGTACTCTTCTGTTGCTACCCCGTCTGCCTCGGCGACTCCCCTCGCGGCTCGTGGCTGGTACTCTTCTTCTGCTACCCCCTCTGCCTCAGCGACTCCCCTTGTGGCTCGCGGCTTTGGTGACAGGTCCTCTTCCGCTTCCCCTTCTTACTCTAGCGTGAACGTCCCGCTCTCACCTACTCCCCTCGTTGCCCGCGACTCGTACCCTTCCCCCTCCGGCACTGCCTCCAGCCCGAGCGTCCTTACTTCAGCTGCTCCTCTGGCTGCCCGCGGCCCCTATGGCTGGTACTCTTCCGTCCCAGGTGCTACCTCTGTTGCAACACCTTCTGCCTCTCCCGCTCTTGTAGCCCGTGGTGTCCGCAGCTGGGGCTCTTCCAGTGTCTCTTCGCCTGTCTCCAGCACCTTCGTTGCATCGGCTACTCCTGTGGCCTACTAAGACAGACGACATGAGACAAGCGATTTAGCTTCTTACAAAGGAGCACGAGCAAGGCTTTTCATGAACTGATGAAATCCTTGATTTATGGCACGATATGATTGCAACAACGAAAAAGAAAAAGATTGCGAATGACTTTGATTTATCCCCATGATGGCTCTGGGGATGCATATTTGACTGGCGTTTTTACCGGAAGCGATATTGAAATGACTACAATTCTTCATGTGTTTTCTACTTTTTGTGGATATGGGATTGGGTTGTTCTTGCGTTGGCTTGGCCTACATAGACTGGATTTGAATATTTGATGGGTCCCCGAATTACATAGAATGGTTGCACGATGCACCGAAAAATGAAATGAAAATTTTTATGACAATATTTCTGATATCATACATAATTCTCCGATCACAAGAATTCTACATAAATATTGTCCACAACTTCCTTGGAATGTTCCTTGGAAGGTTAGGGTCCACGGGTAGATAAATAGCTTATGTAACGCGGTGCATGGTCCACGGGTGGCTTGCGCAGTGGTTGCCCCGAGAGACGCGGCCGTAAACAGCACATCCCATCATCCCTCCGCTCACATTCAACTTCGACACTTTGTGACCTCCAAAGGTCTTTTGTGTTGTTGCATTTTTTTTTTAAATTCTTCAGGTTTATTGTTCTTATTTTTTCTTTGTACCTGTGATTTCAACATACTTCGATTGCATGCGCAAAGGCTGGCCGAGGCTCAACATCGATAACAATGCCGGGGACAGTGGCAGACGGACCTACGGTCTCCATGTCTTGTATGTGGTACCACACTAACGTATCCTTGAACGCACTGACAATTATTCTAGTTGCCAACAATTTTTGGGGCAAAGAAGATGCAGGACTTCAACCAATGTTGGACCGCGTGCATGGTTCAAAGATCACAAATGACGAACTGAAGGTTTTCTACGGCAGTACGTGACATGCATGCGGCCGCGGGGGCATCGAATGCTAACAGGTTTATAGTTCGAGCCTCCATCGAAGATGAATACGCGCGAAAACTCCAAGCCTTGTGTCGCAAGTCGCTGGGATCATGTGAGACGGGATCACTCCGAGCCTCACTCGACGTGGTTCGCGGCGAGACTGAAGCCATTGCTAAGGCACACGCCGCAATCGCGGGACAAATGAAGACCGAATTAGAGGAGCCACTTGCTGCTTTTGCTAGTGGTATCAAGGAGCGACGAAAGATCATTCAACAGTGCATCGAGCGCTTACACAAGACCAAAATGCAACAGACACAGCTTGTCAACAAAGTGAGTAGTTCAGTGGGCTGATGAGAGGTACAATACTAATTCTACAGACGCGTGATCGTTACGAGCAGGATTGTCTCCGCATCAAGGGATACCTCGCGCAGGGCCATATGGTCATGGGCCAGGAAGAGCGCAAGAATAAGGCCAAGCTGGAGAAGACCCAGATCCAGATGGCATCAAATAGCCAGGAATACGAAGCGGCCGTCAAACAACTCGAGGAGACAACTGGACGCTGGAATAAGGAATGGAAGTCAGCATGCGACAAATTCCAAGACTTGGAAGAGGAGCGTCTGGATTTCACAAAGAGCAGTCTGTGGACCTACGCGAACATTGCTTCAACTGTTTGTGTCAGCGACGATGCCGTATGTTTATTCTGCCCGGGCTTGATTTGCAATACTAACTCGACATATAGTCATGCGAGAAAGTCCGTCTCTCTTTGGAGAACTGTGAAGTTGAGAAAGATATTATTTTCTTCATCAAGGACCAAGGAACTGGCCAAGAAATCCCGGATCCACCCCGATTCATCAACTTCTGTAAGGATGATGACTCGAGCTCCGATATAGATGAAGCCGAAGGCTACTCGGTAGCCCAGTTCCAACGCACCATGAACCCTGCATTCCGCACATCTTCTCCTCAACCCTCAACATTCGATTCACACCATGACCCACAGTCAGACCTCGCGGGTCAAATGGGACATCCTGCTCCTCCTGCCGTTAGCAATGCGCCGCTACCTCAGCAGCAACCGCTACCGTCACAGCAGCAGCAGCCGTTCATGCAGCAGCAGCCTCTCATGCAACAGCAGCCTCCCGTGCACCAGCAGCCTCCCGCCCAACAGCAACCTCTCATGCACCAGGAGCCTCCCCTGCAGCAGCAACCGCCGCTACAACCACAACCCCAACAACCTGCGCCTCTAGACTTCCGCCGTGGCGGGGCGCCGCCTCCTAACTATGACCCCGAGCAACATGGAGAGATTGGAGCTGTTCCCCACAATGCATACCCTACAGACGGCATGACTATGTTCTGTCGTGCCGGGCCACCCTCAGAGCGAAGCTCAGCGACCAGCGCATATCGCCCGTCTAGCCGTGACTCTCAGAGCGAAGTTTCGAACCCAACCTCTATCTCCAGTGTCGAGGAAACCCCTACCAAGAAGTCTGTAGCAAAGCCAACAAACAGTGCGCCGATGCCAACCCCCGGAGATGATAAATCACCAAAGAAGAAGAGCGCTTTCTTTAGCAACAGCCCCTTCCGTCGCAAGAGTCGTCATGACAAAGAAAGGCCTGCTATTTCTTCACAGCAAGTCATCTCTCCACAGTCGGTTGCTTCACCCCACCCCGCGTCTCGTGGTGGTTGGGACTCGCCGACAAAGCAAATCAGTCCGACGAAGCAAATGAGCCCTCCCAAGCAAGTGAGCCCACCCAAGCAAGTGAGCCGGCCTAAGCAAGTTAGTCCACCTAAACAGACTAGCCCAACCAAACAAGTCAGCCAAGTCAGGCATGCAGCAGGCCCGCAGGGTCGTGGCTCTGGCAGCCCGGAGCCTGTTGATCCTCGAGCCAACTTCCAGCTCAATGTTGGGAATAATGTCTTTGACGTTGCATCCCCAGAAAAGAGCTCACCCCAGAAGGGATCACAGACAAGCCAGGCATCTGAAGATGATTTGGATCCCATTGCGCGGGCTCTAGCAGACCTCAAGACAAGCGGGAAGCAGTCAGCCACTCGAGTGTCGGCAGATAGATATCATGGCATCTCCACACCCACTCCGTCGGCACATTCATCGACCTATGGTGGAAGCAGTGCTAGCGTTGCTGCTCCACCACCAGCATACAATGATCCCACAGTCAAGCGACTTGGCGCACCTCAACCGGCCTTTACGGCAAAGCAAATGCACAAGACAACTCAGAAGTATACTGGTCAAACTCAGAGCATGCTACGAGGACAAAACAGCAACATGGGTTCTACCCATAGCGGTCAAACCCAAGAAGCCCCCCGAGCTAGATCGCCAGCACCAGCACCGAGGCGTAGCATTAGCCCTCAGGTTGCTTCTCCCCGTGTGGATACTCGGATGAGCCAGAACAGTGGCAGGGGTCCAAGCCCTAGTCCGAGTAGTTACCAGTCTAACAGCATGCGAAGTCAATACAGCCAATCGCCCACTCCCCGTCGTACTCAAGACCCACCTTACTCTCCAAACGATTTTGCTCGGAGGGCCTCGCCCGCTATGAGCCACCGTGCTGTATCCCCACAGCCCCAGTTCAGGCAGCAAGCTCGTCCTTCCAGTTCTGGTGGCATGGAGCTGCAGTTGTCTGGAAACCACGATATGTACGGTTCCAGCAGTCCCGGTGGATATGGCGGCTCGGCTCGAGGAACCAGCCGCCCCTCATCAACTTATGGTGACGGCCCGCCTATCGGCCGATCCCGGAGCCGTACTATGGCTGTTGCAGAGCCTGGACGCAAATTCAGCCGCGATGGCCGTCCAATCTTGCACTTTGGTAAGCATTTATTTCTCCTCTCGACAATGCGTTGTTAGTATCTAACTTGATTTCAATCTCACAGCTCGTGCCATGTACACCTATAATGCTGCCATCCCTGAAGAGCTCAGCTTTGGCAAGGGCGATGTCCTTGCCGTTCTCCGCCTGCAGGATGACGGGTGGTGGGAAGCCGAAGTCACCAACGCCCGTGGCCACCCTGGTCTCGTGCCAAGCAACTATCTGCAAATCATCTAATACCCCATTGATCTCACGACCCGCCACGACCCTCGGAACCTTCGGCCTGACGGTGATGCTCTTCCTCATGTTCTCACGTAGATACCATGCCTTTTCGTCGACTTTCTTTGCACATTGACGATTTCATTCCAACTTCGCTTCTATTTTTCTCTCATTCTCAACATGGTGCTACAGTCCCGTCTTGACATCACTGAACAGCCTGTTTAATCTTATTATTCTGTTCTTGCGGATGTTTTTGGAAACTTTAGCGTGTGTGTTATGGGAATATTTTTACTATGTGCTTCGTGTGAAATTGTTGAATTCTTTTCTTTTTGTCTTTCTCCTTCTCTCGACAGAGATCTGTTCGAACGAAATTGTATGATGAGCAATCTCGGGCCATGAAGACCTTGGCACTTCATGGTCTTTTCTTTTTCTTATTCCCCCTTCTTTGCTCCGTTCTCCGTCATTTGCTTTGGGCTATCTTTGGACGGTCGTTCAATTGTCATGCAGGATATGATATGATTTGTTTTAATTGATGTTCTCCTTTTCACTATGTATTTTCCATGATATATGTAAGCAGTATGCATATCATGATAGCAGTAGCTCAAATTGAATGGAAGACCGTCTCCATGTATAATTGACGATTATCATTTATAGCTACCCTCTGACTAGATCTGATAGACTTTAAATTTAGCTTTATAGTGCAGATACGTCCCACGGATACCATAGCCACCTTTGGAATCGGTTCATGGCCTTGAGCCACAGCATCTGACTCTCTCCCTCTCTAATCATTATACTCTCCCATCAGCCTTCTTTCCGCCGGCACACTGATTTTCTGTCTGATCATCCCTGAGCTTTATACCCTAGATACGGGTTCGCACCGACTTTTTGATACCTTACAAGTACTGCGCTAAATCAAAATCACAGTTTCTGATCTAATCCCTTCGTCTTCAACTGAAATTTGAACAAAGCACTATGGCTCGGTTAGACCAGCTGCCTTCCGAATTGGTTTTTCTTATTGCAGAGGACTTGCCGAACGAAAAAAACATCAACGCTTTTGTGCAAACCAACCGGAATCTATACAGTCGTCTTCAGCTCTTCTTATGCCAACGGAACATTAAGAATCATCAAACCTCACCCTTACCCTGGGCCGCCAGGAATGGGTATACTAATATGACGGTAATGCTACTCGATGCCGGTGCAAATATAGCCGCATTTGAGACCCCGGAAGAGACAATTGGTATCTCAAGAAACCCCCAAAACCCTTTACTATTTGCCGCTCAAGGAAGGCATATAGTCACCCTCAAAACTATGCTTTCGGAAACACGGTCTGATCGAGCCTGCTCACCAGCTCAACGACGTACTGTTCTCAACTGGGCTATCTACTCTCACGATCAAGAGCTTGTCGAGTTGATGATCAGATATAAGGCACCATTAGACCCAGCGGGATATGGGCCGTTCTCTGCCCTAGGTGCTGCTGTTGCCTCGGGTTACGACCTCATAATCCCCCGTCTTCTCAAGGAGGGGGCGCAACCAGGTTATTGGGAAAACCCGTGCCCAATCGCGAACGCTATCTATACTGATCAGCGACAAGTCGTCGAGCTTCTACTGAAGCAAGGCGTGCGGCTTGTTTCCGACAGAGCCCTATGCGATATAGTACGCCGAAACGACAAGGATCTGTACGACATTTTGGTCAAATATAATGCTTTGGAGGTAGATGTTTTCGGCCCTCAGGCATTGTTTATGGCAATCATGCACGGGAATTATGAGATGGTCGAATCGCTGATTGAGCAGGGTGCGAATCCGCATCTAGAATGGCAAGTGATTTACGGTGCCCCAGGTTCGTCGTTTTACGGCACAATAGGATTTGCCATATATTTTCACCACTTCGAGATTGCGAAGCTTCTGCTAGCAAAGGGTGTCCTCCCATCTAGAGGAGACTTTCTTCTGGCGGAGGTCAGGAGGCCATTTCCTCTATCGCAATTCTCCTATAGAGATTTGCCGCAAAAGAACAATGTGTTCGATTACGTCCGGTGGCAGATATCTGAGAGATATAAGAACGGTCTTGGGATCAATGTGATGGAAGCAAACTATTGGAGCAAAGATAGCTTCCCGGAAAGCTACGTGAGAGATCTACTATGAAATTTAGATGGCTCTAGAAAATCTCGAATTGCGTGAGGAGGAAAGAAACTATCTACAATGCTGGAGACTAAAGTACTGGGAGCAAACAGAGGGAGGTTATGTGATCTTCTACACACTACGACTGCTTATATATAGCTAGAGTGAAATCCCATATATGGGATTGCCACTAGAACAGTTAAATAAGCTGGGAAGCTTTTTGCAACAATATGACTATATAACTGATTTGATTTCTACATAATAACGTCAATTATTGGCGAAGAACTATACGTTATGTTAATGACATGGAGGCTCGAACATCCAATATAATTAGCAAAGGTAGCAAAAATACAGGTAAAAAAAGGCATGGCTCAGCAGGTAGACTATATAGTAGGCAGCCAAGTACAGGCCTGGTACGTTGAAACCAGTATTCCTGGTTAAAACTCCTACATTTGCTAATACTTAGTGCGAATCTGTTGCGCCTTGATTGAGAGGCTCTTGCAACTTCCCGTCGTATTTTTGTAGAACATGCATTCGCACGTACTATATGATGAGAACTATCAATTTTCAGCGCGGGGAATCCGTTAGTTATATATGCCAAATTCTAGTTTACATAACGAAGTTGTTATGTCCAAAGTAACCAAACTCGGTCGCTCATCCACTTCAATAAGGAAAATATTACCAAAATACCCAAAATCTTCCCTGAAACAAAACATCAAGCCATCCGTGGATGGAGTCATTCAAATGACAGCCATAAAAGCCGAACCGAAAAGAAGGGCAATCAGTCCGAGGCCAGACTTGGAGATTGGCTGGTTCGTAATGGCAGCGTTTGGGGAAGTCGAGGCAGCAGGCGAGGCCGTGCTAGTAGCAGTGCCCGAGGACGTGGACTTAGAGCCCGTAGTGGTCGAATTTAAATAGCCAAGAGTGCAGAAGCCGTAGAGTCCGTAGGCGTTCTGGTTTTGGATGCAGTCCCCGAGCTTGTAGGGGTCTTGCCCATTGGCGAGACAGTAGATGCCACAGCCGTCCGCATACTGGGTGACCGACGCGCCATTGCAGCACTCTTCCATCACTTTGGTCATGTTCCCGGCGGGCATGGACGCACAGGCCGGAGCTTCCTCGGGAATATGCCAGAAGATACCGCGATTGCGGGTGTTGCAGGCATCTCTGGTTCTGTTTATGGCCGCCTGATTGTCGGTAGATAAGAAAGCCATTTTGAATGGAGATTTGGGGGGCAGATTTGAACAGATAAATAAAACATAACTTTGGAAGGTCAATTTATAAGCCTATCATAAATTCATCTCACACATCACGTGCATTCCTCCTACAGTCAAACTCTGTTGAAATCCAGGGATCGTCGGAGGGTAAATATTTCGAAAGTAAAGGAGTTTCTAGTGTCTAAAGTGGTCAGGATCTCCAGGGCTTCCAAGGAAGGTTGCCCGCATTTTTGGGTCATGTAATTTGTAGATGCGGCTCAAGCGGGGCCCGGGGCCACCTGGGCAGGAACATTTCTGTATTATGTAATCTCATTGGTGCGTAAAACAGGCAGAATCTCGACTAAAAAGGCGGAAGATAGGGTTGAGCTACTAATAGAATTCATAAACCTCTACTCCCCACGTGGGCGGTATATTCGAACGCTCACTTTCGAGAGGGAACCCAGGGGCAGTCAGCCTGATTAGGCAGCCTTGGCGTTCTTCACTATGACCCATCTCGTATTCCTCGGCCCCAACCGTCTTTGGAAGCGTTCCCCGGCTACTGTACGTTATGCCAAGTCAGTGTACCCACACTCAATTCGGTCACCCAATTTATATTTAGTCTGTTGCAAGATTTCGAAATGTATTGTAACTTTCCAGAAACACGGACTACTGCTCAGGTGACATTTGGTGAAGATTCATCCGGCTTATATAATTATCAGGTGATGCTCAGTGAACAAGTTCAATGATTACGTAAGTCCAAGTAGTTTGGTCTTGTGCGTAGAAAACCAGAAACTGATGCACGCAGTGGCCTCGTGTCATAGGAACGTCTAAGTAACCTTAATATCAAATATCAAGTGCAGCATTACTCTTTTGAACATCACATTATATACTGCAGACTTGCTGTTGCATTAAATGTTCTTTGATACTATTTATCTTCATAGACAGGTCATATTTGGCATGGAAATAACCTTACATACGTATCGAGAACTCCACAGAGATCGATGATTATTCAGGGTTGTGCTGATTCTTAACACTATTGTTCGATCAGTCATAGGTAGCTCAATTTCCAGTTAAGATGAGGGACAGCCAAACATATATAGCCCCTCTGTTCTGTGCTGGAAGCTTTTCAGCATTACATACTGTTCCAATGATACCACAGACATATCTGATTACACCTTCTCTCAATCCTTATGCAGTACAATGTGCGTCTGGTCACCCTTGTCTCTGCAGTGGCTTTTGAATGGATTTAGCGCTTGGAGGCACAGACAGCATATGGCCCATCTTCTCAACTTTCGCCTTGATATACTTGTCGAGATCTGCGCCGCGCGCCGCATCAGCGCCGATCATAGTAGCAGCAGCCTCGCGAGCGCCGTGAAGTGCACTAGGCTTGGAGTGACCGTGGTCGTGGTCGCACTGCCAGCTGCGGGGGACCATCTCGACGCGCTCGAGGACGTTAATGCCCGCAGCGGTCATCGCTTGCATTTTCGCCGGATTATTGGTCAGGAGACGAATGCCCGTTGCTACAGGAATTCATAAGAAACCAGCTAGTATTGCGCTATGGAAGACAACTTACCTTGGCTAATGTTCACAGTGTTCCCGAGGGGCTCAGTCACGCCCAAGTCGCCCAGGATGGCCGCAGCGACCTCATAGCTGCGCTCATCAGCACCATGGCCGAGCATCAGGTTCGCCGATAGCGTGTCGTGGCCCATGTCTTGGAGGTTGTACGCGCGCAGCTTAGCCGCGAGGCCGATTCCGCGGCCCTCCTGACGCAGGTAGATGACCGCACCGCGACCGGGGATGGTCTGTGAGACACCTGGAGCGGTCGAAATAGTAATTGGCTGAGCAATCTGCCGCATGGCTTCGTCGAGCTGTTCGCCGCAATCGCAGCGCATGCTGCCAATGGTTTCGCCAGTGTAGCATTCCGAGTGAATACGCACCAGTGGAGGAGGGATGGCAGAGGTGATTGTTCTGGAGACGTCTGACGGTGGAGTAGAGGGCGTCCGCACGTCCTCAGTAAGGCGGCCGGTGTATGCACCGCGGATGAGTCGTTCCATAGCCGTCTCTTCATCCCACGCCGAGTCCAAAGAGGCACTGCGGATGGCGGGAGCGACCATGGGTCCGTCAGAAAACTGAGCAGAATCCATGACTATGGCTAAGTGCTCCTTCGCATCGCGGTTGTTGTGGTAGAGATGGAGGAAGGCCGGGCCATGAGGTGTGGGGATACGGGCACGCGCGACACACTTGACGTGGACTTCGAGTTGTGTAGTAGTGTTACGCTGGGAGGGGGGATCGATGGCTGCAGCAGATTTTGGAGGACTGACGCTGGTATAGGCTCGCCTCTCGTTCTTGACGTTGCTCTCTAGCAACAAGCGTCTGCCAATATATCAGTATGTGTCAATCCACCATGCCATCAGTGAGCTTACGGTATAGAATCGCGAGCGGTGGACACGCGGCGAAGGTTAAACCTGACCACCGGGAATCTGACTTGAGTACTGGTGCGGGCTTTCAAGGCAGATGCTTTCAGGCAGCGTTGCGCGAGCATGACGGGTATAGTGACTTGAGTGTGGGGGTACCCAGTTATTCTATGCAATGATTGATTTATTGGGGATCTGATTTATTCAAATATGTTAAACTGTACAGATAAAAATTCTATACAGCACGTATAAAAGTGCGATTTCCACCCCTAAAAATGCCACTACCTTTGGAATCGTATAGAAACAACATTGGGTCTGATCCCGTCGGGTATCATATGCAAGTCAGATTTGCAAGGCGAGCCTACGATACAACATGATGAAGATTTGTGTGAAGTACTTGATATGAGTGAGATCACCCGGAAACCCAATTAGGGTTAGCGTTAAAACAACCCGTGGACCCCATTTTGCGGGGCCCCGGGGCTGAGCGACCTTTCAAGGTTATTTTGCGGGGATCTGCAATGGGCTGAAAGGGCCTACGCACGTGATAGACCATAGCCCTACATATGTAGAGACACATTGCGACTAAATTTCTCGACTAATCAGATGTCAGATCCCAAAGCTGAAAGCCGGGATTTTTTCAAGGTTAGTATAATAATACATTCCTATCTTAAGACTAAAGTTTGGTAAGGTGATATGAATTTGTCTCACTTTTTTATCTCTAGAAACTGAGTCTTTATGAACTTTATTTCCACGCTATAGATACTAGCTCACTCCTCTGTACTCCCTACCCTTAAAACCCTACGTCGGATTCCGTCGGGTTATAGAAAGGTTATATTTACGATACATGCAGGTCAGAGTTACGGTATATGCATGTCAGATTTATGGGCCGGCCTGCGGTGCAACACGTGAAGATTATATGAAGTACCCTTCATGAGCGAGCTCAATAATCTGTACCAATAGCGCGAATCTCACAACTGTCAGTCAATACCTGTCTAGTATTGAAACAATGCCGATCACCTATGGCAAATAATGAGAATTGACTGCAATCTGGAAATAGCTCTAATCTACTCCGTATTAGCTGACAAGAAAGGTCATCACTATATGTGGTACTTGTCTTACGTGCATAGTCTAGCTCTGGTTGAATAAATGAAAAGCAAAGTACTCTGTATAATGCAGTATATTACTGTTACATTTTTATCTGCCACTATATGTAGCGTGATGTGTGGGGTTGAGACGGGGGGCCTGACACATATGGGGATTCCGCCGGGGTGTCTTGGTGGATTTGGGCTAGTGCTTTTGCCTTGAATAAATTGAATTGATATATTGTTGCGAGTCTAGTCTGGTCTGAAACTCTAAACCGTCCGCACTATTAGGAGCGTTGCCCTAATCGTTCAGCTGAAGGGAAAGATTTTCACTACTTGTTGTTCTCTCCTCCCTTTGTCCACTTGGAAGTAAGATGCGGAATTTAGCAGTCATTGCCCGACTTTCTAGGCAGCCGTCCATATGCAGGCCGGTGGCACGGAATACAGTGCTGAGCCTGAGCACAGTATCAATTCCTCGATCCCGCACTCTTGCGCTACGCGATGTAGCCGCAATCACTCGCAATCACAGCACTGCTTCGTCACGTCAGGATGTAACGAATAAGGCGTGAGCACACACTCACTTCTGTTTACATGTGGTTAACTAATAACCTTTATTGTAGTCTTACGCGGTTGCATGAAGATGACGAGCTTCTCCTCTGTAGCCAGTGCGGCACACAGCACGATGCGAAGGCAGCTGACGGACTCAACGAATGCCATATTTGCAATGTGAGTCAAACATGGGGTACATGCCCATCACATTCTAATGCATGTACTAGGATCCTCGGGAGTCTGTCCCCGCCACAGGCCAGGCATGGACAACGCTCGATCAGGCTCAAACAAGTGGCAAGTTTAAGAACATCATTCGCCAGCAATACCCAAACGAGCCTCATATATACACTATCCAAACCCAGTCAATTCTTGGCATTGGCCAGCGGTGCTTCTTGATCAGGACACCGAAGGGCAACATCCTCTGGGACTGTCTTGCCTATATCGATGATGCAACAGTGAAGGAGGTGAGCTAGCCTTTTCTTGCGGATATGTGTTTGGTAAACAAATTCGAATAGATCAATGCGCTAGGCGGCGTAGATACTATCTCCATCTCGCATCCCCATTTCTGGACGACTCACCTTACCTGGTCCCGAGCCTTCAACAATGCACCTGTCTATCTCTCTGCTGAGGAGTCCCAGCTCGTATCTCGACCAGACGTGCACGGGGTAAGGCGGTTCGTTAAGGAGAAGGAGTTTGAGCTTCTACCTGGCTCGGGTGCGACGCGTATCAAGACTGGTGGCCATTTTCCAGGCAGCTCCGTCTTGCATTATAAGAAGAGCATGTTCGTGTCCGATAGCTTGCATGTGACGCGTGTAAGCATCTTCGGTGGCCGATCAACTTGACTATCTTACTCATCAAATCCAGTCGGCACTCTGGGACATCGACCGCAAGCCTGGAACGGCATATTACGCCTTCCTGTGGTCGCATGTCAACACAGTGAGTACTAGGACTTCCCAAACGGAATCATGTGGTTGACAACCTTCATAGATTCCTCTTACTCCTGATGCCATTGCCGGCATCATCTCGGCGATCAACCCATACGACTTTGACGTCGCGCATGGTATGTTCCCCGACCGTGACCTTCGAAATGCGAAGCAGCGCGCGTTTGACTCGGCCCGCGTGGTCATCAATGCGATGGGACATGACGCGGAGCAGTATCTGAAGAATGTTAGTTTAGTACCTCGCTAGGTCTCTGTAGGTAATCGTTTGCTGCATAGGAATGAGACACTTTGAAGATATGTTTTATGTCGCCCTTCAAAAATTCGAAGAATCTATGTATTTGCAATTATTGCGCAACTTCGCCATGGCTGGCCATCGCCTCCTTCTAGATATCCAGCCCCTCACGTTGCATAGCCCACTTAACCGCTTCTTCCACATTCTGAAGCTCGATCGTAGGTTTACTAGTAGGTGGAAGGCCGAGTTTAGGGTCGTATACGCCAGTGTGTACCAGTATCGACGACCAATTCGCAGCGTTGGCACCTGTCAACAAGTAAGATGGTGATCGCTCAGATACTTCTAGCGGCCTTACCGGCTATGTCTATGTAGGAGTTAGGTGGATAGTACTATAAAGGAAGGGAATGGGATCACTAACCTGACTCGGGATTATCTGATAGAAGAAAAAGTGAGGGTGAGTGAGGTACAAGGCATATCAGTCATCAGCTAACTCACCTCCGACCATGTAGCTGAGCAGGGAAATCAGAATCAGAAACCAATAAGGTAATTGGACAAAAACTTACATGCTCGTCTCGGGCGCTCCAGGTCCTTTGGGTCCTCCTAGCTCGGTAGCATGTGCTAGCAGCAGCTTTTTCGCAAAGTCGTACGTCTCCGGCGATGGCTTTCCAAATTGCTTATACGGGTATATTTCCCCCGTCATGAGCTGTGTATGGTCAGACGCGTGCCACAGTACCTAAGATACGATACGTACTTTGTGCACTGATTGGAATGACTCCTTGAAGATACCCTGCGCGAAGCGATGCTGCGGAAAGTCGTTCCGCCATAGCAGATCTGGGTTGCAGAAGACAAGTTCGACCACGGGCGGCTCACCTTTGACACGGTACGGCGCCCCGATAACCCCACCTTGCGCACGAAGCACATCGATCATGACCTGGATGTCGAGGCCCCAGTTGCGCGAGTCGCAGAAGACAAAGACGGCGCGAAAGGCCGTATTCGAGAGATCGAAGGGCTAAGGAAACTGTAAGCTAGGTTCTCAAGTAGGGTATCAGAAACAAACCTTAGCAGCCGCGAGCTCTTCAGGCGTCATGCGATGGAACGGAAATACGCTACGTGCTCGGTTAGTGATGTCTGCAACTTGGTTTAGGGGTCATCATACCTCGGATTCGACGCGTGAACGTCGAGAGCACTATAACTCTTCTTGAAGCCGTACCTGATGCGGGTTCAGTGACTGTGTTACATGTGGGAATGGAGAAACTCGCTCTTCTGCCACCTTGCGCACTGCATCGTTAATACCACCCAGGACGAGCACCGGTTCGTCAGCGTACTTGTGCGCAAGCGAGCGGAGTACGGTATGTGACTGAACCATCTGGCTTGGATGCACCTGAAAGATAATTAATACCCACTTCAACTACGAGGACGAGAATGAAACTCACTTGGATGCCCAGCTCTGCGCTCAACCTCGTAACACGGTCCGCTTCTGTCGAACCCCCTCCGTTCGTCATCTAGCATCAGTCTTAGTAAATGTAAATTAAGAAGATGATACCACCGCACCATGATGTATGGAATCTTGCTACCACGCTGCTCAGCATTTGTTCACGCTTCGTATGACTTGCGACTTACATTCCTTGCTTATTCCCGCCATTTAGTATTGCAAGTGCACGCTTTGCCTCCGGAAGTACGGAGGGTCCGCGAATTAGAACGCCATCCTGTTCCTGGTCAGTGATGTTCGCTGCAACAGCGGAGCGGGTCGCAAACGATGTCAAAGGCAAAGGCCAGTGGTGATCTATGTCTCTGAGCTACAAGCCAGCGTGAGCATGATGACACAAGAGTCGGCTTTATTGCTTACTGTGTATCAAACGAGGACTAATCCTGTGGCTTAGTGGTCTCCGAGGCATTGTAGTTGTGCGAAGAGACAACATTTGGTGCTAGGTGGTGTTCGTACAGGGAATCGCGCGAGGGCCGTGGTGTGTCCCGCTTTATATCCTGGTTATAGCGCTAGAGTCACCATACATTTTCACGGGAAGTTTCGTACACACAGTAGCACGTATGTAGGTATTGGACGCAGCCAAAGCCTCTTCGCCCCTAACTCCTTATGGCCTAGCTGACACCCTTTTGTGGATATATGATGATTCTAGGCGAATCATAGCTAAATATGTTACTGTTACATCTTTGGCTGCCATTGTATGCAGCTCGCTGAGTGAGATTAGGCAGGATTGGCAAGTACGGAGGACTTTGTATGCCATGTCAGCTTGGCCAAGATGGGCAGGCACTAGTGATTTCTTGGCGACACTACGTGTAATCTATTCTCTTACGGGGTACGGAGTAGATACGTTAAATATGTACAGTAGTGGTATTTATGCACACTCTGTAGCCCCCCGGTACCTGAGATCTAGGGCTATTCTGACCATCCCTTCTTGGCATTCATCGGATCCACTCAGACGGGTCTCTCCGCATTGTGTGGGTTTCGCAAGCCCGTCGGTGCTCCACCTGGGCTGGAAGCCAGTACATCCCTATCATGTGCTCAAACTTTGCTTTCTTTGATTGACAACTTTCGCGCTTCTGGTCTTATCCACATTCCATCCCCCCGCAACACCCCAAATTGTAAGCCACCATGGCCAGCGATGATGTTACACGTTCCCAACACTCTAAACTCGACAACGCAAACGATGCACCGATCGTGATGACATCGAGCGTGGACAGCCATCTGTTGACAGGCAAGAAGTTATCTATCGCATTTGGAGCAATGCTACTGGCCCTCTTGTGTACGTTCACTGAACCTGATCTTCGGGCTTGCGACTGAACAATGTAGTAATTGCGCTGGACCAGACAATTCTATCAACCGCTCTACCGCGTATCGCGTCAGATTTCAACGCGGTTAGTTATGTAGAAAAGGCTGATGTTCGTGGACTTACGTACAACCATCGGTAGTTCTCCCAACAAGGCTGGGTCGCCGCCTCGTTCGTCCTCACGCAGACTACCTTCATCCTCTTCTTCGCCCAAGTCCTTCGTCTCTACCCAGCCAAATATGTGCTTATAGCAGCTGTGGTGATTTTTGAGGTTGGTTCTGCCTTGTGTGGTGCCGCCCAGGATGTCTACACACTTATCGGCGGACGTGCGCTCTCTGGCGTTGGCGCTGGCGGCATTCTCACTGGTATCCTCCAAGTGATGGCCCAGGCCACCCGGTTAGAGGATCGCCCTATGCTGTTTAGTCTCTTTGAATCGGTATTTGCGTTGTACGTTGCAGCTTTGGTGAACTTGATACATAGACTGCTAATCGTATTTTAGTGCCTCGATCATTGGGTAAGAGGACATATTTCTCTGTTCGCTATGCAACTGAGCTAATGTCATTAGACCTCTTGTAGGCGGCGCCCTCACGGACCACGTAACCTGGCGGTGGTGCTTCTATATCAACCTACCCATAGTACGTCCGTCTCAGTTGCTGTTTGCCACTTGCTAAATCCTCCTAGGGCGGCGCATCTATCGTAGCGATTGTATTGCTCCTCGACGCTCCACCACCGCTCGGATCCGAAGGATATGATCGCTCTTTTAAGACCATGCTGTGGCGCACGGCTGCCTTGGACTGGATTGGCGCTACACTCAGTCTGGGTGCCGTCACAAGTCTTGTTCTAGGCCTCCAATGGGGCGGAAACGAGAAGGCATGGAACGGCGCAGAGGTCATTGTCGTATGTATTCCAGTGTATTGCACCCTTGAAAGGGCCGGTGATTAACTCGCACTAGTGCCTCGTTCTTGCACCCGTGCTGACAGTTATATTCATCTTTTGGGAGCGCTACATGGGAGATCGAGCTATGGTTCCGTTGGCAATATTCAAGAGCCTCTCCATTTACTCAATCTGCTCCTTCGCGATCTTCAACCGCTTCATCTACCTGATATTCACCTATGTGCGTTTCATCTCTGTCGCACTTATGGGGCAGCCACTAACGTTGTTTCATAGTATATTCGTACGTCATATTCCAGCTTCACCGACCCCAGACCTCGTCGGCTGACTATACTATACAGCCATCTACTACCAGGCAGGCCGCCACCATTCTGCAACGAAGAGTGGTGTGGACTTGCTCCCGCTCATGCTGTCCGTCGTCATCTCGATTGTGGTGTCTGGACAACTCGTCGGTATGTGCTATGTTTCTGTTCCTCTGATGCAGGTCAACTAATAGACTTCATTGACAAACAGGTCGCTACGGCCGCTACTGGCCGTACTTGGTCGGCGGACCGGTGATTGGCGCCGTCGGTTCTGGACTAATGTACACTGTGACCGCGTTGCCCTCAAACGCAGCTGTGATCGGCTACCAGATCCTCGTCGGCGTAAGCACTTTCTCGTATATTTTGTATAGTCCTTCTGATACAAGCCGTGTGACAGATCTGTATCGGCACAACTCTGCAGAACATCCTGTTCGCCATGCAGGCTGAGTTCGACGACACACCAAAGCTGATCAGTCAGGCAACCGGTATGGTGAACTTCTGCCAGGTACGCATATCACATTTATAGCTCACACCCGATGCTCATAATTTATCTTTATCTTGCAGTTCCTCGGTGGTACGATTGGTCTTGCCATCGCCGAAGCCACCTTTTCGTCCGAACTTGTGCGCAATTTGCGCAAATACGCGCCTGACGCGCCTTTTGCAACGATACAACAGTCGCCGCTGTCGATCTATACCGCGGTCCCAGACGCACTGGTCCCTAACGTCGTGCGCGCTTATGTGTGAGTCTACTCGCGCTCGTCGCCGTGGATGATGATCTAACGCGTGCCTGTAGCAAATCCCTCTCGACCGTCTACATCATTGGCGTTCCAGCGAATGTTCTCTCGCTAGCGTTTGCACTCTTCATCTCGAATATCAACATTAAGAAGAAGCCGGAAACGGAGACAGAAAGCAATGTACCGCGTGGTGAGGTGGCTAGCGGAGAGCAGCCAACGACATCCGACGGGCAGCCGCCTATGGCGGAGAAAACGCGCTGAGGCCAGTTCAGCTAAGAGGCTTAGGCTCCATTATGAGCACTATCCCAAAAAAGGGTGGGTCATTGCATGTCCTTATGGTACATCCATATAAATCAAATGATCGAAGTAAGGCTCTTATAACGAGTGCTGCCCAGGTGCATTGCTTATGGTACATCGGCATTGCTACCAGAAACACCCAAATGCAAAGAAGTTGCCAGATTCGATGAACTCGATCCTTGGGGGTTGGAATAATTTGGGCTGACTGCTTCATTCAAAGATATAGGTGCCTGTCAGGAATCCAAATACAAGTTTACATAGTCTTGTTCTAAATAGTCGAGTTACGATGTGTTATAAGTTCTGACATTATACACATTGACTGGAGACATATAGATCGCTACACATGGTTTAATGGGCATATATTTGGTATTGTGCTGGGAGAAAGTAGGAAAGAAATGTGCAATAGACTTGTACTTTGGACGTTTTGTAATTCTTTTTTTGTTTTGCAGAGGGCAGACAAAGGGTTATCTCAGAACTAATGCTTTTTTATATATCTTCAAGTCCCGCGCCATTTTCAACTGGTGTATACCATTTGAATTTTTACAGAAAGCATTGAAACACTCGATACTATTTACCTGATAAATATACTTCGTTCAAGTAAATCAAGGGCTAATTAGGGATTTGTGACTAATTATTTCATATAGGGCTGCCCTGGGGCTCTGCAGTGTTCCTTTTACCCCTTTTCCAGGTTGTCCGAGTTCAAGGAGCCTCGTGATCTTACCGCCTTGATGGAAGTTGGAGCAATCTTCACAATCTTGAGTTGACTTCAATGCTCTCTTGCTTCTCCTTCTTCCCAATTACAAGCCACCATGTTATCATGTCTCGCGCGACCGCGCCTAGGGCGCGTGGCCACGTCCATCGTACGGACACGTACCAAACGTTCCTTCTCAACAAAGAACTCGTCTTCAAATTTGAAAATTTACATCGCGACGGCCGGTTTGATCAGCACGCCCGGAATGTGGTGGTGGACCACCACAAGGGATGATGTGCCCCGCCTCGAGAGTCCACCAGCGGAGCACTTGGCCCCGGAGCCAGGTCCCTCCAAAGAGGATGTCACGCATATATTATCGAAAGAAGCATACTCCTTCCAAGTCAGAAATATTACGGGCGTCAACAGATACGATGGCGCTCAACTAGCGTCTAATAGTCCGTGCGAGGACCGGTTTATCCATGGCAAAGTTTCCTCGCCGTGGAATGAGGATGATCAATGGGTGTCCTGGGCTGTTTTTGATGGACATTCGGGCTGGCAGACGGCGGACCTGTTGACGAAGCAACTCTTGCCGTTTGTGCGACGCAGATTGTCCGAAGCTAAACCACCTTCAAGCGACGAATCGGTGCCAAATGAGTTGGTCCAACGCGCTATCATGAAAGGCTTCGTGGATCTTGACGACTCCATCATCAAAACTGCATCGGACACATCTAAAAGCAAAGAATCCTTCCAAGACAAAGTTAAGAAACTGGCCCCTGCTTACGCCGGTTCATGCGCTTTGTTATCTCTGTACGATCCCATCACAAGCACGCTACACGTTGCGTGTACTGGGGACTCAAGAGCGGTTCTAGGACAAAAGGGATCAGACGGAAAGTGGGAAGCAATTCCCTTATCAGTAGACCAAACCGGCAGCAACGAAAAAGAGACCACCCGAATTTCCAAGGAGCACCCTGGCGAGGAAAACATAGCGAAAGGTGGACGAGTGCTTGGACTCATGGTATCACGGGCGTTTGGTGACAGTTTGTGGAAGTGGCCTCTGGATTTCCAGAAGGAAATGAAGCAGAAATTCAATGGTCCAGCACCCCTAACGCCACGGTACGATGTTCGCACACCCCCATACTTGACTGCGGAGCCGGTCGTGACAAGCACTAAGATCGATCCAAACAAACCCTCTTTCTTGATTATGGCAACGGATGGGCTATGGGACTATATGTCTAGTGAGCAGGGTGTCGACTTGGTAGGGAACTGGTTGGAACCACAAGGGACAGGGGAGAAAAAGAGCATACCAGAGCCAACAGATCGAGAATTTGACTTTGGCAGATTCTGGAAAGATGTGAACTGGAAGTTTGAGGAAGAGAGAACAACAACCCAAGATGATAATGCTGCAGTACATCTAATGCGCAACTCGCTTGGTGGAAATCACCACGAATTGATAGCAGGCCGACTTGCCTTTGGTCCTCCTTTCTCTCGACGGATACGGGATGATATCACCGTGCAAGTTGTTTTCTTTAACACCGAGAAGTAAATGTTGGGTTCTTTGGTTCATCTGAACTTAGAAGTCTATTTCTAGAATATGTACTATGTACCTCCGAAACCCTTCCGGCGACGGAGATCAAAGATAATTACGACCACCATTATCACTGATGTATCACTCATTTTCTAACTATTTCTATCAGAATTCTCAAGCAGAGTTTGTCAAGAATGTCTTCTATTCCTCACTTGAGTATGCAGACGCTACAGAGTAATAGAGGCGCTGATTTGCGTACTCGCTCAGATGATTCCTCAGACGATTCTTGGGATACAGGGTGGTCGGTAACAATTGGAATTATTTCGTCCCCTCTCGCCGTTATTCTCATTTTGGCGATATTATGGTTTATTAGGGATTTTATTAAGGGTCTTGTATACTGCTGGTGGTCTATTTGCAAGGAACTTGCTCGGTAAGTCGTGAGCGATGATGATGCCTCTTTCTATCGGCATCTAATCTGCCAATTCTCACCAAAAAAGGATGCTGACCAGGTCCGGACATTAGTGCTATTTTTGAGGCTGGACGTCTAATAGGAAGTGGAATCAAAAAGTTATGTCGCTTGGCAAAAGCAGCGCGTCAAGTTACAGCCAACGGACAGCAAACCACACCTGGTAAGGGAGACCCATCCAAGCTAAGTACTTTCATGTCACTAACTAGTATTGCTTTTGTTCAGAGTCCATTGAGATGGAGGATATGGGGCCTAGGAGATCTATTAGGATGGAATATCCAAGACGTGATAGCTCACAAGGTCCACCAGCTTACGAAGACTACCGGTATCCCGAGGAGCCTTTGCCTGTCTACAAACCATAAGAGAACTGTGATTTGGTCTGGAAAAATGAGAAGGAATAGGAATGGACCGAGGACAGTGGTATAATGTTTTTATATTGCTTGGCTTGGCTTTTTTAGCTTAAGGTTATGTCGAATGTGATACTACCGTGATCGCTCTACAGATATGAAAACTCAGGCTAAATCATATAGCTTACTTTTGAAAACAGTGGGGAGAATACACTAGTAATTATCTTTAACTCGGAAATAAATATAGTGAAAATCTGGGCATAGCTCCGTAACAGTACCTATCTTGGTATTAGGGGTTGTAGGTGGTCACAGTAGTTTCTGGAAGCACTGTATAAGATTCTTGACTTCATTTTTGGGCTACTTGCTGAGATTCTGCCCCAGGTGAATAGGACCTTACCCCCCACCTTGTTTTGATATTCCTTCCTCTCTCTCTCTCTCAGCCAGCTAGCCCAATACAACCGATGGTTTTCTTTACCAATACAACTAGAAACGCCAGAAAATTTTCAAAGGTACATACGATGGAATAATGTGGCATTAGGTTTTTTCAAATGCCCGTCTGCAGTAGCTCCGATGCTAGACAGATTTAGCTGGTTTATCACGAACGAACATTGCACGCAAATGGAGTAAATAGCGCACAAGGAGATCGTAGACTCGATTTTGTTGTCTAGCTCCTAAAGCTGGGTTTGGAGGAGCGGCAGAAGTGGGTGTAATTGGGGTGAGGGATTCGCGCTGAGCTTCTTCCATAGTAGAGGCTCCTGGCTAAGAGGGTATAGATAAGCTCACACTGGCAGCTGCTTCTGCACCGTCATCCAATCGATACCAGTGTTTTTAAACACTTATACTCTGGAGCAAAATGGCAGGGTCAAGGATTGTGGCAGGACTACCGATATCTACGTAAATAGATCCACGGGTCATGCTGACGCAAATCTGGTGTTGAGTAACTAAGACGTACAACTAAGCTTTGGCTCTATATAGAGAGATCATAACCCAAGGCTACTCAGACTTCCTTGTCACTCTCTGCCTCATACCTCACTTTCACTGACATCTTTATATTTGCCAAGAATGGCTCCTGTTCCTGATGACAAGTCTAATTCAAACCCAGACACGCCAGCTGACACAGCTGCCAAATGGATAGGGGTAGTTTTACTAGCACTTGTTGTTGTATTGTTGTTCATGATGATATGCGCCATCTTGAGTCAGTACGTATGACCGCCGAAATATAAGACTAAACATGATGATCTTGTCAAAAAGCAAACTTTACAGAGAACCTGATGCTAAAACTACTGTTTTGCTAGAAATGGTATATTTAAAATAGTCGGCTGCTGGATCAAGAACTGCTACACCATAGCAAAAGCAGCTCTCAAAACAATGAGGTGGAAGAAAGCCAGAACAGAAGGATATGGTGAGAACTATGCCAACCCTTAAAATCAACAGGATGCTATGGTGTTAAAACTAACACTCCATTATCATCCAGACCCGCAAAATACTTCCAATGTGAGGCTGCAGTACATGATTCCTCCCCCCAAGTCGACTCAGGCCACTACAACTTCAACCCCCGTTTCTCCATATAGTTGATAGACAATCGGTTTGGCATGCAAATCTCAGGGGAAGCAATGGCTCTATGGCTATCTGGATCGGGGACAACTAGTACACAATATCTTTGGAGATGATGGATTGAGATAATGACCAATGAATAGTACCATCATATTCATAAATATTTAGTTCCCTACCATGATAATTTTGCAAATATTGGCTTCGGCTGGATAAAATGATTCAGGACATTAGAAGGTCTAAAATTTACAAAAGAATAAGCTATGTAAACAAAAAGAGAATTATTCATCCACGCATAGCCTGTCCAGCAATCAAAGAAAGCTAGCAAGTATTGACAGACAGGGGTATATGAAGAAAAGACATGCATCTTCGCGGTAATAATTCAAGTACGTGCAATTCCCAAAGAAAGACAAGGTTCATGTTCATTCATCATCAACAAAGGAGTTAGCCAGATGGCCAAAAAACGGGACCTCAAAGTGGTCCAAAGTATCAACTAGAGATAATGTAATTAGTATAGGTCTATTTTTCCAGCCAACGAACAGCTCAGCCGCATTGGCAGGTCCCGTAGAGAAACCCCTGGACGACTCACCATCTTGGTAAGCATGCATGCTGAGGAAGCCGATTAAAACAATATCGATGATAAACAATGTCCAGGAGAGAAAGCTCGACCAGCAGAACAGTAGGTGGATGATCTTGTTTGGCATGTGAGCTTATGCGACATTAGGAAAGATGGAATACTCACAAACATGGTAGCAAATAACATGCTCGATTGCCAAGCATGAAATCTACGTTAGAGAGTCAGCACACTGGGCTTCTGAGGAACCTGGGAGTAGTTCAAAGTCCATCACATACCGCACATAGTCGCTCTTGTGTTCAGCTAGTAGCAGGAATACACCCCCCGCGGGAGGCAGAAGCAGATACGCCAGCGCGGCTTCGATATCCATGCGAATGGGAAGACTTGTCTCAAAAGCCCCTAGGCTCACATGGCCACCCTCTACGTCTCGTCCAAATCCTGTATTGCCATGTCCCCCGCTAGCAAAGTGACTAGGGGAGGGTAGGTCGGCCGAGGCTCGCGGTGAGCGGAGGATTGGGGATATTCGGTGCCCGTCTGGGTGGGGAGGGGATAGGGCGCGCTCAATCTCCGGTGATTGATCTTGATACGGAGCGAAGTTCATTATGTTGTCTACCTGGAAAGGTGAATGACGGAATCATCTTCAGGGATCAGGGGAATTATTTGGGGTAACTAGCTCCTTATCGTTATCAGATCGCGACGCGTGTATCTGCCCATATGATGCCTCAGGCGAAAATAAATCAAAGTAAGGGTATCATATCATTCTGTTTAATCTTCATAGGCAAATATTTATTATACATAAACTAGCCCAGTTCATCTAGACCTTCCCCCGACCGCGAGAAATTCCACTCCCTCGCGCTATCCCGCTAGCTGGCCGTTGGGTTGTTGTCGTAGATCCCCGTGTTGCCGTTCGGGTTGTGCTGACACTGGGCGTTCTTCCTAAACCAGTGCTTCGAACTGTGCCTCTCGTAGTTCCGCGGCTGCCTCGAGTACCCCGAGTGACCTGTGCGCGTCGCTTTTCAATTTCCTCGGCTTTTCGCGCTGCTGCTTCTCTTTGTTGCTGAAGTGCCTGTTCACGTCTTTCTGCCGCTTGCTGTCTTTGAATCGCTTGGTTCTCGATATCGACCACATCCTGAGTAGCGCCTTTCCAGTTGGGGTTGAGGATCAATCGCTGATTATGCTCGGTTTGGGAGAGAATGCGAGTCCATGTGTTGAGGAGTGTCGAGGCCGAGGTAACAGTTTGTGAGACTGTCTATACAGATGATTAGCCAAATTATTGACCGTGCATTATGAGAAGGATATATTACCTCCATGTTTCCTTTGGCGGAGTCCAAACTTCCCAGAAGCCCTTCTATGACTTCATTGATATTCCGCACTCCTTGTAATTCTGTCCGCAGAGCAGCCTCTCGGGCCTCCTGGTGATTAAAGAGAGGATCCTCGCCATCACGGGAAGCTCGAGGTTCTGGTGTAGTTTTCTCGTCGGAGGTTCTTGGGTTGATCTTTTTGTGGGGCACTCTCTTGGACGGGGAGTTCCAGAGGTCCTCTGTGTCATCATCGGATAGCTGAAGCCTCTCCATTTCTTCTGCCGTGGTACGGAAAGCCATGATGTTGAATTTGCAGAGAGTATGAGCCGAAGTATGTACAAGCAATCTTGATAGACTGGACACCCAAATGGGCTTAGTCCTAAAATAAGTGGCCGTACGAAGTTGTTGAAGGTCAATTGACAGCTGATGAGCGACAAGATCGACGGTCGTAAGATAATGAAACAGGCAATTGGGGTAGATCGAAATAGGAAATCAACATTGTTGACGCGGGGTTTTCAGCCACCGCAATTATCGGGCGGTGAGGATACCCGGTGGCTGGGCGACAATCGGCTTTCATAACAACTTCGCCCTTCATTCATCCCCAACTTATCGTTATTTTGATTTCGTCGCCTCGGACAATTGGATATCTGCACGCTTACGTTTAACACCGCTTTTTGGACTTTTATATCTCCGAGTGCTTCTTTGGTTGCCGGACATCTCACAAGTCGGACGTGGTACGCCCTTGATTGAATCAACGCTCCGCCTCGACACTTCATCAAGATCGCGAAATTCAAAAAAAGCCCGGGAATAGACTGTGACTAATATACCATTTATATCTTTACTCAAAAGATCGCAAACCATCGAGCGGTTGTTCAATCGTGATTCAAGTCAACATGGCGTCAACACCACCGCCGCCATCACCGTCTGAGCTTCGCGTACCTAGAGCGCCGCGACATGGGGCAAAGCACGACAACTATGAACCTTACCCTACACGTTACTCCGCTAGACTTGCAGGTCAGCGAGCGTCAAGGGTTGTCCAAACCACGCCGCCCCCAAGTCAACCAAGCGCATCTGCCAAACCTGGAGCATCTAAAAGAACTCTTTCACCCTCTTCGCCTGGCACCGCCAAACCCTTGCCCAAAAAGGCTGCACGCTCTCACAGAACTGCTGCCTCCCGAATTTCACCCTTTGATTCGGAACTTTCACTTCCCCGCACTTTTGCACACCACACCTCCCGATCCTCTGCAGAACAGGCTTTACCTACCCCAGCTAAAACTCCTTCGAAGAAGAAGGTAATCAATTCTGATTCTTCTACATCTCGTTCTCTGTTTCCTTCCACTTCCACCCCCAAGCGCAGAAAAATGGATACCCCCAAACATTTTGCCGCAGAACCCCCAGCAATATTCGTCGATGAGCCTTTGACAGGGTACACTATTGAAGCTGCAGGGCAAGAATTGGGAATCTCCATTCATGAAGACTCACGTGATCGCATCCCTGTGATCGGCCCACTGTCGACTGATTCCTCCATTTCCAAGGCTGTAAGAGCGGTCGGACGACCTGCGACTCGCTCAACCACCAGCCACAACGATGGAGCATATTATGTTCAGTAAGTCAAGTCTTTCTTACCCACCATACTCACATATCCTAACTTGGACCTTAGCCGTGGGAAAAAAATATTCAAGCGCTTTGATGACATGGAAGATGAGGGCGAGGATGAAGATGACCTTGGTCTCTTCGCCAACCGCCCCGACCTGCTAGCTGATAACCCCGATATTCTTAAGAGCGTGAAGCCCTTGAGACGTGGCGAAATCAAACCTCGTCTCCTCTTTTCTACCGCCGTTCAGCCTACCGATGGTGATGAGGAGGATGTCACCGATGTCGAGGATCACGAGCCAATGTCTCCAACTCCGGCTTACGAAGACCAGGAATGTCTGACTCCTCCCATCTTGCCAGATCCAGCTACCCCCTCCTTTGAATCCGAGGACTCAGCTGTCGTTCGCTCCGCCCCCGTTGGACGTCCTGGCCTCCGTTTCCCTCGCCCTATCGTGGGCGATGTGTCACCTTTCCAGCCCACTTCTTTCTCTGAGGACCTTGGTTTCGGCGCTTCCACCGATGACCAGAGTCGGTCCCGGGGTCTCTCTGTGAGCAGTGGCAGCAGCCTCCTGAAGTACTGGCCATCTGTCAGCAGGAAGACACGGGAAGTCGAAGCCCGCACCGACCGTGTGAAACGCCTCCGCGAAGCCCGCGGTAGCCCTGCACCACGCACCCGACAGGCCCTACGCGCGGAAGCTTCTGGAGAGACTTCAACCGCTGAGCCATCTACATCCGATTCCTAGGTCTCACTTGGGCATCATATTTTCTCACCTCGACTTTGCATTATTCCAGCGCTTCCAAACTTTTCACTTTTCTTTCATTTGTGCGTTGCGCCGGACTTGGCGCTAAGTGTGTCAATCTCTTGTTTGTTGCGCCTGGGCGCAACCTTTTTGTTAGTGTATTCTTCTTTCTTCTCCTAATGCCCTTGTTTCTCTCCACGACGGCCATATTGTATTTGCGCAGGCCGCTGGGGTTTCTCTCGTTTTTTTGCGTTTTGTTCCAATGGCGCGCATGGGTTTGGGAATCGCGAATACTAAGGATACCTCATGAAAACATCTTCGGCTGGAATAGCGGCGTTTTCTCTTGTCTTTTCATCTACGCTCTTGTTTCTTTTCTTTCTTTTTTTGGTATCGGCGTGTGCTTTTCGTTTTTTTCATCGTCAGAAGCGGGAGGAATCATGGTAAATCGGACCGGCTCAATGGAAATTCAGGATATTTGGAAAATCTTTCCCTGTAGCTGGCTAGTATTAAATCCGTACAAAGGCTCGTTTCTCTGTTGAAGAAGCACTGCTAGTTGGTGTAGTCAAAACAAGCTTTCGGCAGTAGCCGGCCTAATCGCCGCTACTAGTGAGAGGAAAGTTAGTGTCCAGAGGTACAAATACATTAATCATCACATTGATTCATGACAGGGGCTGTATCTAGCTCTACTCCTCACAAATCCAACAAAAAGGAAATCCGCCCAATGCAACCGGGACATGCTTTGTATTCGTTACAGCGTTATGAGTATTCCTATCCTCAACGAGAACTCAAGGATTGAGGTGGTGACACAATGGATATGGGCATTTGAGTGGGTCAAATAAACTCCAGGTCATCGTCGTCGTCATCATCCAAGAGTGCCTGTTTCCCACTGGGCGTGGTCTCAGCCGGAGCACCCAGGCTCTCCCGGCCAGCCTCCTTGATACCCCTTGAAGTGATGAACCGTGTCTTCTTGACCCCGCTACCGTGGGGCTTGTCATGGGCACGCTTCATTGGACTTAAACGGACGTTCTTGGCTTTGCCGAAGGTGGTCATATCCATGCCGTTGGTTGTCGTGGGGCTCTTGGGCAAGGGGGTGCCTGGTGCTTTTTCCTTGTTTGGACTCTCGTTGCTGGTCCTTGTGCGAAGGTACTCGGCGCCCACGCCACCGACACGGCCCGAAACTAGCTTTTGTGTTATGTCACGCTCTCGCTGTTGGGTCGCAAGACGCCTGCGCATTCGTTCCTCCTTGCTGTCCATACCGCGGCCCATCATACCTGAGGCGATGAAGGGATCGTCATGGGCATCAATCAGGTTTGCCGCCGAGCCTCCCATAGGGTTGTATGACGAACGGCCAGCACCGCGGTTTCTGGAGGGCGCCACGTAGTATAGCGATTGAGATCCCATGTCATACTGAGGGCCATCGTGTTTCATGCCTTGCTTGAAAGAAGCTCCTCGCTTCACTCCTTGGCCAAACAATCCGGTACGCGAGCCGGATTTACCGCCAGGACCAAGCATACCCGTGTCAGCATTGACTCCCGATCGTTGGCCCTGAGTGCGTCGGATCTGGATATCAACGTGGAAGTCACAGAACTCGGTCTTTCGACTATCTATCCAGGATTCGCAGGTCTTTCCGTCCTTTCTCACAGCCTTGCAGAACCCAATATCCCGTGCCTTGCCAATTTCGAGGACCTTGTCATCTGATGAGGACAAAGACAGGCTAAATCTGTTTGTGTCCAGCTTGTGCTTTGGCGGAGGCATGATTGTGGGGTTCAGAATTGCGACGAGAGTCCCTTCCGAGATTTTGTAATAACGGGGGAAAGCAGTGTCAAAAAGGAAGAGGTCAATAGTCCATTTCAGATCGGTCAGGGTAATGGCCATATATCTGTTCGTGTTGTTAAGCCCATCATCATAAGGGTCCTTATCTTTAGCCGACGTGTTCCCCAAAGCTTTCTTGTCCCTAGGGTCGGACTTGGACGCAACGATGCCAAATACCACAAAGTCCCCATCGATGTCCTCTGGGAGCTCGAATGCGGGTGCCTTGACGGTTTTCAGTAGATCAGGAATGCGTAGAACTCTCTTTTCTGCGAGTGTGCGGCTCAAGAAAGAATGCGGAAGAACTCGGCTTGATAGATGTAGCGACGAGTAGGACTCGAATTTTGAAGAATCCGGGGCCTTCACCAAAGCATCATCTGTTTGGCCTAGTTTGTGAGAGGAACTTGGTTCTTCTTCTGCCGTATGAGTTCGCCTATGTAGATGAGACGGTCTCTCGTTGTGACCATTGCCCTCGGTTCGTCGAACGTTCGGAGTTGTATTACTGCGTTGTAGACCGGATGGGCGGGATTGTCCAATAGATCGAAGAATATCCTCACGGCTGAAGCTTTCCATGGGCCGCTCTCGTGATACTGACGGTGGAGGGGAATGCCTTGTATCTGAAGCTGCAGCTTTGAAGGCCTCAATCTCCGACTTGTCGACTTGAAAAGCCGAACTGCGGTTAGCCTGGACCCTTTCTGCTCTCTCCAGCCGAGATTTCTCAGCCGCCCTGCCTTCCGCCATTCTCTCGCTGAAACTTTTTATTCGGTTGATGCCTCCCGTTGATGAAGGGGAAGTCTGGGGCCGCGAGCCGAATATGTCATTAGAGCGCGGTGTAGCACCGTCTCGAAATCCCATATGACTACTTGGTCGAGGACCGGGTCTTGAGCTTGGAGGTCGTTTCAAGGATACATCATTGGCCTTCCAGCCCTTATCAATGCCCATGACATACCTCCGAGGCGATATTGGGTCGGCGGGGGGCAGTTCTCGCTTGGTAGGTGATGCCGGAACCTGGATTCCATCGCTGCTCGTTCTTTGCCTCCCTCCATTAGCGATTCTTGGCGTTGCACCACGGTCTTCTGTTCGCAGAGCGCTGATTGCGGAATTTGGTCGGACATCTTCGTCGTCAAGATTGGAACTAGACCTTCCGCGATTCTTCTGTTGGAGTTTCTTCAACTTCAAGCGCGCTTTGATCTCGGCTAGCTGAAGCTGCAGGGTTTCTTCGTCCTCCTCTTCCCCATCATCTTCGTCCACAATTTGACTCGCTTTTGATCGGAGATTGGGTGTGGTACTTGAGCGCTTCAATGGCGATGTCAGATTCTCTCGAGTGCGTTGCATGTCTTGGTACTTTCGTCGTCCGGCTGGCGAACTCAAGAGAGCCGCGCGGGGCGATTGGGGCGGCCACGCAGGTTCAACCACTTTTGCGGGGAAGAATAGTTAGCCATCGATCAGCCAAAGCGATTGGGGGGACCTTACTGGCGATTAATGAGAGAATTCAGACGTAATCAGAGACCGAATATACCATGGAGCGTCATTTGCGGCCCACGCCCTTTGCCCTTGCGCAGAGTACAGAGTGTAGAATGTAGAGTATGTGAAAGGGATCAAAATGATAATAGAGAGCAGAGAATAGAGAATAGGGATACAATAACAAGGTGCTGAAACTCGCTAATGCAAAGGGAAAATGACGGATCGCGCACAGGGCTGATTGGGTCGGGAAGGCGCGTCCGCGTCGCGGTTGCCCTTGCCAGTTTAGCCCCTTCCGTTTCCGATGATCTTCTGGTCTTCACCTTCACTTCTATCAATATCACACAATGAGGACTCGATCAGCCCCAGCGTCAAAAGCGAAGAAGTCTGAAGACGAGACTAAAACTAAAACTCTCGTTGCGGCAGAGAAACCAAGCAAAACGTTCATCCTCCCATCCTCTACCAGTGACAATGCGCGACTCCTCTCCCTGCCAGATCCCCAATCGGGAGAGCTAACACGCTACTTCTTCTGCCCGGATCGCGGTATATACGAATTTACGGTTGTTGCACCGCCAGCGCATATGGCGCGCAGTATTCTGTTCACCCCTCGCACGCGCGAAACCTCGAGCCCGTTGGATGAAGATAAAGAGGACCCCGAGCCCTCCCTGCAGGGCTCAATCACGAAGAGGGCAGAGTTCCTGGTGGCAACCCCGATCGATGCGCTCTTTTTCATGGTTCCATTGTTAGCACCGTCTTCGAAATCAGGCCGTTCTCTTTTCCAGCCATTCGACGATATAATCGACTCCCAAGACGATATGCCCAAGCATCTGCGCCAGGTCCTTTATGATGATGAATTCCGAGGCTCCCTCCTAGCGCGTGCGGAAGCTATCTGTGAAGTGGTCGAGGCTGGTGATGAGAAGATGTTCCGGTTCAATGAGACGAAGCTTGTCCAGGAGTTGATCACAAAGGCAGAACGCATGGCGGATCGGGGTCTTCCTGTGAGTCTGGAAGAACGCTTTGTTCGTCAGGCGCTAGCCACGCCCTTGATGTCGGTCAAACGAGAAGATGTTGCGACTAGCCAGGAGCCATCAAACGAGAGCCAGGAATCGGCTTCGAAATCCGAGGAGAGGCAGGATTCACCCTCAACTGTGGACACAACTGCGACCCCGTCGGTTGCGACACCCGCAGGGGAATCGACACCGGTGCCACAGCCATTGAGTGAAGAATCGACAGCTTCGGATCACATTACTCGGCTCCTCCGAATTTCCACTGCATTGTCCTTCATGAAGGAGTCATATCTGCCCGCAACCATGGCCTTGAGACTTGACGAGATCCTCGCTTCCGCAGAGAGCCCGATCGATTTCAAGCCGCTGAAGGACCGTCTCAAGGAGATTGTGGACCTTCGTGCCCAGGCTCTCGCATCACGCGATATGTCCAACTTTACTCGGAAACGAGCCCTTGATGACGAGGAAGAGGATACACGAGGCGAGAAGAAACGCCGCAAAGAAGAGGAGGAGAAAAAGTCCAAGGCTGCGGAATCCCAAGCAGTTAAGAATCTGAAGAAGGTCAACACGAGCGGGATGCAGAAAATGAGCTCTTTCTTCGCCAAGGCTCCACCCAAGAAGAAGACTTGAAGTTTTCTGGGATACAACCCACTGAACTATAACGTAACAATATGTTGTGCAGGTAGTTGATTGCCTGGCTTCGGAGGAATCCAACCAGCAAGTTCTATGGTTGAAAGATTCTGTCTGTAAATCTGGAGCCCAGAGCCTCCTGCTCAGACAGAGCCACCCAAGGCACTGCCAGTGCAAGTGAGGTCGAGTTGAGAGGCTCGCCTCGTCCACAATCCCAACGAATCCACGCGATTGCTTGGAAGGTACATATTACAGTGGCTCTCTGAAAGACACCGATACCCAGGAGATCTGGGTGTCTTTCTCCAATCTGGCGCATCTTTGTGCAGCTTCAATGTATACTACTTATTGAATAATCCATGAAAGATGAATGTTATTTTATATTTTGGATTTCATCATAATCCATAACCCTATTCGAGTGGGCTTTGCTTCGATCTGCTATGCAATATTCAAATAGGGATCTGGTCAATAGCAGCCCCCGTAACCCTATAACCAAAAACATTAGCCATAATCCAGTGTACAGTATACCAACGATCAAAGGGGTTGGGGAAGGGAACAACATACAAGAACGACCCGTTAGACGGCTTGCTAATAACCATAGCCTGCTCTAACTTCTCCTTACTGATATCCGGGAACTTCTTAAGATAGTACTCATCCCTCAGCGCAGCAGTAACAGCCTCTACCTTACCCTGAGGCAACATGTGAACAGTGCAACCACCCCACCCAGCACCAGTCAAGCGACTACCCCAAGTACCCGCACGACGCGCAATAGCACAGATGTCATCGACCTCCGGCGCACTGCAGTCATACGCCGTAGCACACGATTCCTGGGACTCATTAAGCAACTGACCGAGATAGTGAATGCGCTTCTCGTCCAGCTGGGTAGCCTTGCTGAGACAAGCCTTGAAATCGAGCACGCGACGCGCCTCCTTGAAACAGTGCAGCGCCCGCTGGCGGAGCTGGAATCGCTCCGCTTGCACGGGGAATGCGGACAGGAAGGTCGACTCTAGCTCGGCTACGGTGATGCTCAGAAGCTGCGCCATCTCCTCGCGCGTGTACCCCTCTTCTTGTGTGAACAGGTCCATCGTCGCTTGGATCACGGAGTCGATTTGGTACTCCAGTGGATCTTGGAGACGGCCTTCTTTGGTCATTAGCTCGTTGTGGAAGTTGCGCAGGCTGTAGCCCAGGGAGCTGTTGTCCTTGGGTAATGTCACGCCGTGGTGCTTGGCGAGGATCACTGCTGCGAGGGTGCATTCTGCTACGCGCAGGTTGTAGTGGCGAGGGGCGGTGTCGGCTTTGTTGGAGGTTACGAAGCTCTGGGCCATCAGGAAGGTGATTTCGTCGGAGGATGTGGGGATGGGGACGTGGCGGGCGTGGAATTTAGGGAAGAATTGGGTGTAGAGCAGGTAGCCGCGCTTGGAGAATATAGACGCTGCTTGGTCCATGCTATGGTTACGCAGTGATGTTAGCTTTTTGTTGGCTTCTCTCGTCTGTTGAGGAAGGATAACTCACCCGCCGGAATAGACGCCGACAGCCCGCTCGGAGACAACAGCCAGATCCAACAGATCCTGCTTAGAGACGTCGTGGTTGTTGGCCTTCATGACAGCCAGGGCACTGGCGCACACAAAGGCAGCACTGCTGGAGATACCACCACCGGGTGGCACATTGCCGTCGACCAAGATCTGCATGCTGGCAGGAACGAGTGAGCCATCGGGCTTCTCCTTGCGCAGGAACTTGAGGGCGCCCGACAGGCCGGCGCGGAAATAATTCACCCACTCGTGCTTCTTGGGGTCGATCTCGACGTCCTTATCGTGGGGCACGCTGAACTCGCGGGTGGGGAATTTCTCCGGCGAGACGTTGGCGATCGTGATAGTGGTGTCCTCCGCGCTGGCGGGGACCACCTTGACAGCCATAATCACGTCAACGCTGACGGCGGTCGGCAGGACATCGTACAGTGAGTAGTCGATGTGCTCGCCGATGATGTTCACGCGGCCGGGACTGCGCGCCACGAAATCTGGACGGTGGTTATATGTCTTATTGAACTGGGTAATGAGGTTGGTCCATCGCTGCTGGTGCTCTGGTGCAACTGAAGTCAGCGAGGCGTCGTCTGTTGCGTAGACTTCCGCGATGGATTCTGTTTGCGGCACGAGCTCTAGTTGGGGTGACATGGCGGGGTAGGGGAAGGTTGAAGGCGGGGAAGTGAGGAAAGGAATGGATGATAGGAAAGGGGGAAGAAAGGAACAGAAGAGGTAGAAGGAGTAGAAGAAGTAAAAGAGCTAGAGTGGTAATTTGTGTGTAATTTCTCAAATAGATGTCCCCATATTCCCCGATTCCCCGGGTAAATTGGTACATAGTACAGTGGGGTTACAGGGCCATTTTTGCCGTTTTGGGAATTTCGGTGACTGCGTGCAGCTGCTTTGCGGGGAGGTGGCCAGGAACCCTCTCCAGAGTCTCCATTCATCAATAACTCCACGCTTTCTGATTGGTCGGTTGGCTTTCCTCTCGCGGGGGTTTTCTACCGGATTGGGCTATGACGGCATGCTCTACTATATAAGACATATGTTGTAATATCTTCATGGAATCTCTCTCCTCTCTCCTCCTTGTTGTGACTCTTTAATGGTGCATACCTATGCCCTACAGCCATCCCTTTATATCTAGAGAATGGCCTTCCTCTACGAGATGTACATAGATATGTTCCTGGACGGTGGAGTTTCGAGCCGAGTGTATCGGATTGAGGGATCCCGATAGTGGGCCTGGAAAATCGGTATTGTGCCATTTACGGCCCGATAGAACCGGGAAAATAGGGGAAATACACTGTGGCTACATACATACATAGCCAGTTTTTCAAAAGGGGAAAGTCTGCTTCATGACTTCTTTCAATATATACTTGTGGGGTATACTACAATCATCACATCACTAGTAAGCACTCATCAACACTGGTATTCTTTTAGTCACCCAAAGCCAACTGCGAGACCGACGACTTCGGATGGAACTTCGATTCTGAGCTACCCCGGCTAGGTCCAAAGTAGTTGGGAGAATATCCTTAACTGTACTGAAGGAGCTCGTAATGGCCTGGGAAGGAGAACAGTGATTCCACCTTCTGTCACCCAGCCCTTGAAACATCGTGATGGAGAGGTTGCGGTGCATGCTCAACAAGCACATGGTTTAATGTCAGACCCATCTTCCATGCGGAGGTTTTTTTCTTCTGGTGACATTTGATTCCACTTTGCCAAGGACGGCAATTGGAGGGGCATATTTTATATTTTCATTCACCAATCTTATCTCCTTAAGACGGCGAAGTCGGTCATGTGTCAAAGCATCAGGTCCATCATCATACATTTCCGCCGAATCCAGTGAGTGATTAAAAAAAAGAATAATAAAGAATAATAAACATATTTATGGACGATCTCCCAAGGTACTTGTTAAGGTCAGTGCGGGACTATAGTTATAAGGCAAGTAGGCAAAGAAAGGCTTCTAGGATTGCTCCTCCGTGCGGTTTTCAAGGAATCCGATCATCTTTTCGCTGGATGTCCGAGTCGAATAGAAATGCTCATGAAGATATACTAACGTATTTCAGGAAGTTGTTCCCTTCCATCCAAAATCCCTCAGTATTCAAACAATGTGCTTGGATCTCGTCATCTTCCAATTGTGTAATTGTTGCTAGCCTCTAGAAGCAAGGAGCAGCCTTTGTCAAACCCTCTGGAGCAAGCTACAAGATCATTTATTATTCCTAGATGTCGATTTCGCCTGGTCAATGAATGCGGGTTGGTATGTATGAAACCAAGATTTGGGGTTAGGGACTCCCTATTTTCCAGACATAATTGTATGGTACTCTGTGTCTTGTAAGATTCCCGATAAAGCCGCTACCAAGCAGTGTGGGGGTTTATTCGTATGCTTTCTTTCGCTAGTATTGCAAGTGAACTTATTTTCCCAGTGATTAGTTCCCAAAAGCTTTGCACAAGTTCACTCCAAATATCCGAAGATACTCGCATCATACATCATATACATAAAGCCTGATATACATGCGGGAGTCGACTAGGCTGCATCGGCCCTGGGCTAAAATATACGATACAGATAAGTGTCAGCTTAGCTAGCACAGTGAGATCGACAGAGGTGTGGGGATAAATGTAGAGCTAATACTAAGGTTTCCAACCCGATCTATAATCTATACAAAGCTTTATTTTATTTCGTTTTCTGTTCCCTCATATCTTACTCGATCTACTTATATATACCGACTTGCTATGTATTACAAGAATGTAGAGCATTCTAATGTACATCTCGGAAACAATCCAAACCAAAGGCGCAGTACCAGTATAGAAGATCGAAGATTCCGAAATAACGAAATGATGGTCGATTTGTATGCCAGGTTGTGTAGGTGATTAGGAAAAATGACCAGGGGTTTAGCCGAGCAAAGACCTTGGAGGCTTGGGTATTCGCAGATCATGAAGTAAGGGATCAATAGCATCGCATCTACGAAGGGCGCAACAGGCATAACATCCTTGCAATGTCCCTTGTACAGTAGCTCTACAACAGTAGATGCCCGGCCCGATCTAGACCCACTTGACACCGAAAAGTTCGGGGACTAAGATCAGAGCTCCGGTGAGTTTTGTATAGTAGAGAGATGTTTGACTATCGTGACTATGAAGTCCCTGTCCCTGTCCCTGGCGGACATGATAGACTCACGTACATGCCTGATTCGTCAATAGATTTTTGAGGGTGTACAGCAGATACGTGTCCATCGTAGACGATATTGTTGCCGAGGACATACGAAAACAACAAATCAGGTGACTTACCAATGGCCGAGGTCGGAGGGCGCGGAGGGGCGCCTAGCCAATCAGAAGCCCCTAATTTCTTGACTCAGAGCGGTCGGACATTTTGGGTTAAGCGTTTTCTCGGAAACCCCAGAGACGAGTCACTGGCAATCTTCAGCGGTCAATTGGTACTCATTTTTCCTTTTTTAAACCACTCTCCCCTCAGTCTTCCTGGCTTGGCCGTCATTCACAATGATGCCTTTAAGACCATCAAAAAGTGCTCTGCGTGCATTCCACTTCCAGAAGCAGCTTGCTGGACGTCGGCCTTTTTCAACCTCGTTTGTGGCTTCGGCCGCTTCGCCCCACCGCTCCTCTCTTCAGAAGCGCACCCAGAGTACAGCTACGGCTTCAAATCCGTGAGTTTCCCCCCACCCTATGATCACAATGCAATTGCAGTTTGGTTCTAATTTGTTTAATCGTCAGGGAATCCCGAGCCGTGCCCAGTCCGGCATTCAACCAGGAACCCCATCGCAATGAGATTTCTCCCTTGCAACACCGCCAGCTCCCCGAGCTCGATGACTCGTATGTTACCCTGATGACGGCTTGGACACACCGAAACTGATTAGCTGGTACATAGAATGGTTGGAATGAGTGGTGGAGAGATCTTCCACGAGATGATGCTTCGCCAGGGTGTAAAGCACATCTGTGAGTATCTCATACTTGATATTACACAATTTCCCAATTCTAATACTTGACATGCAGTCGGTTACCCCGGTGGTGCCATTCTCCCCGTTTTCGATGCTATCTACAACTCCAAGCACTTCGAATTCCTCCTTCCCAAGCATGAACAGGGTGCTGGTCACATGGCTGAGGGTTATGCCCGTGCCTCTGGCAAGCCCGGTGTCGTTCTCGTTACTTCTGGCCCTGGTGCTACCAACGTTATCACTCCCATGCAAGATGCTATGTCTGATGGTACCCCGATGGTTGTTTTCTGTGGTCAGGTCCCCACCAGCGCTATTGGAACCGATTCCTTCCAGGAAGCCGATGTGATTGGTATCTCCCGTGCCTGCACCAAGTGGAACGTGATGGTCAAGTCTGTTGGTGAGCTACCTCGCCGCATCCAGGAAGCTTTCGAGATCGCCACCAGTGGCCGTCCCGGTCCCGTCCTGGTTGATCTGCCCAAGGATGTCACTGCTGGCATTCTCCGCAACCCCATTCCCATGCACAGCACCATCCCCTCGCTCCCCAGCGCGGCCACCGTGGCAGCCCGTGAAATGAGCCGGAAGCAGCTCGAGAGCACCATCAGCCGTGTTGCTAACCTCGTCAACATTGCCAAGAAGCCCGTCCTCTACGTTGGACAGGGTCTCCTTGCTCGCCCTGATGGTCCCGAGATCCTTAAGGAGTTTGCCGATAAGGCATGCATCCCGGTCACTACCACCCTGCAGGGTCTTGGTGGATTCGACGAGTTGGACCCTAAGGCTCTCCACATGCTGGGTATGCACGGATCTGCTTACGCCAACATGGCTATGCAGGAGGCCGATCTGATCATTGCTGTTGGTGCCCGTTTCGATGACCGTGTGACTCTCAGCATCCCCAAGTTCGCGCCCCAAGCCAAGCTTGCCGCTACTGAAGGCCGCGGTGGTATCGTCCATTTCGAGATCATGCCTAAGAACATCAACAAGGTTGTCCAGGCCAATGAGGCCGTGGAGGGTGACTGTGCCGACAACCTCCGTCTTCTTTTGCCCCATGTCAAGGCTGTTCCTGAGCGTCCCGAGTGGTTCGAGCAGATCAACGACTGGAAGCAGCGCTTCCCCCTGTCGCTCTACGACCGCCAGACCGAGGACGGTCCTATCAAGCCCCAGGCTGTTATCGAGAAGCTTAGCGAACTCACTGCTGACCGGAAGGAGAAGACCATCATCACCACTGGTGTCGGACAGCACCAGATGTGGACTGCTCAGCACTTCCGCTGGCGTCACCCTCGTACCATGATCACCTCCGGTGGTCTCGGTACTATGGGCTTCGGTCTCCCCGCCGCTCTTGGAGCCAAGGTGGCCCGTCCGGACTGCCTTGTCATCGACATCGATGGTGATGCTTCTTTCAACATGACTCTCACTGAGCTTTCCACCGCTGCTCAGTTCAACATTGGTGTCAAGGTCCTCCTGATTAACAATGAGGAGCAGGGTATGGTCACTCAATGGTAAGCTGTCGTCTCCGATCTTCCCAGTATATTTGACTTACTTGTTTATTCCAGGCAAAACCTCTTCTACGAGGATCGTTACTCCCACACTCACCAGCAGAACCCCGACTTCGTTCCCCTTGCCAAGGCTATGCGCGTCGCTGCCGACAAGTGCTTCAAGCCCTCCGAACTTGAGGAGAAGCTGAAGTGGCTGATTGAGCACGATGGCCCTGCCCTCCTGGAGGTCATCACTGACCGCAAGGTGCCTGTTCTTCCCATGGTGCCTTCTGGCCGTGGTCTGCACGAGTTCTTGGTCTACGATGAAGGTATGCGAAACCCTGGCCAGTGATCTGACTTGAAACACTACTGACTCATTTAATTACAGCCAAGGATTTGGAGCGCAAGGAGCTGATGCGCGCGCGTAATGTGGACTTCCATGTCCGGAAAGAGTAGGTGACTAGCCAATGTCACCTCGACAATCATATTTCTGTACTTTGATATCCATGGCGTTTCTTGGCTGGTTCACCAAAAGCGATTGGGGCAATATCTGTCTAAAGATAAACAACAAATTCGTTAACCAGATTGCTCTTGGAGGTCGCTTTGGCAGAGAAGATTGGTGCTCGCGGGGTCTATGCACCTGTTGGGGTTTGCCCTTCGCCATATCCCTGAAAAGACCATGGCGAATTGCACGGAACACGTGCTTTACCTTGGCGTTTGATCGATTTTGGCCTTTTCTCTTGCCAGGTTGTTCCTCTTGTATATAATCATTGACGTCTCGGGTTCCTCGATGGGACTTGGGAAATTGATATGTTCGGGTTCCGTTAAATAGGAGCAGTTAGTCATTGAAAGCATTTATCTCTTGTTTTATTACGCGTTCATAAGCTCTTCCTCGTATGTTCATCATCCTTGATGGCTTTTTGTCTTTGTTGGCTAACAATGTACGGAGCTCCAGCCCTCGGGTCAACTTGTGTTCTTGAGATGTCGTCGATGTAGTCGCAATCCTTCTGAACTTCCTTGCTGAAACCACCCAAAGCTTCTCTTAGAGATTTTGTGGGACTACATGGTGCACATGCCTTTCCACAGGGGGAGGCACAGGCTGAGTGTGAGCATCGAACCTTTTTAGTGTTAGCATGACATCTTTTTGGTAGAGTTTTTCACAGTCATTTTCAAAGTCTTTCTCAAAGTCTTTTTAGACATCTTTTTAGACATCTTTTCAGATGTCTTCTCAGATGTATACAGAGGCGGTAAAATAGACAAGACAAATGAAGAAATTTAGATACTAGGTATCAATCTTAGCCATGTTGTGTTAACTAAATATAGCTTTAGTGTCAACAATAAGAAAAGAGTTCAATGGGGGGCCTTAGGCTGCGAACACCATCCGCATCCCGTACCTTCCAAGGTTCCATGGGTGTAGTACCATCCATACATATAGGTATTCCCTCAGAGGAATCGGTGTGGGTCGGGGCAAAGACCTACACGCCCGCTGTGGGAAAGGGCAAAGAGGGAGATCAGGCATTTGTTCCACCCTCTCGCTGCAATGATGGAGTTACAACTGCCGGTCGACCAACTCTAGTGATCGAAACCGGAGTTTCCGAGTCGTTGCCTCGCCTCCGCTAGGATGCGAGGAAATGGTTCGCGGACAGCAACGGTGAAATCCGCATCGTGATCATTATGAAAGTACGCAGAAAGCGAATCATGATCGAAAAGTGGCAACTCGCCCCCCGGCTTCCCCGTGACCATTAACCCACTCTGATATCCGCTCCCTAACCTCTCAATCCCCAAACAACCCACCTTCTATTACGCAGCCCGCGTCACTTCAACAACCTTACTGTGCACACGAAGTGAAAATAGACCTAAGCCTAGTGGCTGGTCAACCGAGCGTGGTCACTGGAGCCCCGATGGTTTTACCCTTTTTCGCTGTCTACGACCGGCTCCTAGTTCCGGGAGAATCTGATATTGTTCTGCAAAGACGAGATTTTGAGGTAATGACGAATCTTCTATGGTAGGTTCGTCAGCCTTGTTTGCTCCGTGTCTATAACACAGATAAGCTCGCAAAGTAGATCTGAGACTGGACGGAGAAAGAACGAGGAGAACATTTTATATGAACCCCTAGCCGGTTGTCCTTATCTATTGCTTTTGATTCTTTATGCTTAGGTATTACAATATTACTTGACAGCGCCCTGCCTGCCGCCCGTCAGATCTGAGTATCAGAAAGTAGTAGTAAAGCAATAGAAATGTCCCCTTTCCTCCGATGATGCTCGACAAGAAGCGTCGATGATGGATGTCCTCCACTATATCTGTCTCCCTTCGTCGGTTCGTCCCTCCGGGCCTGTGATAAAGTCTGTGTGCCACCGTCGTCTTCGTCAGCCTATATGGTATAATCGTCGTTAGCCTATATAGTATCCTCGTCGTCGTCTACGCTATTAGACACGCGGTTGTCGATCACGATAGCTCGATCCTAGCCATGGCCGTGTATTCAACCAGGTATTCAACTGAAACCGTTGTCAGTGACCCAGTCGCCTGACCCCCCGCCTGTAGAGGGCCGCAGTAGCCATAACGAATACATCATATTTCCTTCCCTTAGCTAAAAAAAAAAATATATCTCGTTTCTTTCCTTCTCCTTCACACTCTTGCTTTCAATCATGTTCTTTCATATGCTCTAGGGCTTGCATATCCCACAGCAAACAACAATTGGAAAGCAGCACGTTGCATTACTTTCGACCGCTTTGACCTTCACAAATCACATCTTCTTGTGATACCACCCAGCTAGAGATCTTCATCTTGACCATCCTGTTTCTACCAAACACTTGACCAGGAAATGATACCACATCATGGACTCCCAAAGGTATGTTTTAGATCTCTCTTACTTTTGCAAGATACGGCAATCCATTTTGAGAGATATCCGAATAGATTTGAAAAATCATCTAAGTAATTTGTGGAAAATGCTAATCGATTTAACCTATAAAAGGATGTGCCGTAACTTCGCCAGAGGCAATTGCCAATGGAAAAACTGCAAATATGCTCATGTGAGCAATGGCCATAGCCGCAGTCCAACAATCCCAACCAGCCAGATCCAACACCCTGAGCCGCTGCCCCGACGAGCTTGTGGCTTGCCAAATGCAGACAAAGCGTTCCAAGCATGGCAGGGCAGTATTCCTCTACGCACGACGGCCATTCGTCCCTCCTCCGGAAAGAAAACGACTATCTTCCGGAAAGCGAGGGAACTGATTGAATCTGACGCCAGTATACGACAAGAAGTCATCCGGACATTGGCGAGTGAGGATGGCTTGCGCCTAGTCTTGGACCTTGTTCAAGAAAATTTCGAAGACATGGATGCCCCAACGAGAGACTTGATTTTCAAGACTCAAGTGCTACCATTTCTAGAGACAGTCTCAAATTCCGAGGTTATATCCTCTCTGGTACTGGAGCAGGCAGTGGGCACAATCTACAATGTCTTGTTTGGAATCGATGGATCTAGAGCAGCGCGATGGCTCAATTTCATCTGTGGCGTTCTCGAAATCGACACCACCAACGAAGGCAGTGCCATGTTACTGGAGGCATCGCTACACACATTCTCTCGCATCGCGGACCTGAACTCTACGGCTCCTATCCAGGACTGCCTGCATGCCGTGGCACAGAGATTCGAAACTGTGCTCACCTCGATGAGTACCAAGAACGGCATGGGCAGTAGACTTTATCAATCTCGGCAGCACCTTGACCGTCTTCTTCAGCGCATGGAGACTGGGAAGTTGCTCCCAACAGGTACACCAGAGAAGAAAGTCAAGAATGAAAACAATGTCGCTTTTGTCCCCAACCGCGAGACCCCCGGTGGCAGACACAACAATGACTTTGACGATATCTGCCAGATTAAGATCATGCCCAGCTTTGAAGAAATCTGCAGCCTTCGGGGGGAGTACTTGCCCGTCAATAATCCACTTCAATGGCATATTGATGGTATCGACGGATTGCTAGATCGAAACTTTCGGTTGTTGCGAGAAGACACCGTCGGTCAACTTCGGGATGCAATCCACCACGAACTGAGTCCGCGTGCCCAGCAATCACAATTGCGCAAGTTCGTATATCCTAAGTCCTTCGTGGTCAATCTCGAGTTCAATTGGCTTTCGGGCCTTTACTTCGAAGTCGACTTCCCTCAGCCTGCTGGAGTAACAAACTACACACCCATGGCCCGAGAGATGTGGTGGCAGAACTCAAAACGTTTACAGCCTGGCGCGCTTGTGTGCCTCATCATTCAAAAAGATGTGGTGTTGTTTTGCACCGTGACACATCGTGACATGTCACCCAGGCGCAAAAGGGATAATGTCCCCCCACAGGATCACCTCCCCCCACAGAACAAAACAGAGCCAAAAACGTTGTGGAAGAGCTCCACGAGAGGCTCGGTTATGTTGATGTTGGTTGATTCTCGGTACACCAACACTCAAGTCGTTCTAGACCTTTTTAGTCCCAAAAAACCTACTATGTCTCTGGTGGAGTTTCCAGGAGTCATTCTTCCAGCATTTGAACCGGCGCTGCAAGCACTTCAATCGATGAAGATGGCACAAAATCTACCTTTCTCAGATCTGTTTGTCCCGTGGGCCTCTGACGATTTCAACATATCCGACATGGCCCCTGCATTGTATGCTTCGCAGCCTGGCTTTGCATTCAATCTCCGCTGCCTCATGAAGGATGATACCAATTTCTACGTCCGCGTTAATCAACCATCTGACGTGAAATACGTACAGGATCATTCAACCCTGGATGGTGCACAGGCTCATGCATTGATCAGTTGTTTGAAGCGAAAGCTCGGTTTGATCCAAGGGCCACCTGGTACCGGTAAGAGCTACACTGGTGTGGCTCTTGTCAAAGTGTTACTGGCAAACAAAGAAGCCACCAGAGGAAGATTGGGGCCCATATTATGTGTCACTTATACCAATCATGCCCTTGACCAACTTCTTGAGGCTTTACTGGACAACAATGTGACGTCGCAAATTGTTCGTATTGGATCCCAGTCTAAGTCGGAGAGGCTGGACAAATTCAACCTTCAGACTGTTGCGAAAGATACAACAAGAACAAAGATGGAGAAGAAAGAAAGATGGAGCACAGCTGAGAGACTCTCATTGTGTGAGGATGGCTTTCACGCCCTTGACCTGAAAAAAGAAGTCTCCATTGCTCGTCTCAAGTCCTATATCCAGCGGACAAGCCCCAGCCACCACGATCAGCTATTTTCACTGGTCCAGGAAGATGGTTTCTTGGGAGTAAAAATCGACAGCCCCCAGACCGCAATCACCTCTTGGCTTGATTCAGGAGCCAAAGACAGTGCTCGTGCACGACCCGTGGACCAACTCAAGAACATCAATGTTTTCGAGATGTCTCGAAAAGAACGACAGCATCTTTACAACCACTGGTGTCGTGATTATCGGGCAGAAGTGAACGAAAAAGTTCGGCAAATCATCACATCACACAAGGCTGCAAAACAGGGGTATGATAGCGTCCAAGACGAGATGCACCTTCGCTGCCTGGTTGAAGCAGATGTCATTGGCGCCACCACGGCGGGACTTGCTCGCAGACTTGATATGTTCCGAAGACTTCCATGCAAGTTCATGCTGTGCGAAGAGGCTGGTGAAGTTCTTGAATCACATCTCCTTACGGCGTTTATTCCTTCTGTTGAGCATGCAATCCTCATCGGCGATCAGCAGCAGCTTCGCCCTCAGGTCCAAAATTACGATCTTTCTAGCGAGAATCCTCGGGGTGGTGCGCAATACTCACTCGATATCTCCTTGTTTGAAAGACTGGTGAGCACAAACAAAAGCCCTATGGACTGTGGAGCTCCTTTCAGCACACTGGAAACTCAGCGGCGAATGCATCCATCTATCGCTCGGCTGATTCGTGAAACACTGTATCCAAAGTTGAAGGATGCTCCATCTGTTTCGGAGTATCCGGAGATTATGGGGATGCGGAAAAGATTATTCTGGTTGGATCACCGGCAGCGAGAGGGAGGATCTGACGCCGATGCCATGTCAACCTCTCACTGGAACAATCATGAAGTCGATATGACCGTTGCGCTGGTCAACCATCTTATTCAACAAGGTGAATACAAGCACGGAGACATTGCGGTGTTGACTCCATATCTGGGTCAACTCTACCGACTACGAAAACGGCTCGATGAACTCTTTGCCATTATAGTAGGGAACCGTGATCGAGAGGATCTCAAGCAGGCGGGTTATGCGGATTTTGAAACCAAGGAGAAGCCCACGATCAAAGCAGCCTTGTCACAGACTCTTCGCGTGGCCACCGTAGACAATTTCCAAGGTGAAGAAGCAAAGGTTGTTGTGATATCTCTAGTCCGAAGCAACGCAAAGAACCAATGCGGCTTCCTACGCACTTCCAATCGAATCAATGTTCTGCTGTCACGAGCACAACACGGCATGTACATCATCGGCAATTCAGAGACCTCAATCCATGTTCCCATGTGGGCTCAAGTCGTAAAGATTTTGAAGCAAGATCAGAATATCGGAAAGGTCCTGGAGCTCCAATGCCCTCGCCATCCAGATACACCGATTGCGGTCTCGACGCCAGAAGATTTTCCAAAGTTCTCTCCTGAAGGAGGTTGTGACCTGCGCTGTGTCAACCGGCTGGGCTGTGGACATGCCTGCGCCCAAAAATGCCATTCGGATGTTCTTCACAACGCTGTCTTTTGCCTAGAGCGTTGCCCTCGACCGTTTAATGGCTGTAATCATTCGTGCCCTAAGCGATGCGGGGACCCTTGTCCGGAAAAGTGCATGGTCAACGTATATCAAAAGCACAGAACACTCCCGTGCGGTCATCCAATGCCAAACCTTCCTTGTTGGCAAGATCAAGATATTTCCACGGTTCGCTGTCTGGTGCGTGTGGACAAGACGATCCCGGGCTGCAATCATACCTTCTCACTGCCATGCCATATCGATGTGGAAGCAAAAGATTATCGCTGCCTAGCTCAATGTCGCAGCCCCCTGCCTTGTGGACACTCGTGCAAAAAGATGTGTTATCGCTGCGTCACTAGAGGACCTGAGAGCGTGCCAGCCAATCATGGAAATTGCGAACAACGGTGTGACCGGAATCAATCTACATGCGCTCATACCTGCAGCGTTCCCTGCCACGGCGAGAAGCCCTGTCCTCCTTGCAAAGCTCCTTGCGAAGTCCACTGTGGCCATTCCAAGTGCCCGCGAAAATGCTACGAGCCGTGTACTCCTTGCGCAGAAGAAAAATGTCTTTCAGCGTGCCCTCACAGTGTCTGCTCAATGCCATGTGCAGCCCCCTGCGATCATGTTCCATGTTCCAAGCGATGTGAGAAGAAGCTACGTTGTGGGCACCAGTGCCCGTCAGTATGTGGAGAAAAATGTCCTTTACCCTTCTTCTGCCAAACCTGCGGAAACGAGGACACCCGAAATCATCAAGTCGATTTCATCCTGGGTCAAACGTACAAAGAAATCAACCTGGACGAAAACCCATGCGTATTCCCGAAGTGTGGACATTTCTTGACAATTGAAAACATGGATGCGCAAATGGACATGGCTAACTACTACGAGGTCGATGCTAGTGGCAAGCCCGTCTCTATCTGCGCATCATTGACCCCGTTTTCTATTCAAGACATCAAAACATGTGCCACATGTCGTGGACCATTGAGAGATATTGCGCGATATGGCCGGCTGATTCGCCGAGCTATCCTTGATGAGTCGACCAAAAAGTTGATCATCTTCCTCAACCAGGAATATGTTCCTCTTGCACAGGAACTTCCCCAGCTCGTTCGTGAATTGCATGCAACCAAAGGCCAAAGAAAGTATCCATGGCCAGCGGTGATCGAGATATCTGGCCTGCGAAACCATCAAATTCAGAACATGGCAGAAATCATCCAGAACACAAATCCAGATCGATGGAATTCAATCCTTGACCTGCGCAAGCGCGTCGATCTCTATCGGCGCCATGTGAAACCTGAGGAGCAACCATTTGAAAGAGTTCGGAGAATGATTGAAAATGCTCGACAACGCAAAAAAATAAGAACCAACCATGATCATGTCGATAATGTGCTACAGACCAAAGGCTTCCTGCAGGGCACCGCCCTCTTAATCCGTCTGGACATTGCTTTGCTCGTTGACCTCTTGAGTCTCGTTTCCCAAGGACAACCAAGTGTGATGCCACCTCGATTCGAGCTTGATCTACAGAAGATCAAGGATGATTGTCAGACCCTCATCCAACAAGCGGTCACTCACCAGCGACTTCTGCAGCAGGCAGAAGGTCATATTTTCCTAGCACAGCTCTATGCTCTCGAACGAGCGCATTGCTTGACACCAGAGAAGAGGTACGCCATCTTGGAGCATGGGCAGACTGCCATTCAGAAAGCCAAAGGTCTTTGCGACGCGCACCCAGGCCAGACACGAGGACTGGCAGATGAAGTTCGCAGCGTCGAGAAGATGTTGCGCGGGGGCACATTCTACACAATTATCACCAACGAGGAACGCATGGAAGTCATTTCGGCGATGGCTCAAGAATTCAGAGGAACTGGGCATTGGTACTACTGTCGCAACGGGCATCCGTTTACCATTGGGGACTGTGGGCTAGCCAGGGAGTCGAGTCGCTGTCCTGAGTGTGATTCCCCGGTGGGAGGTGAGCATTCTCAATTAGCGGAGGGGGTTAGACTGGCGGTGGACTGGGATCAGGATAGGGCGAGATTGGAGAGATTGGAGCTTTAGCGGAGAGGTGGTTGATTCTGTTGCTCTTTTCGCTCATCCTTTGTGATTAGGCAACCCAATTTGCTGCCGTACGGCAGGTAATAAGGACACGTTTATTTTTTTTACCTGCATAGACCTTGAAAATTCCAAAAAGATATAGAAGTAAAAACAATTGAAGCTTTATAGGTGAAAGTCCTAGCAAAATAAGAAGGGGAAAGTTATAAGGAGTCGCTATCCGCTGCCGTACGAAGTCCACGGGGTGACGTCTCGGGGAGTCTCAAGGTGTCACGCCCAAGCTTATCCTCCACTCAACCTCCTTCCGCTCTTCCCCCCTCCCCCATTATTCCCACCTTGATACTTGTCTTATGAATTGATTCGCACGATCTCTTGCTAGCTCATTGTCTTTCCATTGCATGTGTTCACCCTGCTCTCCCCCTAGCTTCCGCCCCTCACCCGTTCCATAATGGCTAGCCCACCACCCGTCACCGAGGACCAGAACCGCCTCCTCGAGGAGGCATTGGGGGTGGTGAGGCAGCAGTCGAGTCTGATGCGCAAATGCCTAGAGACTCCTGGAAAGCTCATGGATGCGCTGAAATGCGGGTGAGCTCCCCTATGAAACTCCCCAGGCAGCGACCTCGGAATATGCGCAATGAGTTCGTATGCTAACAGCTTGGAATCTACCTCTACAGATCGACTCTTGTCTCTGAACTACGAACCCCCAGTCTCGGCCCGAAGCAGTATTACGAATTGTATATGGCCGTCTTTGATGCGCTGCGACACCTTTCCGTCTACCTAAAGGAGAACCACCCCGTCAACCACCTCGCCGACCTATACGAGCTCGTTCAGTATGCCGGAAATATCGTGCCCCGCTTGTACTTGATGATCACCGTGGGTACGGTTTACATGTCCGTCCAAGATGCGCCGGTCAAGGAGATAATGAAGGATATGATGGAGATGAGCCGAGGCGTGCAGCACCCGATCCGTGGCCTGTTCTTGCGATACTACCTCTCCGGCCAAGCACGGGATTATTTGCCCTCCGGAACCGGTGATGGCCCAGAGGGTAATATGCAGGATTCGATCAACTTTGTTTTGACGAATTTCGTGGAAATGAACAAGCTTTGGGTTCGGCTTCAGCACCAGGGCCCCTCACGAGAGCGGGATAGGCGCATACAAGAACGACGCGAACTGGAGCTGCTCGTCGGTAGCAACATCGTTCGACTCAGCCAATTGGTTGATCTGGAAGGGTACAAATCCGGTATTTTGCAAGCGCTTCTAGAACAGGTTGTACAATGCCGAGATGTCCTCGCGCAAGAATATCTCCTGGAAGGTACGGCTCTCTTGTTTCTTGTTTTTTCTCGGAAAATACTCTTGCTTGGTCCATTTGCTAATCTGACCAACAGTTATCACAAAGGTCTTCCCAGATGAGTTCCACCTGCATACCCTGGACCTTCTATTATCTGCCATCGCCAGACTTAACCCACACGTGGATCTGAAGAAAATCGTCATTGGTCTTATGGACCGTTTGTCTTCTTATGCAGCAAGGGAAGCGGACTCAGCAGTAGAGCCAGAAGCACGGAAACAAAACGAGGAAGAAGCTGTCACCAAGCTATTGCAAAAGCTCGAGCTTGCCAAAGAAACCAAAGCCGAAGAGGCAAAGGACGCCAGCATCGATGACACTTCCAAGGGAAATGGTACCGAGAACGGCGAAGCAGAAACACCCAAAGAAATCCCCGAGCCTGTTGAACCGCCAACGGAAGAAAAGCAGGTTGAGAATGGGGACGACGCTAAGTCTGGTATTCCAGCAGAAATCAAGCTGTACGATATCTTCTACGACCAAGTGGTCAATTTGATCAAAACGCGTGCCTTGCCGATTCAAGATACCATGGCGTTGTTGGTATCACTTGTCAATCTGGCATTGAATACCTATCCAGATCGGTTAGAGTATGTCGACCAAGTCCTGGACTTCGCGACGCAAAAGACTGCCGAATACACTGATCATGCCGATTTGCATTCGGCGCCAACCCAACAACACATCCTCCACCTCCTCAATGCTCCTCTCAAATCTTACATCTCGATCTTCACGGCTTTGGCGTTGCCACATTACCTGCCACTACTGACCTCACAGTCATACCCCACAAGGAGGGCTGTAGCGGGCGAGGTCATTCGCAGTCTTCTGAAGAACAAGATCTTAGTATCCACAACGGAAAACCTCGATCGTGTGCTCCAGGCCGCAAGAGTATTGATTAAGGAAGGCATGCAGCAGTCTGCTGGATACCCCGGGTCACAGTCCCAACGGCGGGGAGGAGAAACCGATGAGACGGTAGAAGAGCAAGGGTGGCTTGCGAGACTCGTGCACTTGATTCAGGGATCGGACAATGACACCCAGCTAAAGGTAGGATCACTTGCCAGATGTTTTTATACCCATAACTAACAGTCTGTAACAGCTCCTCCAAGCAACGCGCAAGGCATTGGCCGATGGCAACGAACGAATCCGCTATACCACCCCTGCAATCATAACGGCCTCGATCCGATTGGCCCGCAAACTGAAGTCGCGCGAGCATTACGACGACAATTGGCAATCACAGTCATCGGCTCTATACCGATTCATGCACCAGAGCATCAACAATTTATACCAGCGTGTAAATCCTGGTTGCGCCGATCTCGCACTGCGGCTGTTTGTCATGTGTGGCGAGGTTGCGGATCAGACAGGATTCGAGGAAGTCAGCTACGAGTTCTTCGCACAGGCATTCACCATCTATGAAGATGCGATCAGTGACTCGCGCGCCCAGTTCCAGGCCGTCTGCATTATTTCAGGCGCCCTATATGGGAGTCGTGGATTCTCTAAGGAGAACTATGACACACTCATTACCAAAGCTGCGCTACACGGAAGCAAACTCCTCAAGAAGCCCGATCAATGTCGTGCGGTGTATCTCGCAAGCCACCTCTGGTGGGTAGTTGAGAACCCTCAACGTGGAGAAGATGATCCCAAGGATGTAAGTTTTATCTCCAATTCCAATGTCTTAATATATTTTCGCTAACGTCAACTTTGCAGCTCTATCGCGACGGCAAACGAGTTCTCGAGTGCCTCCAGCGCGCCCTCCGTGTGGCCGACGCCTGCATGGACACGGCTGTCTCCGTCGAGCTCTTTGTGGAAATCCTCAACCGCTATGTCTACTATTTCGACCAGCAGAACGAGACCGTCACTACCAAGTACCTGAACGGTCTTATCGAACTCATCCACTCCAACTTGCAGAGCAATGAAGATGAGGCAAATGCTAATCTCGATGGCCCAAAGCGCCACTTCCAACGCACGCTGGAGTATATTCGCTCTCGCGAATACGAAGGCATTGTGACAGATCCACCAAAGTAATTGCCAGATGGATTTCCACGCCATTTTGGTCGGGACACACCTCCTGGTGATCTTCAAAGAGCACTATGTGTGATGTGCCACGTGAGATTCCTGGTTTGATCCTCCTGGCCGAACTTGTTTTTCTGCTCTACTCTATTTCCTTGGTCTCTTTTGTCTCTCTTGTTCCTGGAAGCCTACCTCTTTTTCTTTTACTGCTCCTCGGTTTTCTTTCATTCCTAGTATATACAAGTGTATCATTGTCTCTGGATAACACCATACCCTTTCAACGTGATTTGTATCGGTCATGGACAACTTCTTTTTTTTTTTTTGTAGAACAATCAAGCACCTGGGTAGCCTCGAGGGGTGGATTAATCATAGAAAATATGACTATATCCCATGAGGAAGCCATGCTGAATTCCCTCTGAAGTTCCACATACATATAAATCCTATCTGCATAGTACGTGATGACCAAATATTCAACTCTACGTTGCTAAGTTCTACGAAAAGCCAACAAACGAAAGCCGAAGAAACCTTCGATCATGCAATTGGTCAAGACGATGACGGAGTGGGAGACTAACCCTATCTCCACGGATATCGCTGCATAATGTAGAAAGGCCAGAGACTCATACCGTACATAAAACAAATCCGGAAGCCATACTTCAAAAAGTAAAGCATTCAACCACATTGGAAAAATACCAAGCAAATAAACAACCCATATCAATAGCAGTGACTCTTTCGAGTAGAAAGATGTAGACAGATGTGTGAGTATGACGTTAATCCATGACGCTTCAATAAAGAGGATGAAAAAAAAGGAAATGAAAAAGAAATAGACGAGAGGGCATTTCAAAGTCGTTCCAGCAAGAGTGCGGAAAGGAGGCCGAGAAGAAGATTCACCCCAAGGCCGGGTTGGCATCAAATCATGATCAGGATAGAGAAGTCCCGCCGAATAAGCCAGTCGGAGGCGAAGCATACTGCCGCAGCACGGAGGGCCCACCAAATCCGCTGAAGGGAGCTGGGTGGCTGTTACTAGGAATCGGGCTGCCGATATCGCCAGGCACAATGCTACCCCGATGACCGGAGACTGAACTGTTGGGATCGGGTTCGAATCGGACAGACTGGCCACTCGGGCCTTCCTTGATAGAGAACGATCCGCCGCCATTCTGCGGACTGCCTTCTGTATCGCAGATATCAAGCATTTCGTCCAAAGAGATCGATGGCTCTCCCGAGTTGCGCAGCTGCTCCACCTGACCGAGAACAAGGTTCACATCGTGGAAGCTTCCAGCACCCTTCTGCGGGCTGGTCATCGAGTTCAGCTGCTTGCATGCTTGGATGACCAACAGGCGAATTGTAACGGGTCGAGAAGTGTGGGGCCGATGATGACCACCCGCTGCGAAGGCATTATTGGGAGGCCAGCCAGTTCCGGCAGGGGCGTGTCCCCATGTGGAAGGAAAGGGGGAACCTCCAAAGGGTGTCGCAGCCCATGTGGTGTTTCCCATTGGAGAACCAACCGGGAAGTTATTCTGTGGGGATCCCAGAGGATCTGAGAACAAGGACGATCCTTGGAAGCTCGCTCGCGTTGGCCCCGGGAATGCCCCGGGTGCGGGGTCACCAGGCAATGATTGAGACAGGTTTGATGGATATGTAGCATCAGTGTCATCCAGGAGCGCACTGCTACCTAGATGAGCACTCAAGCCATCCACTTCTCGCTGCACTGAAGCATTGCCATTGTTCTGCCGGTCCTGTGCGGAGCTGGATGGGCGTTTGATAGGGCTTGGCCGTGTGATGGGGAATGGCTGGGTCCCAGACTCTAACGGAGAACGGTCAAATGAAAGAGAGGGCTGCCTGGAATGGGCTTTTGAGAGACCGGCTTGCTGCAGAGGGAATGCCCCTGGCACTCCATGATTGCCAGCGAAGGGAAGGCCGTGCACAGAATCAGGGGGGAACGCTCGGGTCGGCGGCATGGTGCGTACACCGTTCATCCCAGGCGGCGCAGGAATTCCGCCAGATCCGTTGAATGATCGCAAAGGGTTCATCATCCCAGCATTCGACGAATACATGGATTCTGGAGGGTGAGTCGATCGCGGAGCCATTCCTGGTATGCCCGGGGGGTTGAATGGTAGACCACCGAGGCCAGCGAATGCTGAAGGATTTGTGCGCCCTAGAGGTGACAGAGGAGCAGAAGGCTGAGGATGGTGCAAAGGAGGCTGTTGATAACCTTGTCTGGCACCGAAAGTCGCTCCTGACTGCGGATGACCCATGGAACGTGGGGAGATGGAAGGGTGGTGAGAGGAATCGGCGCTGTTAGGTTGAGAGTGAGGGGAGGATGTAGAAGAGCCATGATGGGATTGTTGACGAGGCCGTCCCGGGGTCGAGACCTTAGGAATAGGTGTCGCCATAGGATAATGCGGGGACTGCAGGAAACCAGGAGGGGCCTGAGACTGGAGATTGTATGGGATGACGCCTGGCAGAGTGTGTGGTGGCGAGGTTCTGACTTGTTCGCGCTTTCCACTACGATCTCGAATCTCCTGCTCTCGTGCTGCATCTCGGTCCTTCCTGGCCTGATCTTCGCGCATTTTGCGCTCACGTTCCTCTCTGGTTCTCTTTTCCAAGGCCTCACTCTCTTCCTTTTCTTTGCGTTTGGCATCCTCTCGCCTCTTCTTTTCCTCCTTTTGTTCTCGTTGCTTACGCTCAGCTTCAGCTTGACGTGCCCGTTCTTCTTTGAGTCGTCGCTGCTTCTCGGCTTCTTTGCGAGCACGCTCTTCCTCTTGTGCCTTTTTTTCGGCATCACGCTTCTTCCGTTGCTCTTCGCGCTTTAATCGCTGTTCTTCGAGTTTCTTCTCTTGCGCAGCCTTCACAGCCGCCTCTTCAGCCGCCTTCTCGGCGTCCCGGCGGGCTTTCTCCTCTTCTTTTGCTTGTCTTTGCAATCGCTTCTTATCTTTCTTCTTTTGCGCTTCCCGGGCCTTTTTGGCATTACGCTGCTCGTTCAACGTCTCCTCTTGGAGGAGCTCGTCAATTAGCTGTTTCTGACGTTGTTCGGCGACTTTCTCTCGGTATGCCGTCATAACCCGTTGCTCAAACATTCGGGCGGCGAAAATCTGGAACATCCGTCGGCCTTCCTGCATGCGTTGTTCCTCGGTCATGGCATCCTGTTAGCATTATTAGCAAATTGGCCCGAACAATATGAGATCGTAGACCCGTACCATTTCGTCCTCGTCGAACTCTTCCTCCTCTTGACTATCGTAGTCCTCGTCGTCCTCTTCATCATCGTAATCCTCATCATCTAAAGGGCCATGATTATGCCCATGGAAGGACTGATGAGCAGCAGCTATTCCGTACTGTGTATCTTCCTCTCTTTGCATTCTCCGTTCAGCCAATTGCTCCATCATATCGATGAAGTGCTTGCCATCATTTTTCAGGAGATCGTCTGCAACTGTAAGAATGCCATCTGGTAAAAAAAATAATTAGTATCCAAAGTTAGACGTCAAATCCTTGTAATATCGATCAAGTGATCTTGTTGCATACCTTTTACAGTTAGACTGTTACCAAATGCAAAGAAATCAGCCCGGGCTGCTCGAGCTTCATCATCTTCAAGGTCCTCGTCGCTGTACAGCTCCTCGTCATCCTCTTCCTCGTCCTCATCTTCTTCGTCATCCTCTTCCTCTTCTTCGTCGTATTCCTCTTCTAAATCATCATCGTTGTCCTCAGGTAGTTCCTCGACTCGGCTCCGTGACGGATGAAACTGGCCGTGCGTCCTAGTATGCTGCCCTGGGGGTCGAAGGGGTGGTTGATAGAGTCGAGGAGGAGGAATGATGGGAGCTCCCTCGTCGAATGCGCCTTGATTGTTATTCGCATATTGTTCAAGCTCCTCGTAGTATGCGTCGTAGAGGACCTCTAACTCTTCTTCAATCGCGGTTCGTTTTCTTCCACAAACTGTACAACTGCAAGAGTGCTTTTGTTGTTCTTTCATTTTCTTCAGAACAGCATCCTTTTCCACTTTGACAAGCTGGCGCCGTTCTTCTTCGCCGAGCTCAAACCAGAAGGTCCTGATATTTTCGCGTTCTTCGAGAGTTGACTGGTTCCAGATGCTGCTATTTTTCATAGGTTTTCCGGTGAATCGACTGATGTATGGCATGGATTGGGGAGGTGGAGGAGGGTGAGAGAAAGTCGCGGACGGGGTTGAAAGCGGAGTCGAGCTACGATCAGCATGATTCTGGGAGTCGGATCGGGCTTTCCTATTTTTCTTCCTTTTCGATGTCTCGCCTAAGGCCGCGTGGTGGCCATCGGGTCCGTTCGTCGCGGGAGGTCCGCGGGGATGTTCTGGTGATGCATATCCGTAATGACCACCGCTTGCTGTGTGGGGGTGATCATCGAGGTCATATTCGTGGTCTTCATCGTAGGAGCGCTGTTCATCTGTAGCTAGCAAGTCCGCATCTCCGGAGGCGTAAGCATCGGGATGTTCCGCGGCTAAGCGAGCAGCTTGTTTCTGTCGACGTTTCTGCTTCTTGCGATTCACAGAAGGCGCAGATGTCGCAGCTGATCCGGTCGATGTGGTGACTTGAGGACCCCGCGCGTGGGTCTCGCCGTTGCTTGCTGGAAGCGGAGTTGCTGACATATGGGTCGCCATGGTGGAGGTCAAATAAGCTGCAGGGACTGCCTCAGCAGCATACTAATACAGCCAGAGCAAGCTTCGAGTTAGAAAAGCAACGTCAGAGAGGGTGGGTGGTAGAATGAGGAGGAAAAGCGGAGAACGGAAGAGCCAAAGAGCCCTACCAACAAAGCTCCGGTGATTCCACGATCTGATGCTGACTTACCGGAATTATTCCCCTTGGCGTATTCACGCACAAAGAGTCAATCGCGTTCTTTGTTGTTTGCTTAAAAGACACTTCCGTAGTGGCAAACGTGAGGGGCGAGATAGGATAAGGACACGGGAGGAGGGGGGTTGAAAGACAGTGATCCCGGCGGGTCACGACGTGTCTGCGCTTCGGATTAGCTCCTACAGCACTGGCAAACCAGCGGAGGAAAACAAACAATGAGTCAAAGTTAGGATCAACAACCTTGGAAGATATTAAGGCTGAGTGAGCGCCGAGGCAAGAGGTACGACAGATCAAACGCCAATGAATGGATGGAGTGATGGGCTTTCCAGCCTTCTGGCTGGTTGTCGTGCCGCCGCAACGGGATAGCCGCTACAAGCGAGCTGATGCCTTAATTGTCAGGCCTCAACCTCGAATTGGATCCTTTAGTGGCAATATCTTGATTGTAGGAAGATATTTCAAACTGTTCACTGTAGTAAAGTTTAGATCTCAACTAGTTAAACACTCTAGCCAAGTTATTATTCCTTGGTTACAAGACTAAATAGACGAAACAGACTACATCTCACTGCTTTCGTGCTGATCACTACATTGTTTTGAGTCACATGATTATTCACATGCCCGCCTTCGATCTGCCAGCAATATTCCCCTTACACTAGGCGGTGAAGGGGTAAATGGCTAAGGGGAAACCAAGTACGGAGTATGAGCGCTCTGATCCACCGAGCTGTGTGAGACACGGAGAGAGCGCTAATGAAAAATATTTCCCATGGTGATAAAACAAGAGAGCCAAAAAAAAAAGGGTCCCCATAGGATGATCAAACCGAGAAGATATCCATTCTATTAATATTTATGTACGGAATAGTCCGTTCATAGTCTCGGCGTGAGCCTTGATAAATCTCCGCTTGGAGAAATTGTAAGCGCCTTCTTCCCCTTCATCTTATCTTACTCTTCAGCTTCGGCCTCTTTTTCTTTAAAACTTCCGCTCACTCAATTTCTACCTTTCTCCTCTCTCTTTAAGCCTATCATTTTGACGTTGCCCAGGGAATCTCGTGTCTACGTCAAACCCCCCCCCAATCATTAGCCTCAGCCGCAGCGCGACCTTTTCCCCCCCCCAAAAACTCGTCACGTCACTCTTTGGGTGCATCTTCAGGCTACCCATTCATATTCTCTCTGTAATCCTTTTGGGCACTATCTGCCCAGGGCTGGTCTTTCCTTACTATTCCGTGTCGCCAATTCTCGTAATCAGCTGAAATCTGACTCGGAACTCCGCGTCATCTCGAGTGCTGATCCACAACACCCTCCGATCTCCCCATTACCCTTGTGTATCACGAAAGGGTCTTGCAACCTTCATAATGTCGCAACAACAGGATGATAATGTGATGCGAAGGTATGTGTAGCCCATTTTTTGATATGATGTCTTACATCCCCCACGCTGCATGGTAAAGAGATTATGCAAGCCGATTGGAAGTGGCAGCCTAGCACTTCCGATACCATTGCCAGTGGGATTGAAGGCAGAAGAGTGTTCGCATATGCTAATTTGAAGCCCCTGATAGGAAGCTTGTGATCATTGGCGATGGTGCTTGTGGAAAAACCAGTTTGCTCAGCGTCTTTACCCTCGGGTACTTCCCAACTGTGAGTTTAGTCTTTAAGCAGCCCCTAGAAGAAGCCCCTAGAAGCAGAATCCGTGGCTAATATGATCTCATATCACAGCATTATGTTAGTTCTCTCGACCTCGATACATCCCCTCCCGATCACATGTCTGACATTTCCCCCGTTAGGTACCGACGGTATTTGAAAACTACGTGACGGATTGCCGTGTCGATGGCCGCTCAGTCCAATTGGCTCTGTGGGATACAGCAGGACAAGAAGACTATGAGCGCTTGCGACCATTGGCGTACTCGAAAGCCCATGTCCTCCTGATTGGGTTCGCTATGGATACTCCTGATTCGTTGGAGAATGTGAAACACAAGGTTCGTTTCGTCTCAGATAAATTGATGAATCGGCAGTGAATCGGCAGTGGTACTGATCTGCGGTATAGTGGATCGACGAAGCAAACGAGCGATGCCCCGGTGTGCCGATCCTTTTGGTTGGATTGAAGAAAGACCTTCGTGAAGACCCATTGGCGATTGAAGAAATGCGCAAGAAGTCACTCAAGTTCGTGACGACAAAAGAGGGCAGTGATATCGCAACCTCGATTGGAGCCCGCAAATATCTTGAATGCTCGTCTCTAACGGGCGAGGGTGTTGACGATGTATTCGAAGCAGCTACCCGTGCTGCGTTGCTCACATTTGACAAACGGAAATCGTCTTGCTGCATAGTTATCTGATGATGCAATTTGGGATGTGCAAAATGCCGACTCCTTCTCTGCCAGCGCGCGGTTTTTTTGTTGACTTGGAAGTTGATTGATACAACTTGGTGTGAACCATGAAGATATCAATCGACGCTCCGTTGTATCATGCATCACTGGTGTTTGGGAGGTTCTTGTTTTAACCCGGTCGATTGATCTGGGTACGATGTCTGCTTTCCGGTTATTTTCAGCCGTGCCTTTTCCCTTGCAGGTATTTTCTTACGTCTTTCCTTTTTGATCAATTGCGTCTTTGTGGCTGATGCTTATGCACGTGCAACTCCGGATTCCCCTCCTTCTCACATCCAATTCCCCGAAGTACATTGCGATCTCACTCATTGTGTTCTCTTCTTTTCATGTAGTAATTCCGGTGCCTTTGTTTTCAGCGCTCATTTCTCATACATTGTGCTCACGATCCGCTCAGGGTATCATATAATCAACTATCTCCTTCCGGCACGTCATACCATGTAGACCCATACTCCCTATACCCCTATACATACAGAGTCAAGAGGATATTGCACAGGAAAAGCATAGGTACAATTCAAACACAGTGATATGGAGCTTGAAATGCAAACTACTAAGTATATCAAGATAAAAAAGGAAATGCATATGTTACATAGCGCCAAAATGATACATATATCCTGGGCCTTTCAGTCCAATGAATCTTTAAACAAACATCAAATCCAACCAGACAACCTCTCCCTCAAGTCCTCTACTTCCGAACAGGCTTCTTCCAGTCGTAGTTCCATCCATCAGCAGGAGGAGACTCAGTCTGCATGCGAGCATACTCAATAGGGAACATATCAGTGAAGATGCCCTTCTTGTTCATCGAGACGCGGAACAGCTTTCCTCCATCTCCCGCTCCAGTGCGCAGCTCCTCACACGCATCTTGCATGCTCTGGTACTGGCGCATCATCTCGAGTTCATGCTTGCGGCGCTGCTGGGCCTGGAACAATTGCCAGGCGCGGTGGATGGTCCAGTGACGGAGGTAACGGTTGCGGGAGAAGCGGAGGGGACGGGGGGTGAGAGGGTGGTGGAGGAAGTAGCGGATCAGAGCTAAATTTTTGGAAAAGGTATTGTTAGTTTTTGGTTCTTTTCTTTATTTGGCCTTGGTTACAAGACGTGTTTGGTTTGATTGGGGGCTCGGGACTCGGGACTCGAGCTCGGCGCAGGGGTATGGTACATACTAATGCGCTTATCAACTACAGGGCCGTTGTTGGCCTTTCTTGCGGCCATTGCGCTTGTCGTCGAGAATGGCGCTGATTGCAGGGTTGCTGTGACCGGGCCGGGCTGTTGTGTTTGGCGGTTCAGGGTCTCGTGGCACGCCCGGGAAATTGATGGGCGGACCGGCGCCATCGACATGGGGATCTTGAAGACATTCGCGAGAGACGCGAGGGCTGGTGATAAGGACTTCATTGTGATGGTTGTCTGTTGGGTGGTGGAAGGAGTGGGAAGGGCTCGATGTAATTGAGTTCCACGGGGAATAATTCCTTGACGGCAGAATCTTGTCCGCCTGTTTAGCCGCGCGCTTGGTGAGATTAACATTCCCGCTGCATGCATCTTTAGCTGCGACGAATTTGTGCTTCATGTTCTTTTTAAATGATGATTGATTTATTCGTTAAACAGCAGGGTCTGAAGAAATCCAATATACCGAGAAAGGAATTTCTACGTCCGGTGACTGGTTCATTAAGCCAGTCTTGAGATTGATAATGGGTTACAGATAGAAATTGATACATGGCTTTTGAGCAGAGATCATGACTTGATATTTTTGTCGAATAATAAAATAGAGGTATTCAGCAGTATCCAGAGTCATCAAAGGCATCATATGTGAAATGTCCCACCAAATCTGTCAAAGAGAATGCCCCAAAACGCCATAGAATGCAGTCGACGTAGCCGAAGATAAGCAGAGGAAAGAAGTCGATTGAAACAAGGAATGGTCTGTTCGAAGCTATCCAGTGGACCGCTTTGCGGCATGGTGTTTCTTAGCTCGATCGTAGTTCAAGACCTTGCGGCGACGGTGTGTTTGGGCTAGCTTCCACCGGCAATAAAGGACCAGTGCATCCTTCAACAGAACAAACATGCACCCGCCAACAACACTGCGACCCCAGCGAGTTTGAAGTAGTCCCAAGCGGCCACGGTCCATGGTTGAGGATGTCCATGACTTAGGCAGAAGATACTTCAACAGGCCACCCATTGACGCTGAGACTGCTGGGAAGACGAGTGCTCCGAGTACGACATCAGCGAGATTGCTGGTATCGGCAATAATCTCGTTCTGTCGCCGCCCAAGTCCTAGTGGGTTGTTGTTTTGCCCAGCAGCTTGTGGGCCGCCATCGGCATCTTCGTCTTGCCCGACGGGAAGGCCCTCAAGGTCTGGTTCGTTTCCATCGCCCATTCCCATTTGCAGCTCAAGATCGATCTCCATCAGGATCTGTCCGTTTCCATTATCACCGAACCGGTTGAGACCCTCCGCCTGATCTTGTTGCTGTGCATCATCCAAGGTTTCTTCCGCCGCGCGGGGTTGTACCTCAGCAATCCATTTTCGTTCCAGGCCACCGAATAGCCGTTCATAAAGCGCCCCGTAAAAGCTTTTGACGTATGGCAGCGCGGCAAACGTCATAGCCGGTGTGGGTGGCCACAAGTCGAAGTCGGGTTCCTGCCCCGGGTTATGTGCAGCGAAGAAAAGAACCGGAATAGCGGGGAGAAGGCCTTCGGCATACCGAGTGCGTGAGAATATTAAGACGAGCGGGATAAGCGGCAGCCCGATATTCATCCCGGGATTCCATGGGCCCTCCATAGTATCCTCCATGATCTGTCTGGCTTCCTCGGTTCCGAAAACGAGGTACATTGAATAAACTCCATGCGCGCAGCATCCGGCCCATACAGTGCCGGCCACTGTAAACATCATGCCGGGAAGAACCAATCGACCTGCTACGCGCTCGACCAGTCGAAGCATATCAACCACATAGCTCCGCGGGCGTGTGACCACAATTTCCGTCTTGCACTGAGGGCACACCATTGTCACGCCACCGTTGCTTTTGCGCGACCGGGGGTTTTCCATGTCAGCAAGCCAGTCGAGCAGACATGCCTCGTGGGCTGTTAAGGCACAAGGGCAAGGCGACCGCCATTCCAGATTCAGTGGCGAGTCCTCTGTTTCATCTGTATAGCAAATCCAGCATTTGCGCGGCTCGTCTTCATCAGAGACATGAGAGGGTTTTGATGATGGACTGAGTGATTTGCTGGAAATATCCGATCCGTGGCTTGGGGTTGATACGCTCTTATTCAAGAAAACGGTTTCGGTGTCCTCCATCGACTCATCCTGAGGTAAGACGCTCTCTTGAGAGATGGTGTTTTCATCAGAATTGGCGGGTGTGGTGTCATCGAGTGGTCTGGTTCTGCCTGCTGCAGAGTATCCCGGGACGGACGCCATCGTAGTGGAGACAAGGTATGTAAGTCAGGGTCGATGAGAAATGTAGAGATAGTGCGATATTGATCTAAATCGGGCTCGATAAGAGACAAAGGACGGGGTTCAGCATCTTCTGAGTAGAGAGATGGACCATATAAAAGCTGGCGAAGCAAAACAAATCTCTCGAATGTTCCCCCAGAGCACAAGAAGAGAGGAGCTCCATTCCGCTAAGTGGAGGTTGGAGTCTCTTAAGTTCGGCTGTAAGCCGCGGCTGTCAAAGGCAGTCACGTGGGGGCAATCACGTCACATTGGCCATCAGGCTCAAGCTCAACCCGGAGACGGTAAAGGATCGTCGAACATCTACGATGTATGGATGTGCTTGCTTCCTGATGTGTTTCACTTTCTAATTCGTATGGAGGATATACTGCTGTTCAGTGTTTGCCCTTTATGTACTTATGCCTGATAAACCAGGCACTTCTTCGATCTCGGTGCTTGTAACTATAGATACAGGAAATCTACAGTCCACCTGAGCAGTATAAGAACAGCTCAATCATTGCTCTTAGTCCTCTTATCTCTCCCTCCAAGGTTGTGATAGCTTTTTGCTCGGTCTATTCTAAAGAAGGGTAGACCTAGCTATGCACATTGGTGGCTGGCTCATGAATCGGACCCTGTAATCCTTCAATTGGTCAACTACAAGATACTACAGCCATCTACATAAAAGGATAAAGAAGAGACTGGGATTTGGATCAAGTAACAAATCATTCATTAAACAAGCAGAAAGTAATAAGGTGTGATCTGGCGATGTGATGATCAGGGGTGGAACATAAGGGACACCATAGAAAAGCGAGGGGTAACCAATCCACACACCTAACTACTCTTTAGGATGAATGCTACCATCAGACTTCCTCTTGCCACCAGCTGACGCAGTCATGTCTTCCAGGGCGTCATCCAGCTTAACTGGACTCGAGACAGATTCAGCCATCGCCGCGGCAACAGCTGCGGGTTCAGAGGCACGTTCAGACTTTGTCACGTTCACGTCGTCCTTTTCCTCCTCCTTCTCTGCTGGTTCGGTTGCTACCGGAGACGACTTAGCCGGTTCTGAGATCGCTGCTGGGGTCTGTATAGGCTGGACATCCGCTGTTGTGGTTCCGGGCGAGGTCACGTCCTCCGCAACGGGAGATTCAGGTGTTGGGTCTACAGATTCGCCGGCGGTGTTCTTAGCGATTGGAGGGGCCATTGGGTGTTCGGCAGGCACAGATGGTTTTTCCACTGCAACAGAAGGCTTTTCCTTGTCCTTACCAGTTCCAACAACCAGGTTCCCATCCTGGCCGACTTGCCAGATATTCAAAGTTTCTGTGATCTTGATCTCTGGAATAGTGGGGAGTCTGGAAGGGGTTTTCTCGACGGCTGGCTTTCGTCGTGCTGGACCGCGGGCTCTTCCCTTGCGAGCATCGCTCAGAGGTTGCTTCTCAACCGGCGCCTCGGGCTCCTTTTCCTGAGGCTTGGCCTGCTGTGGACCCAGCTGCAGACGTGAATTCAGATCGGTGAGGAAGCCCGCCTTCATGGCGGCGATCTTGCTTCCATTTGGACGAGCAGGGATTGTGGGCTTGGCCTTGACTGCAGGAGCCTCTTTTGGGGCCTCAGCGGTGTTTGCTGGGGCCTGGGAACCGGGCTTAGCGGGACGGGTAGGGACCTGGGGCTTGGGTCTGTCTGGGATTGATGGTGGTTGGCGCTTTTCGGTCGGTGAGGTAGATTGAGGCTGTCTCTGCGGGCGCGGGGGAATTCCAGGCCTGGAAGGTACTTCTGGACTTTTCAGTTCTTCTTTCGCAGGTTCAATTGTGGTAACCAGCTGGTGACTATCGGGGGCATCTTCCCAAATATCTCTACTGGGGAAACGCTGTTTCAAAGTGTCTGGTCGCGGGGGAGCCTTGTCCCTGACGCTCTCGCCTTCCAGGATGTGGGTAGCAACCTGATGAGAGTCGACTTTGGTGTTCTGCATCCTGCGTGTGGCTTCTTGCTCGGGTGTTTCGAATCCTTCGGAAGAGTCTCGCTTAGGCAGATCTGGGGTGGTGACGGTGGCATGAAGCTGCAGACTGTTCGGGGTATCCTCCCAGATATCCTGGCTAGGGAACCTATGTGTGAGTGTGTCGGGCCTTTTCTTGAAACGATCCGCAGCTGACACGGTTTTCTCTTTCTTAGCATCCTCTTCAGGGAACAATGGCTCATACTCCTCGACGTCTTCAAGGGGAGTGTGCGTATCCTCACGCGAGTCATAGCGGGTCAGCACCGGGAATTGGCCTTGCGCGCTCGCTGATCGACTGTTGGAACGACTGTGGATACTGGGGGTCCGACTGCGGCCATCATCCTCGAAGCTTGCCCGACGATCAAATGTCGGCGATATGGCGGGATGTAAGTACGCTGACTCAGGGCGCACTTCATCAGCAGCCAAAATTGGCGGCTCTTCATCCTCCACGGCGCTCTCAAATGTGGGGTCGTTCTCTTCCAGTGCTGGAGTCGGAGCAAATCCGTCCGGGTGGTGCAAAGGATGCATCGGATCATCCACATGAATCACGCCACCCTCATGATGTCCATGCGAACTGGATCTACGTTGACGCAGCGGGCTTGCGGTGGGTTGTTTCTGCGTAGCTTCTGAAGGGAAACTCATCTGTCGAAGTGGCGACTCAACAGTCGGCTGGCTTTCGAGTCGAGCGTCAGGAGGGGGAGAAGCAATTTGATGTATGTACTCGTCGGATGCTATATACCCGACCTCCTCTTCAGGGGTGCCCACGGCGGTTGGGGAAGTACCTGGGTACAATTAGCTTTCAAGCGGCAACACAATTACCTCGAATACTCACCAAGACCGGAACCGGTTTGGGCTGAGCTTCGAACGATCTTGTTCAGATCGTCACTGCTCAGTGCCCAATCAGGACGCGGACTGCCGACACCAGGGCCATATTGTCCTTCCTTCACGAATTCATCGGGATGCTTTTCATACCAAGCCTTCTCAAACTTATCGGGATGCTGGACACCATGTCCGTGCAAACCGTAGCTACCAGGGGGTAGGGAAGAGTCCCGAGCACTACGAGTGCGGTTGTGGTTACGGCCGGACCGCTGCGAGCCCTGTTCGAGATACGGGCTGGGGGAAGGTGCCTGGACGTCACCGGCATGGGGGTACATGGGCACGCGGAATCCCTGCTCCTCTCCGATATGGGCCGAGTTTCGGCGATCATTGGATGCAGTTGAGGATTCGGCGCGTGAGCCACTCGTTCGGGAATACAGTGAACGACTTGAGCGTTCGTGTTCCTCGCGAGCAGGCGAAACGCCACGGCCCAGTCCTGCCGCAGCAGCCTGGCGGGAATCAGTGCGGGTGACAGTCTGGACCTTTGCTTCAGCACTTGATATCGGCAACGAAGGCCTCGGTGCATGCATCTTAAGATCACTGCTAACATTGCGAGTCTCCGCAGGTGTCTGGTGATGGTTATCCGACATGTTTCCGGGGTCGAGATCCGCATATTCAATACCCTCCTCCCCGAGAGACGGTATCGTGACGCTGGGAGGACGTGGAGGGAGATCATTCGAAACAGTACGACTCATGCTAGGACCGGTCCATTCATTGAACGGCGAAGGTGCATAGCTATCACGCATGGGCGAAACCGAACGATCATTGCGGCGGTTGCCCGGGCGTGGCGGTATCTTGGGCATTTCTAACGACGACGATGACGGCGGTTTTGGAGAGCGAGCCGGTCGAGGAGGGATGGCCGGAGCAGCTTGGGTTGACATGATGAAGTTCTGGGAGCTGTTAACAGGTCAGCGGCAGCCCAACCGGATACCCCACAGGTACTTGATGCCTGTGCGGGTTACAAAACAATGGATACATGGCCCCAATCGACTTGCAGGGATTAATGGAACCAAGCAGCTACTATGGATATGCATCAAATTGATGCAACTCTCCAAGAGCAGACCCAGCCCATGCAACTGATAAGAGCATACAGAATGATTCACTTACCCGGATATGGTGAGAACCAGTTTCAGTCCAATTGGAACGACAGTCAAAACGTGCAATCAAAACAGTCAAGAACTGCAAAGCAGATATTGAAGCAATCCCGAAACTAAGTTTTGGGGAAGAGAGATGATGTATGTTCTTTCTGCCACGCCTGACGTGCTTTGACCGCAACAGATAATGCGCGTATTGTACTAATACGGTATCATTACATGTCATATAGGAGCCAACTACAACGATCCATTACATTCAACGCCCCGCTGATGAGATCAGTATAGGACCTTGATTTTTGATCTGAATCTTGAGGCATTTTTTTCTTTTATTCTTGCAAATGGCTCGTATCAATGGCCAAGATTGGTCTTCAAATAATGCCTCATTTATGCAGCATTACAGTACGTTGTACCCGCAGTTGGCCAGACTATCTCATACAAAATCAAAGTGTACATGATCTTCCCGTATGTTGTAGTATGTTGTACTAGATACTAAAAATAAAGAGTCCCCGAGGTCCTTCCGAAGTCAGTATCTTGCGGACTAGTTAGTCTTTTACTTTCTATGATAAGATGATTTCCCTACAGTTGGATTGGTTGCCCAGACCGAGGCGGTGAAGTGTCATGGTTCTCCACATTGCATCATTGTTGGTTATCTATACAACTCTCACAACTCTACATCATATACTTTAATATCATAGAATATTATTGATATATGTGTGTGCTACCCTGGGAGTGCTACCCTGGGAACTCTCAGTCTCTAAGTGTCTCTTTCTATTAACCTCGTCATTCCTCCAACTCACTAGGATACACTTATCTGTTCAACGTTGAGATCCACTCTCAGCCGAAACAGCGAGAATACCCGCCACATATTGATCACCAGGGCTAAAAGGAATTTGCGGGGTAACATGACCTGTGACCAATATCCCAAGGTCCATTCCACCATTTGTGCCACGTTCCTGGGCTCAGCTGTCTATAATTCAAGTCAGAATGACGGATTGCATTCGTCTACCCAGCCCAGCCGGACCTGACAAGTTCCGAGGCTGTCAGCATACGATTTACCAGATATGGGACGCATAGAGTGCATACACATACGATGTACAACATACGTGGTCTCAGATCGGTAGCAACTACATCGTAATCTACATATTTTCCCACCTGGTCCTATTGGTGGGACTCTTTCAGGGCCAGGCGGGTATAGATGCGCTTCCAACCATATCTGTATTAGCCTTGGGCTAAGTATCACCCAAATGGCGAGTTACTACCTAATGGACCTGGGCGTTGTTACCTTAGGTACCCAGAGTCGATGTCTGCAGAGATGGGGCATCGTCCACGTGCTTCTGAACGTCCAGGGACCCGAAGTGCTTCCGCTTCACCAGATTTACAACATACAGCTGAATTATATTGGGTGTCGTCTGATATTTTGGATAAATTAGGCTTGGTCAACGAATACACCCTTTAAAATAGTAACCAAAACACCTATTCTGGCGGACGCAGTCCACAAAAACAAAGGAAACGACGGATATATCTGCTGTAGGAACGCTCATCGGCTTTGAAAACAGGCATGTCCAGTAGGATCATCCTGAACCAAACCGAGACATACAAGTACAGGACAATAAAAACACAAAACTATTTCATAGCGCATCCCAATGCATGCTGCCCAAATGGCATTTATCTTTGCACCACTTGCATCGAGCATCTCATCGTGTCGCACAACCCTCTAGTCACCAGGATTAATCCCAAAATGGGTCCAGCTGGTACAGAAAAGGGCAGGAACGGCTCGGCGTAAACGTCATGCCATCAGACAATCATCTGTGCAACTCCCTGGCCACCCAGGGTCTTGCTACCAACAAAATCTTGTTTCTTCAGGGCTGCGAGCGAATAGAACACAGCCGCGATGAAAAGGAAGACAGCACCAGCAATCAAGCTAGAAGCCCTTTTGGCAAGACTGATAAGTTGGACACCACCAAGGACAGCGTAGATGAGGGCGCGCATCCAGTTGGTTGTGAAGCGGCGGATAAAGGCATCGAATTTCGGGGACGTGGGACAAATTCGGAGGAGGAATGGTACTTCAATGAAGAGGATGATGAATGCCGAAGCACTGAAATGGGTTAGGCTTCGCAACGAATCAGCGGGATGTAAATGCGACTCACATGCTGAGACAACTGATGATAATCAGAACCCAGTTGAACGAAAAGATGTTCGCAATTCCTAGCGCAAGGCAAAGGATAATGCACAGCACACCCGTCCTAGATGTTTTGTTAGAACGATCCCTGTATATGCGAAGCTGATATTCGGGAAAGCGATTGAAGCACCACCACCCGAGGTAGCAAACGCCATTTGATCATTCAATCAAAGTGCTCAGCGCTCTCCTGCGACAGTATTCAAGCTTGCAAAGAGCACAGAGTGTTGGAACGCAACGCGATAGACTAACCATTGTCCATAGATGCCTAGAAAAGGGCAGCAAGGTTAGCGGATTGAGATGTGGCGTTGCAGAATCCAGGTACTTACTGAAATTTCGCGATCGGAGCTCTTCGGCCAGCGTCATGGTGGGCTAGCAAAAAGAATTTGGGGGGGGGGTAGACAAGGGCTGAAGATCAAGGATGGGGGATTCACGGGATGATCAGAGGTGTCAGAGGGTCCGGCAAAGTGTACACGCGGCTGTTTATCCAGGGCGGTCAAAGAATCGAAACAAACAAAACGGGCAGCAACGATCAACTTTGAGCAAAGTGAATGAAAGATGTGGGGATATGACGATCACTTGCACAGTGTTCTAAAATGTTCCAACGTAGCTTTTGATAAGATCACCCCCATGTCTTTTTCTAAGCGAAGTCAAATTATTCCACCCCCCTACATCATCACCAGGCAGACGCCAATGGTCGAGGTCCCGATATTCGTGCCGATATTTCCATTATTCCGATACATAACAGATGATTGACTGTCTATTTTTGGAATTTATGAAAGAACCCGGTAAAAGAATCAACTTGGCTGTGATCCTTCTAAGTAATAAACTCACCACGCAACATCTTGACTTGAGTGTTTGGCTCAAAGATTTTGCATGTCTGCTTCTTTTTATTCGTATAGATTGAAAGAGAAGAGAGAGAACAGCTGGTTCTCTATGAAATTCAAACAATACCTACTCCAGGGCTACGTAAAATAAGGGTTGATGGATAGAAGATTGTAGTGTAGTTGAAGCAACAAGGGGACAATAGAGTGATAGTTATATAGTAAAAGTCATGTTTTGAAAAAGAACACAATCACCAATTAATAGCATTTCGAGTGCTATGCCATAACTGCGCACTCCTTAAACCGTCAATATATATCTTAGATCTGATTAAGATCTTTATCTCTCAACCTTTTGCATCAGCTCAGAGTCTGCTGAGCTTCTTAATTTTGGGTGAGATATTGTGCATTCTACATTTTATTTATGTATGTGTATAGAAGTTGAGCGAGAGATGTCTATATCAGGAGAGCACCTAAAGAAGCTGGGCGTAAGGTAATCTGAACATATTCTCGAGGTCCCCAGATCCCTAGGTGCTTAGGTGAACGACAGCACGTTCAATCTCTACCATCCAATCATAAGCTTTCGCACTTACCTCAAAGCATGTACCTGAATAACGGAGAGCGATCGCCCAGCGAGTCGGGATTCTCGGGATACTCTGAGGGATCCATAGCATCCCGCTTTCGGTTAATACGCTGGTATGCCATGCGCAAAGCAACAGTCGCTATCATGCCCACGACAACAAAAGCAAGCTCAAGAGAGTGGCCGAGGATGTAGTTCGGCGCATCTTGGGCACGGTAGAAGTTTGATGACATAGCTGTTGAGTAAGGATCATTAGTTTGAATCTCAAAGTCCCAATTGATGCGCTATCCTTACCTCCTGCCAGGTTTCCTAGTCCAATGTAAATGGCCATGCCAGCGGCTCGCTTGTAGTCACCCGCCATATTGACACTGAGCCATGTGACATTTCCGGGGAATGCTGGATATATTCCTTTTGGTATGTGTTAGTTGGGTATATAAGTATGCGGATGTTTGTAGCTTCTTACCGACGACCGCGACGAAAATACCAAAGTACATAACACCTGGGACCCCCGCCCAGTAGATGCAAGACAGATGATAAAGCCGATACCGATCATGCCCATAAAGAAGAGAATGAATGGGGATCGCTGCTTGCGTCTGTCTGATACCCACGCTGCAATAACAGCGACAATTGCAGCAGTGATATAAATTGGTACCTAATATGGTCATGTCAATATCCGCTTCATCAAGGAAGTAGCGCAGGGAGCTTACAGTAAGGAGCTGGGCAGTCGAAGACTTATAACCTAGGTCCTTGATGATCGAAGGAAGGAACAGGGAAATGCCGTATAGAGGACAGGTAATACCCCAGTACACTTTGCACGAGTCAGTCAATGATACATTCAATACCCAGAAACGAACAGAACTTACTGAACAGACCCAACCAAATCTGCCAGTCGGTGAAAGCTTCGATGACATAGCGCATTTCAAATTTATCATTTGTTTGATCAATCTCGCGCGAGTCTGCCGAGTTTTGAATCCGCAAACTGTGGATCACAAATCGACGCTCTTCTTCAGTCAGAAAGGTGGCAGTTTCCGGGGAATCGTGAATCGCGAATGGGGCTACAAGTGCCACAAGAACCGTAAGAAGACCCTCAAGAATGAAGATCCATCTCCAGCCAGCATATCCGCCCACACCGTCCATTTTCTAGAATTTCGAGAAACATTAGTAAATTTTTCATTGCTATTAGCGAGTAGAATACCTACAGCGATAGCGTATGCAAGAAGCCCAGAGAATGCACCCGCAATACTGGCGGCGCTGAAGAAGAGAGCTTGTCTGAATTGTGCTCGGTGGCGCGGATACCAGAGTGTGATGTAGTATGCCACACCGGGATACAAACCAGCTTCTATTTTGTTTCATTGCAATCATTAGTCTCGACAAGAACAAGGTGCAGGTAGGGAGACGGGCAGACATCAACATACCTGCAACGCCCAAACACAATCGAGTTGCGAGCAGTCCACCGTAATTGTTGACGACTCCCATCAAGGTCTGTTTGTAACATTCCCCTTATTAAATGCTGTTTGAGATAATCCTCAAGTAACGGGCGCGCTCACCATAACAATTCCCCAAGCGACCATGATCAAGGGCAGCCATCTCGAGGGTCTTAGCTTCTTTAGAAGCAGATTGCTCGGCAGTTCAAAGACGCAGTAGGTAAAGAAGAAGACGGTCACTACCACAAACATATGTCAATTGGCCAATTCTTTTGTGAAAACAAGCAACCGAGGGGATTCATCATACAAGTCCAATTGTATTGTGGTCCCGTCATATGAAGATCGTCAACAAGCCCCTCTATCTTTGCATTGCCGATATTCCCGCGGTCCAAGAAAGCTAACAGATATAGCATGCTTAACATGGGAATGAGACGGATGTCCATCTTCCGGAGGACAGCTTTTTCATCAACTCCCTCGAAGGTCGGTGGGCCGAGGCTGGATGCTTCCGCGTCTGCGACTAGCCCATTTTGCTTCAGATCGGCGCTGTATGGGGAATCTTGGATGGGTGTATCTTCGAATTGGTGTAGGGAGGTCTTCTCCGGGGTGTCCTTTGAATCAACCATGGCAGGCAAAGAGAGATGAGAGAAAAAGAGAGTCGATCAGCGCGGACATCATCCGCGAGTATTTATACAAGTACTTATCCCTTGAAAAAAGCTTAATGAGGCCCGGGGCAAGTCCGAAAACTGGGGTTGTTATCCCTTGGCATGAGGGGTATACCACTTTGGGTATACGCATTAGGGGTACTTGGCAGTTGATCGCCTCGGTGATTTTTTTTTTGACTTTGAGTATAATATTGAGAGGCAAGTCCACTGATAGCGGGAACTTTCATCTGAGCTTTAATTGCTCAGATAGTGTGTTATAAATCAAGAAAGGACTACATGTATGTACGGAGTACATGTGAGTCCAATGGGGACATATGCGAGGGCACACTGTTCCCCCTGGTTACTTGCGGCGCAACCCACGGACGCTAAAAATACCTTGTAATTACTATACTGTAGCACAGTCCGCTTATTAGCGCTCAAGTGGCGTTGATTTATACATTGTGTATCCATATTAGGAAGTTGAGGTCAATATTGGCCCTTATCTCGATCCACCATGACTTTCAAGGTTCAGTGTCAGATCATTCCACCCATGGATACATATGTATACATGCGCATGTGTCGACTGGCTTGAATTTAGCATCTATAAGGTTTGAATACTGACAAAGTTCGGAATATGGGGCAAAATACACTACTAGTACGAAGCCCGTCTGGCTGTCCTACCCAAGGAACAACATTTGAAGACTACTGAGCCATTATGGATCTCTCAATTGGTCCCGATAAACCACTCTGTTCTAATTATGCCCCAACCATGGGATAAGCTAACATAGGCGCTAAAAAACAGGAGTGATATCGAGGCAACAAGTCCAGCAATCCGGTTGGCCAGGAGGTGCAGTGCACCCCAAACTAATAGCACCAAACTCCCTACGTGTGTACCACTCGAGAAGAGGGCTGGTAAAAGTGACGGGGACACAGCCACTCGCTTTTGGAGAGCTCTGTAGATGGTTGGTGAGTGTGGCAATTAGTCTCGATGATGGGGGAACAATTGTTAAACTGGACAATAATATACATACCACAGCAGGAGACAAGCAGATGAGAGCAGCGGGCCAGCAGCCCTGGGTACAAAGCTCGTAGTCCGCGCCCGAAGAAATGGGAATGAAGCCGGGAATCACGAAGTTTTCGAGAGTGTTGTTTGTGGGTAGGGCTTGGTTTTGCAGAAACAGCAAGGCTAGGACGGATGAGATGGTGAGACGCATCGTGTTTTGGTAAGGGAACGGTCTGAAGCACAAGTCAATTTCAATTCAAAGGGCCTAGTTCAAAGATTGGGAAATGGAATCCAAGAGATGGCAGCTTGCGGTCCTTATTTATGGTCTAGTCTAGACGTTGAGTTGCTGTTGTGCTACCAGTGTATGCTTGTTCAACCCTGGAGTATACCACAATCACTCACGAGGAACCAGTTGAGGTGTTGGATTGATTGAACCCTTAGGATGTAGAGGATATTCGTATTCGTTGGCAAATATAGTAGAGTATGTTCGATGAGGTCAACAGCCACACAATATACCTTTCAAGGAAGTATCTGGCACGTGTAGCTCCTTCCTTCTCTCACTCACTCCCCAGCTCTCTCATTTCCCAGTCACACTTCAACAATCCAGCTATCTCGTCTTTTTACTGGGTGTCAATTCTGATACACCCAAGGGGCCCTTGATGCGAACGGTAGCTCGAGTCCTTCCTAAGCAATCTCCTGCCAGCCCTTTACGGGCAGCCCTCCAACACTCCCACCAACATCAACACTAATCAATCTCTTCCAATGGACCGGTAAGTCCAACGCTTTGAGCTACTGTTTTACTTAACTGTTGTCTTATCCACCCGTCTCTCGAATACGTGGTACGCTTGGGGATTTGCTAATCTTTAAAGACCCCAATTTCCGAAACTTGGATTTTTGGAACCCTACTTTGCCTGAATAGCAACACCTCACCGAGACCTGGACATGGAAACCTGTCGAATCTACTGGATTCAGTACCACTAAGATAGCGAACAGCCGACATTATTCAGGGGCCAATATCAAACCCAGCCTCAGGGCAAAACTGCCTACCACTGAAGACTTCTCGCAGAAAGTCGCTACCAGTTATACGGGTCTGAGGCTCTCTCCGCCTCATTATTGATGATAATTTGGATTGACTAGAAATTACCTGGCGCCCCTTTTGCTATTATTTGTTACAAGAATAGTCGGCCGCTTATGTGGCCTTGTCAAGCATTTTTTAGTAGTCTTTTTTAGCAGTCATCTCAATTAGCCTTCTCAGTTAGTCTTTTTAGTTATCTGTTTTCATAGATATTCTCTCTCCCTTCTCGGTTTGTTAAGGAGGGAGCAGAGAAAAGTGGTAAGAGGCTTAATTTGTAAAATGGACCTTTCTATGTATAACCAGGGAATTTGCTCTCGGTTTGTTTCTTTCCTGCTCTTGGAATTGATCGGAAACTGAGTAACAACTAAGAGCACAGCACCACGAATGAGAACAGTGGTGACAGCTCACCAGAATGTGGCAGCTCTTGAGCGCTAGTCAATCGGCTTCCTCACGGCCACGCCAATGTGGAACGAATCGCTGAATATAACTGTATGAATCTGCAAGCTCAGGATCGGAAACCGAGTTGATGGCCGAGTTGGAAACAACATCAAAACACGTGAAGGACAGAATTTTTCTTTTCCTTGCCTCCTTTCACGTTGTTCTCATTTTGTTCGAGTTATTTGACAGATAATGTTGCTCTTTGCCGGTTTGCTCGAGAAGCCTCCTAAAGAACACCTGCAGTGCCATAAATGACATTCTTACCTGTCGAGGATACGATCCCACTAAACTCCATGCCAATATAATTATTGTACCAATATCCTAGAACTTATCAGATAGAGACTCGAACTTATAATATCGAGGGCACTTGGCCACATTTGCCCTCAGAGTTAAATCATAAGGGAAAAAGATCCGATATTCAATCATCATAGCATCATAACACCACAACCTCTCCTTCGACTAAAGTGTCCACAATGACTATCACTCAAGACCATATCCCACACGGCCACCATCCATCTTCAGAATCCCCAATTCCCAAAGCAAGATGCCATCAAGCCCGTGGAAGAGACCCGACACAAGCACCCGCCCAATCGCCGTAATCGGCGGCGGCGTGATGGGCCGACGAATCGCCATGATGTGGATAGCCTCTGGCTTCACTGTAATCCTGTGCGAGAAAGCGGTTGACTACGGCGGCGCCGTGAGTTACGTCCAAGAACACGAAGGCGAGCAAGCGGCCAAACAAGGCACTGATCCCGCCGAGCTGAAAACAACATCTTCGCTAGAAGAAGCGGTCGGAAACGCCTGGATGGTCATCGAAGCCATCCCGGAGAAGCTAGAGATGAAGATCGCGATGATGACGGAGCTGGACAAAGTCGCCCCGCCGGACTGCATAATCGCCAGCAACTCGTCGTCGCTGCGGTCCAGCCAGATGATCGTCAACACGGAGAAGAATTACCGCATCTGCAATGGCCACTACTACATGCCGCCGGAGCAGACGTACTTCGAGGTCATGTCGTGTGGCTACACGGACCCTGATATCTTTCCGTTTTTGATGGAAAAGGCTGCTCAAGCTGGGTTCAAGCCTGTGCATGCTCAGGTAGAGTCTACTGGGCTGGTGTTTAATCGCATTTGGGCAGCGCTTAAGCGTGAGATCTTGCTTGTCCTGGCTGATGGTGTGACTGATGCTCATACCATTGATGAGATGTTCAAGAGTTGGTTCAAGGCTACCAAGGGTCCGTGCCAGATGATGGACACTGTTGGCTTGGATACTGTGTACAATATTGAGGTTGTCTATACCCAGCAGCGTGGTCTGGATACCACTGCCACGGATTGGCTGAAGGAGAATTATCTTGACAAGGGCAATCTGGGCGCCAAGGGTGGAAAGGGTTTACTTGGATAAAGATAATTATAGATTGTTTTTAGAAATTGCAATACAAAAGTGTTCTACAACAGAGTATTGAAACTGCAGTTCTGAGCCTAGAGCCGAGAGTTATGATGAGACATGACCAACTGGAACTATTGATGTATTGGGGTATAAGATAGAATTGTGCTCTCGCCCCCGAGATTATATAGGATCGATTCACGTCGTCTCATACAGTCCAATTATAGCATGAAAACGGGCTGCATTGAGGACAGACCATGAAACACAATTCGAACCAAACAGGCGGCGGCGACGAGGAGGGAGAAAATGACCCTTGGAGCCAGTCGCCAAAGTGATGTACAAGAGTGTTGAAGAAAGGTAAGGATAAAACGAAATGACCAAAAGAAAGTGAAATAGGGCATGAGGATAGGTATCGGGCGTCCAAGGAAAACCGGACAGGGAATCAACAGTCATCAGAAGTATTAGTATCCAGGAGACACAATGATAAGAAATTAGACAAGGAACGTAGGTAAAGTGAGAGGGCATTCAGAACAGGAGGACGGCAACATATAAGCGCGCTCTGAAACCTCGGACGAAAGGGTATAGAGTGAAGGGCATTATGGGCAGGCCCTAGAGTGCGACTTTCAATCATTAGGGTATAGCAGTATAGCACACCCATAGGGCCAATTAGTGCAAAAATGGGTTGGGCGGTGAAGAAACTAGCCAAATAAGGTTGAAGACAAACGCGCGGACGAAGCCTTGACTAGAGAAACAATAATTAAGGGGCTTTCCTGCGACGATGGACTTTCCATTCCGCTTTGGCGACGCGCATGAACATTTCGGTGTCTTTGATGGGAACCCAGCTGGTGAGGACTTTCATGATATTCTCAAAGTCGGACTCGAGAATGATTTCACGCATGCCATCAATAAGGGCAGCAGATGAAGCATGCAAGACGTCAAGACCTTGGCCAAATGTCCTTGGGTTCTCAGCAGTGGGAACTTTGTTCTTCCCTCCAGATGTTGCGGGACGACCAGTGTTGTCTTCGGCATCTCCAAGGAGCATGAAGACATCCCACACCCGAAGCTGGGCCGGGAAGGGGATCGAGTAATTAAAGAGAGTGAGGTACCAGCGAGTGCCGTAGGCTGTGGGTGGGATTCCAACCTCGTTCTGCAAAATTAAGCATTAGTAGATACTCTTCGTGTTTCGACCGAAATTGACTTACCAGTTTCGTGGCCACTTCACCTCCGGCGAGCCATTCACGCTCAAAGTCGGCCAAGGCCTCCATTAGACCAGCAAAGCCGGACTTGTACAGCTCTTCCAGACCTCGCAGCTGCCACAATCTGACGAGCATAATAAAAGAATGTTCCTCATCGTAGTACGCCAGTAATGTAGCCGCGAGAGTTGCCATTCCCTGTACGTAGCCCGTGTCAGGAAAATATAGTGACATGGCGTGAAGGACACGGAACAGTAGTCTTTGGCCACCCCGATAGCGCCTCCGAAACATGATATGGCTGGAGATAGTCCGCGGCACATCGATATCAATCTGGACATCGTCCGGAGACGAGATGAACTGGAGCTCATTGAAGGCTTCGATGAGCTCGTCCGCAGGCGGGCTGCCCTTGTGGCGTCGGGCACTAGCTTCAAGGAATGAGTACCAGGCCGTTGACCGCCACCGATCTGGAATGCCTTTCCAAGTTCGCTCAATCAATTTTGAGTTCTGAGTATCGAACTCAAAGGTCATACCGCCGCCGTCCTTGGTCTTCTTCGTCGGCTTAGCCATCTTGGTCCACTTGTCTTCACGTTGCCACTCCTTCCTTCGCATTGCGCGAGTGATTGGTGCATCTTCTTTCTCACCACCAGATGGAGTGGGCAGAGTCAGCATGTCAGCCGCCTCATCTTTGGCTTTTCGGTCTCGGTTGTAAGGCAGATGATTAGTCGCCGTACGCAAACGAGATGTCGAGCGGCGCAGTGGCGGACCATAGTTGCTTTGTGACGAAGATGGACGCGCGCTTAGGGAACTATGGGATATTTTGCGGACTAGAGACGGGCCATTGAAAGAACGGTTGCTGGCCGGAGCGGTTGGTGGGCGAATTGAACGTTTCCGCCGAGGTGTCTCAGAAGCCAACAGAAGGCTAGTCGTAACTCGCTGGAGCGGGTTAATATCGGAACCCTTGGCGTTCTTTGCAGGTCGAATGAAGCCATAACGATCGACTTCTTCTGCACCGATATTTTGCCAATATTCAGCACCACCTGCTAGCTCCTGGGTTTCCCTCTTAATTCGAATACGCTCCACTTCGACAGACGCCCTTGTTTTGGTTTCATTTCCAGTCTCATTTGTCTGAGCAGCAAGTGTTTCAGGGGTTTCAGTATCCGGCATCGCACCCTCCTCCCATAAAACCCCATTTTCTGAGGCCATTGCTTTCGCAACCTCGGAGTCGGTAACATTGTCTTCGCCCTTCTCGTACATCAACCGAACTCGCCGTGACAACATATCTTCGTCTGCCGAGATTGCTCTGCTCGGAAGACTAGTCTGTCTCGGGCGAAGAGTGCCTTGAGGTTTGGCATGCCGTGGAACCGCTTTCGGTGTTCCATTTTCTCCTTCGGGCCGGCTCGTGATTATGGCAGGGGGCGGCGCAATTTCAGATGCCTGTCGGTCCAACTGTCGATGACAATTCTCTTCTGATATTTCCTGAGCTGGTTGGCCTAGTTCTTGACGAGGTTCCTCTTTTTCCACAATTTGCTGGGGCGGTTGGTCCAGTTGTTGCTCGGGGTGCTTGTTCAGCTTCTCCTGGGGCGGTTGGTCTGGTTGTGGCTCGGGGCACTCTTTCAGCTTCTCCTGGGGAGTTTTTGGGCGCGGACGTTTCGCATCACTCTTGATCAGACTTCCACGAGTGGAAAACTTCATCGACTTATCCAGACCATCCAAAGAGGCAGTCGGTATATCTAAGGGAATACCAGCAAAGGGGTGCTCGATTTGAGGCACTGGCGGGGGATCTTCCAAGCTAAATTTCCTCTCCATCTCGAGTGACCGTTTCTTTAAACCACCCCACTTTCTTTCTGACCATCGAGAGCCCGGCCTTGAGCCCGGTCGTGAGCTGGGACGGAAACCTGGTTCATTCACAACAATGCTGGGCACGCTGCGCAAGGAGGGCGCGCCCTCCGACCGAATTGTTCGAGTTTCGTCTCTAACGGACACAGATGGCGTAAGCCGTGAGAACATAAGCGCGGATGCATGATCATCACTCGGACTGGCTGACGTAGCGCTTGTGCTTAAAGGTCGGCCATTGGAGGCTGTTGGCGCATCGGCTGTGGGCAACGAGACCGACCGGATTGCAAGAGGGGCGTCAACGGTATTTTCAAAGGGCACGGCGTGAATGGTCGAATTGGACTCCGATTCGGGCGACAACGATGCAGAAACCTCATTCACCATTATCCCGGCATGACTTGCGACTCTGCGCGTGGGCTAGAATCGCGTGAAAGAAAGGAGTGCAGGAACGAGGCGAAGGGGGTGGAGAAGGCCAGATTAAGCGAAAATCGGTATTTAAAGTAGAAAGGAGCGACAAGGGGAAAATCACAAGGGAAGTTCAGCAAAATAGAATCTCCATTAAAATTGAGAGATACTACCTGGAGTGGAGTTATTTTGGGTCGGTCTTGGCGCCCTCTAAGTCAGTTCTGGACTTAGACGGGGGCATCTTCGGGGTTTCCATCACCTCCTGGCACAAGTATACTACATAGTTATGTATATCTAGTAACTTGTGTCAATGAATAGCTCCTACCATACTATTATCGATTCTCTACTTTCCTCTTCTCCTCATTTCCCCCTCAAAATAGATATCAAGGGGCTTGTCCCACCTCCATGGGCCGCGTGTGGATCGCGAGAGAACAAGGAGGGTGGTGGAGTACGCTAGTTCTAAGGTGCTTAGATTAGAATCATTGCCCAACGGTGGATGTGACATCAAGAGGTAATCTGCTTAATTGTATTCGTGTATACCCAACTACGGAGTACGTGGAAAACACAGAGTAGATGCAATTGAAACCCTTAACCCCCCTAATACGCCCCAGATGTACAAAACCGCGTGGAACTCCTGTAACCGAGGCTTGGATAACCGGCCATCGGCTGTCAATGCTCAATGCAGTCAAAAGGGGGAAATACCCCCAGCTAGAACCAACGCAAAAAAAAAAAGGATCATAAGGGCGTGAAACGGTGAAGCCAGTGACCCAGTGGTAGATCTAGCTCAAGCCACAGCAGTTGTGTGAGCCGATGGCGAGTCACGAGTTGGTCGAGCCCGATCCACAGGCTCTTTAGGCAAGAGTTCAATCTGACGGACCAGGAAGCTCTTCTCATCCGTAAATTGATCGTCGTCAGTTCGGTCCTCCAAGAATTTAGGCAAAAACCTCAACAGTCGATCACGGTTATTGATCAGAATTCGTTGTACTGGCACCGATTTGGTCGGGTTGGCCACAAACACCTAATCCCTTGTCAGCTCATCTGTCTTCGCTGCGATTTGAGGGCAAACTTACCTTGAAAACATGGAAACCTTCGTATTGCACCATCTTGCGATCGTCCCGCAGCAGTTTCATGCAGAGCTTGAGATTGTCTCCACTCTCCACGTATGCCATCATCACATTGTAGTTCGCACGGTCCAACAAGATCTCCCCTAGAAGCTTGATGCTTTGGCGCTTGGTGACATACGAGTCCGAGTGGACCAGGATGTTATTGAACCGCCCAAAGAATAGTTCAAAATTGGTTGCCAGGTATGAAGTCACGAGGCTCTTATGGCGGGTCAAAATCTCCTGTGAAAGATATGTCAGCCACTTATCATCAATAGCCATCGTTCTGGACCTTACCCTGAATGTGGTGAACGCATCTGCGCTGACTTCGAAATTGCTCTTGTCGATCCAATCAAAAAATCTCCAGAACACACCATCTCCTCTTTGCTGCTGGTTAGGTTTCACGTCTGATAGTCGAATGGCCGATTCTCCTTCACTGGATTGATCATACAATACAATCGCAGTGATGACATCGAATTTCAATGCCTCTCGGAGAATGACACCACATGGCATTGCACTTTGACTTTGCATGTAGCCCCGGCATAACTCGACAATGATTTCTGGTCGATGGTGGACAAGGTATGAGATGACGGGAGGATCTTTTTCAACTCCATATGAATTAGGCCGGAACCGAAGAATATGGGAGAATATGGTCTGAGTGTCTTTTCTGGCTTCGAAGGGAAGCAAATGGATGCTTTTGGATAGATCAAAGAGTAGATCTTCTTGAAGAGTTGCTTGGACAAGTGCATGGACTTGATCCACTGACGCGGAGACTTCTAAATAATAAGATCATTGGGTTAGCTCCTTGACACTGCGCTTTGGGTGTTACTTCCAGGAGACCAACCTGGTGTTCCTTGTACTATCACCTTCATTTGACTGAGTTGCTTAGCCAGCTCCTCTTCGGCCTAGTGCATTCGTTAGCCGGATTGCTCTCTCCATATTTAATGTTTACAAAACAAACCTTGGGAGCATTTTGGGAGTCATGGATCCTCAGTAATAATTCCTTCGTTGTCCGGACGATATCAGCAGGTTGCCGCGACCGGCCGCGATTGAAAAAGAAAGCCATGGTGAGATGGAGAGAATATGCGGCAAATTGAGAAAGAAACTGGAGATTAAGGCGACATGGGATAAGTTATAATTGCAACGGGAGAATCAAGATCGAGTCCAAGGGGAAGCAAATGTGATGTATTCGAATGCAAGTTGCGAATAAACAAACCGGGGCGGGGCAACGGGGCTCTTTCTGCCTGAGGCAGGCGCTGATAACGGATTTTTTTTTCTCTATCAAAATGTTATCTTCTGCCCCTCCCCCTCCAAGGTCGAAACAATTTGTTATTGACCCTTATAAGTCATGTCAGCTTCCAATTCCGTGAACCCACCCGTGGGTGAAAGTTTCCCCGACTCGCATTCAGTATCGGATTCGTCCGATTCTAGCAACGAGGAGGGCTGGGAAGATGTCGAACCCGATGAGGAGTCGCAGCCTGTGGTTGGGCTCTTCACTGACCAGGTCTTCCCCGATGCGCGATCAATGCTGAAGGAGTGCAAGGAAAAGTACAATTTTGATCTGCTGAAGATTCAAAAGGAGCTTGGTATGTCCAGCTTCTACTCTTGCGGGGGGTTCAACAATTGAGGCTGACTATTTTCCCGCTTCTAGATTTGGATTTCCTCGACAACATCAAGTTGGTCAACTACGTCCGCACCGAAGTCAAGAACGGAAACAACACCCCCGATGTTTCGTCCAAGTCCAAATTCGAGGATGATGTCTATCTCAAGCCTGTTTTGGAGGACGACGCTCTCTTGTATAGCTTGGACGACCTCGCCGAAGAACAGGGCGAAGACGATGTCCCCGCCACCGAGACAAACCGACAGGTTCTCGAACTCCAGGAGAACTTGGAGCGGTTGCAGACCCAATTCTCCGAGTACCGTATTGCTGTGCAGAAGTCGATGGACGACCAATTGTCGAAGGAGGATGATAAGCTTGCTGAATCCAACCCTCAACCCTCGGCCAAGGCTGTCGACAGACAGCAAGACGCTGAAGATGGATACTTTGTCTCCTACGCTTACAACGGTAGGGTATCTCGCTCAACTTATCATGCATATGATGCTAACATAGTCTCAAGGAATTCATGAATCTATGCTCAAGGACACCATCCGTACCGACTCTTACCGCGATTTCGTCTATGAAAACAAGCACGTTTTCAAGGACAAGGTTGTTCTTGATGTTGGCTGTGGCACTGGTATTTTGTCCATGTTCTGTGCCAAGGCTGGCGCAAAGAAGGTCATTGCTGTGGACAACTCGAACATCATTGACCGAGCTAAGGAAATCGTCCATGACAATGGCCTTGAAGATGTGATCACGTAAGACTCATGATCATCCCACAATAACGTGATAGCACTGACTCTATCCCAGGTGTATCCGTGGCAAGATCGAAGAGGTTACTTTGCCCGTCGAAAAGGTCGACATCATCATTTCTGAATGGATGGGTTACGGTCTCCTGTTTGAGGCAATGTTTGATTCCGTCATCTACGCCAGAGATCGTTATCTCGCTCCTGATGGTATTATGGCTCCTTCGCACGCTACCCTGCGCCTTGCTCCTTATGCCGACCCGGATTTCATCGCGTCGCACATCTCGTTCTGGAACAACGTCTATGGATTCAAGATGGACGCCATGCTTCACAAGATCTACGATGAGGCTGTGGTCCGCAGCAACCAGCCAACTACCATTGTCGGAGAGTCTCAGATTTTCTTGACACTTCCGCTACACACCATCACTGTTGAGGAGCTGTCGTTCTTGAAGGAATTCCAGGTCACATTGAACCAGGATGTCGATGCATTGGATGGGTGGGCTATCTGGTTCGACATTTTCTTCATGCCCTCCAGAGAGTCTGTTCTACCTGAGGATGCCATCCCCTCAGATATGCAAAAGAAGGGAATCGTCTCGTTCACCACTGGTCCCGATGGAACCGAGACTCATTGGCAGCAGACTGTCCTTCTCATTGACCATGCGAAGGATGACGCTAAGCGAGGTTCCCAGGCCTTGAAGAAGGGCCAGGTCATTACCGGCAAAATTGGTTACGAGAAGACCGAGAAGGGCTCTCGGGGAGTGGACATCAGTGTCCAGTGGGAGTCCGATGCAAATGAGAAGGGGGTCCAACTATGGAGCCTCCTATAGGATCGAGCGATCTTTTGAAACGTTTTCTGATGAACTAAAAGAGATATGACTACCTTCATAGAAAAGGACGACACCATATTATCTGGGTGTCGTTTATTTGACTCAGTGAATATAAAAATTATTTGCATTTAGGAACAAGCTATGTAATGGGTATCGTTGTCGTAATTGAAGCCATGATCTCGTAGAGCTAATAGAACATTTAGGATTGATTCTTTGCTTCAGTATGTTTTTCCCGCCTAGCGGCCTCAGAACGTTCATCGTGACGATGACGATGATTGCGATGAGAGGAGTGGTGACGAGAGCGATGATGAGGGCGATCTCGACTCTGATCTCGACGGCGACGATGATGCCTGTCAGAACTTCTTCTGTCCTTCTCACGTTCTCTGTCCGGCGCGTCCAGTTTGAACCCATCGAGGCTGTCCACTGACGGGGATCGCCTTCGCCGACGGCTTGACTGCCGTGCCTCCTCAGCTTTCAAATTTTCGAGCTCTCTTCGCTTTTCATCATTCCACCGCTTCCGTTCCTGTTCTGTCGTTTTCAACTGACGCACACCCCGCTTTATGGCTGCAAGTGGATCATTCGCACTCATACGAGCCTGTGTCCTCTCTTTGCGCCTTGGGTCCGCGTTACCCCACACATCTTTCTCGGGCATCGGACCTGGCGCTGTTGCGTTTTGTTCTGTGGAGGAATACCACGGTTTTTGGCCAATAGTCTCCTTGAAGCCTGCAGCGTTGGAGAACCTCATTGTGTATTGGTCTTCATAGCTGCGTTTCTTCCGTGCCGCCTCAGCCTCTGCTTCGGAGTTCTTCTGTGTTTTAGCACTTGCGGCTGGGAACAGGTTGATATGGCCGGCCGTGTCTAGAATCGGGGCTTGTGCTGTATCAGCCTTGCGAGAGGCGAGCATCAACTCTTCCCGCTTAGCAACTGCTTGCGCCGCCTCCTCCCGAGCGTATCGTATATCTCGATCCGTGTCATCTTCCCCGGCAACCCGCCTTCTCTTGCGAAACCCTCCAGCGTCGCTGGTGGACTTTCTATCTGGTCGAGCGCCCGGTTCAGGCGACGGAAGGGAGGGTGCCGGTGGAGGCGTAGGCGGACGTTCGCCGCGAAGAATTTTAATCCTGCGTTCGGCATCGACCTCTTGCATGATACGTTCATCTTCTTCCTCGCGGGCTTTTGCTTGCGCCTCGTCGCGCCTGACGCGGGCGACATTCTCGACATTGTAGACGTTCCATGACTTTTTGCCGAGCAGATGGCTATGAAATAAATTAGCAGGTTTCACAGATATTATAAAATCGAAAGAAAAAACTCCACTTACAGAGGCATCTTGGAAACTGGCTGACCCTTGCGTGGAAGTTGCTCGATAGCAAAGAGCTGTGTCTTATCGATAATGACGTCCCCACCGCCCGACGCTGTTCCCGGGTGGCCAAAGTGCCCCGTCGACAGCTTTACGGCTCCAACTCTCTTCTCTTCCCCTTCATATTATTTGCTTTGCTTTGGATATCAGCATTATCCAGCGTACTGTTGAACATAAACTTTTAAGAATTGACCCAGGTCACCTGCTGCAGAGCCCACTGACTTACATAGTTGCCTGCTCGTTTCCCAACACAGTGTCGCTAAGACAATAGCTTCAACGGTTCTCACCTCAACCTCTGTGATTAACGACAACCAAACGGTTCATCATGTTCAATCGCAGCAATATCCCGAATCCGTTCGGCTCAAGCGGACAACCCTCCCCGCAGGGTCACCCGAACCCCAACCAAGCACCCCCACGGTATGATACCGATCGTTCCCTCTCGTCCGGTGCAGGCTATGCAGCTCCTATCCGTGATGACGATGTGCCGATGACTGATGTATATGATGATCAAAGGGGTTACGGAGGCCCACCTCCACCAGGAGGAAGACCCCCGCCGCAGCAGATGCCTTCTAGGATGCAGTCCGGACAAAGAGGTGGAGGCCAGACTTGGACTCTTCATCCCAGCAAGAGTCCGAATGAAAACTACACATTTGGAAACCTGTGAGTATTCTCTGGCTGCTTTTTATTCTCGGGGACTAATACAGAGCAGTGTTGCTGTTTCGCCGCAGGACATCCCACCCTCACGAGATGGCACCGACGTCCTCCTCCTTATCAATGACCTCTTCGTCTTCTCTGCTCGCCCTCTCGATGGTTTCCCTTCCGGATTTATGAGCATGTCGGACCCTCAGCGAACATGGGCCAACATCGGATTGAGAGATGCGATCAAGGTACAGCTGTACGATCCGTTTAGCCAAGGCGGACAGGCCTACCTGGGTTCCGCGGATGTTGAAGTCAGCTTCGCATCTACCAAGAAGCGGGTTGAAGCTCCTTATGACCAGGATGAATTGGCACAAGCGGTGATCAGGGTACGTCGACTTCAACCCAGTCTTGAAAACATGCTAACAGACCCCAGAACTTTGAGAACCAACTATTCTCGCCTGGCCAGAGAGTTTTGATGGATAATAAGAGTATCCCGCTCTTACTGCAGGTCAAGACCGTCCAGCGGGTTGATTTGACATCAGAGAAGGCCGATCTCAGTTCTGGACAAGTCGAGACCGATCCTACGGCCAGGGGTATTCTTACACGGCACACTCAACTCAACTTTTTTAAGGATACTCAGACCGGTATCAACGTGAAGCCATCTAACCGCCGCCCGGCGGCCAACTCTATCATCCAACCGGGCTTCAAGTTCCAGGACATGGGTATCGGTGGTTTAGACTCCGAGTTCAGTACGATCTTCCGTCGTGCTTTCGCCTCTCGCATTTTCCCTCCTGGTCTGGTTGAGAAACTTGGTATTCAGCACGTTAAGGGTCTCTTGCTCTATGGACCTCCAGGAACGGGTAAAACTCTCATTGCTCGACAAATCGGAAAGATGCTTAATGCTAGAGAGCCAAAGATTATCAACGGTCCAGAAGTTCTGAACAAGTACGTGGGTCAGTCGGAAGAAAACATCCGAAAGATGTTCGCAGATGCCGAGAAGGAGTATAAAGAAAAGGGCGACGAGAGTGGTCTCCATATCATCATCTTCGATGAGCTGGATGCAGTGTGCAAGCAGCGTGGAAGTGGAGCTGGCGGTGGTACTGGTGTCGGCGATAGCGTGGTCAACCAGCTCCTTTCGAAACTCGATGGTGTCGACCAACTGAACAACATCTTGTTGATCGGTATGACCAACCGAATGGACATGATTGATGAAGCTTTGCTGCGTCCCGGTCGTTTGGAGGTGCACATGGAAATCTCGCTCCCTGACGAGCATGGCCGAAGCCAGATTCTCAACATCCACACCGAGAAGATGCGAAACAATAATGTCATGGATACGGATGTTGACTTGGCCGAGCTTGCTCATTTGACCAAGAACTTTTCTGGTGCTGAGATCGCAGGTTTGGTCAAGTCCGCCTCGTCCTTTGCTTTCTCCCGCCATGTCAAAGTCGGTACTATGGCTAGTATCAATGAGGACGTGGTAGACATGAAGGTCAACCGGGCCGACTTCCTCCAGTCTCTTGATGAAGTCAAGCCTGCCTTTGGTGTTTCCGAGGAAGAGTTGTCCAGCCGCATCCCATACGGCGTTATCCACTATTCTACGACTATCAGCGAAATCCTACGGGAAGGCGAGTTATTCGTCAAGCAGGTTGGAGTGGCCGAGTCAACTCCATTGTTCTCTGTGCTGCTTCACGGTCCTCCCAGCAGCGGTAAAACCGCCTTGGCGGCACGGATTGCTATTGACTCCGGCTTCCCCTTCATTAAGTTGATCAGCCCCGAAGACATGGTTGGCTTTAGCGAGCCGGCAAAGATCTCACACATCAGCCGAATCTTTGACAGCGCTTACAAGAGTACCACAAGTATTGTTGTCATCGACAACATCGAGCGAATCATCGATTGGGTGCCAATTGGTCCTCGCTTCAGCAACAGTGTGCTGCAAGCTCTCATGGTTTTCCTGAGGAAGCAGCCAACTCACGGACGTCGTCTATTGGTTCTTGCCACGACAACTGAACGTGCCTTGATGAAGCAGCTGGACATCTACAATTCCTTCAACTCGGATATCTTGGTTCCCAATGTTAGTTCCTTCAGTGAACTACGGTTTATCATGGAGAAATCGGGTGCCTTTGATGCGCAGGAGATTGCGCAAGCCCTCGAATCAGTCGGTGGACTTGCGGATGATGGGCGCTTGAGCGTCGGCATCAAGAAGGTACTCTTGGGCATTGAAACGGCCAAACAGGATTCTGACAAGGTTGGCCGGTTTGTTCGTGTTATCAACCGCGCTATTGAGGAGGAACAGAGTTTCCAGTAAACATTGTTTGTAACGGAGTTTCCTTTTGCTGAGTACAGGGATCATAACTAGACTAGTTCTGAAGTATATAGCTACTTGCAATCCTACTTTCTCTTCCCTTGGTATCTTAGAAGTCCATCTTCTAGCAAACACCCAGTCCAAAATCAGATAAGCTCATTTTGGGAGAACTTCAAATGCCATATGACCATGGGGAACTGACACTGTTGTTCTAGGACTGCATGGCAAATTCGTTCTTTCGGTTTGACGCTATGTTCATCCAAAGGCTGGATCTTGCTACATTTGTAGGTTGTCATCTTGCAAACACTCGAAAGCAAAACACGGAAGCCCTAGTATATAAATCAATAGACCAAATGTGTCTAAAGGCCATTTGAATTTCAGTTTAACTTGGCTCGTATTGAATTGTAAGTAACAACCGTTTGGGTGCGCCAGGCTAAGCCACATCGGCCTTCAGCATCAAACTCTCAGTTACACAGTGACATACTATACAACGGTCAACGGTGCGTGCTCTACAGCTCTGGAGGGTATCAGGCATACTTCAAGGCCTCAAATTACAGGCCTACAGGCAGCAATTCCTAGACCATACCGAAAAACAGGTAAAACCAATACCATTTAGAGAAACTCTCTCTACTATACGTCAAGAGACACAAATTACCTATCCAAGATATACACAAAGACCCAACCAAAGAAGCTAAATCGCGCCAAACCCAACGAGGAAGCCAAAAATCCAGAAATAATCCCACATCCATCCCAAGATCCCAATTTTGTCCATGCCCGGGGAGTTTCCCCATCATATCAGTCATCAAGAAGCCCATCGCAGCCCAAGCCAAGCCCAATCAATAGCCATCATAGGCGTACTTCTTCGAAGAACGACGGTACTCATCAGGATGAGCCTTCTCAGCCTTAGTCTTCAGGGAACTATTTCCAGGCACGTGTGTCAGCCTTCTAGAAGCACACATCGGCGCTAATGCCGCAGGCACGGCGCTGATCGACGTGCACGTGCCAAGCTCGCCCGGCGGAGCGGAAGCCCCTGTCGCGGAGCGGAGCGGAACTTGCACGTCCATCGTACAACTGTGCCCGGTTCTGGGGTGGGTTTGCTTACCTGACGCGCTTTTGCGTCCATTCCAGGTCGCGCTTTGTCTCTCGTGCGGTTTTCAGGCCTTCGGAGAAATTCGCCCGTGCGCCTTTCAGTCGCCGTTGCGCGAGCGCCTGTAGCTCGAGGAGTTCTTGCTGCTTTGCGTTCAGCTGGCCAGATCTGCGGGTGCAGTTGCTGTTAGCTTGGTGTTTGCGAATCTTGGGATATCTTGCTGGGTCTTGTTTTGCGAATCACCGTTTCCTGGTGGTGAACGCTGCGGGGGTTGGAATTGCGAATGCTGGTGGAGTGTTACAGGGAAACTCACGTCTGCGCTTGTCGTGCCAGACCCTTGTCCAATGGTGTTGGATCAAATGCGTCTTGCATGCGGTCGCTCAGGACATCCACGACATCGACGCCGGAGTACGATGCAAAGCTGGAGTCGTACTCGCCGGCAGAACTGAAGGTGAGCCCGCCAGAGGAACGACTGCCGGCGGTAGTGCTTGCATCAGAGAAGTCTGGTGGGGAGCCAGAAACTCTGGAAATGGGGTAGAGAGATGCTGGTGCCGGCGCCTTGGATGGTGCATGGTGGTATGGGTAGGCAGCAGGCTGGTAATAGTGACGCTGAGTGGCCATGGCGACGATTGACTGCAACAACAGCAAGTGTTATAGTAGAGCAAAGAGGAAGTATGAAGCTCAAGTGAACTTCAGTGAGATAAGATGAATCAAGAAGATGGGAAGGATGTGGAAGAGTGTGCAAACGGGCCTAACTAGGAGTGATGGGAAAGGAAGAAGAAGGAAGGACAGTCTGCCCCGGGCCAGACGAGGGATTTTATAACCTTCCGCGGGGAGTCTTCTTTCCGGCGGATGCTCCCATCCTGACGGAGGCGAGTGTGATGGCAAGGATTGCGAAGGCCTCGAAGGAGCCATTGGACCACTCGGAGCACATTGACTCGCACCCCTCCCTCTGTACCCCCAATCCCCGAGCTCCGTCTGCACGTATGTCTCCGTATCTGCCCGCCAATTTGCCTCTTGGACCGCCTTGACCCCGCTCAGAGTGGAAAAGACTCAATGTGTCTGGTCGAGGACGCCAGCCTTCCTCCACTAGGGTTTCCGCCATTCCGTGGCGGCTTGGTGCAAAACTGGTCTCGATCTACGCCCCTCTTCCTAGTCTAAACTTTGGGGCCAAAGTGCGGACTGGAAGTATTCAGGAATTGACTAGAAAGGACATGAAGGGTGGGTATGAAGGGGGTAGGATGGGTGGAGTTAGTGGGAAGGTGACATATAAATATAGCCTTGACCGTCCTTCCTACTCCAACTTTTTCTTGACTTTTTTTCTTCTTTGTCTCTCATGATTATCCTTTTTTTCCCCGCCTTCGTCTCCGTCGAACTGATTTTTTCTTCAGAAATTCGGGGGCTGGGAAAAGGACGATCAAGGTTGATTCGTTCAGCAAAAGCCCCAAAGATAAGACGGACTACACAGGGACCGGTATGACATATTTCCCCCTCTATCTGCCCAAGTCTAACATGATGGTTAGTTTATCAGCTTCCTATACATATACACATGTTGTATTTGTATAGTTGTGGTCAAATACGCCCTACCGCGAAAACCAAACAGATTCCCGGGATGTCTCGCGGCCTTACATCATCTTTGGGATCGGAGCCCAAGAGCCCAAAAATGAGGATCGCTGCATTCAATTCAGGTCACACGGATACTGTTGGACATCACTGCATGAACCAAAGGACCGTGAGAAAGATTGGCATTCGAAATTGTTCCCGAATCGGTGACTCCATGCTTCTTTTGCAAGGTTCTAACAAGAATCATCCTGGCAATATATGAGCAAAAAAGGCAAATGGAGCGACCAATGCGCAAAAGTCCAGGTCCAATGACAAGAAGAAGAAGAAGTTAAAAACGTAAAGTGGACACTGATCCTTGTTCCTCCGTTTGCCCGTCTGGATGCGGCTGTTATTGCTGCACACGACGAGAAAGCCCCCCTTTCTCGCACGAATCCACCAATAGCCTTCAGAGCTTTTGACAGCAGGAAAGAGAGCATTCTGCATCGACAAGCGCTCTAGACGCCCATCAACGTGGGAATAGAACACCCTGCACCCCACTCTATGCAGATGGTCGATGACTTGCTTGAGGATACCTATGGGGCATGTATGATAAAGGGAAGCCATCCGGCAAGCCCCGTCGGAAATACCATATTTCGAGAAAATGCCGTGCCGCCCACGACCCTTCATCATTGGTCCCAGATACTTGCTGACATGAAGACCACGCAGGCCCGACTAGGTGGGAAGGCAATGGGACTGCAGGGCACATCCTTCGAGGCCCGGGTGTTTTAAACTGGATCTGGATCTGCCTTGCTGACTCTAAGTCACCTTGTTCTCTTCTTTTCCCGCCCGTTGATACCTCACTGTGCCTAAAAGCCAGCCTGCATGCCTCACAGCCTGACGACTCACGATATGCCCCGTCAACCAACAATGTTACCGAGGAACCCTGTGACACCACCCTCCTCAATTCCCCAACTGCCATCAAGACCCCGGTTTGATGAATATTGCAAGGATGCTATTCGTCTCGCTTTATGCTGAAAATGGCTGAGCCCGATCTCTTATTCGGCCAGGCCAATATCGGGCAGCACGGCAACTAATGACGCGCAGTGCACTCACTTCGGCTTGGAATGGACCAAACACTTCTTTTTTCTCTGCTTTCGCTCTTCGTCATAGTCTTTCCACCAACTCGATCCTGATCCGCCCCTCCTTGAACTCAGGCTCCAAACCCAGAGGCGTATTGCTTTGAACCTTCCAATGTTAATACTCCGTATAGGTACGATGCCAACAGAGTTTCCTTGCATAGGTTACACGAGCATGCTGTTTGGTCCGATTATTGAGAAGAATCGTATATGTGTCTGCTTTTATTGACTATGGCGCTCAATTAATGTCTTTTTTGTCTAGGGTTACCTGGGTAGTATGTGGTGAAGTATTCCCAAGTTTCAATCGACAATCTTCAACCTTTTGCATCTCCAAATACCCCAAATTCCAGTCAAATTCCAGTTAAATCCAAACCAAACCCAAGCAGTTTATTATTTTTCCAGCGCATAAGTGGGGGGTTGCGGGGATTTTCTACTTCCTTCACCGCCACATGCGCCATGGCCAACTCACTCGCTTTCCCTTTTTGGCCTACTCCGTATATGTAGCTGTATGCATCGGATTTTAGGCCTCCTCGGGGTGCCGCTTTATGAGGACGCTCAGGGTCCTGTTCACTAAGTATTTCACACAGAGTGATTACATTACTCAGTGAGTTCAGTGGATGCTTAGTAATGTTAAAATAATGCACAGGGTATGCTCAGTGAGCACTCAGGTCTCGCTCAGTGAACGCTTAGGGTCCGCTCAGGATATGCTCAGTGAGTAATCAGATCGGGCAAGGTTTCGCCCCATCCCGTGTGGTCTTTTTATCCAGCACATCCATCCCTCCTGGAGTTATATCTTTTATTCCTTCACCACCATGGCTTATCAACTTAAGAAAAAGGACCTCAGAGGAACATTCGAGGATTCGGCTACCATCGTGGCCGCCAGAAACCCGAATCCAGCCGTCCTTGAAGCTCTGTTAAAACATTATTTTACTCACCTTGAGTCCGTACCCACTGGTCGTGTGGACCGAACGTTAGAAACATGGTCCCCCAATGCCAATAGCATGGGCGCTATATACGGTACATACGAATCTCCATTGACTGCCGCCATTCGAGCAGATATACCTGAGAACGTCCGGGCACTGCTGGCCGCCGGTGCAGATCCTACAGGCATCACGCTGCACGATTTGTCCGACTATGCTGTGCGATTTCTTCGTGGCCGAGACGCCAAAACCGACATGTCGAGTTTCGCTCTCTGTCCTCCGCGGAAACAAATACTAGCAGTGGCAGAGGCTAAAGGAATCGCCCAGCAGACTCAGCCCTTAACCCAAGCCGAATTGGATGAGCGGAGTAAAGGGTTTCCACGCTTTTGGACGGAGCCGAATGTTCCTGGTCAGCGATTGCGGCTATCAAAAGCCCTCACGGCATTAGAAGTGGCTGCTGGGCTTGGATATGAGAATTTCTTTAGTCTGGTTCGCGACGCAGGAGCAGATGAATCTGCCTGGCTAAGTACCTCGGAGGCTAGTCAAGTCGATTTTGATAATACCAAGCCATCGTTCATCAGCACTTCCTCTCCCGTCCATGAAGCTATCAAAGCTGGTCAGCCCGAAATGCTTCATAAATTGCTCCACGTGTACCGCTACTCTCCTAACTACCGTCCCCTCGCGACTCCGACAGCCGCTCTACCGCCACTCTCTTTTGCACTTCTCCGATGCGACCCACACAACCCGAATATCTGGGCGTGTATCGTGCACCTTCTTCAGCACCCAGACCTCGATCAACACCTACGCTCTCCTATTTTCGACATTCACCCGCTCCACTTAGCAGTTGCCCGTCACGATCCGGACCTCCTATCCCGCCTCCCTATATCGCTCTCTACCGCAGGGACGACGGCATTAGGACACAGCCTACTCCACATCGCGTGTCTCCCCTTGACATCCGAGTATATCGACAAGGAAAATCCAGATTCTGTGCAGAGTATTCACTGCGCCCGCACTCTCGACTCCTGCTGGCTACCGCATGCATTCCCTAGTCCCATGCACTTAGATCCGAACGGAAGACCTGGTTTCACGAGGTCGTTTCCAGGCCAATATATCGCGCCAACAATACCGCTTACCTCGCTGGAACAAGAGGCCCAGCTTAATACCTTACACCTTCTTGTACGGGTCGTGGGTGTCGATGTGCATGCCCAAGACATTGATGGAAATACTGCTTTGCATTACCTGGCTGCCACGGTGAATGTAGACCCCAGGGCTTTGCAGTTGCTTAGAGATATGGAAGGTGGTGAGGAGGCTTACAATAACAGCAGAAACCGAGCGGGTCTGACGCCGCGTTTGCTCTGGGAAAGTAGCAAGGCATAATCATCTCAAGGTGGGCCTAGAAATGAATCAGTGATCTAAGATATTCCTAGATATTGTAGAACCAAAAATGAGGGTAAGATGTGCATAGGTTATAGTCAATCTTATGTACTATCTCTGATTGTTTAGCTGTGGACTTTACGATCATTTATAACGCCTTGCACTCCCATGATCTCTATGGTGTACCTCTGGTGCCTAATAGCACCTTGTTAATACTTTCCAGCCACTTTTAGTCGGATTTAACTGTTTACATTAGTAGTCTGCAATAACCTGGACTATCATCATGCACGTCAAATAGAAAGTAGAAGTGTGAGAATGGATGATTTGCTTTATCGTAGCAAGTGATGCAATATATTACGATGTATATTTCGACCTTGGAGACGCCCAGTAGGATAAAAGTAACCAAGAGCAGCCCAAGTATCTGACAGTTTGTCCCATGCACCGTCCAAACGCTAAAGCAGAAATAATATTGAAACCGAAGTGAAAAGAAAGAAAAAACCGAGGAATTAAAGTGAAAAGAGTTGGATTATTAACAAATACAGATCCAGAAAATAGAAGTGCAATACGCTCATAATCTGGTATCACAAGAAAGTAAAGAATGGTAAAAAAAGACCAAAAACAAAAGGGATTCTGCTTGCTTGGTAAACCCAAAAACAAGGCAAGAATTATAGCACTGACGCCATGATGCACAGGCTCAGAGGGCGGAGGGCATCTGTGCTCATGGATGAGCAGAGTTGATAAATCGAGGTAAGAACAGGTGCCCTCCTGACCCTGTGCAAATGCAAATGTCACAATGGGACTTCCAAAATGGTGAGATCAGTTCCAAAATGTAAATGAGCACGCTTCACGCGTGTCTAGCGAACTTCCAATAGCTCCCTGTGCAATCCAGCAAATCCAAAGACACGTTCCCCGTCCAAAATGAATCACCAAAAAGTCACTCCGTGGTCCATCGTAAGAATGTCAAATGCTAGAACCGGAGAGGAAGGATATGGCTGGCTATATATGTATATAAAAAAGCAATATTAAAACAAAAATGCTATTAAAGCTGCAAAAATGTCAGGGGTGAAGGTGGCTAGGGCAGGCAAAGACCCGGGGGAAGTCCCTAGCGGCGAGTAGCGATGGCCTGTTGTTGCTCTGGGCTAAGACGGTCTCGCAGAAGCATGAGTGGGCGACCGGGCTCGAGAAGACCCATCATCATCTTCCCCAATTCATTGTGCTTGATCGGCTTGGTGACATAGTCATTGAAACCTGCGCGGGCGGCGTTTTCAATTTGATCTGTCATTGCGTTTGCCGAAAGAGCCATGATTGGAATCTGTGGGTAATGGTTCTTTTGCTCCCAGTCACGGATATCTTTGCAAGTATCGTAACCGTTCTTGATAGGCATCTGAATATCGCACTACAAATCAACGCGGTTAGTTTTGCGGGAGGGAAAGGGTACAAAAAGGTAAGACTTACGATGATGAGAGAATAGTATCCCGGCTCCTTAGAGAGCACCATGTTAGTGCACTCCAGACCATTGGAAGCAGTCTCAGACATCAGCTTGATCTTGTCCAAATACTTCAACATGACCTACAAATGAGTTAGCAATAATTTCAACCAAGTATTTATAGATCAACTTACATCTCGATTGGTTTCGTCGTCCTCAACGAGCAGGATTCGATAACCCTTGTTGCCCAAAACTTCCTTGACCATCTTGGAGACGGTCTTGAAATTGTTATTGATCTCGCGCGCCATGTCTTGGTTGCGATCCTTGCTCAGCTCACGCTTACTCTGGGGATCGAAGATAGTTGAGAAAGCAGAAGGCTTGACAGGCTTTGGCACAATGAAAATCTGCTTTCCTGAAGCTGCTAGCTCTTTGACCCGTGAGCTAATTTGACGCTTTTGGTATAGGTCTGCAATGATGACGATGACGGGCGCGGGATCCAAGCCTGAGTCTGAGATGTTTTGAATGACCTCCAAGATATCATCAGTTGGAAGGTTCAAGACAAGATGTGTGCAAGGATGGGCATCGGAAGCAGAGTGCATCGCATCTTTCCATTCGTCAACGTCAAGTAGACTTGTGAAATTGAACGAAATCTCATGAGGGACGACCTGCTCAATGTGCTGCTTAATGGCTTGCCTGGAGTTTTTGAGCGGACACAGGATCACGATAGAGAAAGGACCATGAACAGGCACATATACTGATCCTACTGGTGTATCTGGAGAGCCAGATGCTTGAGACCCAGGCGACGTCACATGGGCCGGTGTCTCCGGCTTTGTAACAGCAGGTTGGATTCTTGTACTCGAGACTGCATCCGGCAGATTCCCCAAAGTTCTTGTCTGCTCCAATGGAGGCGGCAGGGACGCGGGGCCAATATCTGGGGTCGGGAGAGCAGATGATGCAATCGAGAACGAGGCAGAAAGGTTGGTATCTGTGCTTTTGGCGGATGAGTCGGAGTTTCTACCAGCTAGAGGAGGTGCTTGTTGATAAGAGGTCGTTCTGGACTTTGCCGGCCTCCTTGAAGCAGTTGAACCCTGGCGCATCAATTTGGGCTGCTCAGAGGGGGAAGGTGGCGGAGGAGCATCGACCTTGACGTTAAAAGAAAACTTTGCTCCCTGGCCCTCTTTGCTGCTGGGAGTGAGCTTTCCACCATGCATTTCGACGAGTTGCTTCGACAGGAAAAGCCCCAGGCCACTACCTGCATGTTGCTGTGTCCCATTCTCTCCAAGCTGACTGAATCGTTGCATGAGTCGTTCCGCGTCCTGAGAGCTGAACCCCTTTCCGGTGTCCACGACCTCAAAGTTCATGAATGCCTGGGTGTCATTGGGATTCGCAGATGGATCCCGATACATGTCACAACAGATGTGAATTTCACCTTGTGCAGTGAATTTGACTGCATTTCCGAGAAGGTTGATCAGGACTTGACGAATTCGGAACCGATCTCCAATCACCATCGATGGCAAGTCTTCGCCTATGAGGTAGTTGATCTCAAGACCCTTATCGATCGCTCGTGAGGCGATAGTATCGATTACATCCTCGATCATTGATCGGATATGGAACCAGGATTTGACCATTGACATCTTGCCAGCTTCGACGCGGGAAACGTCAAGAATATTGTCAACCAACTCGCGAAGATTGGTGGAGCTATTTTGGATGGTGTCAAGCATTCGCCTCTGGTCAGTATCAAGCTGCGTATCCAGGATGAACGGAATGGTACCAAGAATACCATTAAGCGGCGTTCGGATCTCATGTGACATGTTGCTGAAAAACTTTGTCTTGGACTCCATTTGGTGATTCAACTGTTGCATGGCCTTGTTGAGTTCTCTTTCGAGGTTTTTGCGGTCGTTGATATCGGTACATGTTCCGTACCAGGAGGCTTCCTCGCTCCCGAAACTGCTGGTCTTGACACGCACTACGCGAACCAAATGCCACCGGTAATCACCACCTCGAGAACGAAGGCGGATCTCGGTGGAATAGAAGACTCGGCCATTCTCATCTTGCTGCAAAGAAGCAATGCCGCGCCTCACAAGTTCATCAAGAGCTGATCCGACCATGAACTCATAAGGTCCGCCATCATTTTGGTCCGCGTTCGGAGATGTTCTGTTGATAGACAGCTCACCGCACTTTTCGAGATCGTCGGGATGAACATGTTTAGCGAAGCCGAGGTCGTGTGCTTCCTCGAGAGGTTGGCCAGTGTACAAATTCCACTGCTCATTGACGAATATCAATCCGCGGTTCTCCGTTGCCTCAAACACAACCTGTGGGATCGAATTGGAGAATGCACGGTACTTTGCATCAATAGCAAACTTCTCCCTCTCTTGTATTGCCTCAAGCTCAGCAATATGCTGCTCATGAATGTCAAGAAAAGACCCAATCCAGTACAGTACCTCTCCTGTTGACGATAACAGCGGATTGGCCCGGAAAATGAACCAGCGATATGCCGATTCATCGTTGAATCTTCGGACCCGCACTCTTTCAGTGAACTGTGCACCCGTGCGCAAGGCATTGGCCCATTTGGTATGAACATGCTCACTCTCGCTGCTATGGATATTCTGCCAAGGATCTCGAAATCTTTGCTCCTGGTGCTGACTTCTTCTGTAAGCATCGAACTTGGAATTGGTCCAGATCACTTCGCCACTCTGGGGTTTTGCCAGGAAGAGATGCAATGGGATCGAATTGAGCATCAGCTGGGCTATCGTGTCGGAGAACGGGCGGGGGAGCTCCCGTTGCAGTTGGGCGTACAACGAGTTCGTAGAGGCTTGACGTGATGATTGCGAGGTTGGTGAAAAGGCATTCGGTTGTCTGGTTTCTTGCAGTGGCGATGCGACATAGAAAGATTGATCTTGTAGGTTGCTCTCATCGCTGATGGTTTGTTTCCAGGCCACTTTGTCCGGAGAAATTGGCATCGATGAGTCAATGTTGGTGGTCTTGGACTTGAGGAGCCGGGGTCTGGTTTGGGATGCATTGTCTCGGGCGTATTTATTTTGCGGGACATTGAAGTAGCTATCAGCACCTTCTCCGCCAGATCGCGAAGCCACTCCTGGAGATTGATTTGCAGACCCGAATCCAATATGGCCAAGATCAAATCCAGGCGTCCCTATAGCAGAAACAGCAGGACTGAACTTTACAGACGACCGATCACTGGGGCTAGCGATGCTCGTTTGCGGGGACATTGGGTTATTGTCGCCGGCGGAGTAGCTGACATGACCGCTTAGTCCTGCAACAAGCTCTAGCTCACTGCTTGCATCGGAGAAAGTGCCCCCGAGACCTAAAAGATGACCATAGCGGGGAGTTTCCATCTTGGATGAGAGTTGTCTTTCAAGCTGGCTATATCGCTGAGCCAAGCAGAAGGAAGTTGTCAAATGCGGCATCAGAAGTGAGAGTGATTGTCTGAGATTGGGAGGATATGGAACGATTGTGCACAACATGGACACAACGGCAACAGGAAATCTCAAGGTCGATGAGGAATCCCGGTTAGAGTGGCCACCATGTAAAAGAGGAATATGGATAACGGTCTTTGACTGATCGATCCCAATGGCCTCTAGTGGAAGATTATTAGAGTAGTCGTGTGAAGGTGGATGCTTGGAGAAAGCCCCTTCATCGACCGAATGGCTTGTAAAGAACGGGTTCTGCTCTGCATGTGTGCGGGGAGCGGGCGATGGAGCAGGGGACTGAGACCACGGAGACTGCGGAATCTGCTCATATTCATCATACTGTTTCAACCCACTGACACCGAGGCCTTGGTGCATCGGTACACTCCCGATTCCCCTGTCACCAGTACCATCGACATCAGGAGTAACTTGAACCATCTCATTCGGACTGTTGGCAGACTCGCTCCAACGCTGTGGATATTGTGCGCTCTCTGCATACTCACGTGTTAAGATCGTGGGACGGTTACGCCCAAATAACCTGACCACGCCTGTACGCTTAATGAGAGGGTCTAGCTCCACCTCTAATGGTCTAGGTATGGGGAACACAGCCTGCCGCATACTGCCGAGGAGGCTGTTGAGTGTATCGTCTTTGGCTTCGGAGGTCTCTCCTGTCGGATGATCCATGGGTGGCGGATTTTGGGGAGCGATATGTACGTGCTTTTTCTCGGATTTGACATTTATCTTCGAAGCTTGTGGTTGGTTGGGATCGAGGGGGGCGTGGCCTTTGTTTTTATCAAACCCAGCGAATGAGTGCCGGGATAATAAAGATGGCCGGGAATGTCCAGGTATTTTAGCCTGGTGGAGCACTGTTTCGGTTTTCTGTTGCGTGACGCTTTTGTGCGAGTGAGATGTCTCCGTTGATGGCCCCTTCTCTATATGACGCGCTTGAAGTTCGTGCAACGATGTATCCACGTTTTGGTTAAAGATTGCCTTTTGGCCCCAAGGTACGTTCTCCAAATCGGTCACATCTCCAGGGACGGCTAGTGACACACGCTCAGCCCCGTAATGTATTTGCAATATATCAATGAGGTTGGACCACCACGCTTCGAGTCCCGAATCCGCATTCAACTGAAGTGTCAGATTATAAAGATCGGGACTGACAAAATTCGGATCTTGCTGGGTCTGGCTATGATGAGCGGGCAGAAAGGTCGGATGCGGTTCCGAAGCTTTCGGTTCTGGAGGTAGAGTTTGGGACCCTGGTGTCGAAGAATGAGATTTCTCGGATGGAAGCTTCAGTCTAAATGGACCCCCACGCGCTGTTGGTTCAATCCCCATTTTGGCTAGTTTGTTCTGCATGTGTGGAAAGGGATAGGACGGCGTGTGTGCTTGTTTTCGATCGGAAGGTGTCTCCGTCTGGACACCTTTGATTGTCCCTCCTGAACCTGCCGAGCCTGCGGAGGTATGTACGTTGGCGACTGAGGTTTCTGTTGATGTATTGGACAAAGTGTTTGACAAACGTCTCTTTCTTTGGGTATCATTCGTGAGGGCAGAGACGGGCTGACTCTGGGACGAGACTGGATGGGTTTGCTGCATCTGTTGGTATACAAGGAGATCTTCCATCTGCCTTCGAAGTTCCTTGAGGGTATGCGAGCTGCGTCCTTGATCCTCCTGTCGTTCGGCTTCCGATCGTGCATCCTCGGTGATAGGTGTTAGACCGACAACCTGCTCTGTAGAGTCACCGCGCGATAAACGAGATGGTTTGAGAGTCGACTTCTCAAGAGCATCTACCCTATCCGCAAGTTGATCCACCAATTTTTGGGATTGGTGACCATGTGGGGGGCGGTGACCAGGCGATCTGGGAGGCTGCATATGAGATTGGGGCACTGCAGGTGGAAGTGTCTCTGTTGGCGAAGGGAATGGAGGACTCCTCCTACTATGAACATCCTCCATTCTCGCTCCTCCGCGAGTGGAGGGAAAGGGTATAAAAGGATATCAATAGTTGTGGGCGGAGTATGGGATGGAACGATGTGAGGCGTTTATGGCTTGACCGTCGCGAATGGGAGGGAGGTCAGATGTTGGAGTGGGGTGGTTAAGGCTAGGAAAAGAAAACAGATTATGCCAAGATTAGAATATGAGGTGAGAGTCGGATCGATTTAGAATAGGAAGTTGAAGATGAAGACGAATAAGGTTGAGGCGGTGTATCAAGTAGGGGGAGGGAAACTGATATTGAGGTGTTCGAGAGAGAGAGAGAGAGAGAGAACAATCTAGGAAACCAGTACCCGCCAGGCCCATTGCTTGGATCGATATGGGAGTGGATGGGAGTGGATGAAGGAAGGAAAAAGTGGACTGGGGGGCGTGATGCACTGGGGGGAGGTATGACGTAGGAAAATAAAATCTTGGTGGCTTTTTTCTTATATACGGTTATTTCTCGATATTACACATGGCAATTTTATTATAGATGTGTTTAAAATGTTCAAAAGTTCACCTTTAATCACTTTTACTTCCTTCTTCCTCTTATATATCTGAAGTCCACCCTATTCCCCTTTCGAATCTAAAAAAAAACCAATGTGACGTAGCCCTATATTTTGTACCTGGATGACCTGTACTCGGCACTGCGGTGAACAACAATGACGATGTTCGTCCAAATCCAAATCTCTCCTTTTATACCTAGGAAACCTGTGGGCACTTGAAATATTTATGAAATATTCACAACCTAGGTATCCACAGGGCACCTGACCATATGTATTTTGGAATCTGCCATCCAAAAAAATTACATGCCAAAAAGCGACTCGTGGCACGTCCAGATCGAAGGAAAAGCTCTCGTGCGGTCTAGACCAGAGAATGCAAACCCCCTATCCCCCTTGTTCAGCCTCGCATTTACGGGGAATGGGGTAGAGGTGAAATGCATTGTCACGCCTGTTGCAGATGCCTAACCCTGGGAACGAGGGGATCGACCCGCCGACGTCAACGGGGCTATTGTGGCGCCAAATCGGCTCGATGTGGGAATGATTAGTGCACCGACGGTTAAAGCCCCCCTTTTCCGCAGGAAATTCTACACACAACGAAATAGATAATCTGGGGCAATACTTTATTTATTTCGACATATATTGTTGGTACGAGCATTGAAGATTGAAGCCTTTTCGTATCCCAGATGTTCAGCTGAGATTCTCCTGTCGTCATTTGGCATAATATACACATTCCATTCTTACTGCGTTGGCCCCTCGTATATGCAGTCTAGGCTCTCTAGCTTATGCTACATATGCAGTTATCCCTTATTCTTCTTCGAGCTTCGTGCGGCGCTAGACTCGGTTTCATATAGTTAACCATTATGTTACTTCCACAAAATTAACGGCTATTATTAGGCCCAAAAGCCATTCGAAGTTGAGATTCATTGAAATGTACTGTACCAGCAGTCAAGGAATATGTCCAATATTACCTAGGTACAATTCCCAAAAAAGTGCATGCGAGTCTCCAGGACTACAACCAAGTGCTTATGAAAAATATAGCAACCCACATAAAAAGTCAGAACGCCATGCAATCATATGTTCATCTAATAGAACTAGGAGAGTTCTTCAGGTTCCGACTTCAAGTCCACTGGCTGTGCAGGATCTCGGCTATTTTTGCCAGCTTGATCGGCCTCATCCAAACCGCGCCGAGGATTCAACTCCCTCTGATAAACCGGTTGCTCGTTATCCTTCAAACCCGACCCCGTGGGGTCTCTCCGAATGAGAAAACCTTGCACGCGCGCATCATTTGAATCCATCTGTTTGACGGTGTTGTCTCTGCGGGCCTGTAGGACACGCGCCGACTTCTCGTTGACCTCACGTAGTCGATCATTGTAGCCAGTATTCATCTGCCCAAGCCATGATGCTTGAAGGGCGCCTGCAAACAGCACCAAGAGGATTACAAGCCGAGAGAAGGTCCGATGGTCGACAATATGCTGCTGCGGCCCTTGATGGCGGTTATGCCAGTCCTCCCAATCTTCCCATGTGGCATTCGAGTAGATATTCGGTCCATGTGAGTTGCGTTCTATTGTTGTATCCAGTGCCGCATGGATCCAGCCAGTGCCATTTCGGTCATAGGCCGCTCGTCTGATCGGATCGGACAGGATTTCATGTGCATCAACCACAATTCGGTAGCGGCGCAATCGAGTTTCAGCAGTTAATTGATGGAAGAGAGGATGGTCTTTGAGAGGTCGGTCGGGGTGGTAGATCTTAACGAGGTCATAGTAGTTTCTTTTCGAGTACGTCGCGCTGCGGGGTAGATTCAAGACATCATAAGGGGTGAAAGATGGATCGGTGGGCCATGAGTAGTTCTGATGTGGGAACCCTGCTGCGGTGGCATAACTCCTGCTTTTGTATGGTGCCTCCAGTCCATATCTTGGAGAGATGTTGTTGAAACGAGAAAGTGGCAAGACCGCGGTAGAGTTCAAAAGTCGGAGGCTTTGGCCATGAAAAAGATTGATTTTCTTGAACATTGTCACATGGCGTCACTTCAGAGAGCACGGTGAAAATCTCCGTTGTGCTCCTGTCTTAAAGTTATTGTGAGGGGAGAGTAAGGTGAGGCTCTCGTCCTTCGGAACGGCGGATTCGGAGCTGGTCACGTGTATGCCGTTGAAGCTTTGATCCAAGGATCTCTAACATTTTGATCTCTACGCTCGCCTTTCCACGCAGTCCTATTTCAATAGCAACAATGGCTGGGTCCAACGACGACCAGCCCGAACGTCGGCGGCGCTCCGTTAACTCACCCTCGGATCAGACCCATGAACGCCGGCGACGAGATGCGCCTCAAGACGACCACTATTCGAGCTCAAGACGACGCGATGAAGACCGCCAGAGCTCTCACCGGGACAGCCCTCGACGGAGATCATCCCGCAGCCCAGCTGAAAGGACCAGCGGCCGAAGTGATCGTGATCGGCCTCGCCGCGAGCGCAGAGAGCGATCAACAAGCTCGGCTGCTGAAGATCGCCGCAGACACAGACACCGCAGCCATCGACACCGCGATACCCGCCACGAAGATGAAGGACGATCTTCTCGGAGGCATCGTGATGCGCGCTCACGCTCTCGCTCTCGCTCTCGCTCACCGAAAAAACCACGCAGCCCTCCACCGCAGGCATTGGAACGACGCGGCCCCTCCCCTCACAGACCGATGCATTCACCGATGTGGCGCATCCTTCAGACGCACCGGCCCCAGAAAAGCAAAAGCCGAACTTCAACGCGACCGGTAGACTCGCAGCCGAAAGCAATACAATTCAAGTCCAGGGTGGTACGGAAATAGTCTTGAAATACCATGAGCCTCCAGAGGCGCGCAAGCCGCCCTCCAAGGAAGCTTGGCGCATGTATGTGTTCAAAGGGCAAGACTTACTGGAAACGGTTGAATTGAGTGAACGGAGTTGCTGGCTGGTCGGTCGCGAGCGACTGGTGGTAGACTTCCCACTCGACCATCCCAGCTGCTCGAAGCAGCATGCAGTGCTACAATTCCGATTTGTCGAAAAGCGCAATGAATACGGTGATCGCATCGGCAAGGTCAAGCCTTATCTTATTGATCTTGAGAGTGCAAATGGATCGACCGTCAATGGAGAGACCATCACCGGTGGTCGCTACGTGGAAGTCATGGACAAGGACGTAATTCGCTTCGGCCTGAGCTCGCGCGAATACGTCCTCATGCTGCCTCCCAGCTGAAGAGGGACGTTTCCAGTTTTGTTTAAAGCATTGGAGCGCTACGGGCTACAACAACTTTGATGAACGGAATATGGCAATAATATTACAATTCGGATCACAAGTGATGCAAGCTTAACCTAGTCTTTGCGGGCAAACAAGGTCGAAGCCTTTAATCAATGCGGCGCTTGGCCTCCTTGGCCTTCCCTTCCATCTTGCCCATGGCCTACTTTGTCTTTTCCTTAGCTTCGTTCAGTACTTCTTCTGCCTTGCCCTTGCCCTTGCCTGCATACTCGGCCGCCTCGCCCTTCGCCTTGCCTGCATATTCGGACGCCTCGCCCTTAGCCTTGCCTGCATACTGGGACGCCTCGCCCTTCACCTCTGACCCCTTTTCCTTTGCTTGCTTGGCCCCGGCGCCAACGGCATCCTTAATCTTGTTGGCGGCTTTCTCTGTTGGCAAAGTCATGTTAGCATCAGTCTCTGCACATTGAATCGAAATCATGTAGATCTATGAGATCACATTGAACACATACCACCCGTATTGATACCCTTGACTGCTGCATCAGAAACGGTCCGATCGGCTTTCTTCAGTGTATCCTTTGTCGCATCCACAGGTCCCTTGTTGCATGGGGCTGTAGCTGAGATGGAGCGAATTGCCTGGAAGCCAGGTGCAGTTCGTACCGCCACCCGGGTTCTCAGGAGAGGAGCGAATCGTGTGGCAGACATGGTTTTGAATGTGATTGTTTAATGTAGATAGATAGTGGTGTGGTAGAAGTCTCCGATAGCGTAGGCTAATTAGAATATTATTGATGAAATATTTTATGGATTTCCCCAGATCAATGCAGAGTAACTTGTTTAAATAGGTTGGAGCTTTAAAATGTCGGCGTATCATACTTGATTTCTACTTGGTCGCCCCCAGCTGTTAGTTGGTTTTGGCTACGTCATGAGTATGTTGCCCCAGTTCTTACGTCGATTGACAGTCAGTCTTGGCCTGATTTCCAAGGTTTCCATCCCCAATCAGGTTAGTTATTCTGTTTGATCGTTCACGGGATTTATACACCTGGGCATGTCTAAATCCGGTTTTGAGTATGTCATTTTTGGGGTCATTTGTTTTCTGGCTGATAGACGCCGTTAGATGTGGGTGACAGCGGCCAACATGTATAAATAAAACCCCAACTATTACCAGAGAACTAGGAAATTGCTAAAAAGAAAGACCACAGCATTTGAAGCGATATATTGTTGGATAGGATATCAAGAGTTACTTACTTTACTATTCTAAAATTAGGATAACATAATGTCAGCGATGCTAAACAGGTATTGTTTTCATCATCATCACCCCCGGGAAACCCGGACGTTGTACGTAAAGAGATGGAGACGGATATGTGGGTAGCAACTAGCATTTAATATACCACAGACTAATATAGGACTTGATCTCGAAAGATATTCCGTGCTAGCAATAGTGGGATTTTCTAGATCACACTTTTCCTGTACCTAGCTCGAACGAGTCTATAAGCATATCACCCGTAGACAACTATATGAATGTAATCTGATGACTAGATAGAAGGGGCAGGAGCCTAACCTGAGATCTTGAGATACTCCGAAACATATGACAGAAGTCCAAGCCGGGCTATTTCTGCATCCCGGAACCAGGGTGTCCCGGGTATATTCCGGCACGGCTAGTCCAAGTCGCTACGCGATACCCTATAATCACATTAAGCAAAGATCACTCTAATCGAATACTACGGCCAGAGCTCAATGATGGGCGTAAGACAAAGCTTGAATCCATGTCTTGCATTTCTTTCATAGGATCGGCCCGGTTTTACCACTAAACTCTCGGTGAACGGCCCTCGTAACTCGGAGTGTGCCTGGTTAAATACTTAGGCCTGTGCTTCCATGTGCCAGGATTCCAATTGGGATATTGTGCGATCAAAACAATGCACTCTGCGGTTGTCTCAAGATCCAGGGCAAACCCAACTTGGCCAAGGTTCGGAGTCTCATGATATTAAGAAACAGGACTTAGACGTGTCTCAATATTCATATATATCACATGTGAATCTGAACAAACGGTATTGTACTTCAATGAGTTAGGATCTCGCGATACCTAGATCATGCTATAATGGGATCATTTCATTAGCGATTAGTTCGGTCACAGAATGTAGGGCAAACTTAACTTGGAAAGCGTCCGAGGTCTCATCCTAAGCGATGGAAGCTAACAGTCGCCTACAACAAATCGGACTTGAATTATACCACGGTGAAAAGATGTAGCTTACTTTGTCCCACCCAACCAAACATGCAAGTATACACCGCAGTGCGACCCTAGGATCCAAGGTCCGTTGACAAAGCTGCTACTAAGTAGATTAGTTATAAGATAAGAGGTGGAAGATATCAAAATGATCTACAAAATGGCAATGCATCCATATCAATTTACATTGACTAGCGCCCAGGTCTGGTAGCGATGACCCTATAAATCAAGCTTGAATTAGATCAAGCTCCCATGGTCATATTTGTGAACGCTTACTAGCTGTGCTGGAAGCACATCTCGGGCTTAGTGCATGTCTACAGGCATATATGAATCAACTCGCACTCTATTATTACATTAAAAACAGACAACTCGCAAAGGACTCGCAAAGGACTCGCAAAAGACTCGCAGATGACTCGGAGAAAACGTTAGACATACCCTAGACATGATATTGGCAGTGAGGGAGGTTTCATATAGTGTTATAGGGAAAACGGGAGAATGCATATATTAAAAGAGCCTCTGTCCTCTGTAATAACCGCAATCTGTTGAACACCATTATAAAACAATAAAACAACAAAGGTTCCAAGGATCCTTCCACTCGGGGGAAAACCCAACTTTCTTTTCCAACCTTAGAAGGTTTCTGGGCCTCATGTCAGCGATGATGCATTTTGCCTAAGGATTTCTTTCTTTTCCCTCTGCTCTTTCCATCTGTTCCTTCTCTCCTTCAACCAACACTTCCCCATCAAAACAACACGCGGGAGGCATATTGTTTAGTTGTTTTCTTTCTTCTTTCGCACCCTGCTCTCACTTGATACATTTCTACTGCGTTGCCCTTTATTGTACAAAGTCAATCAGTACAAATGGAGTCCGCAGCCAACCCCAGTCACGTTGACCTTTCCGAGAAAGAGGGAGAGAAGACGTTGCCCGTCGATGTTTCCCCTGAGCAGCAAAAGGTAGTCCAAACTGAAAAGTCTGAGGTCAACGCCGAGCACCCAGCAGGTGAGCCTACCACGCGTGAGGTAGCCGAGCATACAACGGGTCCCAAATTGGCTTTGATTACACTGGCATTGTGTTTGGGCGTCTTCCTAGTGGCTCTTGGTACGTTCACACCGCTTTGTCTTCTAAACCTTGGAAGTTCCATGAGTCTAGGGCATAACTAATGCATATTCTCTTGCCATATAGATAACAGCATCATTGCCACGGCAATTCCAAAGATCACAGTCCAATTCCACAGCCTCGAGGATGTTGGCTGGTATGGAAGTGGTTTGTCAAACCCGAGGCAACCTAGGTGATAGGCGTTAACTGATCGGTTTCTACTCTTTTTTCAGCATATCTTCTCACCACAGCATCGCTCCAGCTACTTGTCGGACAATTCTACACTTTTTTCAATGTCAAATGGACCTTCCTCGTCGCCATTGGCGTGTTCGAGCTGGGAAGTCTGATCTGCGGCGTGGCTAACAGCAGTCTGACGCTTATCATGGGCCGTGCCGTTGCTGGCATTGGGTCTGCAGGTATCTTCTCAGGCTCACTCATCATGGTCGCCCACTCGGTGCCCCTAGAGAAGCGCCCATTATACAATGGCTGTATCAGTAGCATGTTTGGCATTTCATCCGTGGCCGGGCCTCTGCTCGGTGGGGTTTTCACCGACAAAGTGACATGGCGCTGGTGCTTTTACATCAATCTTCCAATCGGAGCTGTCACTGTTTTGGTGATTGCAATCTTTTTCTCTGCCCCCAACCACCATACCAAAGAAACGACATGGATGGAGCGCATTAAGAAGTTTGACCCCATGGGTACAACTCTTTTCCTCCCTGCCATTGTCTGCTTATTGCTAGCTCTGCAGTGGGGTGGCACCATCTATGCCTGGAATAACTGGCGCATCATTGTGTTGTTTTGCTTTTTTGCTGTTCTTATTCTCCTCTTCTTATTTGTCCAGTACGTCCAGCAAGATAATGCTACAGTGCCACCACGCATTTTCTTCCGCCGCACTATTTGGTCCGCTGCGTTTTACAGTTTCTGCCTCGGCGCTGCCTTTCTCTCCTCTGTTTACTTCTTACCCATCTGGTTCCAAGCCGTGAAAAATGCCAGTCCCGTCAGCTCAGGTATCATGAATCTGCCCATGTTGATTTCTGTTGTGGTTACCTCCGTCATGTCGGGAATCATCATCACTCACGTCGGGTACTACACACCCTTTATGATTCTCGGTACAGTCCTTCTCGCCATCGGCTACGGTCTCATGAGCATGTTCCACACGGACACGTCCAAAGCTGTTTGGATCGGCTATCAGATAATTGCCGGCGCCGGCGCAGGTGCTGGTATGCAGCAATCTATGATCGCTGTTCAGGTTGTCCTTGATCTTGCTGATATACCCACCGGCACAGCTATCATCGTTTTCGCCCAGACTCTTGGTGGTGCTCTCTTTGTTTCTATTGGAAACAACGTTTTCAGAAACAAGCTTGCTGAGTATCTCGCCAAGTACATCCCCAACGTGGATCCAGCTTTGATCCTCAAGACCGGCGCAACTGGCCTCCAGAGTGTCGTCGACAAGGCCGACCTACCCGGAGTCCTGCTTGCTTACAATGACGCACTTACACAGACCTTCATTGTCGGTGCAGCTATGGCCTCTACCAGCCTGATCGGCGCTTTGTTTGTGGAGTGGAAGAGTGTCAAGGGAAAGAATATTTCCGCGGGAGGAGCCGCATGATTTTCTATGGTAACTTCTTCATTCTAGCTGGTTCATTCTATGTTAGGGCCCTACTCTTCAAAGAGAAAAAAAACCCCGTTTAATCGCCATGTACGTATTAAACAAATTGAACAAGCCATTTCACTATTTCATTATATGTAACTCATTTCATTGAGCTATCAAATGCCAACTCTACTTATCGGCCAGTGATAACCCTAAACTGCCACCCGTGGACCTCGGGACCTGCGCGGCCTGGGCAGCTAACCCAAGACGTCTTAGCGTCTTGCCAACCCCAGATAAGCAGCGGAGAACATCGAGTTTCAGGTTGACTTCACAATATTCTATGATCCTATGGGACATTCCACTCTATGAAATGCCGACCAAGCGACGGATTTTGTCCTGCCAGCCGTGTCGGCGGTTGAAGACACGATGCGAGGTTCTTCCGGGTTCGAGGCAATGTGCTCGGTGCATCTCTCTAAGGTAGGTGGCCCAATACGAGTCCTATCGTTTATTGAGAAAGGGTAGGGGTTAATCGGACACCAAATAGGCTCGAATGTTCTCTTCCATCCACATCTGCTATCACTAGCCCGGATTCAGGGTCTATTGGTAGATCAGAGAGGAATTCCGCCCAGTCTCTTGGATGCCATTGTGCATCCAGGTATTTCTAATTCCACTGTATAGACCGAGGCTCCGATTACTGACTGATAAATACCAGACTTGATGCTATCGAAGCTTCACTCTCTGAGATGAAAGAATTACTGAAATCCCACCTTCTCGGCAATGACCGGTCAATGACAAGAGATCCTGCCAATGAAATGCGCGGAACGAGCAGTAATTTAAACCCGAGAAAAGATATCAACGATAGCAAAGCCACTATGCACGTGCCCTCAGAGGTAGACATATCGGCAACCACCGACATCCAACCAGCACCAATCACAGTGGTCCGCCACGTTGGAAGTCTAATCACCGAGCCCGTAACAACGGGGGAAAACGACTCGCTCCGGGGGAATATGACCGAGATGGGCTTGGACTCAGACAGCTTCGCCAGTGTTTTCCAGCACGGTTTCGAGCAGATAGCATCATGGTATCCATTTCCGCATGAGACCCTGAAGGATCTCAAGCAGAACCATCCTCTGCTCTTTGCCATGTGTCTTCTAGCAGGTATCCGAGCAACAGCCGGTCTGAATCGCACCAACTTGCACATAACCCTTCATACATTGGTCAAGACCCACTTGGGCAGGAAGACTCTAGATACGCCCATTGATATCTCTACCATACACGGCATGCTTATCTTTAGTGCCTGGAGCTTTGGGCCTCTCGTGCCAGGTGGTAGGTATATTGATAGCTGGCTGATGAGCAGCACAACCATCACCCACTGCATGCTTAGCTTTCCTCTATCCGAGCTTGTGTCGCTTGTGGGCTTGTACGATGAAACGAATCGGAACATGTGCAGGATGTGGATTCAGGCGTCGCTGGTGCATCTGAAGTACGTACTCTTCAAAGTCACAGTAGTCAACCCCTTCTGAAATGTGGGCATGAAAGCTGACCGGATTTCAAGATTTGCAATTGGCACCGGTCGGCCATCAGTGGTTCCATGCGAGCGTCTTCATCCGTGGACGGAGATTGTCAAATACCCCGGGTTTGAAACATTCGACCACATCATTGCAGCAGAGCTCAAGCTCTACATTCACCTGTATGAAGCCATCTATCAAACCGTCAGTTCAGTGTCAGAGGCCTGGGAGATGGTCAACAGATGGGGACGCAAGTACCTTGGAGGTGAGCATGTCAATCTAGGAGTGTTGGGGGGGGGTTATTACTATGCTGACTCTCAAGCACAGAAGGCAACAGTACACTAAGATGGGCGCACTCCTGCGCATCCCTCATTTTATCTCGATGGGAACTGGCAAAGCATAATCAGTCCACCTCTCCCAACTCGCTGATGCGCAATGAGCGTAGCAACGAGCTGACCGAAAGGGTCATTCGTCATGCTCAGCTGGTACTGAGAGAGATCTTTGTCCTTTGTACCTCCGATACTGCGTTTGTTAGACCAACATACGACTACCTGCTTACCGCATATGCGGGCGTCACTCTAGCAGAGTACTGCGCATGTATATCGGATGTGCACGCAACATATACGTTGATGGAAGATGTTCGGACGCAGGCTAGGATTCCCAAGAGCATTGAGGGAGTATTTAATTGGGCAACAAATGTTGTGCAGAAGAAGGTAAAGGACCTTTTGGATTCGAAAGTGGCAGCAGTAGTTCCCGATGATACCTTTTATTCATATCCAGGCTCGGTCGCAGACTGGGCGCCGTTTCGGTTTATTGACTCGATGCCCGCTTCTGATTGGGACGGGATGAATGGCTCTATGCAACAATTCTGAAATCTATACAGGTGGCGTTGTCTATTATTCGACGGTGAATTAAATTGGATTACAAATCTCTCCGAGTCAACATTATCTTCAATCAGAAATGGGCTTTCCGTGTGAGAGTTCCAGTCGGTTGCGATGCCACTAAATGTGAAGGTTAGGTACATCCAATACCGAACAAGTTTCGACGGGGATAGGACTTACCTTTCCACAAGATATAGGCTCATAAAGCGCAGGATGAGTCTCATCAACACACGAAGGCACAACCTTACAAACCGAATCCGGATTGAAGCCCAGGAAGAAAGGCATTGAGTACCTGGAGGTAGGCTGACGATTATAAACCCTATGCACCGTGGACTTGAACCTATTGTTCGAAAGACGCTGCAGGAAATCACCAATATTAACCACCAGCGTGCCAGGTATAGGCCGAGCATCGAGCCACTCGTCACTGGCAGACAGCACCTGCAAACCGCCAGACATATCCTGCCACAGAAGAGTGACGCACTGGATATCGGTATGCGAGCCGATACCGACATCCACATCCCCATTGTTTTCTTCGAGTGCATCGGCTGGTGTAGCGGGATAGTGTACGTACAACCCGTCTGCGCCGGGGTTCGTGGTCACTGCGTCAAAGTAATCTTCCGGCATGTTCAGAGCGAGAGCAAAGATACGAATCATTTTGCGCGCGAGCGTGAGCCGACGCTGATAGAATTCAATTGTTGTTTCCTGGAATCCAGGGAGATGGCTTGTTGTATCCCATGCGAAGTCATCATCGCTGGACAGGGTGTTAGGGTCGGGGACAGTTGGATCGTTCCTGGGATTGTAGCGCAGAGAGAATGTCTCCTTGCGATCTGAGAATGTTGTTGTCAGTCATTGGTAATATGACAAGGATATACCTGCCCAGCTTGGGGTGAGAGGGGTGTTTACCCCTTGTTTCAGTTTTGTTAACTTGGGTAGTCCCCAGACCATGCCATCCATCTGCGTTCTTTTGAATCTTGCTTGATGCTAGCTGTTTCTTTTCGATCGGCTGGTCAAAGAAAGCTTGTGCTTGGGATAGGGCATTCTGAATGAGCTCTTCTGAGATCCCGTGGTTTTTGATATAGAAGAAGCCCGTATTCTCGGCCGCTGCCCTGACTTTGGACGCGATGATCTTTCTCGCTTCTAGGTCTTGGTCGATAGAAGCGAGATCTACGATCGGAAGCTCATCCGCGGTTGGTGGGCGGGGAGGAGCAGTTGACACTCGGCGGAATTCTGGGCCGCTGAGCGTTAGGAGTTCGACTTGAGTATACTCGAGCAGGGTTGTCATGATTAGTGCGATGTATGGCCAATACCAACTCGAGGATGCTCGTGAATTTATCCCCGGTTCTTCTCCCCGCAATATGCTCGGAAGATCGAAAGGTCAGGTCCACCGATAACCGTCGGAAAAACGTTGGACGGCAATCGCCGGGATATCTGCATACACCCACATGCAAATGTGGTTGGCTGAAATGATAAGCCCAGATAGGCTTACTTTTGTTACTTTTGCTTTTTAATTCTTGTCAGATAGCATCGTCGGCGCCTCTCTGGATAATCATGGGTGTTTTGTAGACTTCCAGTGGACAGGTGCGGGTGACTCCTTATCAGTCCATTGGCCACTCCAAATGGCCAAATAGCCCTAAAAAGCACGATATATCCTGCACGTACTCCTCCGTCCTCACCCCCTCCCCCTTTATTCACGTTTCAGGGTTTGCCACTAAGATCTGCACTCGATATTCGACCATCTTTGTTTATCCTTTGACCTTCTCCACTCTCTATCTACCCCACCAACCCAATAAACAACCAACCTCAATAATGTCCAAGCTATCGCGTCTCCATGAGCTCCTAATAGTGAAAAGAACTCAACGAGATGGCGTCAATCGCCCTGTTGATATGCTCGACAATGACTCTATCCGACCGACACCAGTAAAGGATCGAACATGGTCCCAACTCACCTACATCATGTTCTGGTTCTCTGCGACTGCGAACGTCAGCAATCTGTACACAGCTTCCACGGGAATGGCCATGGGATTGACCATGTGGGAAGCTATTGGATGCTCCTTTGGCGGTCAGATTCTTGCCGGTGCCTTGATGGCTGTGAACGGGCGTGCTGGCGCCATGTACCGCATTCCGTTCCCCGTTCTTTGTCGCTCCAGCTTCGGGCATTGGGGAGCACTGTGGCCAACTTTTAATCGTGCGGCCATGTCAATTGTATGGAACGGTGTCAATTCTGTTCAGGGAGGGCAATGTTTATAGTGAGTTTTATACTAATCTCGTTCTTTTTCCTAGCGAGGGAAGCACGGAACGTGTGGTTATTGACGTTCGTTTCTAGCGTCTTTCTCCATGCCATATTCCCTTCTATTGAAAACATCCCGGATAAGATGGGATCTAAGTCAGCTTTGACTTCAGCACAAATGATGTGTTTCTTCATCTATTGGTACAGTGACTAGTATCTCAATGCTTGGTCTATTGCTAACCAGTCTCCACAGGCTTATCAATTGTGCATTCTTGGTGGTACCTGTACCAAAGATGAAGTCGCTAGTCTATGTCAAAGTCGTGGTCTACTTCGGCGCAGCCTTTGCTATGTTGGGATGGACTGTGTCTCTCGCCGGTGGCTCTTTGAAGTCAATCAATGCGCCCTCGAAGATAAAGGGCACCGAGAAGAGTTATCTCATTTTCAAGTTCCTCTTTTTGGGACTCGCAAGTTGCGGAACTTTTATCTCCAATGCGTCCGATCTCCAGCGATATGCTACAAAGCCCAATGACGTCCTCATAGGCCAGTTTGTCAGCTTCCCACTGTCGAACTTCCTAGTTGCCATTTTGGGCAATCTTATCGCATCAGCTAGCAAAGTCATCTTTGGAGAGGTTTGTTATATCAAAAGCCTTGTTTTAAACTATGGACTGACAAAACTCTCTAGCTCATATGGAACCCGCTGCATTTCTTGGATAAATTGATGGAAGGAGAGCGATACACTTCTGGCAACCGCACGGCCTGTGCCTTCATTGCTCTAGCATTCGTTTATTCGACCGTCTTCTCTGCCATTTTCGAGAACTCTATCCCGTAAGAATCTCCATCTCTCGCATTTCTATGCCAAATACTAACAATCCTCAGTGCGGGTAACGATATTGCAGCCCTACTACCGAAATACATTTCAATTAAACGAGGATTCTTCATCTGTGCTGGTAAGAAAATAACCAAAAGAATTGAACAATTCCACTTGCTTCAACCCAAAACTAACACAAACCCACCAGTCCTCTCCTACGCAATCTGCCCCTGGTATCTCCTCGCATCAGCCTCAATCTTCATCACATTCCTCTCGTCCTACCAAATATTCCTATCAGCAATTACCGGCATTCTAATCTGCGACTACTACCTTATCCGCCGAGGGCTGCTCAACATTCCAGCCCTCTACGTGACACGCCCAAGTCCATACAGATACCTCCACGGATTTAACCCGCGAGCATTCTTGGCCTACGTTATTGCAGTTGCGCCGAACTTCTACGGGTTCCTTTTCCAGATGGGTGTCAAGGCGCCTCTGGGTATCCGGCGATTCTACTATATCGCTTACCCTACCGGCCTGATCATCGGATTTGGCGTTTATTACTTGTCATGTTTGGCATCCCCTCCGGCCGATATGAAGCAGGCATCTGGATGGATGGAGCCCAAGGACTTTGTGGAGGATAATGATGTTTCTGGGAGTGATGGGTTTACTATTGATGCCGTTGAGCCCGGTTTCGCGGAGAAGGGGGCTGTCGCGGTTACTACAGCAGCTCATGGTGAAAAGGGTTCGTTTTAATGAGATATGTCTCGTTGGCATTTTGGGGGTGATTACATTGCAGAAGCATGATTAATATTTTGGTGGTATAGCTTAATGTCTGTAACCAGACCATACACTCAGATTTTGAGACATTTCATTTTCATCTACACGGTTCATTTATCTTATAAGTAGTTATATATGATGAATTGAATAATTCTCCAATTAAAAAGAGATTGAGGCTCTACGGCAGATGTCACCCGCCCCCCGGGCTTTCATATGCATGATTTATCATTGGGTGGATGAAGATGGATAGCTGCTGTGCGAAGAATATTGTCCAAATGAATCTAGATACCGCCTTCCCATCCGGGATCGCGACAACCGGGCTTCTAAGCTTCCAAGGTTTTCACAAGGTCCCAAGCCTGGCAGAATCCTCCGGCCCCCCGAGCATTAGAGTTTGGTGTGGAGCTAGGATCCATGGCTTCATTTCCCCACATTCCGACCTACTTTGTACGTATACCGTACGGGGGCAAGCTGATGATCCCTAACAAACTTAAATTGTGCCCGAGTCTGCATTATTCTGCCTTGGATGAGGTAGTATACTTGGATTATACGGGCACATGTGAACACAGCGGTTGCAGAATGTCATTTCTTGACACCCTCTAGGAATGTCTACGGGCACGATCAGAGACGATCGGACTTGGCTGCGTGATGAACTAACACTAGATTCAATCAAACTAACTGACAGTTGTAAATACGTATTTAATATGCTAACCAACTGCTATCCGTCTACAGCGGCGGTGTATCGGCAAAGATACTACCCATCATCCTATAATCGCGATCAGTAAGGAGCCCCGAATATCGAAAAGGGCAAATGATAACCCACATAGCAGGGTACCGAGTGCCAGCGATCTCCGTTCGCTCTACCAAGTCCCGGATATCCTGCACCTCCTTGTCCGTCAGCTGCAGCAGAGCAGACTTGGTGTTCTCATCAACCCTCTTGGTGGATCTGGTTCCTGGAATGGGGAAGATATCCGGTCCCTGGGCAAGCAGCCACGCAATGGCAACCTGCGCAGGGGTACTTCCATGCACTTGAGCAACACTCTTCAGCCCTTTCACCAACTCTAAGATCTTAGGGAAGTTCTCCTCCGAGAACTTGGGCACCATGCGACGGAAGTCACCCTCGGGAAAATCAGCAGGAGACTGAATCTCTCCAGTCAATATTCCACGGCCGACGGGGCTATAGGCCACAACAGCGATACCTAACTCGCGGCAGGTCTTCAGGAGGTTGACAGTAGGCAACTCGATATCCAGTGCAAAGGCACTATACTCCACTTGATATGCGGTAATAGGATGGACGGCATGGGCTCGACGGAGAGTTGCTTCTGAAACTTCAGATAGGCCGAGGCATCGGATCTTTCCTTGGCTGTATACTCAACCTGTTAGTGATGCGCCGATGTAGTGAGATTGGAGTAGGGGAGAAGGGATATCCTACTTCTTCAACTCCACCATAGCTTCGACAGTCTTCTCAATAGGCGTCACTCCATCGGCCCGATGGCAGTAGTACAAGTCAATAGTGTCAACACCAAGTCTCTCAAGACTTTTTGCGCAAGCCTGCTTGACATATTCGGGATCAGAGCGGACAGACAAGCCCACCTTGGGGTCCGGCTGGAGAGCAAACTTGCTAGCAAGGAAAATGTCGTCACGCTTGCCAGAGCGCTTGAACCATTCGCCAACGATGTCTTCGCTATCGGCATACACATCGGCAGTATCCCAGAACCACTCTCCAGTGGCATGCGCATGCTCCAGGAAAGCGACCTTTTCATCAAGGGAGCCTGCTGGACCATAGGCACCACCGATGCTCATCAAGCCCAGGCCAACAGCAGGGACCTTAGGACCGTTGGGACCAAGGGCTCGGAGGGGAATAGACATTGCTTGGTAGAGACTAGAGATAGATATATATTCAGAGCGAAAATATTGACGAACAAAAGAACAAGCTAGGCTTGGGAGAGTGGCACTCTTTAAATAAGCTTGTATAGATTGAACTAAGGGACTAAAAAACGACAATAGTGTCGTGATTCGTTCAATTAATTACAGTTTATCAGCATAATTACAAGCATAATATCTTGTATGGTGGGTGTATACAAGTCCTTGGGCGGAGTTAAGCACGGACTTAACGCGTCGTTGGCTCGCAGGAATCCACATTGACGCACCGCGATCAACCTGCTGCAGTTTCCGGCCGAGGCTAATAACCCCCGCTCCTCTTGGCTCTGTATTCATGAAACGAAATACAAACTTTGTTAGCCGGCTTGACTCGGATTTGTGGGAGGCCTTACATGTATTTTCCAAACCTAGCTGGTGACCAATAACGTGGCTTCCACCCATAGGAATCTCAGCCCCGGGGGCTGAACATGGCAAGTATCACGGTTCAATTGGCACTAGTGTCTCGTGTGCACATCCTGAGGTCCTTTTTGCACTTCAGCAGATTTGGGACGAGCATTTTCAAGCGATTCTGGGCATATTCGTCGGATTTGGCTGTCGACTCCCGGCGGTGCTGAAATATTCTCCTCCGGACAGACTTGTTGGGGTATTTATGAGGGGAATCGTGGGCTCCTTGGCATCCGCTGTAATGTCCAACTCTCAGCCGAGTAACGAGCCAGCTGAAACGGCTCAGTTATATCATTGGCAAGGCACTAGAAATCCGTCAAAACGTCAGATTGCACTCTTAATGAGGACCTACCTCTGGGCACGCAGGATGAAAGTCAAAGGCGGAAGAAGCCACACGATGTTCCAAGGGCACTTTGTCCGCAAAAATCCAAGTGGTAACAAACCCAAAGGACAATATTTGCGTCAGTTGCGCTACCAGCCCCGAGTGTAACGACGGAGTCAATGTTAGCAGCCCGGCCGCGATGCTCAGTATTTCAGACCACGGCATATGGCGCGTGGTTCCCTTCCTTAAACCGACTACCTTGCTGTCGCCAATTGCCTTGAGCAGCTTGACGATTTTGTCCGTGTTACGCGCCAGAGACCCGGACGCGATGATATAGACCCTGGAAGCATGGAATTTATGTTCCAAGTGATATCGCATGGTTCGTCATACGTGAGGGCCCGTGATACAGGGGGAATGGGCAGCCTGAGCCCTTTGGCGGGAATTCCAGCCAGGTTCTTGCCAGGGGGGTCGGTGAAGGCTGGTTAGAAAGTCTCCTTGGTATTCATGTTGGCACTGTCGTTTCCGCAGCTAGATCGGATCGTAGCTTTAGTGAAAATGATTCAATAGTGGTAGTGTTTCGTAAGGCAGAAAATAGAGCCAGATGTCAACTTCAGAGTCATATCTCTGGGAAAGCAGGAACTTGTGGGAAAACCCCGCAAACTGATTAGGAGACTCGTCCACTAAGCCTCGGCAGGGTGTCAGACTGGGGTTGAAAGAAACCAGCCCGTATATCGCGCATCTCATGTCCATCGCATCCGTCGCATGTGTCGGGTACTGCTGCAGTTGTGCCATATAACGCCACCTCTCCTGGTCCGCTGCAAGAAAGAACCTTGATGATGACCCGATTCTATTCGGTAGAGCTCAGCAAGTGGGATCGATCCTGCATGTAACTGGTTGACGTGATGCGACATCATTCGAGTTCCTTGTTGGTTGTTTGCGGGGTTCTTCTGCTCCAGCCATGTCTTAAGTCACCCCCAACTCCAAATCCTGTGTTTCTTCTCTCTCATTCAAGTATTCCTTTTCAGCTTAACATCATGCCGGAACCTCGTATCATGACCATATCTGCGGTGCCGGACACCGGCGCCATTCCTCCATCGGGTGCGCTGCATGAGAACACTTGGTATAATCGGGATTTCAATGGGTATCGTATCTCCGAACACCCCCTCTTCGAAAAACGGCGCCTACGAGTTGTTTGTGTTGGTGCCGGTGCTTCTGGACTCCAGCTTGCCCACAAGGCCGAGCGACTACTAGAGAATGTCGACCTTCAGATCTACGAGAAGAACTCAGACATCGGCGGCACCTGGCTGGAGAACCGCTATCCCGGCTGTACTTGCGACATTCCGTCCCACTCCTACCAGTTCACTTGGGCGCGAAACCCTTCCTGGTCCAGCTTCTACTCTGGTTCGGAGGAAATATGGCAGTATATGAAGGATATCGCCGTCAAGTACGAATTGGAAAAGTACGTCCAGCTGGACACAGCGGTCCAGTCTGCTGAATGGGACGAGGAATCTGGTCACTGGAATTTGAAACTTTCAAGTCCAGACGGATGCGCCAACGACGACTGGTGTGACATCTTGATATCCGCGTCCGGCATCGTCAATGCGTGGAAGTATCCTGCAATACCGGGGCTTGATTCGTATAAGGGAAAACTGATGCACTCCGCGCGCTGGGACAGTTCTTTCGATTTGACTGACAAGACCGTGGCCGTCATTGGCGGTGGCTCATCCGCAGTGCAGATCATCCCAAACATCCAGCCTCAAGTCGGCAAGATGTATGCCTTCTTGCGATCCCCCGTTTGGATCACCACCGGCTTTGGTGCCAAGTATGCTGGACCAGGGGGCACGAATTTCAAGTACTCGGCTGAACAGATTAAAGAGTTCCAGGATAACCCCGAAGTGCTAAGGAAATACTGCCGCGAAATCGAAGGGGAGTTGAACAAACGCTTTAACCTTATGCACGGCAACTCTAAGGATCAGCAAATTTCTAGAGAGCTTATCGCCGACATCATGAAGGAGAGACTGGGCGACGAGAAGCTTGCCGAGAATCTGGTTCCTGAATTTGCTCTTGGCTGTCGCCGAATGACCCCAGGGTCCGGATATCTGGAGAGCCTCTCGAAGGAAAACGTGGAGGTCATCCACAAGAGCGTTGTGCGCTTGACTGAGGTTGGTGTGGTTGACGAGGACGGTTTTGAACATAAAGTCGACGCTGTCATCTGCGCCACCGGATTTGAGACATCGTTCGCACCTCAGTTTACGGTCATTGGCCGGAAAGGAGCAAACATCAAGGAACAATTCGGCGATTTCCCACAAGGATACCTCGGTATCTCGACTGCGAACTTCCCAAATATGTTCCGTAAGCCAATTCTCGCGTTGCCCTAATAACTTGTAGATGTCTCCTGTCGGGAGTAACGCACCAGCTAATATCCTACGATGCAATACAGTTTTGGCCGGGCCTAACTGCCCCTCAAGCCACAGTTCGATCTTGCCAATCATGGAGTGGTATACTCGCTATATTTTCCAGATGATTGAAAAGATGCAAACGGAAAATATCAAGTCGTTCGAGGTCAAAGAGGATGCAGTCAAAGACCTGTATGACCACACCCACGAGCTAATGAAACGCCTGGTTTGGTCGTCGCGTAAGTGTCTATCTAGCCGGTTTTCGCAGCTCCGTCAGATGCCACTATTTTGCTAATACATCTAATAGCCTGCCGCTCATGGTTCAAGAACGGTAAAATCCACGGCCCTGTTACAGCCATATACCCCGGCTCGCGGCTGCATTTCTTCGAGATGCTGAAGAATGTCCGATGGGAGGATTATAAACTGGAATACAAGGGGGCGAATAGGTTCCAATTTATGGGAAATGGCTTTACACATTGCGAAAGCAGTGTGGAGGGCGACCCGGTGTGGTATTTTGATGACCCTTTTGTCCTAGTTTGAGTCCTTGATACATAGGGTGTCTACTACCTTGCTGGCGCTAGCCTAAACTCGCGGTTTTGATGCAACTTATTGACATGCTAAGTGGGCCCTTAAGCAGCAATATTCCTGGCAAGAAATATCGGTGAGGAAGAGAAATACTGCATCATATGCAAACACCTCCTTGATGACAGAAGAGACATACAACATACGCAGCCTTGAATTTGGATCTGTAGATAAACATCATTGCTGTGTTGTCTCAACCCACTCTGTATATATATTAACGATTTTGTGCTGTGGCGTAGCTGAAATCTACATAACGTTTTCGATCCCTTGCTTCGCTGAGCCGTAGTATTCATATGACTAGTTTGATCTTCTTGATATATATAGTAGTCCTCTGCCACCCTCAAAATGACACTTAATTACACTCTTCATATTTCGAAATTCTAGGCCGAGTTAGGCATCCGATTTACCGTCAATTGGCGTTAGTGGTGAAATATTAGCGAAAATAAAAAAGGCGAAAATAAGGCAAATGGTGTGTTGAAGATAGTGCATCAACCCTTCTATTGAAGCTCCTCTAGATGCTATAGTTTTTGTCAACTCGAAACTCCAATTAACACCATGCTTTTGGGTATCACCTAAGCCTCAAAATGAAAGAAGCCCCTATGCAAAACCAAACAAAACAGATGCAAGATGAGCAAGTATAAAAGACAACGAACGCGCCAAAATAACAACCTTGTATGCAAATGCAATGAACCAAGACCAATAACAATGAAAACAATAGAAACCAACTCCAAACTCCAATACTAGAATACATAACCATCACGAGTACCGCACTCCCAACCCAGCATAGTTAGGGTGCACAGGGGAACTCCCACTACGCGCACGAGTCCCATATATCTCCAGCCGCGGCGCAGGCGCATAGACATGACCATCATGCTGAATCAAAGGACCCGACAGATTAGGATGATACAGCTGATACTGCTGGGGCCGCGTTGTCACCAGGCGAGCCGATTCATTGAGTCGGAGTCGTGCATCTCGCACATCAACGCGGTGTCCGCCAAAATGCAGAAACCGCACTGGCTCAACCTCCGGGTTCCAGCCCGGGTCGGGATACTTCAGTCGCTCATCCATGGAGCCGAGCTGTCCCTGACCATGTGATGATGTGGGCGGGCTGGGGTAAATGGGATCTGACTGGAGAGCACTGCCCGCGAAAGGCAATTCGGGTGTCCAGCTAGCGGGCCCGGCGAGCATTTGTTGTTGGTGTTGCATGCTCGACGGTGGACTTGGAATCATCTCGGGGGCCTGTTGGAAACCCGGAATTGGTGAGAACCGCGGGGGATACCGCACGGGTTCTGTGACCCATGATTGATGGGAGTACCCGGAAGAGTCACGCGACATGGGCTCGGGAATGGAGCGCTCTGGGGCTGAGCCCACGTGCATTTTGGTATTAAACGATGGCAATGCGCTGGGCATGATTGCGGATGGATGAGCCATGGAAGAAGGTCTAGGAGCGCCTGGGACAGGTATTGAGCCTGGTGCTAGTTGAGAGGATCTTCTGCGGCTTGGAAGAGTGACGGAGATGTTCTCATCGTATGGTAGCGGTGGTGGATATGGAAGGAGGGATGGCACGCTTGCAGATAGACCTCGTGGGACCTCTAGATGTGGCACTGAACCACGCCGAGAGGGAGCCCGGGATCCAGGCGCGGTATGTAAATCTGCTCCGTAGCGGTGACTGAGCGTATTGACCTCAGGCTCACTGTACGTTGACCGACTTAGAGGCTCGGTCATCAATTCTTCAGACACATCATGGTATAGCGGAGATGTAAAGGCGTAGCCCGCTTGACTGTCGAGCGATTCAATAGACGGTTTCATCTGCAAGCCGCCATTCAAATGCAAACCGCTAGCTGGGTCCAAAGCCTTCAAAACGGGAACCGATGATGGGCGTTTCGCTGTAGATTCTACCTCTAACCTTCGTCGGGTAGCCACATTTGCAAACGTTGGCATGTTCTCTTTGTTTGTTGGTGGAGAGATGATTGTAGGCTGCGGGGCGTCAGCGGACGCTTGGGAATTGCTAGAACGACGCACTGCAGTAAGTGCTTTCTCGGCTTCCGAAGCCGGCATCAAAGAGCTCCCAGTTTCGGCAGCAGCTGTGCGGCTTGATGATCCTTTTCCTTGGACGGAGGACAGTTTGACCAGTGGGGTGTCGAACGTAGTATCTCTAAAGCGACGAGGGCCATTGTTCCGCCTCTTTGTTTGATTCTCTTTATTTGACTTTGGCTTTGAGCGTCGATTGACCACTTGCCACTCCGATAGGCCAGTGGTTGGTGGGCTCGATGAGGGAGGTGTGTTGTTCGGTTTCTCCGTGGCTTGGCTTATTTGCGACATGGCTGGAGAGATTCGAATTGCCTCCTTAACTTCGCCGTCCGTTTCATAGCCTTCTTCGGATTCATACCCAGCCTGTCTGAATATATGTGGTGGGAAAAGCTCTAATCTGAACTGGGGAGGTGGCACAGCCATCTCCTCGGGAGATTCCGCTCGAGGTGACCCAAGATCACTCCAGTTGAAGGTAGACCGGCGCGATAGACCTTCGTCGGCGGACGAATCACGGAATGATGACGACGAGCTGCTTGACCTGTCGAAAACCGACTTTTGATTCCGTAGAGAGTGGTTTGAGGAGCTTGGAGACATGTTCTCTATTTCTCTGCTTATCATCTTCGTCAACTGTCGCAAATTCTCTCGTGTTTCACGAACAATTATTGGATGGAGATTGATTGCTGCCTTCTTTGGAAAGAGCTCAAGCAGTCGTGAAGCGTGAGTTTCGTACTCTCGATAGTCCCGGACAAGGCCACAGTCTTCGTAATGAGCCATCCGTCCCATAGCGGCTTCGTAAGACGTCATGAGAAAACGACTGGCAACAATCAACCAAGTATCGAAGAAACCAGGGTCATTCTTGCTCATCATGCCTTTGTTCTCCTCGTCCTTGATTCGGAGCTCATCACGACAGAACCCCTGCACCACACTGTGAATCTTGACTACATCAACCACCGATTCATGACGGTAGATGGAGAAAAACCCTTCTTGGCTGCTCTCTGTGAGGGAATCTGAGAGTTCCGGAACAGTCTTCACATCCGAGCTCATCTGATTGCCCTCAAAATTAGGCACAGATGATCTCTGCTGAAAGAGATCGGCATCTGAAATCCGTTCAACCAAGCCATAGTGAATGAGAGTTCCAAGTGTGGTATCGAGATCAGGATCTTCTCCGGCTTGTGCACTGGTCTGGATCTCCAAATTCTCAGCGGCCATAGCCGCTCGACCGAGGTTCAGAAGGCCCACTGGCACCTGGTGGCCAAGAAACGAGAGAAGATTAATCAAGTGCAGCGCCTGCTTTTGCTGCAACCGAAACAAATCGTTCATGATACTTAAGAAAGGCTCTGCAAGCTTCTTGTCCGTCACCTGAGATTTGACGTGATACTTCTCGATCGGTTTACCCGTTGCGTTGAGACGGTGCCCAATTGCATGGATTGCCAAGGGTAGGCATTCGTAGTGCTCAACTATCCGGGTAGCCTTGGAGATTTGCTCAGGTGTCGCTCGCGTAATCCCAAGATCCTTGAACAGAAGCTTGCAAGCGTCTTCCACTTTCAACCGAGAGATCATCAGACAATAGGGCTCGTACAGCCGCTGCTTTTTGCGCAGCGTTGTGTCGACCGAGGTGTATATAATACTGCACTCTTTGTTCCATGGCAAGACCTCCCTGAATTTATTGATATCGTCGTCGCGGTCGAAGGTAATACCATCGAAGACAAGGAGCCAATCTTTGCGTGTCTGAAGCCAGAGGCGGACTGCATTCACGTACTTTTCAGTCTCATGATACTCAGGGTTCACGGTCACCTTCTGCTCAATCAGTGTAGCTGCTTGGGCAATCTCCCAAAAGCACTTGTACATTGATTCGCGGGACTTGGCATCAATCCAAAATATGCCGCCTGGATAGCATTCACGCTGAGTGAACACATACTGCCGCGTTAGATGTGTCTTGCCGGAGCCTGGCACGCCGGAGATCAGTACGGCCATTGTCTTTTCCGGACGCGCCTTGGCTTTGAACAACCGGTTGTGCAACACTTCAAGTTCTTTCTCCATTCCAAAAAAAGTAGCGTTAGGATGAAAACCCGGAGGTGCCACGAATAGTGGTGAATCTTTGGTGGAATAGTGGGAGATTTGGAGAAGTCCACTGTTTCCCAAATCAGATACCGGGGAATTTCGCCCTTCTGTCGCAGGGGTACGTGGTAGAGACAATATGGATTGGCCTATGATGAAGTCAGCCAGCGTGACTCTAAAAAATGTGATGATCCTCATATTGAGAAGATTGGAGGTCAGCTAGTTTGAGGACATGAGATGGGAGCCACCCTGGGGACAAGACCAATAGGCTAAGTACAAAAAAAAAGAACACAATGTAAATTGTATCAAACAGAATAAAGTGGATTTGCAAAAGTATTTAGTCCCTTAATTCGGCAGCGAATGGTCAAGGGAATCATAGACAAGCATTAGGATAAACGTGAGCAAACTGAGCTCGAAGTGAAAACGGAATGAAATCAAAGACCAAAAGCAAATGTGGCTCGCCGGAAAGCTTCAAACAGGAGGCTCCTCAATCTCATAGTCCCTCAACGTGACAGCCACTTCCGGAGCAGGGAGAAGGTATGAATCCCTACCGGTTCTGTTCAAATCAGGCATGCTTCGATTTGCCGGATCATCTATTCTTGCTGCAATAGTCAGCATCCAAAAGAACACATATCAAGAAGGGACAAGTTTTGCGAAAGACTCACCGTCATAGATTTCCCTAGCCTTGGCCTTCTTTTCCTGGGTGCGGGCTTTCTTCTCTTCCGCCCAGCGCTCCGTAATCACAGCAGGAGCCTGACGTGAATACCGGAGAACCGCCTCCGCCACAACCTCATAGCCTGCCGCATTGTCATCGTCAAACTTGCACATATGGCTGTGGTCGGCCTCGATACCCGCCCGCTCAACACCCTCCATATACGGTGCGGCTGAATGCTCGTCCACGATCACTTCGCGGGTACCACGCACGTCGGTGGACCGTGTTTCATGGAAGAAGTAGATGTGGAATCGACCCATGGTATCAACGAAGAGACTGTTGATGTGCTGCAGTGTTTCATTGTTGGTCCGCAGAGCTTTGACAAGCTGTGGAGACGCCTCCATGAACTTCTTCGGGAGCACAGCATTGCAGATGTTGTGCAACAACAGGCCCCATTTCGCAATATCAGATCCATTGTGAGGTGTACCCAGGAACAGGATGCCAAAAGTGGAAACATAGACTGAGCGTAGATGCTCGGTCTTCTCGCTTGAGAGACTACGGGAGTATATCAGGGCGCGCTTCACAATCAGGCCACCCAGTGAGTGGCAGATGAAGATGATCGGACGATTGGAGCAGTCTCGCAGCTATATAAGAAGTTGAAGTCAGTTCTGGAAGCTCCATACCAGCGGCAAGGAAGAAGATATCAAGGACAAGAACAATCAAAAGCAACAGTCCAGACGTTGACCTACATTTCGATTAGCAGCGAGACTGGATGCAAGAGTCTCAGCATGGCTGACGACCGAATCACGCGAAGCTCCATCCGTGAAGGCAGTGACATTGGCATTGTAGCCATAAGTAAGGATGCGAGGACAGAGTGAGGCAAGCACGTCCGGGAGAAGGTCCGTAGGCCAGAAGCAACCGGTGGTCTTGCTGGTCCAAGAGTCGTGAGGGTGTCCGTTGAGGCCGTGAACAAAAACAATATCGATCGTAGGATCGTCGCGCGGGGTATAGATCTGCGTCAAGCCAAAGGCCTTGATGGCCTTTGGATCGGCGATACGAGGCTTGGACATAGCAATGGATGGGACAATAGCAGAGTCAGGATGCTATTGCCATAATATTGGAAGATGTGAGGAAAGGAAGAAGTCAAGAGCCGGTCCGAACTTTGGCTTTTATAAATGTGTTGCAGGTGACTGAGGGTGACTGGGTGTGGGTAACTGGGGTGGGCAGTGTGCCCCCTCCCCCCCCCCCTGACCCAAGTCACCCGGACTATTTTGGTCGATCCATGGGGTTTATTCATCGGTTGTGAATCCCGGGTGACGGCCCGCATATTATTCTCTCTATCTACTTTTTTGTTATGTCTTGGGTTTCGCCCATTGGTAGTTTAACCCGGGGTTCCTTGCACAGCCCTGTCAGATCGGGTAACCTGCCAGGTACCGTGCCACTCAGACCTCGAGTTGCCGTTATTCATAGACTTGCATATAGGCATGTACGATGTTGCATCATTGCATCATTGCCCAGTGTGCCTTGTTCGGGGTATGCTGCCTTGGAGTATTCCTATATACCTAAGTAGGCAGCCAGTGAGTCATGTAGTAGATCAACCATGGGAAATGAAACACCTGTAATTTTGGCCCCAACTAGACCTCGCAGTTTTCCCTGGATGTTTCTGTTTCAAATCTCATTTACTTTTACACACCTGGGCAGAGTCTACATATGTATATTGTAGCCTATTGATGACCAGGGTAGGAACTACCGAGTATAGAACCTATAGATGTCCAGAAGTTTAAAGCACAACCATGGAAACAAGATATAGCAGATCCAGTCTTGAACACAGACTACTGTATATAACACCATTTACTATTTACAGTCACCGACTTTTCTTAGGAGAAACCCTACCTTTTTCTCTGCACCTCCCAGGTTATTACCTCTATTGGATTGCCCTCATGATCAAAACCATGTCCACATGATGTCTTGGTATGTACCAAAATATCACTCTACTCAGTCTATTTAATCAGTTTTAGTTCTTCTGAGCTACCAATAGGAAGAGCCTATACATAAAAGTCCATAGAATTATAGGACATATCATCTTGATAATATAGTTTAACCAGGTCGATCACTTTTTCTACATATACCACTCCACATCCATCTTAAATCACACATTACCTCCCACGGAACGCCGGCTTCCGCTTCTCAACAAAGGCGCGCAGCGCCTCATACCGATCATCAGTCTCGACGACAGCCTCATAGGCCGCATTCTCCGCCCGCTCACCCAGACCGTGGGCAGCGACAGCCTGCATCGCCATCTTGATAGCGATAGGGCCACCTTCACAGATATCCAGGGCGAGCTTGATACTCTCCCGCAGGACACGTTCACGCGCAACGCCCTCCTGCGCCTCCTCTTCGGGCAGCACCTCCACAAGTCGGTCACAGAGCCCAATGAAGTAAGACTCGGGTCCGGTCACCCGGCGGCCGGTGAGGATCATGTCCCGGGCGCGGTTGACGCCAATAATCGGAGGCAGTCGGTATGTGCCGCCGGCGCCCGGGATAATGGCGAGACGTGTTTCGGGGAGGCCGACGACGCTGGACGAAGCGAAGACGCGCAGGTGCGTGCACAGGGCGAGCTCGAGGCCGCCGCCGAGGGCCACGGACGAGACGGCGGAGATGGTGGGGATTTCGAGGGAGGCGAGGCTTTTGAAGGTGGCGCGGAGTTTGAGAAGGAAGTCTTCGGTTCTGGATAGTTGTGTTCAGTGGTTAGCTGCATATGTTCGTGTGGGTTCGACCCTTCAAGCCTGGGGCACCGGGCACCAGGGCACCAGGGCGCCGGGTATAGGATTGTTTCTCACTCGGCCATGCTCATATTGGCGCGTTCCTTCAGGTCTGCGCCCGCGCAGAATGCTGCATCTGCGTTACTCGCTATAACCAATGCCCGGGTTGGCCCGTTGCCTCCTTCGGCGGCGATGGCTTCCACATGCTTCGAGAGCGTGTCGAGTAATTGGGTCGAGATCGCGTTGCGAGCTTTGGGCCGGTTCAGCTGCAGCACGCGCACATGCCCTGAACCTGGGGCGGGGACCTGCTGGGTCTTGATGATGTCTTCTTCTGTGCTGGTGCTGTAGCGAGAGATGAAAACCCGGGTAGGCACGGCGGTCGCCCGGAGGTGGGCGAGGGGTGCGGAGAGGCGGACGAGGCGCGTTGACATGATGGTTGCCATTGTGTAGGTGGCAATTCAAAGATCGAGTGGGATTACACTCGACCGCGATATTAAAATGAAGAAAGATAGATCACTGCGCTGAAAAGTTCTCGGGGGAAGTTGTTCTCGGAGCTCGGGTGTGGGGAAAGCTTGGAGGCCGACGATTACCGAATGCTACAACATGAATGGGATGTATGGGGTATCATATAGTTACATTGACAAAAATCCTCTAAAACTACAATATTATATACAACATATACGCAGTCACTGGCAGTATTCTGTAACCTCCGCATCACTCGGCCAGTCCCAGCCTGTCCGGCTGATAAGGTCGTATGCCTCCACGATCAGGTCCGATGGTACCCGTATGTCAATCCGTGGCTGTCGTCTTTCCAAAAACACCCTGATCGCCACGAGGGTTCGACGCATCATTTTGTCTCCGTTTGCATGTTCGTCTGCAGCTTCTTTCAGTAGATCAGCTGACCGACTCATCCAGTGCAGCAGATGCAACAACCCTTCGTCATCTCCTACGGACCCCAGAGCCCGAACAAAGGCATGTAGCGTGGCAGGTGATGGTATTTGCAGCATCGAGGGAACATTTAGTTCTGTTTCGGAACCGATTTCTGCTGCAAAGACACTTCGCTCCGCATGCTCCGAAGTTTTGGAGGCCGGAAGAACGAGATGATCAAACTGATGCTTCAATACCTGCAGTGCGTGCTGCATCAAAGCATCGACTTCGTCATCGCCTTCGTTTTTGGCCTTGAGACGACGAATACGAGCTTTATCAATCAGCCCAAAGCTTTGTTCGGCAGTACCAGGGTGTCTGAGGGCAGCGTCAATGGCTTTCGTAAACGCCACACATAAAATGCGGAATCCTTCCTCGCCAAGTTCGACGTCGCGCTGTCGCATCCAGCTCAATGCTCTGAGAGCCTGATGCCATGCTAGTATGCGCTGTAGACTTCGGCTTCTTGGGCCATAATACCCGGTTAGACGCTCACGGGTCAGGGCAGATAAAATGTGGGTCCAGGTCGGGGTGTAAGGAGCACGTCTCAATTTAGTCAATTGGATTGCGTGCCATAAAGCCCTTGGGTGATGTTGGTTTTCTGGATGTTCCTCGGAATATGCGACAAGGTCCACCTTGGCACCGGTCGAGCAGTCGGTGGCTATCAAAGCCGGAAAACGGTCGGCTGTGAGAATATCTCGATTACCGACATCCAGACTAGCAATATCTGAATGTGCGCATAGAAACTTGATGAACGATGCAAATACAAAGTCCGGCAATTCATGAAAAGCTTCAAGATCCAAGGTGCGGTATTTGCGAGGCTTGGCCCGCACAATAGAGAGCGTCTCGATTTGAGCATCTGTCAGGTCACTGAATTGGAGGTAATGCAACCCCGAACGCAAGGAGGTAGCCGACTGAAGTAGTAGGCCGAGGAATCTCCCAGAAGGCCGAAGCCCCCGTCCACGCATGTGATCAAGGAACTCATCCACGGTAGGTGGTTCTGTGGGCACATAGATAATGTCACGAGCAGAAGCTGGTTCGGGGTGAACTTCGCGGCCATCACCTGGCAGAGCATGACTCATTTGGTCAAACTCGCGTTCTATGGTGTTTCGTCGGTATATTAATTTTTCAGCCATGGCAGCGTACATTGCACCTTTCGGAGGCAGGCCACGGTCCTGATAGGAGAGAAAACACGCCCAGGCCTCACGGACAGTCCTCGTAGAGCGAATCCGAGCAACCCACATTTCATGATGGTTTGACTTGGATCCATGTCTGTCCGGTAAAGCTTGCGGGCGACGCATCATAGCCCTCGTCTGCACCGTCGGGCTGTGATCGGTGTCCCAACCCGCCAAAATCGAGGATATGTCCTCCCAAAGACGATGTGAATAGCCAGCATCTTTCATCTGTGAAAGGACCTGCATCGCACGACTGAACATCCCTTCATTTCCGCGCTGAGAATCAATTCCCAGTTTCTCTTCCTTCCATGGAGGCCATGATGGAGCTTTTAGTTCCGCAGACTGGCGCTCTTCGTATGTTTTCTTATGGGCCAGTTGGACTGCAACGACTGCTCGATACCCTTGTCTTGTGACGGGAAGGACAGGCTTGTGGGTGGCCATGGCTCGAAGAAGCTCAAATTGCGCTTGCTGTTGGATAGATGTGGAGCGGTAAGGAGCAATGTTCGCCGGTATGGAAAGTAACCAGAGACATTCATTGAATTTGACGGTTTTGACGCGATCATCATGTCGAGTCACCAAAACTGACCTCTCGGCGTCATTCGCCCTTGGGGCTGAGAGGAAGCGGGCGAATGCACGTGCAATAGTAAGAAGTGATTGGGGCCACACGCGCCGAGCATGACGGATTAGGCGAACTACCAAAATCATGCAGGTGCCAGAATCGATTTGAGGGCGGAAATCCTCGGGGGATAGCTCAGGATCATGTTTGGCAACCCCAGCAGGGGTTTCAGCGATGGGGAAGGTATGTCCGCTCATGAGATGTAAAGAGTGGATTAAGAGCAAACGAAAAGTGTGAGCATCAAGGTTTTGTTGTCTCAGAAGATGGAGCGGGATAAAAGGTGGAATGCTTGGACTAGTACCGCCAGACTTGGCTCTGTCAGTTTCGAACAAGAACAGCCGTACCATCGCCTCATGGGGATTCTGGCTCTTCATGATCCAGGCCCAAGCAGTCACATCGGCGGCATCGTAGCCACGCGATGATAAGTAGTCATGACTTGTGTTTCTGAATACTTTCTGGAGAGCGATATCCAAATCCTTCTCCACAGGCTTATCCGACCCCGACGAAAGCAACGAGTCCACCTCTCGTATGTACTCCCCAAGAATAACCGGCAATGACGGCTTCTTTGGTCGACCAACTGTCCTCAACTCGTTCTGTGTTTGGAGCGCATATTTAGAGTGAGCCCGGTCAAGCGCGGCTGATTGGCCATCATATCCAAGGGCATGGCCAGTGTTTCGCAAAGCTTTGGAGAGATATTCGGCGGGCTTCGGCTTCACTCTGATGCTGGGGGTCTTTTCAAGCCTTTTCTCTCCGGCTGAGCTAGTCGCCTGGTCTTGGAGTACTGTTGCGCATTGTTTGTCTAGTGAGGAATCTGACCGCTTTTTGTTGAAGTAATCATCGAGTTGTGAGGGCTGAGTGTCGGTTGCAAGTGACTCGGGCACATTGAGGAACGCAGTGGACTGGAACGAACGGAAGCTGCCTGGGCTTAGGCCAGCCAGGAAATTGCGCGGATAATGTAGGGGAAATTTGGTGTCATGATGGGATATTCCCTAGAACATATCAAAATATTTAGCACTATATCCAATGACGAGGAGAGTCAAATCCCAAAAAGGAATTACCTTGTATAATCGACTATTGAGCAGGTCTGCTCTTAGCCGCGATACTCCCGAAAGGCTTCGGGCATGCTTGAAAACTGATGACATCCATGAACGTAGTCATGGGTGAAAGTGCCTGGACGCCACAGACCCATTCAATAGGCTCAAAGAGGTATTTGTCTCCGAAGATGAGAGAAGTTCAAGTCAAGAATCGGAAAAATACAACAATCGCGCGGCAGAAAATGGAGTCACGTGATGGATCGTCAGAAGGCGCGCCATTCCGAAAAGCGCAGCCCAGTGAACGTTCTCTCCAGCCAAAACAGAAAAAAGAGAACACTTGACCTATTTGTTCGAGGCCTATTGCATTGATCATTGTTCTAATACCTTGGTCACTATTGACAATTATTCCTACCCTATATTCACCTCTTTTATTGAAGTGACGTGAAGGTTTTATCTTCCTCTCCCCTCGCTCTTCGCGATCCCCATCTTCTCTAAGGATTCGCTTTAACGCCCTACCCATCGAGGTTACTTGGACTCCGGTTGCTTTCCGAACCAAGTATCAACCTCAACACCAAATCGCCAGCAAATTTTAATTTCGACGATCGCATCCTCCCAATCTTTACTTTCAATCTTCTGATTTGTGGACCCCCCATCTATTTGCATTGGAGGGGACCGCGTCAAAGCAAGTATCGTCAACCTTGACCTCGGCGCGACTTCGCAACCATGAGCGCCGACGAAGCTGGAGACACAACCCCCATCTCCGCCACAAATGGCGAACCTCATCCCGACCCTGCTACTAATGCAACCTCTGGGAAACGGAAGCGCTCCACTCAGGACGACAAACCGAGCACTGATTCAAGTGCCACCGCCTCGCGCGATCGAGCAAAGCTCCATGAAACTCTTCGCAGCTTGATTGAGCTTCTACTGAAGTAAGCTTTGATGAAAGTATATGGTTCTTGGTCTTACGCTGACAAGTCATAGGCATGACACCGAACTCCAACTCCTCTCTTGTCCCTTCCCAAATACAACTGCTAAACCTCGAACGAAGCGCGCAAAGGTTTCTGGCGATCCAGAAACCTCCAACATCCAAACACGCGTCAATTCGGGCAAATACAACACGTTGCAAGAGTTTCTTTCCGACATCGAAAGAGCATCAGCTGCTGTAATTGAACGTAATCAATCTCAGTCCAATGGCGCGAAAGAGGATGGGGCACCCTTGAATGAGGTGGTCAACCGAATCGCAGCATTCAAAAAACATATGAACAGCTTGATTGGCCAATCCTTCGTCAACCAACCCGAGGTCAAAACAGAGACAATGGAAGACGATACCGACGAATCAACAGAGCTTCACGCGATCAATATCTGCCAGCGAGAGGATAAGCCGGCTCTGACACTCTTTGGAAACCCATCGAATCCCAAGCAGCTATTCTCAAGTCTTCAAAAATCGGTGAAGGTGCCGTTGCAGTCCGAATCAGGACCTGAGAAGTTTGTTGAAGTGCAGGAGGAGCTGCGCGAGGTCGCCCTGCCTAATGGCATTACAGCCACCAAAGTCATCCCTTACAACCTTGATGCTGCTCAACCATCGAAGCGAACATTTGGGGAGGTGTTCGCTCCACGCGAAACATTACCAAAGCTGGAACCTCCGCGCAAACGATCTCACCGGGCTAATTCGACCACATGGACGGATCGCTTCGACGCCACTTTCGATGTCAGGACATTTTTGGGAGAGCGCAGCAACTACTGCCTAGCACCTCTCCCTTCAACCCAATGGCTTCAATACGGTGGAGTCACATCATCACCGTCCTACTGGGACCGTGTAGAAAAGCATGCAGAATCGGATAATGTTCATCGGCATGGCGATCCTGCCCTTTGGACTGGCCCTGATTCATCTGCTTTCCAGGGTGTCTTCTCGTCATTTGCTCCTTCTTACGACAGCTCTGGCGCGATTGTACAGCTCGCTTCGAAGGATATGGTTTGGTGGGGACAACGGGGTGCGGACCGCGTGAACACCTTGCTGTCGGTCCCATGGGGAGACGTCAAACAAAATGCCACTCAAACCGCCCAGCCTGGCAATATTGGTGAACTTGATGAGAGCATTCTGGATGAAATGGTTGAGTCATTCAACGCCCAAGACTTTGCTGGGGACATCATGGAGACCGATCCGAGTAGTGAAGTCGACCCGGAATCAAAAGAGATCAAGCAAATGCTTCAGGAAGTTTCCGACTTGCTCGACACTCTTAGTTCCTATCAGCGACTTCGAAGTCTCAAACTTCCCTCTGATCTCCAGCCGCCTGTTCAACAAGTGCCTGAGTTGAATGAAACCCCTGGCCTTGATGTGGGGGATGTGGACACGCCCTCTGAAGAAGAGGCCCTTGTGTATGATACCCTCAAGTCAAGCCTTGCTGCAATCGTCAGCAACTTGCCACCTTATGCTGTCGCTAAATTGGACGGTCATCAGCTCGCTGAGTTGAATATCAGCCAAAAGGTTCTGATTGACACTCCTGACTACAACGGCACCATGGAAAAGGACGATTTCACTTTGTCACAAGAAAGGGCTGCAGCATTGCTCGCCGCAGCCAGTGCCGCAAATCGAACTTCAACGCCTTCTACCTCGCGGCCTAGTAATTACCAAGGCTCTCACAGTGCCTACAACCAACGTGCCTTTGCTTCCAATGCTCGGGTTCCGCCTCAGCCCGGGTTCCAGGTCACGCCGCAGCACGCACGGCAGCCCTCTGCGCCAACTACATACACGCATGCTTATGGTGCGGGTCGTCCACCGAGCACACCCAGTCAACGTCCAGGCGGCACTCCTCAATACGCGCAAATCAACCCGCAGTACAGCCAGGGCAGCCAGGCTCCCCAATACCAGCGCCCTGCTTCCAATGGATATGCCCAAGTGTCTCCACAGCCTTACACACCACAGCCCAGGCAGCCAGGCACATTCAACGCCACGCCACAGGGACGCACGCCCTACGCGACTGCAACCTCGAACCAGCGAGCTCAGTACCCAGGCCAAACTCCTTCACAAGCTGGCTACTCAAACTCCGCCGCTAGTGCCACATACTCTCGTAGTGCGGCCGAACAAGCTGCGCTGATGGACAGGAACAAGGCGCAACTGGCAGCTCGACAGACAGGAGGCCACAGTCCCTCAACGCCTCAACCTCAAGGGCTGGATGCCCGTGCTTCCCAAGAAGGCAGCATAACACCAGGGAGCAAAGCAAATGGGACCCCCCTTTCGACGTAGGGTCTGACATTTGTGCGAATTTGAGCATGTAGCATTGTGTTCAAATTTCAAATATGCGGTTTGGTTCTGAAAACAGAGAAAACTCCAACATTACCTTCCTCTACAGTCGGCTTTCTGCTTTATTGATTTTTGCATTTTTCATCCTTCTATTTTCGTTTCGAATTATGAGCTCTGGATGTGATCCGCGTCTCCGAATTTTTTTTCTCCCCAACTGTGTTGTTAATGAACCTCTTGATCCCTGGCTTTGTATGATTTCTTCTTTATTTGGTGTTGTATTATGGACTAAGCGATTGGCGTGGATGGTTTTTTTCAAGACAGGTCGGCCTAGGTGTACAGGCTACCATTGCGATACAGCTAAGTCTTATACAGCTAAGTCTTGCTTAGAGAGTTACTTGTGTTTTCGCTTCCGATGCAATTCAATCAATATGCTGCATATCAGTACAGCTAGTGCTTTCCAATGTAGAGATTCGGCCGTAAAGAGAGAAATATTAAGAAAATATCTTTCAAATCGTTGCTAAAATTATATCTCATGAATAGTACATTGCTCAATAGGATCCCCAATATAAAAACACCCATCCTGCTATAGTATCTCCCAGAGTCCGCTGTATCTCCTGCCCAATGCTCATAGTCCATTACATGCCAGGCCCGAGATACTCGTCTATCTGCCTATCCAATTATTGAAGTAATCGCCGAAAAATGAACGCCATCTCTTTCTTGCGTGCCCAGTAGTCAGTACCCTTCCAACCTTCCCTTCACAAAAAGGCAAGAAGAAAGCCGTAGTGACATAGAAAGCTCATCGCCAAGGAAACACAAATGAAAGAACAAAGAAGACTCGTAAATCATAAGTTGATGCAGACAAGAAACCAAGTTGAGGAAGGCGGCCATCGAAGCTATGGAATGAACATAGCAGCCATAGTCATGAAACCGAAGTATCTATCAAGAAAGGTCAGTATCAATTTCAGCCACAGCAACAGAATCGAAGCAATCATACATCGTAGCACAGCGCCAACCATCCCTCGAGTCAACCAGTGTATCAATACCAGCCGAATAATTCGCCGCAATGGCCGCCGCAGCACCACCAACAACCGTCACAACAACAAGACGACCGGAGAACTCTGCAATAAGACTAAACGCCAACAATGGCAGCAGGAGCGCACCAGATGCGATGATAATGGCGATGTAGACGGGTGCTGCGGCGGCAGAAGCAGCCAGTCGCGGAGTGAGGGAGACCAGATCCGCGTCATGGATTAAGAACCGTGTCTCGACCCCAGCGACGGGCTTATGCTCTCTCATCCAGCCGCGATAGCCCGTGATGTCCTGTTCCGAGGCTCGCGGGAGCGTCTGTAGGACTTTGCTGTAGGCGCTGAGGGCGTTGTCTGCATTCTGGTCAGCGGTCTGCTTCGTGTGATAGCAATATGGAAAGGGGAAGGAAACGACTTACTATATTGTTCTGTCTTTTGGATCAAAACACTCATGAGATCCATGCGGCGGTAATGCAATGACGAGTAAGCCTGGGACTGAGCGTCCCGTCGTCGTGAAGCCGGCAAGGGCTTTGCGCCTTCCTGCTCGGCTGTGCTGACTCGATGCATTTCCTCATACTCGTCTAGCGTGTGGAGATCTTCTTCCATTTGGGAGATCTCGTCTTGGAGGTGGAGGAGAACGCGGTGGTTGACAGTCTCGAAACGTCGGTATAGTGGAGGGAAGCCGCCGCTGTCTTGTGAGGCGGACTTGGTTAGGTGCGAAGCTAGAAGACCGTATCCAGATGGCTCTTGCGATGCATTGGAGTCTCGTCGCTTTGTCGGCGTGGTGCGGTGAAGGCTATCTTCTGGACTTCTTGGGGGTGATGGTGGGAGCGGTGGTCTGTGGACAGCACCGCTGTCTCTTGATAACCCATGATAGGTCTGTGGTCGGGACAATTCTAGTTGGCCTTTTCCTGGAGAGATGTTTGCAGTCGAGATCGGGCTCGGCTTTCTAGTGAGTTGTCTCTTTCGGGTGACTAACTGATTGCTTGTTGAAGGCGCGGGTGGCGGCGCGGGCTTTCGTGGTTCTTTGGGGCTTTTGGATACCACTGGAGCTGATTGGGTAACTTTCTTCGGGGGTGTGTTGCCTCCTGAGACCAACACTCCGTGCGGTACGGTATTTGCCCGCGGCTTGGGAGCCTGGACCTCGGTGGTTTGTATAGGGTGTGGAGGCTCCGGCTCCTCGTCGGATTCGGACTCGGACTCCGATGACAACGACGATACCGACGATGAGTCTGAAGACGATTCTTCATTCTCTTCCAGGAACTCAAACACATTAGGCATCTTCTTCGCCGGCTCTGCGGATTTCCGTGGTGGGTTCGCTGGAACGGCAGGCGCGTTTAGGGCTTGTCTTAACCCATTAGGCTGTTGTGAAGGTGAACTGTTCTCGACAGTTTTAGGGCTTGCGATAGGACCAGCCTGTGCGTTTGTAGTGTTGGACACCAACGAGTATGTCCTTTTTCTTCCATCCTTTTTTGGCTTTCTAGTTTGGAGCGGCATGATGATCGGATCAGTTCGGAATCAATACCCGATTCATACCTCTTTCAAAATATAGATATCAAATCAGGGCATGCGCGCAAGGAAAGAAAAGAAGATGGGAAATAAAGTACATGAAATGAATCGCAGTGATGAAGTCACAATGGAATCAGGAGTATAGGGACCCCAGGCATGGCCTAGGGGAGGGGTGGAATTCCAGGTCTCAGATTGAGTCGAGTGTCAAAGGTGCGGAATCTAGGGGGATGGAAAATAGTATGATATCTCCAATTTCCCCGCGAATTCCATCAGACATTCTCCCTGATAAAGGGAATATGCTATTATTATAGAAACACGAAACGTCAGAGTTCCAAAGTCGGAAATAGGTTTTAGTGTCAGCTGCTGAAAGCGAGCCCAAAGTGCTATGCCTGTCGAAATGGAGACTTGCAATTCGTCACACCAGTCAGTCCGGGAACAATCTGAAGCAGCTTAGAAGCGCCGAGGGCTTTATTTAGATCGACCAATGACAATGGTGTCGCAAGGAGGTTCCTTGTATCCCTGTCGATCGAACTCTCCCTCACAATTCAAAGAAATCAAAGAAATAGGAAAATGGTGAGGAATTGCCGAGTTGCTGGACATTCTGAACAGTTCAGTGTGGGTCAAAGTGTGACAGCAAATCAGGCCTGCTGAGTCCGAAATGAAAACGCATGTGTGTCTGAACGAAGTTAGAAAGGAACATGTAGTTATGCGCTGGTCGATCTTCCTTGCATCTGGCGGTCTAGCGAAGCGGGGGAATGTGATGCAGATATGTGAGCAGTGTATGTACTCTGTGCTCCGTACAATGCCACTTATCTGCCATATTGCGTGCATGAAGCATGAAGTATCAAGAATGTATTGATATGGAGTAGCTGAAGTTCTAGGGAGTACAGTAGGTACTGGAGTTGAGAAGATTGATGGTGGGAGAATTGGATGAGATGATCAACAATCCAGTATAGAGTCAGCTATATAAAATTTAGATACCATAATTGAGTTTAGAATGACGAATTTCAATTCTTCTATGTTATACATACAATCTATCTTACAACATTGTATGCATACATGTAGTCGTGGCATCCCCGACTACACGCTACATGTATCTGCCCAGGTGCCCAGGTGGGGCTTTCCTATCTTGGCTGCCACTTTCATAAGGCTCAAATAAGTCACGTGGTAAATGACTAATCCATGCTCAGTGACAATACCTAGGTTAAGGTGACGATAGAAGTGACCAATCAAATCAGTCTTGGCATACCAAAAACTATACCACAAACGGATTAGCCCTACAAGGTGTTTATACCATGATAGTTACCGATTGTGCAAGTTATATTAGCCCAGATCCCTCACAATAATATTACTCCAACCAGGGGAGAGCTGGACCGATCGAATAAACCTTCGTCGATCAACCTTGGACGAGGATACACCGATTTGTGACTCCTATCGATTCCAGTATTGGGGTGGGCAGGGTTGACTGGTGGCTGGATCTGACTAAATGTTCGATCTGGATCCATGTTTCAGTTCTGATACTGCACTTGTATTCTACAAGAGCGAACTATTTGTCATGTCTGAGTAATGGCTCTCATTTGTGGCTCTCATGCCAGTTACGTCTACAACATAGGCTTAACAGAAAGTCCAAGGAGACCTTAGTTAGAACCCTGGAGAGCTTGGGTTATTGGACGGAGTAGATATGTAGCCAAGGAGCATCGATATGTCTGATTAAGCGACTGGAAACTTCGACTAATTAACCTGCTTGTACTGTGTCCGACGCTCGCGTTTCAGTTCGTAGGAAACTCGATTTTTTCACATCTTTCCCACTACAATGCTGTCAAGCCTAAAACTTCTCAGCCATCTACCAAAGCTCCCATACCTCTGACTTGACAGTTAATTCACCATCTTCTTGTAAAGGTCCGATGCACCTTTGATCGCAAAGCCAATCGTAGTCAACATCGGGTTGCCTGCGATGCCTGTAGGGATCACACTGTTTCCACCAAGATACAAGTTCGTCGAATTATGAACGCAAAAGTTCGCATCCACGCACGAGTCATCCTTGGTCGAACCTACGCGAGTGGTTCCCTATAGATAATTATTAGATCCAGATAATAAAAGACCATGGTTTGGGATCGGGATCAAGGTACTCACATGTCCATCCGGGGCGTTGTCCAAACCCCCCAAACTGCGGCTCTGCACCTGGCATATAACTTCCCAGACTCGAAGCAACTTGCGTCATACTTATATACTAGTTAGCTGACTGGGCTCCATGAGTGCGTAAAGATTTCAGCTTACTCGTTCATCATATTACGCCATCTTTCGTTATCCTCTGTGTTTTGCTCAAATCTAGCCTCGTACTGGATGTCGAGTCAGTTCCTTTCAAGGCTATACCGAGAAAAGAGACACTCACCATGGGCATACCCCACATATCCGCAATACCGGTTTTGAACTCAAAACAATCTGCTGCGTTAGGTGTGCTGTATCCAAAAGACTGAAGATGAAGGACCACCCGTTGGTCCACGGCACTACTAGGTTTGCTCCCAAAAGCAGGGTTGCCACCAAACTGCGTGATATTCAAGTTAACAGACATTCTAATGGAACTGGAAGTAACAGTCTCATACCATAGTGGACGGCGGTTTCTCCTCGGAGACGGCTAAAGCAGGGTCACGGTGAATCTGCGTAGTATTACGGGTTAATGGACAGTTTGATCGGACTGCAAATAACAGTTACATACCTCAGTGTACCACGGTTTCTTCTCAGAGAAGGGCAAGGCAACCTAACTCAGTCAGCTCCATCCCAGGCCCTGAATTGCTACATCGATAGCATACCTGTGGTTCGGGGTCACTTTTGGGAATCGGAATGGTATCCTCTGGATGCTTCCGTTTGTGTTCATTGATCAAGCCCTGCCAGACCTCGCTGTTGGCTTTCGGTACGGCATTAACCAAGTCCTTTTTAAGGATTACTTGACATAATATCGGTGTCCGCCTCATTGCGTAACGGCCCTGCAGGGTGCATTGTAAGTCTAAGTCAAACTATCCACTAGAGGTGACGTGAAAGGCACTTACCAAGGCAGGCAAACGGTCGCTCGAACTGGATTGCTCGCAACCGGAGTTGAAAAGCAATTGGGGAGTATGGATGCCACCCCCACAAATGACATAGTAACGCGCGGTGATTTTCTTTTCCGTGCGTTGCGCGAGGTCTTTGACAATCGCATGAGCAATCTGATTGTTGTCCTTGTTCGAAGGGTCTTGGAAGACCAGTTTCGTGCACAGGTGACTGTACAGCAGCTGGAATTGCTGAGCCGTCGAAGACTTGGGATCGATTAGATCGCCGAGGATGGTGGAAACTGATGACCAGCTAACCGAGCCATTGGTAGCATCCTTTTTGCAGGCAAGTGGGAGGGATTCAACTTGTCTGCCTTCGAAGGACTTTGCCAGTGTCTCCTTCACAATTGCTTGGCGGAGAGACGTCTCGTCGAAGGCAGTGTTGTTGACATTGATCAAGTCTTTGGCCTCTTTCATAAGGCTGTTCCAGTCTTCAGGTCTGTATTTGTCTGGTAGCTCAGCTTGGTGCGGCTCGGGTGCTCCACATGTCAAGGGAGCTGCTATCGAGGGGGCTGCGAGGGAAGGATCAAATCTGATTTGTATTAAAATCTTGGTGATCAAGTAGTAAAAGATCCGACAACGGTGGGGGTCAAGGGATGACTGACCCGTCCTGCAACGTCACCATGGTAATCTTAGGCTTTTTCTGGGAATTGGCACTCAGGTCCATAATCTTTCTCGCGTAGGTGGCCCCTACAGGACCTGACCCAACGATGAGAAGGTCTGTAGTGATATCTTGACTCGCCATTGTGGAGGATTTCACAAAGCAGATAGAGTGGTTGTAAACTTTCTAGTACAAGTATACTAAGTGGAATATCACACGGGAAGCTACGGCCATGTGTCTAAGGGATGGTCAGGCTTTATATACCTCGGTTAACGTGAGATTGCCCATCATTAGTTTCTTCATGGACACGTCAAGCAGGCCGGGCAAGTGAATTTTTGCATGGCAAGATCTGTTGGCCCCTCATACATGCATCTGTTGATGGCAATTTTACGTAAAGTTTTCTTTTAGACGGTATTCATGATTGGTCGATCTATATCCTCACAGATCGTGTTCATAGTTGACCACAATGGACTGGCGGCCAGCTGCAGCCACCAGTTTACGAGTGTAGATCGTAGTGGTAGTTGGCCAATAGTGGACTTGTTTTCAGCTGCAGCCACCGACTGAGTGTAGATCGATCTCATAAACGGATCTCGTGGAAAATTACAGTTTACGACTCATCGATTGTGGTGCTCACAGACTCGACGGTGAGATAAAATGAACTAGTATATTTCGGATTTATTTATCCGGGAATCAAGTACGAATAAGTACGGAGCATGTAACTATAACTGAATTCGAAACCTACTGTACCTCGGTAGACTCCACCATTTCATCTCGGAACGGATGACAGCTGATGATGACCTGTCACTTTGGTGTGTAATTGTTCAAGAAGAGACCAAAATGGCGAACACACCATGAGACCCTCAGATAGGATCTGTAGGGTACTTGGGATGATAAGTGGATGTGGGAAATACCTAGAGAAGAAACCTTGGAAAAATTATGCTGTACGGAGTACATAGTACATAATATATGAACCAATAGCTGTTTCTCTAGAGAAGGTAATATATTTCCAGGGGTGGCATGAGATTTAGCAAATCGACGGCCCAGAACGGGTTCAGTTGCCATCTGTGGCAGCTCGTTCGTCGTCTGCTACTTTAGTTGAGTAATTATATAGCTAGGTGAGGTCGGTGGGTGGCTATTTTCCCTATAGTGATAAACCCCTCGGCTTTAGTATATGCTAAGGTTTATACCATCTTCTTCTAAATTAGTATTCTCGAGTAATCATACCTATTCGGCTAATACTTAATTTTGGACGAAATTGAGAGCTTTACTAGTGGACATTTAATCGCAGACTCGGGTGGAGAAGGGCTCGGATAAAACCTCGAATTTACGCGCTATTACTTCGACTTTTGGATTTAATGCAGCTCTACTAAGTCTAAGAGACACTTGTAATAATGTTCTCTTTTTCTTGTAATTTTTAAAGCATTGTATCGGTATAAAAATGATTGTCAAACATGGTGGGTTTTATTCCCTTGAGACTGAAGTCCAATGATCTGCAGATCGCCAAGTCCCCGAGCTTCTCCCGCAAATCCACGTCTTTCAAGGTCCAACACTCCAACAACCCGAGTCCAATCTCTCTATGCTTCGGTCATGGGTCGGCAGCGGTACGCTCCGCTCTCTTTGCGTTCGACGCTTGACTCGGTCATCTCTTTCATCCCCTAAAGCCCCGTTCTCCTCCGCGGCAAACCGCTATCTCCAACCGCCGGCCTCCGCAGATCGCGTTCCCCTCCGCAAACAGCTCAAGCAGGAAGCTAAAGCGCTTCGGTCACACAAGAAACAACGCAAGGAAACAGAGGAGGCTTCGAGGCAAGAATGGGAACTCACAGTGGGCGTGGAGATCCATGCGCAATTGGACACAGAGACCAAGTTATTTTCCCGTCAGTACGCCTTTCACACTCGGAGACTACGATTCATCCTCTCATAACTTTAACAGGGGCAGCAACTTCGACAAGCGATACTCCCAATTCCAACGTTGCGTTGTTCGATCTGGCGTTTCCGGGTAGCCAACCGGTTAGTGTTATAGTGTACAATGCTGTGAAATAGGGCCAGGGCTGATCCGAGACAGGCATTCCAAATCGCAACACTCCTACCGGCTCTCCGCGCTGCGATTGCACTGAATTGTGAGATACAGCCAGTCAGTCGGTTTGATCGGAAACATTACTTCTACCAGGATCAACCCGCGGGGTATCAAATCACACAATACTATGGTAAGCACCGTCCCTCTTCAAACGTGAAATATACTTACCTGCTCTAGAACCATTCGCACGAAATGGCTACGTTGACCTGTTCGATTACGATGGAATCGCCCCGGAAGACGGTGAACGGGTTCGTATTGACATCAAACAACTCCAGTTGGAGCAGGACACAGCCAAATCCCAGGAATACCCGCCCTCAACACAACTTCTCGACTTCAACCGTGTGTCCCACCCTCTTATCGAAATCATCACTATGCCGCAAATCCACACTCCGGCAACGGCCGCAGCATGCGTTCGAAAACTACAAGCCATTGTACAATCGTGTGGTGCCGTGACTACGGGAATGGAGATGGGCGGTCTTCGTGCAGATGTCAACGTCTCGATCCGACGCCGAGGCGAAGCACCCGGGCAGCACCAGTACGATGGGATCAGTGGGCTGGGTCAGCGTACCGAAATTAAGAACCTCAGCAGCTTCAAGGCGGTAGAGGATGCCATCATTGCTGAGAAGAACCGCCAGATCGAGGTGCTCGAGAGTGGTGGTGTCATAGAAGGAGAGACACGTGGATGGACGATCGGCAGCACTGAAACTCGCAGACTTCGCGGCAAAGAGGGCTCGGTCGACTACCGCTACATGCCTGACCCTGATATTCCACCACTGATCATTGGAGAGGACCTACTCTCTAGCCTCAGAGAATATATTCCGACAGCACCAGACGCTCTTCTTACACTGCTCGTCGGATCTGAGTTTAACCTGCCAATCGAAGATGCCAAACCACTCATCGAGCTGGACAACGGAGCCCGCCTCGAGTACTATCACGATGTGGTGGATATCCTTCGCACTCTTCAAGTAGACCAAGACGACAAAACGCGTGCCAGTCTCGCGCGGGTGGCAAGCAACTGGGTTTTGCACGAGCTGGGCGGTCTCTTGGCCAAGGCAGACCAGGAATGGAACACGGAGATCGTCCCAGCCCGATCCTTAGCTCATCTCATCGACCATCTGCAGCGGAAACTCATCACCGGCCCGACAGCCAAACAGGTGCTGGCCACCATCTTTGACGGGGACCAACGACCAGTGCCGCAACTACTGGAGGAGGAGAATCTCCTACTGCGGCCGTTGTCGCGGGAGGAGTACCTAGCGCTAGCAGAGTCGGTCATTGCGCTGAACCCGCAGATGGTCGAGCAGATCCGCACCAAGAATCAGCTGGGTAAACTGGGTTGGTTCGTGGGGCAAATGATGCGCAATGGTGAAAAGGGCCGCGTGGAGGCGCCCAAGGCAGAAGAGATTCTCCGGGAGTTGATTCTGGGATAGCTTGTATAGTATAGTATAAAATGTATTCTATTGCATCAATGATACCCTCATAACTATAACCAAAACTGTGGCCTCTTCAATTATTCTATTTCCATGTAGACTCTCCCGGACCTCCGATACCACCCCACGCGCCTGGATCAAAACCCGGAAATGAAATTACAGAATTTCCGGTCTATCGCTCACTGTAACAGGTCAAACCAAAGCTTGTGGGACACCGAATGGCCCTAAAGGGGGAGCTCTCCTCAACCTGTACTTAACGGAAGTGATGGAGATCCGGCGGAGACACTTTGATCGCTAAAAGCAGTTTTTAGCGACTTCGCGGGCATCTCGCAATAAATGAAAGCACCACCCCGGTTGAAGTCGGGGCAATGTGAGAGACGTTGTAAGACAATTCTGAGATATTTAAAAGAAACAGTTATCCTCTTTTTCTCTCTTCTTTTTCCACAAAAAACAAATTCATCGACATCATCCTGACCTCTCTTATCGACCCTCCACTTATCTTATCTCGATCTTCGATTGCCTCGGCAGCTTTCTTTCTTCTTACTTCCCAACCTACGGTTACCTATTTCCTACATTCTACACAATGACCCAACCTTCAACTATCACCTCGAGGTTCCTCTCACACCCTAATCAACTCGGCGTTGTTGCCGTTGGTTTCAATGGCGGCCAGGTAAGACACCCTGTGGAACAGAAGCTATAGATCACGAATCATACTAACCCCAACTCCAACAGTGCAAGAAGGGCGTCGAAGCGGCCCCAATGGCCCTCATCGAATCAGGCCTCCTAACCCAACTCAGCGAGGATCTCGACTACGAAGTCCACCACGACAACACAGTCCACTACTATGAGAAAGACATCCCCACCGAAGACCCTGACCACCGAGGCATGAAGAAGCCACGAGCCGTCAGTGCCGTGACCGAAAAGCTCAGCTCACAGGTCTACAACTACGCCAAGGACGGAAAGTTCGTACTCACTCTCGGCGGCGACCACTCCATCGCCATCGGCTCCGTCTCCGGCATAGCAAAGGCAATCCGCGAGCGACTGGGCCGCGAAATGGCCGTCATCTGGGTCGACGCCCACGCCGATATCAATATCCCCGAGACTAGCGACAGCGGCAACATCCACGGTATGCCCATGGCGTTCCTGACCCGGCTGGCCCGGGAGGAGAAGAAGGATATCTTTGGCTGGATGCAGGACGAGCACATCGTGAGCACGCAGAAGCTCGTCTATATCGGGTTGCGCGATGTCGACCGTGGGGAGAAGAAGCTCTTGCGTGACAATGGTATCAAGGCGTTCAGTATGCACGATATCGATCGGTATGTTTTCTCTTTCGCTTTCCCTGGGTTGTGGTGGTGATCTTCGTGCTAACCTCTTTCTCCTCTGCTAGTCATGGTATCGGTCGCGTTGTCGAAATGGCTCTCGCTCACATCGGTAACGACACTCCCATTCACTTGTCCTTCGATGTCGATGCGCTGGATCCTCAGTGGGCTCCTAGTACCGGTACACCGGTCCGTGGTGGGCTGACACTGCGTGAGGGAGACTTCATCTGTGAAGCTGTGCATGAGACGGGAAATCTGGTTGCGATGGACTTGGTCGAGGTCAACCCCAGCCTGGAGTCCAAGGGCGCGTCGGAGACCATTCGAGCGGGGTGTTCGTTGGTGCGTAGTGCATTGGGCGATACTCTTCTATAAAGGCTTTCCTTGATAAAATTGATAAAGGGATTAGAAGAGAATATTAAATGAGACTTGTTAAGAATTCAGTACTACAAGCTTTATTGAAGTAGATCAAATTAATACGAACTGCCAGTCAGAGTGAACGACACTAAATCCCCTGCCACCCCAATTTCCTAGATTTCCCCCTCCCCGGCCTTTTGTTTTTTTGTTTTTGTTTTATTTTTTTTACTTCTTCCATCATTCTTTACTCTATATATCTTCTTGGCCTTTTCTTTCATTTCGGAGATTTATGCGCAATTGTAAATACACGTCGCACCAACTTCAAAATCCCCCAGGGCCTCCAGCGCTCAAGGGCGCCCAATGCGCTGTCTTAATCACCACGCCTCACCAGAAACAACCATAGGATTCTACCAATCCCCTCAGACTTGACTCACTTGGCTCACGATCTGGCCATCCGATCCCAAGCCTGCAAACATAGGGCATCCAAGCCTGCGTCGGGCAGTATACAAGAAACACCAGTATAAAGCGCACCCACTCCACAATCGCAAACAAGCTCCATCACCCATCGCAATCCATCACAATCCAATACACCTCCAGAACCTTCCATCCACATCCCACACACAATACAATGGCAGTCCGCAAGCGCCACGAAGCGCGCCGCCGCTACCACTGGCCCGAGCTCCAACTCAACATCTGGATTATGATCGTGCTCTCGTGCTCAGCAACATGTCTGGGGATATTCTCGTGGTTCATGACTATACAATCGCAAATGCATCTCGGGACACCATGGTAAGTGACATAATTATATCTTATATCTATACTACATATGTGGTTAGGTGCATTCTCAGAATCTACACCCCACATTCTTCCCACCAGTCCGACTTATTATACAATACACAATATACTAACGATAACCAGGCTCTTCCCTTACATGGTTGTGTGCAGCGCACTCGGCGTGCTCTTCATATTCCTAATTATGGTGCTTGCATCACGGCACTTCCTCTTACCGGGGATTATCATCATCGGCAGCTTTATTCTCCTTGTGCTGTCGCTGACGGGTCTGATTGAGACGTCTCTGCAGCTGTATGGGGTTGTCGGGAACGTGAATGATAATTGCCAGATCTATGTGGTGAATAATAAGGCTTGGGGGAATAATATTAATACCTTGGCTTGGTTGACGCAGAGTACTATTTGTGAGTTTTGTGCCCATGTCCAGTTTGTATATTGGGTGACTTACTGACTTCTATAGGCAATTGCTGGAAAACTGCCTTTGCGCTCGAGCTTGTTAATACGATTTTCTATCTTTGGATGATGATTATGTCGTGGCAGGTTAATCGGGATGTTTATGATTGATTTCTTTTGATTTTTGATTTTTGATTTTGTGATACCACTTTTTGCATTTATGGTGTTGAATGGAAGCGATATAGCATTGTTTTTGGGGGGTTGGGGGGGGATGTACTGTTATACTTGATCTAAAAGGATATAAACGAGTTCAATCTACATGTATGTAGACACATACATCATCTTAGCTGGTGCAGAAGAATCCCAAGTAGTTCATGGATAGTATATTGAACTGAATTGTACATACAAATAGCGATTCTCACAGATACACACACAAATTCTTGAGAACTACAGAAAAGAAAGAAAACACATAAAGTCAAATAGACCTAATAAACGCCGTCGCTATGCCAAGAGCGCATTGCAACCGCACACACAAAGAGAATCTGAAACGAGAAAGCACAAAATCAAGTGCTCTATCCGTTCTCGGCTGCACCATCTGCCTCGGCCTGAGAGTCATACCCTCCGCCCTCAAATGCAGCAAGCATTTCCCGTTCCAGCTCGTCGTCATCGTCATCTGGGTCAGGATAGTCGGCCGTTGGACCGCTACTTGTTCCTGCTGTTTCAGAGTCAGACACTCCTTCCACAACTAGTGTTTTTGGACGGTCTGGGGAAACCTGGTCACTGCCAGAGGCAGGAGCCGATGTGATTTCTCGGAGCTTGGTGTTGCGCTCGTAAGAGCGTTTGATGCGTTGAGAGAGCCGGGAACCTTGTTTGTCATGGTCGTCTCCGTCGTCGTCTCCAGACTCTTCTTCGTCGGTGCCGCTTTCGGTTTCTTCATTGCGTTTACGCTTCTTGCCTCCTGTGGATGGTTCGTCTAATAAGGACTCGTTGTCGCTTTCACTTTCGTCGTCGCTGCCCAGGAAGTCCTTCAGTTCATCGTGCACAGCCGCTTGCTCGTCGGCATCATACCCGATCGGTGATGTCTCATCCAGACCGGATGACTTGAAGATGTCTTCAGCGTCGTCTTCTTGTGTCCATTGAGACCCTGTCATATCCTCGTCTGTGGATGAGAGCATGGAGGTCTCATGTTCAAGTTCACTTGGGGACAGGGGGTTGCCTCGGTCGTCTGGGTGAAGCGGGAGGAGATAGGGTTCTTCGTCCACGTGTCTCCACTGAACCAGCGCGTCGACAAGCCATTGTGTCGTCACGATCTTGATGTTGGGATAGCGAGTGGCTTCTCTCACCTTGGCGGTGCGGTTGCGGCCAGCCACGAGATGAGTTGTGCGGGCATTTACCCTTGACGAGATCGTCACACCAAAGCTCTTCGCCCACAGGGAGATGTCTGCATTTTGAAAGTCTATGCCCAGAGGAAGGACGCCTGAAAATACCAACACTACCCTTCCAAGGATCCGTCGTTTGATCCGCGGCATGATATCCTTGACATCAGGGACCAATTTGAGATCAACGTCTTTGTCTCTCGAGTGAACCTTCTCGCCCCTTAGAGCTGCCACCCGACCCCCAAGAGCGAGAGTCCGTCTTTTATCATATTCATCATAGAATTGAAGATGTACTTGTTCGAGTCGGTTTTGCAGCTGGAAGAGTTCTTGATCGTGATCCTCGAGTAGGTGATGTCGATGTTTCGCATGTTCGTGGGTTTCTTCGACACTAGACGATGCATCATTGGTTTCGGCGATATTATCCTCTGCATCCAATTCCTTTTGCTTCTGCAACAAAGGTCGATCCTCCACCTGATGCAATATTGTCTCTTCTTGTGCATCAGTCTGTTCCTGGAGGAGCCTTGGGCTGTCTCCACCTCCCATGGTTACCAGCTGTTCTAATGCTGAGACCTCAGTCCCCTCCTGCATTTTACCATTGACATGGTGTTCTTTGGTCTTCTCTGGCGCCTTTGCTTCGATCTGAGGCTTGTTCGCTCCAATATCTTCTTTCTTTGGGAGGAAACTTGAATTGATGTCACCAATTCCGACGAAGAAGTCATAAGGCGAGACCTTAATAAGATTGGGACTCCATCGCCAGATATCACCACGATCATCAATGATTACCACCATCTTTGTGTCCACTGGGAACAGCCGTTGCAGGTCCTTGACCGTCAAACTTCCGCTCTCATCACGACTAAGAATTCGGTCTCCGAAGAGTTTGCGGGTGGGATCAATGATATCAACAATATGCTGGGCATAAGCACGAGTACCCATGGTGTAGATGTGCAACTCATAAATCTCAGCCACGTTCTGCAAGAATTCCTCCAGTCCTGGCCGCAGCTTGATGTAGTACCAGCATCCACGCATCCCAGGTCCATCGTCAATCAATTGAAATTGTCGCACATCCCGCACAGCTTCGTGGTTTGGATTTTCCTTGTCTTCTCTCCATTCCCCCACTGTCGGATCAACAGTGGCATGGATAATAGTTTGATCAAGATCCACCACCAGGGTCAAACGCCTCGATGCAAGTAGCCGGCGCTTCGCATCTTCTTCAACTCGGGTTGCTTCCCGTTCGCTGACCGTAAGTGTAACGTTGTCATGAGCCATGGAGATTGGAGCGCGCATGGAATCTGCGATTTCGGTGTTGTACGTAGATCTGTTCGCAAGACAGACAGTTAGAAAGGCATATTACCCGTTGAGAGCCTGGAGGCTTATACATACTCAGTCATGTCCTTCCCGCACTCGGCGCAAAGTCCTCCAAACTGGATCTCGTGCGCGCAAGGCTCATCGATTTCGACAACATTGACCCTAGCAAGAAATTAGACAACATTCGACAGTAAAAACACAAGGATCGATATTCTCACGGTTCATCAATAACGTCTCCCTTTTGGATTTGCCATTTAACGATCTCTCCATCAACAGTCGATTCAAATCTAGTCGGGTATCTACGCTTCACCTCGACGGTGTTACCCAGTCCATCACCCTCGGTGACGGTAGTCTGATAGACATACCAAAATAGAGCCTCATCCCTCTCAACCGTGTCGCCAGGCTGTTTGAGCAGCGACGTCACGGTGATCGGGTAATGTAGGCTGGTGGGCAGACGGAGAAGCATCGTTGCTCTTCGTTCGCCCCCAGGCGGTGTAATGTACTACTGCTCAGTTTCTGTCCAGGCGTTCTCCCAAAATATATTCTGTGCCCTTGGTTTGTTGACGGTGCGCGTCGAGGACGTGTGGGTCGAATGGAATGGTCGCGTGCGATTCCGGCTACGAAGCCATCACCGACACGGAACGCGTGTAGAGCTGGATGATATCGGGTTTCGTTGGTAGTATTTCAGCCTATGACTCAGTGGTCCAAGCTAGATCGGTGGAATAAGTAGATGTGAATGGTGGTTTAGGCAGCGCAATGAGAATCGCCACTCCAAGGCGCGGATGGGAAAATAAAACCGTGCGCCTAGCACAACCTGGCGCGGAGGTCAGAGGCAAGTCACACACCAGGCGAAGGAGGTCACTTGAATTTGAGAAGGCGGAGAAGATTGAAAGAGGAATGCGGGCTGCGATCAAAGAAAAGGGAAGCTCATTGAAGTTGTGCGGGGACTCGCTCGATCCAGGTTGAGAGCTACTTCCGCTTATGTCATACCGGTACTTAAAAACCGGTATCTCCTCTTACCGACTGACGTGCGATCTACTTCAGTTCAAGTATCTTACTTTTCTGAATGGTCTGATATAATGGCTTGATCAAGTAGCCCTCAATGTATTTTTATTTCTAGTCTGGGTGCTAATAGTGATCTCCCACTTGCTTTCTCTGACTGTATGTATTAGAAACTTGACTATAGATTAATGGTTACCTGCACCTTAACCAGCATAAACTCCAGCCAATTGCCACTCAATTTCTTACGTTTGGGAATTTGCCGAGGGATCCAGCTCGACATACTAAGGCCACTATGAGGGAAGAATTATCCAATAACAAGGTCAAATGTAATAAGTAGATCTTAACCAATAGAGATATCAATTCGCAGTGCCAATGAAAGACAGGCCTCACGATGGGGCTGTGCCAGCAAAAACAAAAACCCTGATCAACATGCTACTCAGCAATAGGCGAATGAAGTGCGGCTATGAAACCATACGTTCAACCCAGAAGCCACATGTATATACGAAGCAATCTCTTGGTGTCACCTGGTTCTTTGATATTCACAGCTCACCGGACCATCGAGCATTAGGGCATTTACTTGGCCTTGGCCAGACCGACAGCGTTGTTACCGACATCATAGACACTGTACCAGCGGCGCAGGAAGGCATCACCCAAAATAGCGAGGGGACCCACGGGCTCGGGGAAGTCCATGCCCATGAAGCTGCTGATGCAGGAGCCCTGGACCTCCAGGATGTAGTCGAAGGGCCCAATAGTGAACTTGTGGCCGCCCAGGGTGAAGGTGAGGTCGGGCAGCGAGTCCCGCTTGTCACACTCGACACTGTACTGACCAGTGAAGCCCTTGGTGGCACCGATCTCCTTGTTCCTGTGGAATGAGTTAGCGAAGAGGTTACAAAGACAAGTGAAAAATCAACTTACAGAAGCTCAGCCATGGTGGAGGGCAGGGCAATGAGGGAGGTACCAGTGTCCAGAATGACACCGGTGTTCTCAAGTTCCGCAACGTTATTACCGAGGGCAATAGAGTTGAGCTCGACCTCCCAGTACGCCTTGCGGCGGAGAGGGATCTTGATCAGCTCGCCAGTGTAGTGGCTCTTGTCGATACCACCAAAGGTAGCCTCAGAGTTGTCGCCATCCTTGCTGGCATCGCCAAGGTAGAAAGCAAACACGGGCTCATCAACGAGCTTCTGGTTGATCATGTGGTAGAAGGGAGGGATCATCTTGTTCACGGAAATGGTATCATAGCCAAGGCCAAGAATACCATCAAAGCGACCGAAGGCAAAAGCCAGACCAGGCTCATTGGTAGCTTCCGCAAAGTCCTGTCCCTCGACCTTGAGGTCACCAATCTGGAGGGTGTCCCTAGACACGAAGCCGCTCAGGCTGCCAGATCCATAGCGAATCTCAAACTCGGAGCCATTCTTCTGGTAGGTGCTCGAAGAAGACGAGTCATACTTGGAGTGAAGGAAGCAGGCGATAGAGCTGCACTGCGAAGAAGGGACCCACAGGTTGGAGCTACCGGTGTCAAGGACAACCTTGAAGGTCTGGGGAGGAGTACCGATGCTGATCTCGGAGAAGTCTGGAAAGGTCAGCGTCATCGTTCAGAACCTAAATTTCCGGGGTGGAATCGTACACTGAGCATTCAGGAAGTTGTCAACCAGCACGTTATGGCCACTAGCGGGGTTTAGGGAAGTGTCGTGGAACAGGTCCTCGTGCTTGTCGGGACGAATGCCCATGTACTTCTGGCCCAGGTTGTGCATATGAGCATCGATGTTGTGTGTGCTCTATCAATCGATTAGATTCCGGAGTGTTCTTAGGGCAATACTGATGATCATACCAGTTGCTCGGACAGAGGGACCTTGTTGAGCTTGAGCTTGTGAACCTCGGCGGCAGCACTGCCCAACAGCGCCGAAGCTGTTAGGAGAGTGAATGACTTCATCATTTAAGATGAAAAAGAAAGTTGTAGATGTTGGATGCAAAGAAGAGAACGACTTGTGAGAAGGAAGGAGAGAGGAGATAAGGGTAGATGGGGGAAGAGTGGAGGCTGGAGAGACGATGACGGAAGCGGGAGGGTCACACTAACCCCCTTTGGGCGATGGGCTCATGACATGGGCTCTCAGCCTACCGGTCCCGGGAGATTCCAGATCCTGACGTATACAAAAGAACCCTCTCTTGTTTCTCGGACCATTTACTCATTGGGTTACTATGGCTCCTCCATACATAATCCGCATAAATCGGATCTGAGCAGGGGGAGCGCTTTGGGCTGGTGCCTGGGCGTGGTTAGCGCCATTGACGGAATGGTCAGACTGGTCAGAATACCCCTCTCGTACCTGGCAGCTGCAGGATAGTTGATGTGGCAAAAGGTTACGCTCATTATGTTCTTGTTCTACAGGAAGGTATCATGCCCTGCTGCGGAACGCCATAAGGTTTTGGATTTGTACGGAGTATCGTTGTAGACCTTTAAGCATGTGTGTAGTCCATCTAGCCCGGAGACCGAAACTGTCCAGAAAATACTCCGCCTGGTACCTATCAAGGGAGCGCGTGCCCTTCTAATTCTCCAAGGCTGCCTTACTGCGAAATTCAATGAGTAAATACCACGCTACATATACCGTAGGTCCTCCAGGGTGAATTACACAATGCGGTTTAGCGTGCCTATTTAGGCTTAGCGTTCTACTGCCCTTGGGCTTCCCCATTTTCTTTTCCTCTAACCGGGTCGTCGAACTGCGGCCACCGCCTTGACACCGCAAAGGCGGTGGCCGCAGTTCGACGACCCGGTTACCGAATAGAATTTAGAAGTTTTGAGCAACCTCATTGCAAGAATGATGGATCCTTCAATTACCATAGTAAAGTAGCCAGGAGATGACCTCACTATGATCGATCCGCGCTGGACTAATCCTTCTTGAGACGCGGACATCGAGCTCATAGTTAGTTACCTGTGGATGACAGGTAATTTTGATTTTCAACCTGCATTACCCCTATAGACTCGGACAGACCTGTTCTTGCATACCGAACCCTTCAACTTCGTTCACCAGCGCAAGAATATTTTCCAAGATGCAGACCCAAAGCAGTGTTAAGACGCCAGAAGAGATCTCCCTTGAACAATCCGGAGACATCCGAGCTCTTCAAAGATACAGATACATGAAATGGTTCCAAGATTTTCCTAGTGACGGTTTCGCTGTTATATATAAACTACTTTGGGTGGAAAACGCACTTCTAGAGAATGTGCAACGCGAGGAAGCCCTCCGGCTAAGGATGAAGAAGATTACCAACGAACAAACAGAGCATCCCCAGGACATCATAGGATTCACTTCCTATAGCCGTACAGATGACATTAAAGGCTTACAAGAAAAAGTCTCCGAGCTCAATCGAAGGTATTGGACTTTAGAACGGCACTGGTGGACTATCAGGGCTTTATTTCCCGACGGGACGCTATCTAGAGGGTTCGAGCTATGGCGCTCTCATCCAAAACGGTATATGCACCGTACTCTTCGCGACGGATGCGCTAGAAGCGGAGGATGCTGCGCAAGAAGCTGTGGGTGCTGCTCTAATCGTTACAATACACCCGAACGAATGTTTACTGCTGGGCATTGCACTCTAGGGTGTTTCTGTTGTGAGAAAGCTAGAGGTCGTCGACTTAGCTGGAAGCAATGGAAAGAAATCCAGCGTCCCTCCTTAACCACTATCGATCTATCTCAGCCGCACTCAAACCCGTTTTTCGTATTGAGTTTTGTGGGGGTTGTCTTTGGAAACTATGACAACCCGTTTGATCTAATTGAAGACCCGCCGCCTAGCTATGTGCCTTGCTCTATGACATCTTAAGCGTGGAGCATGCCGGATGAGAAAGGGAAAGAATGAATAGTGAAGATGAAAGCCTTGTGGGGGGGAGGGTGGTGATGAGAGATCCATATCTCTATTGCTATAATAGTGATGTTATTTCGACGGTCCTGGGCCTTAAGAGGTAATGATGGACAGATGAAGTACGTGACTAGGATCAGAATTTGCTACAAAGTAATATATTATTATTATTCATTATGTCAACCTAAGTAAGCCAATATTCCACATAGCTTTTCCTCAAATTATTAAGTTCCTATCTTATTTTGCTTCGCTGCGCTCAGCAAACAATACAATGAACATAGGCAAAATTCTCCTCACTACGCAGAGACATAGCTATCAGGGTTCAAACCCTAATTAGGAGGGTGTCTTGGTGGCTGACTACCTGAATTGATCATGAGATCTTCGACGAGCTTGAAGGCTTCCCGCACTTAACGACCAATATGATAAACAACGAGCTCTCATGGCTAGTCAATCGTGATTCTCTATAGTATTGCCCTTCCTCTTAGGCGGGCCATGTCGCATTCTTGCCTTAGAGTTACATTCTTCAACATCACGAGTACTTGATACTCCCTATCTTGTGCTTCCACAAAACAATTCAGTCTAAATTCAAAACCAATAAGCTAACACGCTATCGTAGGAAACATATTAGGGATTGGCTAAGATTGAGGTTATATGCACCTTAAACAGGTGGAGGTGTCACGCACCCCTTTTTCTGGGGTCCTTCTGGGCATTTAGTAAACATACATATACATATAGTATTCCACCAACATAGATGTCTCCAGATATTATCTGATCTCCAGATATCTGTAATCTTCGAGTGTACGTACGCAGAGGTCGGGATACATGACGATGTTGAGCTCTGTCAGGTTACTCTAGCAGACGCCCGTGTCTCGGTATTCGCCATCTCTGTGCTCGATCTTCATGTGCAGGTATCAGCTACAGTCCAAACTAGCAATGGTGAGAAGGACTCGCCTTATGGATATGTACTTAGTGGGTTTCCTTTACTATATTGGTTTTCCCCGCGTTACTACCATCTGCAATTATGGCAAGTGGCCTGACTAGTGGTGCATGTGTTAGGGGAGTGGTCTGGGTCTCTAACCTTGGATTTGGTTCTGGATGTGTATGGCCCTTATTTTCCATGTTATGTGGTTTGGTAATTTGTTCCATTGATTCAAGCGGTACAGTGGGAAGCTTTAAATTTTATTGATTGCTTGTTATAAAATCTCGTTGCTGGGATATATATACCGTCCCTTTTTTTGCCAAGTCATCCGCATCCAAAACCGATACTATATAATATATCACCGAGCCCACATCAGTGATTCAGTAGAAAAACGACCGGAAACATGTCAAACTGTATACAAAAGATCGTCGATTTAGCACGCATGTTCAAGCAAGTGGCCAACGGGTAGGGTCCTGCCAGCTAACCTACAATCTACATCTACAAACTAAAAGGTTGAACGGATACCGTAGGATCAAGAAACCATCCAAACATTGTGACACATGGCGCCTGCATATTATTGATAATACAACTGGTGAGGGAGACCAAGCTTTTGTCACCCATACCCACGTTCCCGAGAGACTCAAGCATTTACCGGTAGAAGTCAGGACTGCAATAAACCAGTTAGTGACATATAAAACCCCAAAAATCAAACAAGAAACGTACCGGTCATCATCCTGTCCAGTCTTGACCTGGACGGCATAAGCATCTTCAAGGTCCGATTGGATAATATTGTAACGGTTCTTGCGGACAGCCCGCAGACCGGCCTCTTGCATGATGGCAGCAATAACAGCACCAGACAAGGGGTCGTTGCGCACAATCAGGGCGTCGAGGTCGACCTCGGGGGACAGTGACATCCGTGCCGCGATAGTTGTGAAGATCAATCGGCGCTCACGTCGGTCACGCAGGTTCGGGAACTCGATCTTTCGGTCCAGACGACCAGGACGCAGCAAAGCTGGGTCCAGGGTGTCGGCTCGGTTGGTGGCCATGATGACCTTGACGTTGCTGGTTTGTTCGAAACCGTCCATTTGGTTCAGCAACTCCAGCAGGATACGCTGAACTTCACGATCGGCACCAGTTTGGGCATCGAAACGCTTCGTGGCAATCGCATCGATTTCGTCAATGAAGATAATGGCTGGGGAGTTCTCACGAGCCATCCGGAACACGTCACGGACCATACGAGGTCCCTCTCCTAGATACTTCTGTACAAACTCTGATCCGTTGACACGAATGAAGCTGGCGGTTGTGCTGTTGGCCACGGCTTTCACCAGCATGGTCTTTCCGGTTCCGGGAGGGCCATAGAGCAAGACACCACGAGGAGGGTCAATACCTGCAAATTGTTAGCGGTGCCATTAGCCGCAATGAATCTCCATCACTACCCACCGATTTGCTTGTAGAGTTCGAAATGCGTCAAAGGCAGCTCGACGGCCTCCCGAATCTCCTGTTTCTGCATATCCAAGCCACCGACATCTGCGTAGGTCACATCGGGCTTCTCGTTCTCACCCAGCATCGCGATAGAGGAGTCAGCCTCGGGAGGAAGAATGTCGACAAGGGCATTGGAGTGGCGGTGAAGGGCGACCGAGGATGAAGGCTTCAGCTTCTCGCGGTCGAGAGTGGAGAGGATACGGACGACGTAATTAGAACCGGTCGAGCTTTGCACAATGCCGGTGCTAGAGATCTGAGTTAGCAAAATGACCATCTCGCCTAGGCGTCCAGACACGGAAAGGCATACTTTTGATCGATTGCCTCCATAAACTGTCCGATGACCAATGGCACACTCTGTATGCGCTTGATCTCTTCTTGTGCCCGAACTAGCTCCCGCTTCAAGCTCCTACATCGAACGATGGTAGTTAGCCACTGATGCAAATCTCCAATGTCAGAATCCAGTGTGCATACCTCTGCTCATCCTTGATGTATTCCTCCTGCAGTTGGATATACCTGCGTTCGACGTCAGTACAGATCACTCCATCCAACAAACATGGTCAGACATACTCGAGATGTCTCTGTAGTCTCTTGAGGGTAGCATATTCATCGTTTCCATCAACCCCTGTGCCATCGAGGGAATCCAAGTTGGCGAGGGCGTCAAGCGCACCTGGCTTGGTAAGAGGCGTGACGTTGTTCGCCGGGTTCTCCACGGCAACGTCTCCCATGGTGGATACTTTGGGTAGCGAGCAAGATGAGAAAGGATAGTATATGTATCAGCTGGGAATGGAAGGAAAATGTGATGTGCTTTGAAGATGGTTGGTAAATGACGCGCTGTGTGAAGGGCTCGGAGTTCAGCCATCTGGAGCTTTCGATACTATGGCCCGGGAAGCTTATCCATCACGTGATGTCAACCGGTCTTTGCCAACAGTTCAGTTGTACTCCGTAGGTTCAGTTCCAATGTGTTTAGGGCCATGAAAGATTATATTATTAAGTCCCACAGATGATTATTTTCCACACTGCAGTGTATATGTGGTTTACCTCATCGTTCCAAGGTTAAAAGTTTGTGGCAATTAGCGATACGGTAACACTACCAAACCAAGTGCCCGTCAACTTGCAATGCTATAATCTCTGAGAGATAAATTACACAGAACCTTGGAAAGGCTTGACAGTTATGATTACATATCATTCCCCCTGTATCTTGCCCAGATACCAAATATACACTAATTTTGTCTAGGTGAGTTGTCTCAATCCAAATCTATAGTCAGACGCTAGCGGCTGCTGCGGAATATGTAGCCCTGGAGCCAATGACGAGAATCTCACGCTCATTTGCCTGGGGTAACTATTTGTTTCACCCAGTGATATGTAGATGCACAAAGCATGCGAATTTGGACACCTGATCAGGTTCAAGTCAGGAGAATATCATATTGGACCGCTGTGCGCAAAGGCCTTTGAGACAGTTACGAGCATCCTTGCCATTGGAGTTAGCCATGACCTCAAGCTTGCCCCCAAAGCCCTACAGAAGGGAAATGAAGAAAAGTTGATCCAATCATCTCTAGCGGTGGAGTAGGCCGGGACACGGTAGGTGGGACAGGCACCAAAGCCGTCATGATTTCCCATGCGGATCGAGTCGGATCCATGCACGGGGTTCACTAGGAAACCCAGGTCAATCCACTCTTAGTTGTTTCTTAGTTGTTGACCTCGAATTTTTGGTGACTTCGGAGGATTGGGCGCGCATCGACATGATTATCAAACGCTAGCCCGGGCTTTATATAAGGAGAACCGCCCGTTGGCCGTCGTCACGGCTCTAGATCTTTTTTTTTTCCTTCTCTTTCCATTATTTCTTTTCCCCTTCCCCCCAGATCTTGCTCTGCAAAGACTCTATTCTCCATGGCAATTTTCCCCTTGGAATTCATCACTGGGTGGCTGCTACTGCTAACCTCAGACCATATCGGGGTCGGAGTATATGATCTAACCTGACTCGGTCAGAGCGTTGGAATGGATCATCGTTTAGATGATTTACGAAATCTGAGGGGAAGACGGAGTTTTTATGGGAATTTTTCTCTCAGAAAGAGATTTCCTTCATATTAATTCTGTTCCCTAACATTTCCCATTATTTCCCCCGATGTGTGGCCAGTCTCTTTCATATGCAGGTTGAGGCTGGCACCACCCGCTCTGAACGAGATAACAAAACCAATGGGAAATCCGGACTAATACAAGGGGAAAAAAGATATCCAAAAAAAAAAAAACAACCAGAGAGATGAACGAAAAAGATGAAGAAAACTGAACAAAAAACGAGACTCTAAAAGAAAAGAACTAACATAGTAACACAAACAAGCAGAACAGGGCCTTGGGAGGTGATTTTTTACTGAAAGCTCTGACCTGTCAGTAATTTTCCCTCTCCTCTCTCCACTTCCCCTTTCATCCCTAACTGAACGGATCTCGTGAATTGGTAAGTATGCCATTATTATTCTGTTTCTATGATTGCTTTGCTTTTTTACCTGTTCTATCCATATTATATTACATGTATTGATATTATTTGGTTGTGGCCACGCACCCCCATTTTGTGCCTTGTTCTGTGACCATCATTTGTGGTTTCTGGGAGGAGCTTCCATTATTATGTCTTAGCTCTTTAAAGATCAAAGAGTAACGTTCCTTGTTCATGATTTGCTAACATTTTAACCTCCCCCCAGCCTCCTACCTTTCCCCCCCTTCCCCCAATATCACCTTAAAACGGCCTTTGCCTCCGTCCTCCGTGGTTTGTTGCCTTAGGTTTCTACACCACGTGACCACACCTGGCCCAACCTCTCTCCCCTTCATATCCCCCATCTGCCAATTCCGGGACCCGGCCTCAGTCATCCGTATAAAAAGCGGAATTTAAGTCACTCCAGCCTTATCGGTATGTACCTCATTCCCTCCCCTCCTTCCCCCCATATTATCTCCAATATTCCCTATGGTTGTCGCCTTCCCTTCCCACCTTCTCTTTGACCCGTGTCGCGACCGGGTCTGGGCGCGACTCCAAACATCTCATCCCAGACGCGTCGACCTGTTCGTCCATCATTGGACTAAATCCTACACTTCCTTGATTTCTATATGACATCTTCGCACACTATAACGATGGTGCATGGGCCAATGTTCATATGCTGACTCGTCCTAGGTAGATGGGTTGGCAAAACCGCTCGACATGAATGCCTGGCTTGCCGACGCCTCGAATATTCCTGGCCAGGATAATGGCGCCTTCCATCCATCCACTATAGACCCCTCTACTGCCTTCCTTCATGGCTCCCCGACCCCCCAGGATCCATCCCAATTCCAGCGCATGTTCAATAATGGCGTGCCGCGGAACGCTTCCCCAGGCTTCCACAATCCAAACCAAGTGATTCCATCCAAGCGAGCGCGGCCAGAAGATGGCATGCCCATGTCGCCAAGACCAGCACCGGGCGGCGTGACGGGGTCGCGATCCCAAACCCCTCACCAGCCATTTCCAGGTTATCAAGGACCGGCCAATGGCAATCCGCAATTTCCGCAACACCCGACGCCGTATCAGCATCTTCAGCAAGGAGCGTCTCCGAATGTAACGCAGTCGCCCATTATGCAGGACTTTGATCAACAAAGCGCTCGTATGGGAACGGCTTCTCCGAGCCCCTTCTCGCCCGCTGGCCCGCACCCTGGACCCCATATGTCTCCATCGCAGTCGGACCATGGCAGCCGCGTGAATACGCCCCAGAACGCCAACTTTATGCAGGCGCAGCAGTTTGGTGGAATGACCTCGGGAGCCCCTCAGCCTTCGATGCAGGCGCCGCAGTTCAGTGGCATGCAACAAGTACCCCAAGGCTACCATCAAGCTTTAGCGAGTCAACAACAGCGGCTGCATGCCATGCAACAGACACGGATGAATCCCAATCCTGCAATGGCTGGACGGCAGGTTCCAGGAGGCATGAACCCGATGGCCAATCCTCAGCAGCCCATGGGAGGCATGAGACAAATGCCACCGAACATGCAGTCGAACATGCCGAAACCCAGTAACCCGGAAGGATTCTTGCGCTCATTGCAAAAATTCATGATGAGCCAGAATCTTCAAATGGATCCAAATCCTATTGTCAGTGGTCGTCCGATCAACCTCGTTCAGCTCTACGCCACGGTGATGAAGATGGGAGGATCGAAAAAGGTCACAGCAACGAATATGTGGCCAGCAGTTGCACATCAGCTGCAATTCCCCCAGATGCAATATCCCATGGCCGCCCAGGAGATTCAAGCCCACCACTCGAGGAACTTGGCTCCCTACGAACAAGCTTTCATCAGCTCACAGCAAAAACAAATGGCGGACCACATGCAGCAGCAGCAACAGCAACAGCAACAGCAGCAACAGCAGCAACAACATCAACAACATCAACAGCAGCAACAGCAGCAGCAGCAGCAGCAGCAGCAAGGCGGGATACCGCGGCCGCCCAGTCAATTCCAGTCTCCTTCAGTGAAGCCTAATCCAGGATTCGAGCAAGCTCAGCCAATGGCACAGTCCCCCCAGAATAACACGCCAGTTCATAATAATGCCCCAGGGAACCCAGTGAATGGATTTGCCACGCCGACGCACGCGCGAAGCCAAAGCAGGCCGGCTCAGGCTGGACATCGGCCAAGCATCTCGAGGGCGTCGCAACCACCGGTCCCACCTACTGAAGCCGCTACCGGACAGTTCGCAGCCCCTTCCCCGCAATCTGGGAAGGGTGTTACGCCTGTTCCGGGCCCACAGCAGCCAGTACAACAAGAACAAAAGCCAGAGCAGCTAGTAAAACGACCTATTGAGGAAACCTTCAAACCTATGGTTCTGACAGGAAGCCGTTTCCACGGGCCCATTGCCGTTGATGAGATGTCCCAGATTGGAGAGGATATCTCGAGGCTAAAGCCAGACGTGCCAAGCTTTGCAGAACTAGGAGTTGTTGATATCCACGCGCTGACAATGGCGCTCAAGTCCGGGATCTATGCCGAGATCCGGGTTGCCTTAGATACACTCACTACCCTTTCTGGTGAACCATCTGTTCAGATATCATTGGAGAATTGTGATGACTTGGTGGAGAGCCTGATCGACTGTGCTGAAGACCAGGCCGACCTTCTAGCACAACACACCTTGGAAGAGTCGGATACTATGATTCTACGTTCGTATGATGAAGTTACACGGGACTGCCAGTCTGAAAACACATCGCTTGCAGATGTTTCCGAATTTGGAAGTATTGAGTACGAACTAGACCGGGCCGTCGATCGACTCATCTGTATCACCACCATTCTGCGCAATTTCTCGTTCAGCGAGACGAATTTCTTACCTCTTGGTATCCCTCCTGTCGCTCAGCTGTTTTCCGCCGTCTTTCGTTACATGGGAACTCGCAAGATGTTCCTGCGGACAAGCCACAACACGTTGGACTTTATGAAGGACGCAGTGATCTTGCTAAGCAACTTGGCACATGTTGTGCAAATCCCCGGCAAGGACGAGGCGCTGAATCTCTTGATTTTCCTGTTGGCGTTCTCGCCCGAACCTGAACCCACATCATCCTCTGGAAAAGTGATGTTCACTACATTCAACTCTTCGGTTGATAGATACACCCCAGCCGCTGTTGATGGGCTTGCCAAAATGTTGGCTAGAGATGACCCGAACCGAACTTTCTTTAAAGCCATCTTCTCTGGCGATGGGTCTGCACCTCCCCAGCCGGAGTTGTTAACCCGCGCGTTTGGCCTTGCCATCTCCTGTGTCCCCGACAAAAAGCCCATGGCCGTTGTGGATGCGCGCAAAGTGTTCTTGATGCAAGGTCTTTTGTCGGCCGATGTCCTCACCACATTCGCCGATGGCTCCCTTGCCAAAGCATGGCTTGAATCAGTCGACGGGTTTGCTGTCCATCTTCTGCGACTTTCCTGCGCACTATGCACAGAACGCATTCCACAGATCAACATGCGACAAAGAAGCCAGGCCGAAGCCGACGCATATGCCTTCAGCTCGATTGTCAACCGAGGACTGGGAATTCTACGCCGACTCGCCGAAAAATCAAAGCAAGTTGACAACACCTCCCCTCTGAACATCCCATCCGGAATCCTTCCCAGAAAAGAAAGCCTGCTAGGTGCACTGCTCCTCCCCAACATCGATGGTGGTGTTGTTCGCCAACTCCTCACATATGCTCGGTTGGCGGAGTAAATGATGTCTGCATGAACCTCCAATGCGCTGGTGACAGGTTGGTTTCGTACCAGTCCCGCCTGGGAGGAATCGGATCCTCTCCCAATTAGCATATACGACAATCTTGATTTTCTCTCATGTCATTTGTACTCATGTCGACTATCAGTCTTTCTATTCTTAACTTTTGGGCGCTGGTGGGTGATGGGGATTTTATTTTCGTTCTCGTGAGATAGCGTTCTGTTCTGCTTCGGTGTACAATGCTCAAAATACCCTCGACGCAAATCGAGAGATACTTGCATCATGACCAATTGACCATTGCTTCCATTTAAATTCGTAAATATCAAATTGATGGCTTACCACAGATTCGTAATTGAACCCAGCCACATCGAGGCATCTGGCGGAAACAGAGGAGGACATGCAAGCCCTCAATTCCGTCCGCTCGCCGAAGTAGTGTCGAATTTAAAGTCTTTTAACAGGTCTGCCTGTGGCCTACGCTTTCCAATTGCACAGGAGCATACATACTACGCACAGTTATAAGTTTTCTGAATGATTTCCTGAATGGAAATGCATGTGGTCATTCAATATAAAAGCACTAGCATCCATCGAGTCGTCGAAAATGTACAGATTGGAAGTGTTACAGGTAGAGAGAAAAGCAACGGAACAAAAGCGAAAAAAAGCAGGTAGACGCCAGAAGACACGACCGGATAGAAAAGACACAAACACCAAAGGAAAAGAGAAAAAAAGGGGAAGAAAAAAACCCCGCAACGAAATTAAGGTATGCACCGAGAGGGAAGAGGAGAGAGAGATCAAGAAAATAGATATTACCCATCCACATCAGGGACCACCGTGAGCGTTCGTTTCTTTCTTTCTCCTCCCTGGTTTTCGACGTGATGTGATTCTTGCTCTCTCCGATAAGTATGCTCTGGCATACCCCTCGCAATAGGGGTATGATGATGCTTTTTGGGGGGTGAATCTTGGGCCATTCGAATGATTCCAATGAGCTCTTCAATCGCGAGCGTGTGAGATAAGATTGAGGTATTAGAGAAGAAAACAATTAGAATCTCCGCTCCTGGAGGAAGTTCACAATCTCGGGTTTGCGCCAGCCCTATACCAATATATCAGTTTCTGTCGCGACATAATTAATTGCACTGTTGAAGTGCACATACCTTGACAATGATGTGGCCAGTGAGTCGGTTGAGAGTAACATCCGGGTTAGGCTTGTTTCCATCAACAACACCCAGGGCAGAAGCTAGGTCGTTGCGGAGCGCGTCCAGATCGCCTTCGGTCTTCTGGAGTTTGGTGAGTTGCTTGGTGCCGCCGGCCTTTGTGACGATGTAGACGGGCAGATGGTTGGAGGCGGTGCGACGGACGAAATAGGGGAGGTTGGTGAGCTGCAGGGTCGGGCTGGGTTTCTTGTCTGAGTTGGCTGGGGATGAGGTCGCCGATGAAGTGGGAGATTGTTGTTTCAGGGCTTGCGCTTGACGGCCGAGATGAGCAAGGAAGGTACGGCTTTGGCGGGTAGGGAGAGTAGGGAGGGAGAACTGAGGACGATCTGAGATAAAGAGTTAGCTATACGCTCTTTTCTCTGTCGAAACGAAACCAACACGGCATATATGCGTGTTTTTTTCGTTCTCTTTCTTCTTGTCTGTTGGTTACAAGATAGTGCAAGAGCCGAGAGTTCGGCTTTGCTCTTGTAGGTCCTAACAGATCAAGAGATCAAAGATGAAACCGACCAATGAGTAACTTACGTGAAGCTTTCAACCTTGCCAGTGGACATAATGTGGAAAATGAACTACATGTCTGAACGGAAGCCACGGACTGTGCAGGGTTGACGCGAAGAGGAATGGTCGAGGCCTGCTTTCGCATGGCCGACGACGGGCCCGAGTACAGAAGAGACGGCATTTCTCACGTTCTAAAGGGCCGAAAGAAAAGACCTGGTTGGAGAAGATGGGGATATCAAGGCAGAGACTGGGAAGATCGGAGAGCGACATCTGATGCTCCTCTGCTCAGATTTTCTGCCACCGCTTTACCAACACCCACTTCCAAAAAGGGTTTAGGGCCACCGACGCCCGCACAATCTGCAAATTCTCCATTGATCGCGGTTGGCCTTTGTTATCCCCCTCTAGACCTTTAACCCCCTTCTGCCATCTTTTCAGATCCAATATGGCAGACAACGCCCCCCCCACCGCTGAGACTTTGCTCAGCGGCGCTGCTGCTCACCCGCCCAAGGCCGCCGAGGATATCGCTTCCCAGCATGATTTGCTGCCCCGACTCATCCCGTACCTCGACCGTCACCTGGTCTTCCCCCTGCTCGAATTCAGCGCTACCGGCGATGAGGAGGACAAGGAAATTACCCGGGCGAAGTACGAGCTCCTTAAGCACACCAACATGACCGACTACGTCGCCAACTTGTGGCAGGAGATCAACGATTCCGACACCATTCCCGACGAGTTTGTGAAGAAGCGCGAGGAGGTTCTGGCCAAGCTACAGCACTACCAGGATCAGAGCGAGAAGATTTCCGAATTGTTGCAGGATGAGGAGGTCGTGGGTAACCTGCGAAGCGACAAGGCCGCCAACTTGCGGTTCCTCGAGGAGCAGCACGGTGTCACCAACGAGATGGTCAACTCTCTCCACGACTACGGACGGTTCCAGTACAGCTGCGGCAGCTATGGAAATGCCGCTGAGCTGCTTTACCAGTTCCGTGTTCTGTCCACCGACAACGACAAGGTTGCCGCCGCCACATGGGGTAAGCTCGCATCAGAGATCTTGACCACCAACTGGGAGGGTGCGATGGAGGAGGTTCAGAAGGTCAAGGACTCAATTGAGACTCGCCTGTTCAACAACCCCCTGGCTCAGCTCACCAACCGCTCTTGGCTCATTCACTGGTCGCTGTTCCCCTTCTTCAACCACGACCCCGCCCGCGACGTCCTCACCGACCTCTTCTTCTCTCCCGCCTACATCAACACCATCCAGACCAGCTGCCCTTGGGTTTTGCGGTACCTCGCTGCCGCTGTCATCACCAACCGCAGCCGCCCCCACAAGCACTCCGGTGTCTACCAGAAGCAATTGAAGGATCTGATCCGCGTGGTGCGCCAGGAGGACTACGAGTACACCGACCCCGTCACCGATTTCGTCAAGGCCCTTTACGTCGATTTCGATTTCGAGGAAGCACAGAAGAAGCTCGGCGAGGCAGAGGATGTTCTGCGCAGCGATTTCTTCCTTGTGTCGGCCGCCGACGCTTTCGTCGACGCTGCCCGCCATCTCATCTCTGAGAGCTACTGCAAGATCCACCAGCGTATTGACATCAAGTAAGTTGTTCATAATGGGAAATTGGCACAGACAACAGACTAACGGGGTGTTTTTTTCTTTCTTTCTAGGGACCTTTCCGCTCGCCTCGGTCTGAACCAGGACGAGGGTGAAAAGTGGATTGTCAACCTTATTCGCGATACCCGAGTTGACGCCAAGATCGATTACAAGGAGGGCACTGTTATCATGAACCACCCCCCTCAGTCGGTCTACCAGCAAGTCATCGAGAAGACCAAGGGTGCCTTCTTCCGCACACAAGTCTTGAGCTCTGCTGTTGCAAAATAAAAACACCATGACCTTGATGTTGAAAACTGAACTTTTCTCTGTTATGTGATTTCCAACTTGTTTCTGCCTGCCCCATTTTTTTAGTGATCTCCCCGTGTAGGTCACAACACGGTTGTTTGGGGACTCCATGCAGAGTGGCATCCGGCTGGCGTTTTTTCGGGGGTCCACACTTATTTCCTTACCTCTTTAGTCTTGCAGTTCTTATGCAATCACTCTCTCCCCATATTTTCACTTCCTGTGTCGGATATTTTGCTTGACCTCTTTATGTATTGGCCATTTCTGACCCTGGAGGTTTGGACAGAGGGGGTCCCCAAAAGCAGCCAGAGAATCATGGCGCCCTCAAATCTTTGGAGGGGGAAAAAGATGAGAGATGGAGATACGATGTAGTAGACTCTTTGATCTTAGGGTCTGATTTATCTATGCTGTTACGACTGGTCTATAGAGATGAGTGAAAGATGATGTCTTTTCTGACAATAACCCTTATTCCAAATTATCCTTCTTCTTAAGCTAGGATTACGTCCCGGTTTATTATTGATACCTCGTAACTATTATAATCAGCGTTGAACATATCGATTACATTCGGTGTGTGAGCACAAGACCCGTTTGACGTCTATCTCTATTTCTTCTAGCCCCGTGCATAATTAATATGTATTCTGCTTGTCTTCTTTTTCTTACAAGCCCTAAAAGATCATCCAGCTTATAACTTGCTATAGGCTAGCAGCTCTAAACCCGAAATTCTAATGTATGCAATCAGATTTGGCGTCATAACACACTAAGAGGTACCCAAGACCACGAGAAATAAGAGCGAAGGGTATATCAGAACGAGACAAAAGGCACATGTTCCTATGGGCTCGAAACAGGGCTATCGCTATTGCCCACAAGAGCCGCTTCCATCCCAGGAGTGGTGTTATTTTTCTTCCACTGGTTCATCTGGGGGCTTTTGTAATCCAAGGATTCCACCTGGGCAAGAGTCAGGGTTTGAATATCCATGTGGCCAATGTCTCCGTAATCCACGAGATGCTCCGGGGCACTCAGAACGATTTATAAAAAGGCCAAACGGAGCAATATCAGGCGGTGATACAAAAAAGTCCTCATGATGTTGCTGGCCGATGGAATCCTAGAACGGAGCCAAGGATTGGAAAAGAAACACCGAGTCCAATGGGTGGAAGCAAGAAAACAAAATTGGCCTCAACGACCGCCTCGCGAGTCTGGTTCTGCACGCCTGCGTGCTCCGGGTTGACTAATAGGGATGATTTCATTGATGTACGGCTCAGACAGAGTTGCCGAGTTGTCGCTGCTGGAGCTAGAAGTTGAGGCGCCGCTGGTGTTGTGGGTCATTCGAGTAGCTTCCTGCTTCTCATACTCTCGGGACATTACCGCGAGATCATCAATTTGTTCCTGTTCGGAGGAGTTAGTAATGTGTAAGATTCGGTTCTCTTTCTCTTTCTCCGGTTTTCAATTCATGTTTAAATAAAGATGGGGAAAACAAACCCGCGTGAGTGGCACGCCATTGATGAGATAACCTTCGCGTCCCTGCAATTATATCTAGTTAGAATGGGTTGTATAGAGGGGAGTAGTGGAGGCAATTGCGAGACATACCTGGTAGCTATAGGGTCTAACCGTTGCACTTGGTCCAAGGAAGTACTGGATATGGCCTAGGACAATATGTCGGGACAGCCCATACCCCGGAAGCCAGTATTGCTGGACGGGAGCCATTGTCAAGGCTAAGAGGTGAGGCGTTGAGACGAGGCGAAGGAAGAGCTAGGGTCTGATGTCAGTCGACACCGACACACAAACGGTCCGTGCCTGGAAGCTCTTTGTGGGACTTTTGGCACAGATTAGAAGGACGAGACATGGAGTATAAATAAGTCGGTTGATATCCTGGTTCAACAAATAACAATCTCACTAGAGACGGAGACGAATAAGACAAATCTCTATCGGAAATGCACTAATTGCCAGCCCCGACCCTTCGGAGAATATGGTCTCACAACAGGTCAATGGCAGAGGGGACCGCGCATCCCCCCTTCGTCAAACAGCACGATCCACAAGGTCGGCTGCACATAGGCAAATGAAAACAACCGGCCACCCACGAATGCGGTAACTCTCGAGCGAGTCTCCACGGAAGGCGGCAAAAAGAAGAAAAGGAAACTAGCGGAAAGCCACCAGAAACGGCCCAGGTCCTATGCCCTCACCTCAAGAGGAGGGTTCATGTCGGAACGTTCGGGGGGCGGAGGACAAGAGAACCATCCGCCTCACTTTATCAGCCAACGAGGCCCAATCCTTTTTTTTCCCCTTTGCTGTAAGTCAATTTGGAGCTTCTGGCCGTCAAAACAGAACGGGAACCTAGTCTGTCCACTTTCCTCACTCTTTACTACCGAGGACCCGGTCTTGGACGAAAGTGAGGCTTGCATGGAGAAGCATTCGCCTCGAATCAATCCCATCAATCCCAGGGCGTGTGGAATTGGAGTATTCCCCTAAAAAGAGTGGACAGTGCACCTGTAGGAGCATTTGGAAGAGGAAGGACATGTGTTCTGACGTCTTCTTTTCTCTCACCGTAGATTCTCAAACCTATGCAGCGCCAAATTGGCTCTTAAAGCGGTGGTGTCGTGGCACCACGGATTGTGGCCTTGGAGTCGCGGGGGCCACTGAGCTGCAGCGAGGACATCTGCAGCTCTCGCTTTTAGGGCATGAACTCGCTTTAAGGGTATGCATTTTGAAATTGCCAAGATCATATTATATAAGGGGTCTTTGGTTGTCGAAACACATGGTAGATGGAGACGAGTTTAGGTGCGGGAACAACTGGAGTTCCCCTCTCGAGGTTATATATTAATCGATTCCAGTATCATTTGGCCAAGGATTGTGTGTGTGTGTGTGTGTGGTATCTCCAATCGACAGAGATGTGATCAAGAGGTTCCTCACAGAGGTTAGTCACGATGTGACAGAATATGCATGAACGCCTTCACGTCCGTTAGCCCGGATGCTCTACATGGGGTTAAAACCAATTTTAGTTCACAAGGCCAACGCTTCATGTAATATTCTCTAGTCTTTTCATAATTCGTCCGACATGAGCGAAAACAAAATATCTCGCATCGACGTCTTTACTGCGGAGGCACATATGGGGTCACCAACATCTCACTGAACTTCTCCAACTTCTCCTTCCCACGCACTTCATCAACAAGCATTGGCATGCGGACCACATTGAAATCCTCATAGAGCTCCTCAATCTGATCGAGGTACTTCTTCTGCATCTTTCTCCGGGCAGTGCACTGTTCGCAACCGCTTCCTTCCTTGGGGAACAGCAGCTGGTTGACAACGATTGCGTGGGTGTCGATGTTGTAGCTGGTCAATTCCTGGATCATACGTTCCGTCTCGTAGAGAGACAAGAACTCTGCAATGCATACACACACGAAGGTGGTCATGTCTGGATTCTTGAATTGCGTGTTGACCTCGCTAATAGTCTCCCGCAACGACTCCATCTTCTGCAGCAACTCATCCATATTCTGACCCCCGGGTAGACCGCCACGAGCGCCCAGAATCGAGTTGAGCATCGGGCCGAACTGGGTGGAGAGCTGTGAGAGCTTGGCTAGCGCCTTCTCGAGCACGGTGGGGAATTGGAGGAATCGAAGGGTGTGGCCGGTCGGCGCGGTATCGAAAACGATGACTTCGTAGGAGAGCGACTTGACTTGCTTCAGGACTTCGGCGAAGGACATAGCTTCGTCAACACCGGGGATCTGTAATCACCAAGAGTTAGTTAGATTTGACACGTAGAGTATATGAGCGCGACAGTAGAATAAACACTTACACTGAAAGCGAGATCCTGCATCATGTTTCCCATGCCCAATCCCGCCATGGGATCTTCGGCCTGACCATCTCCGGTGGCGAGCAGATCCTGGATGCTCCCGTTGGGGTCGATCTCCATCGCGCTCAGGTTTGAGAAGCCATCGATGAGGCGGGCCTCCTTTCCGAACTTTTGACCGAAAGCGTCGCTCAGGTTGTGTGCGGGATCGGTCGAAATGAGGAGGACGGATTTGCGGACTTTGGCTAACTGGATGGCCAGCGAGCACGAGGTGGTGGTCTTACCAACACCTCCTTTTCCTCCGACGAAGATCCAACGGAGAGTGTTTTGGTTGAGAACCGACTGGAGCGTAGGCTCCATGTCGAGGTCGTCGCCATGTACCACGGCGGAGGACATTGTGTATGATTTGTTGAAGTTCTAAATGTTGCGAAGTTGGGAAGTTCAGGGCCAAGTTGCCCCGCAAAATCGAACTTTCCGGAAGACAAGACTTTCACATCATACATTGACAACTTTCTCTTTTGGGGGGTTTTTTTACAATTACAATATCATTGACCTTTGATGCAATATACGATGCACTTCCCCCATTCTTTTACTAATTGGAGAGGTTTCTATGGCATTTGAAGGTCTTTGTCCTCATCCACAGAACTATCCTAGTTAAGTTGTCATAGAGATAATGTGCTATTTACTACAAATAACCACAGAAAGAAGAAGCGAAGAAGCTATACAACATACATGGATATATGCGCGAGTCATAGATCCCCAATTGATAGCTGCATGGCACTCTCCGCAGCCATCGGTATCCTCCGATGAACCTTTGATAGCAATGTAGAGCTCCCCCTTCCAGCATATTCTTCTTTTTCCCTTTTTCTCTTTCTTCCCCCTATATTCCATCTTTCCCTTTGAATGAATGGACTTCCCTCAAAATAACCAACAACTTGGTCGCACCACGAACCGCCTGGCACTTTATCAGCAACAAATCTCCCCCGCCCCGCACATCAAAGACTCAGACCCAATCAACCAACCAACCACCATGGCAGCGCGCGACCCCATCACCTGCCATTGCCTCAACACTTTATCAGGAACACCTGCAGCCAACCTGCCAGTGACCCTGACCCTCCTCTCCACCACGACATCCGCCGCCAGCGGCATCTCATTCAGCGCAACCACAAACGCCGACGGCCGCGTCGCCAACTGGACACCAGTCGGAACAAGCTCACTATCGGTCCCTGCTATCTTGGCTGCCCTGCCTGCTGCAGACAGCAAGACCGACTGGTCTGTGCGCTTTGACGTGGGCCCCTGGTACGAGGCCCAGGGCGTCGAGAGCTTCTGGCCAGAGGTTGAGGTTAAGTTCACTGTCAAAGGACGTGGTCGTGAGGGTGTAGAGGGCTGGCGCCATTATCATGTTCCTGTCCTCCTGGGTCCTTGGAATTACTCGACTTATCGGGGTTCGTGAAGTTCATGTATTAATGAGGGCTCTTTTTGAGGATGAGCTAGGAAATATAAATATTTCGACCTTTCCAGGGCTGGATGGATAAATCCAATGGACTATCTGTGTTAGAAAGATGTCATTTTGAAGCATTAATCTGGGCTGTGTTTCATTGCTCGGTTGTCGTTTGAAAGCGTTACGCTTCTAGATATGTGTAGGCTTTAGGGTGTCGGTTTGTCCACCTGGGCAGGTGAGGATAACAGCTTTCTAGCTTGGAAGGTTCCTCCAGGGCTACATGTATTGAATAATATAATCCTGAGAGAGGTGAAGTTTAGAGAACTACTATGGAATATTAGATACATATGTACTATCTGACTAACTCTGGAGGAAAACAGAGGAGAGGAGAAGAGAAGAGAAGGAGCTAACTACATGTATATATGTACTCTGGAAGTCCTGGGTCCACATTGGGTCACGCGATACCACATGATCACCCACTCCAACACCCAGCACTTGGACATGCGTGAGGGCCATGGCACACCCCGTATGTGTAGGCCATGATAAACACGAAGATGAGAAGCACCTTCGAGGCGAACATTCACACAGTTCATCAATTGGCAACAGGGGAAGCGTATGTGACCCCGAAGTTGACCGTTTGCAGGGTATCATAATCCCGCGGGTTAGCGCGGTTTCCGAAGATCTTCAGCGCACGCACAACTAGTGAGTAGTTGCCTGCCGGAACATACGAGCCGTTCGCGAGCACACCCGTGAAGGAAGTGGCCCTAGGTCCAGTAAGACCCTCAACACTCCGGGGAAGGGCCGTCTGGGGGGCAGATATGGGGAGGATAGTGCTGCTGTTGGCCGCCTTGACACCGATGAGGAGCAGATCCGTGCCCATGGAAAGCTTGGTCTGGAAGATGGGGTAGCTGGTGTTCGCTCTGTTAATGGGGTCATTCTCGCCTGGCAGAACGAACTGCTGGTTGGCCTGAACACGCTTCTTGGTGGTGCTGTCGATGATGTAGTTGCTGCCTTCGGTGGTGTCCAGAATGGTCACGTTGCGCATGGCGGTGGCAACGCCCAGGTAAGGGACAGAGAAGGAATCATCCGAGGTCGTTCCATTGAAGGTGATGTATCCGCTATACACAGGGATGCGGCGGGGGACGAGATCCTTAGGGGGAGTGGCAGTGACCGTCAGCACAGTGGACTCACCAGCGGCGACAAGCACGCTAGATGAGCTGAACTTGAGCGAGGCGCCATCGGTAGTGCGGTCCACGAAATCGCCGCGCTTGTTCTCCTGGGGAATAGAGCTGTTATTGGAAAGCGTGTAGACGGTAGCAGCGCCGACGTGACCGATAGTGTAAAGGCGCGGCGAGGAGCCGGTGTTGTTGATGCGTATATAGGCCGGAGCGATGTGCTCGGTGTCATTGAACGAGATGGTGCTCACATTGAACTGAGTGGTGGTGTGCACAAGCTTGTAGGCATCAATAAGACCACCACCCTGCTGCGCCACAGATCCTAGGAAGGGTGATGCGGTGACGCCGTCATGGAACACATTAGGGTTGGCAGTGGTCGACAACAGAGACTTGATCTCGGCAGGGGTCACCTTGCCCTTGCCGCGAGCCTCCATCAGGAGAGCAACGCAACCAGCGACGAAGGGAGTCGCCATCGAAGTACCACTCTCCACAGCGTAGCTGCCCTCGAGGACCGGCCATGTCGACAGCATGAATCCACCGACTCCGGAAACCGCTGTCATAGGGAGGATCTCGTTGCTGGGACCCCACTGGCTGAATTGGCTGATTTGACCGCCCGATTCAGGGTTGGTCTCATTAACGAAGATGGTCTTGGCGTACTTTTCGCTGATCATGTGTAGGGTGATATTGGCCCCAGATGCGGCAAGCTTCACCCAATTCTCGCCGGTCTGCGTGGACACCATTCCCAAGCCCGTGAGAGCAGGGTCCTGGAAGGGGAGCTCATAGGTGCCAGGCTCCTTATTGTAAAACAGGATATTCTTTGCACCGGCCTTGATAGCGTTGGCCTGCTGCTCACTGCCGTGACAACCACCGTAACGGATCAGAACTATCTTATCAGAGATGTTCGGGTGGTTGCCCGTCCACGGCTCACATGAATCGCCAACGACCGATGCGTTGAGACTGCTAGGATATAGAGTATAGGTGCCATTCTTGAAGTCGGAAGTACCCGCCAGCTGCCAGCCAAATTCTTTGGTGGTGTTTCGGGTTGAGTAAGTAGCTCCGGTTAGCAACAGAGGGCTATACAAGTTGTTGACAGATCCGATACCAATGCCGGCAGAGTTGTCGATACCATTTGAGGCCAAGAACAGACCGTAGCTTCCGTCATTGCCAGTGGCAACGAAAGAGGGAAGGCCAGCCTCGGCCAGCTTCTGGATCAATTGTCCCCATGGCTCATCGCTCCAGCCCTTGTAGGTGCCGAAGGAGGCGGAAATGATATCGGCTTTGTCTTCATAGGCCTTCTTGAAAGCAGCAGTGACGATATCAGTACCAGTTTTCACGACCTGCTTTCCAATGACCTTGTAATGACCCAAAGTCACATTAGGGGCCACGCCAGTGAAGTTATATGGGTTGGGCTGAGCGGCAATCAGTCCAGAGACATGAGTTCCTTAGCTAATTAGCGGAACGATCTATACCGAGGGTCTAGATGCGGACATACCGTGTCCACTGTGGCCTTCCCACGGGTCGGTCGTGTTGTCCAAAAAGTTGAAACCAAATTCCACCAAGCAGCCTTTGCCAAAGCAGCCTCCGAGAGCGGGATGCTTATAGTCAATACCTGAGTCCACCACTGCCACGCGGATACCAGTTCCCAGGTAACCTTCCTGACGTAGCTTATCAACTCCAGCCATGACGTGAGGGTAGTCGTTGCCTTCGTGGCCCGCGGTGTCACGGCGCCGGAGACCGTGGGAGGCAACCCTACGGCGGGCCGGCGTGCCATGGGCAACGCTCGAAACCTCTCGCTGAGGCGGGTGCAGCTCCCGGACGGGGGAGACCTTCTTCACCATAGGCCATGAGGAGATCCGCTTGACAGTGGTAGCCTCGTTCTGGTTATTGTCTAGCAGGGTGAAGGAACTGCCGTGGAAAAGAGCGAAGGACAGGTCGTGGTTAAGACTAGCGGGGATGCCGTGGTCATTAAGAGTAGAGAGGAAGCTGGCAGACGACTATATAAACTAGTGAATTAGTATAATTGGTGAGTCTTGAAGGGACAGAATTGACGCGTTGACGGACAGTCTTGGAATCAGCAAACTCGATAATGTATTTCTGGGCGATAGGGTCACCATGTCCTGCCAAAGCCACCGGCAGGGCTGCTAAGTAGACACCCAGTCCCAGCCATGACCAAAGAGGGGCCATGTTAAAAGAAAAAAATGAATGGCTGGATCCAAAGAATCCGAAAAGAGCGATTGGAAACAAATGAAATCAAAGAGTGACGAGGTTGAAAGAAAAGAAAGAATGTCTACAAGCAAGACATGCAATATTCGATACTAGGAAGACTTAACCGGCCATTGGCCATTGGGCAGCCCCTATTTTATTCTCGTAAGTTGTATATATACCGAGAGGACGGTAGAGCTTCAACAAACTTTGACGGTGTTTTGCGATCTAAAGCCCTTGGCGGGGCCGGATCTCGTATATTGATTATGATCGGCGTAGATAGTTGCTGATCTGCGTCGATTTAAGTTAGCGCATCAAGCCCAGGAAAAAGATTCCGATTGTGAACCTTGGAATGATCAGGCTGATCGCATATACAATGTTGTATACCGGAAAACCTCGGAGTGGGTCATTTAAGGATAAATCATGTTCTTGCTCACTGACCATGATCGTGGCCTCTCTTTTCTCTAAATACCCTGGGATGCCTTGGTATTGGATCCATATGATTTGCTGACGGATAGATGGCTCTTGATGGTCCATAAGTAATGAAACAGTTGGTGGCTACGGAGTATATATATTTTACAAGTGAGAAGTGGGTAGAAGCAGAAAAAAACGCTTCACCAATATATGGTTTTCAATGGTGTGTCACCCAAGGTTTTTCACCTTTTAGATGTCTTTTTAGATGTTTTCTCGGATTCTTTTTTAGATACTCTTCCCCCCGTTTTGTGTTGGTAGAATATAGACGGTGAAAATGGCATGAAATGTAAGCTTTGCTGTTTTTTGCTTAGGGAAAGAACCTGTCACGTTCTTGCCCTTTCCCAGAATCAGCTGACTGCCAAAATAACTCTTCATGAACACCCTGTTTCTCTGCTCTACTTCTAAGTTTGTTTTCGCCTTCTATTTCCCCTTGCCGTCATGGCTGACTCGCAGCTCCCAACGTAAGTGTAGATTATCCCCCTATCCGTTAGAATGTACACTGACATATGATATAGTCCTTTTTGCACCTAATGCCACCAGCCTGGTCATACTGAGGCCAGCTGCAATTGGCTCGCCCGTATGGGCGTGCTAATCAGGCACGCATTGGCCCCCGTTCCCAAAAGGTCATGCCTTGGTATCCTTCAAAAGGACTTGTTGATTTGGAGCGTTACTGGTATAGGCCAACAAGCGCAAGGCCCGCCGGGGCATCAAGGGAAATGCCTAGAACAAGAAAGGTATGCCCTGTTGTTTTGTTACATTGGACCATCCATCTATGATACAAGCACTCCCTCCCTTGCTATTGCTACGTGCCTATTGTTGTGTCCAGCCTTTGAGATAGACGACTAATTTCTATGATTAGCAAAGTCTTCCAAAGGAGAAGGGTACGCGTGAGATCCTAAGCAATTCTCTAGTGTGAGCGACGAAAGTGCTGACCCACATCGTCTGCTTAGCGGTTGCCAAATAGAATACCTCCGAAAGGAGGCAGAGGCAGAAGCCTATGGCGGAGAGGGTGAGTTTTTTCCTATGCAGAATATCGAGTCGGTTTCATGCCCACAGGAACAGATATTAATCATTATAAATCAGGCACCACCCCCTGTAAAATGATCTCTCTCATTGATTGAGAATGCTGGGCCCGTTCGAACGGATACGCTGCGTTGGGTCTGAACCTTCGTTCTCCGAGTGGGAAAGATCAACTGCCCCCAGAACCCCGACAGCGAAAAGAACGACAAATCGGCAACCAAAGCTCGCGAGTAACGATGGCCCGAGTGGGAGGCGTCGAAGACCAGCTAAGGGGATCATTCAGCCCACTATCTAAGTATTTACCCTACAGATTTTTATATGGCGACTCGCATCGACCCCGAAAATCCCATGATCTACCGAGGCGAAATATTTTGCCGGCATCCAGATTACGCCTCGAAGAAGGAGACCCGATATACCCAGAAGAGTATTCCCTGGGAGCACTATCAGGAGGAGCACGGTATCCAATACCGACCATTTAGCCCGGTACTTGGAACTTTCGATAAGCAGCCTCATATCGATAGACTGCAATGGATTGTAATCTGTGTGCAACGTGGCAAGGAGCAAGCTGGCGCCGCACTTGTTCCTCAGAAATGGTGAAGAGCCTTTCTGGAAAGCAAAGCTAAGGCTCGGTCTCTGTTTCTGTTCATCTTATTTTTCTTGTATTTCTCAAGAGGCGATCACGGTCCCCACGCATGCATTTGTTACTCTCCGAACGACCCTTCCAACGCCTCTGCTTCGAATTGCAGATTGGTATGGAAATTCCAAGAGGAAAATTGCTAGACGATTCAAAAGACACCCTTTGGCAGGCCGGGTTCCAGGCACCTCAAAAAGTCAATGAACTCTCATCACTTTAGAATGTCGGACCCGTCCAAATACTTGCCATTGGCGAGGCAACACGGTTTAATATAATTGATGGATCCGGACCGAAAGCTCAAGACGAGTAATCCCTGAAGACCAGCCATGCCCCCAAATGCCACTTCGGACGGTAGAGCTCCCCAATGCTGCTCGTAAGTAATTCTCGTTCAGACCTTTTTAGGTGGCTTGATGCTTTTACATGGCTGAGGCTAATAGCTGATAGGGGAAACGGTCGATATCACCGAAAGGACTTATATCTCACCACTCCACGTTGACTACCCGGTTCCTCGTCGATCAGCCAGGTTGCAGCTAGTCTTCGTTGACTACCTATCTCACCACTACTCCACGTTGACCAACGATTCACCCATCAGAGCCAAACATGTCGTCAAACATCAGGCCAGCCGCAAAGGCAGGCATCCCAGTCGGCAAAGTGTCGAAAACTCGCTCCTACCGTTAGTCCTGAGATAATCGAATCGGTTATGAATTTTTCGAATATGCTGGCGGATATGAACAGCGATGATCCTGCCGTACGATCCCATGCAATTTCTATACGGATTCCACTCTACCTATAAAGAGACTATCTTCTTACGCTGAATCCAGGTCAACAGAGCGTGGAGAGTGTAATACTCCCCTTATCGACAATAGCAACACTGGTCTTTCAGTCAGGCAATGCTTCTAGTATTTGTCATGGCTAGCAGCTGCAGGGCAGCCTTTTCCAAACAGCACCCAAAGCATCAGTTGATCGTACATGTCCGATGTTTTCGCTTGTGGTGTCTTTGAGACTTCGTCTGTTTTTTTCTCTCCTCTCTTCTTTTTTACCTAATTCATATCTTTAATTTTATCCTTTTTCGTGTGTTTTTCTTGTTTTCCTTAGTAGTAGGAACCTCATGAGTCTAATCCTTTCGATTATATGAAGAACTAGTTATGACGACAACACTCTTTCTATCTTTAACTAATTGTACTGCGGAGTAAGTCCTCATCCACTGAAGGGAGTTTTGATATTACAGGTGTGCTTGGGTTATGCCCTCAAGAGCTCGAGTTGGTAGCCTACATATATATATGTACTCTTAGAGCTTGTTATCTATGAAGCAACATCATCTTGACCGTGCAAGTTTCTGCTATTAACTGCCGGCATATATTGAGTTTAAATGTAATTGAATGTTTTACCAAAGGCCGGTATTTTTAGAGTGGGGCCTCTACAATATTTTATACTATTTGATATGAGTTCGTTCTCTCAAAAGACATATAAGCTTTCAATATGCGTCAAGGGCCTTGTTTCAAGTTAGTCGTCAATTCCACCTAAACCGTCCTGTTTAACAATCGATAAGTGATGCACATACGTACAAAATCAAGGTTGAAGGATACCAAGACTGTGGGGAAATGGCTCCCCCGCTGTGGGAACTGCCCTGTCCTCAAACCGACGAAATCGCCCAATGGCATAGTAGTTAAAGGGCTACTCTGGGCTAGACTACTATTTGCAACGATTTTCCTAAGGAATGACGTTCAAATTAAGATTGTTAAGTACGGTGTATATAATGGGTATGTAGATAGGGTATTACTTTTAGGGAATTGATAAGTACACCTCCTTATCTGTAACTACGCGCTCGAAATCAGTTTTACTACTTTACTTTCTTTGTTTATATCTTTGCTTATATCCTAGAACAATGCTTTTCTTGCTTTTTCATACTGACTCTGTACATAGGAGAGAAGAGATGGCTACTTCGCGAATATATTAAGCCACCGAGGGTTGCTGTGCTTGCTTTGCCATTATTGAAACTCTTCGTTGTCTAGAATCTAGTAGTATAAGTCTTAAAGTTGCCCTCTATTGGTGTTCTAAATACGATCTTTATCATGGTGAGGATTGGTCGTCCGCAGATCCCGTAAGGACGCTTGATCTAATAATATTTCCGAGTGTACTAAGGCAATCACTTCGATTAGTCGCGTTCTTATAGAGTTGTCGAATACCATGGTGAATACATGGCTGAATACAGGGTATTTTACCCGGAAAATCGTCAGTGGGCATTTCCCGCACAAAAGTGCATATTATGTTTACTAAGCATGTCCGCTGAAACTCCTGTTTCCTGCATTTTTGTTAGTTAGAAAATAACACATTTATGTACGGAGTACTACGTAACGTACAACGAAGTGCCGGACGCGATCTCGAACTTATATACTACGTATACTCCGTATGCATACAACGCGTACGGACCCATCCATGGATGGATACCTGTCCACTGGACCAGGTCCACTACGCACTGTCGCTGATTAATAATTCACAGGGGCCCGGGATGTAACAGGTCGTACAAGCTCTACATGTACTAATATGTACAATTATATGTTGTACAGTATTTGAAGATCAAGATATCCTACTACTAGTAGAATTCCAGTGGCAACATACCTAGGTAGATAGAACTCTCATGTGCCATCAATTGCGTCATCATTTTCACCGCATTCTTTGGGTTAGGTGAAATCCCTCGCCTTGGCACTGGGGGATTATTTCCTCTGATTGGCTAAAATAGCGCATATGACCCACAGCGGGAGAGATTTCTGTCGTCACCGTGACATAATGAATAATACCTGGGAGGGCTGGGATGACCAACCTTGGAACCCCCGTATCAAAGATGCAAGCATCGACTTTCTACCAGTAGGTGCGACGATTGCGAAGAGTCAACTGATTATTGCACATTTCTTTTTGTCCTTTTCGAGCCAGTGATATTGGACCAGATTTGACTCCGCTCTCCAAACTGGCAAATGAAGATTGACCTATTCAACCGATTCTCCACCTATGGTCAAGGTCCAAGGTAAGGGTGTCTTTTTATGGTGTAGAATGTTGAGATGGGAGAAGGAAGCACCTCATTCGGACAGCACAGGCAAATAGAACGTAGATATGTATGGATGGACAGAAGATAGCAGAGTTCTATGTACCAATAGCAACATTTGGATATTGGACAAATGCCTCCCGGTGGAAACGAAGGCCGAACCTGATTCGGAGAAATGCAGTTACAGTCATGTATGTTGTATTGGCATATAATTTGTTGTCCCATTTTTAAATTACGGTACCTAACGGTAATGGTGGTTTTTTTTTTCATCTGCCAAAATCCCCAAAATCCCTAAATTTCATCATATCCCTCTTCCCCCTACGTCACTCTCTTCCTCTCTCACTCTCACTCTCACTCTCGAGAAGAAGCCATTGTTTGTTTGGCTTTGCGGTTTTTATATCACATTATATTCGAATAAGCCTCGTGATGTCTGCTGCGGTCGCCCCAGCTGTATCGACTCTTCGATCAAACAATATGTCTTCCCCCATGGACTCGAAGAAGGCAGAAAAAGAAGGTTCGTGTCACGCTTTCCCTACAGTTTTTTGCCTCGCATTTTTCTAGTACTTTTGCTTTACAAGTGATATTCCATTTATTTTATGGATCTTCCATTTCATGTTGTTCTGCATTATACTTCCAGAAAAGAAAAAAAATGGTCCCCTTTTTGGTTTGGTAATACGCCACTGTCCCCGATCCTTAAATTCCCCAAGTCCTTTGCCGTCGCGATGACTTCACCCACTGGCGTCATTGATTTCCTCCCCACCAACACATGCATCTTCCACACACAATGAAGCCCCCGGCTAGATCCCAAAACCGCAGTGGTACCTATTTGCGATCGCATTAATCCTTGGCGCGTTGCTAACTCTATCTCCTCCGCCAGACTCGCAGGCCGCGTCTTCACAGAAGGACCAGAAATCTAACGTAGAGACTCAGACCTCGTTGGCGCCGCCTCCACGACCGGGTGCGCCTACTGCGTCTGATACTCCGGACTATTTCAATTCCATGCACAACCCTTTCTCGCTAGAGCCCAACCCATTTGAGCAATCGTTCGGAGGGAATCCAGCCGAGACCCCAGGAAAATCGCTTCTTCCCTCTGTCGCTGCCCTCACTTCACCAGCCTTACCTGGAACAAGTTCTGCTAGTGGTTACAATTGGAACAACTCCCTGCGCTCGGGACCTCTTAGTCCGGCTATGCTCCCAGGGCCTACCGGCCCTAATGACTACTTTGACAGCATCGGCCGCGGCTTCCCTACCCCGAACGAGTCCTCCCTCCGCACAGGACTGACACCTGGTGGTGGAGGCTCTATGTTCCCTGCCCCTAGTCCTAACTCACAAGCTCTCTTGCAACAACTTCAGAACGGCGGCGCCACTCCTTCCACTATTGATTTCCATCGCACCGCACTTGCAGCAAAGAAGAACAACTCGAATGCTCCCACCTCCAACCCCAACGAGCAGGAACAGGCTGCTGCCAATATGGATGTAAAACCAGCTCGGCCCGCTGACTTCACTCAGCATGATGCGGCTGATGCGGCGAACGGACTGTTCATGCTGGCGAAGGGTGGCCAGGCGAACAATGCGCCGATGAACCATGCCCAAATGTCAAATGATACTCGTGCTGCAGCTGCCCGACGTGTCTCCCAGAACACCAATGGTACCAGTGCCGAGGATGCATCTGACCACGAACCCGCTAAACCCGCCAAGGGCAAGGGCAAAAAGAACGCCCCCAAGGCCCCTGCTGCCAATAACCGCCGTAAGGCCGAAGAGGCCCCGAAGGGATCCAATAAAAGGGCGAAAGTCAACATGGAGATGCCTTCGGATATGGATGATGAGGACGATGAGGATGATGATATGAAGCAATTCCCAATGGATACCAAGAAGATGACTGATGAGGAGAAAAGACGCAATTTCCTGGAGCGTAATCGGTATGAATGACCTACCTTATATATCAGGAGCTTGGGATGCTAACGTTTGCACTTCAGTGTCGCGGCTTTGAAATGTCGTCAACGGAAGAAGCAGTGGCTGGCTAACCTTCAAAACAAGGTTGAGCTTTTCACCTCAGAGAATGATGCCCTTACTGCGACAGTGACTCAGCTGCGTGAAGAGATTGTCAACCTCAAGACTCTTTTGCTGGCACACAAAGATTGCCCGGTCTCTCAGGCCCAGGGGCTCGGCCCCCTTATGATGAACGGCATGTCAGCCGGATACGATCACCATGGGTATAATATGCCGCCTAACATGGGCATGCAGCCCGGTGGCATCCCTACACAGGGCATGCGTCGATGAGAAAACTTTCTTTGTTTCTCATCTCAAAATACCTATCTTGCTTTTTGCCGCATGCAGGAAATACAGTTCACTGCTTAGACCCGGCGGTTGATCTCTTCTTCCTGGGAGTTTATTTTTCCTCGCGGTTTCTTTCGGCTAAGGCTCCGCCGATTGTTTTGGCATGGGCAGGTGTTAATGATCCTCATGACTCAAAAATGGACGGACTAACTTGGTGGTCTGGAATGACCTTTTTTTGAGGGTGTGTCAATCCGGCGTATGAGATGCTTTCTTCTTTCTATCTATGGCTGTTTCGAGGTTGATGTTCTGCTTTATGACGTTCCCCCTTTCCCCTGTTGTATTTTTTTACCCTTTCGCTTTTCTCTTTCTTTAATCCTCCTCCTTGATGGCTCGGAGGAATTTTTACCTTTCGCTTGTCTAATACTTGAGGGCACACCGGTGCATTGTTTGTGTTCCCAAATGTGGGTTGCTTGTGTCGAAATACATGATTCCTGGGCGGCGTACGGATGGCTTTGTGATTTTTTGATGTGTTTGACTAGTTTCCTTGAACCAGATGGTTGGGCAAATGAATCGACAATCGCTTTGAAAGTGTGTTATACATTGGCGTAAATCTTCATTCATTATACGCTGGGTGTAGAGCGAAGTCATTGCGCTTCATGATTGCAGCTCCTACCTCTGGGATCTATAGGAATTATATCTTCAATCATATATCATTCATTAACGTTCTATAGTAAATCTTTGAAAGTCGTGTATATGTCTACAATCAGAAAATTCTCGTCAAACTCGGCTTCATCCACATGGGTTTTTCACACGTGTGGTTTGCCCGCCAACTTTGGATTTTGTCGTTGTCCCATCCAGCTGTGAATTGGTCGGCAATCTCCGGCTTGCTGGCAGCCCCAAGTCGTAAGCTCTGCACAAACACACAGGCTCCAGCGATGTCATAAGTGTAAGACATACACCAATCCCTGTCATGGCATGTCTGACGACAGGCTTCTAATGACTCATGCTGGGGTAGAGTATCAGGTTGTTCGATAATTCCACCCCAGGCTCCATTATCCCATCCTTTTCGCTCTGGCAACTGTCCCAGGCGATGGTAGTCTATCAAGTCTGCGTATAGCAAGGGGTTCTGAATTGATATGAATTAGCATGTGTACCACCAAGTAGGATTCGGCAAAACGAATCATACCGTTCTATCCCGCCCATCCTCCCAGTCTGCCAGCCCGATCATATCACTCAATTGTGATTTATGCATACTGATCGCAGGCTGGCACCAGTGATGCTTGTCCCCAAAGGGAATCGAGTCCAGCGGGTGCGCATTGAACATCGGCCACATCCCAGACAACTCAATGCCCTTTTCATACAGCGCAAACCCAAGCACAGAATCGCCACAGCAGTCATCCTTCACCACCTGCATATACTGTTCGCTGAGCGATTGTCCAATAAACTGCCCATGTTTACCAATCTCCCGCGCCACCAATGTATCAACCGCAGCTCTGGACAGCACAAAGCCCGAGCCACCGTAAGCAAACCAGTTGACTTTCCCATCACCGATATTGCGGCCCGGCGCGGGTGATCCCATATAAAGAGGGAATGATGAGTCGAACTGTTCCAGCATCCGGAACAGGTTATCCCACACGAAGTAAGTATCCGTCTCGAGAAAGACGTACCACTCCGCGCTAGGGTTCGTTTTCTTAGCCCGTTCCACCATGGGCAGGAACTTGAATCGATCGAGTTTCCATCCCGCTGCGCCGTCGATATTGCTCTCCCCGCGCTGTAGCGCATCGTACCCTTCGAACTCCGGAATCAGATTCCGGGCTGAGGGTGGGAGATCGGCTAGGATATCGTGCACACGATGCCCGTGGAGCTCGGTCTCCTTGTCTGATACAACTAGTAAGTTGGAAATGCAGCGAGTTACAGAGGCCATGTGTGTGTCGACTCGTTTTGCGTTTTCGGTTGCGCTGGTTTTCAAGATAATCTGAACGCGCGATAGCACGTCTGATGGGAAAGTGTCACAGGTTGCATTTTGCGAGCTCTCGTTGTCATCGCTGTCATTGTCATACTTGGATTTCCGGAATCGGGTGCTCGTTTCCCATGTCCAGTAGTCTTTCTCATCCGCAAGCTTGTCCTTCGCGCTAGAGGAGATGTCTTCTGATAAGCCCCCCGAATATAGTGTGAGGAGGAGGATGGTCGAGACGGTCAAGAACACAGCAAGTAATTTAAGCTTTGCGTTTCCTAGAACTCTGAAAAATGGCCGCGCGGTCGAAGAGGTAGATGTGCCTGTGTCCATATTGGGAGATTGCACATTTGGTTTATTAAAGCTTAGACATGGAAAGAGAAAAGGAAGAGTATAAAAAGAATAGAGATAAGGTAAAAAAAAATATAATCAAATAAGGCTTTGTTAGGGCCCCTGGGGCTCCAAATCCTACAGATCCTGTATTAACGACTCATGGACGTCACTATAGCGGGTCTGCTCTAACTTACCCCAAATCATGGCCCTCGTGTTGCGCACACCTTGGCTGCAGCTTGACTGTGCATTTGCTTGGCCTGAACCCAGCAATCTCTGGAATTTAGACCGAAAGATGCAAGTCCTTTGCGCATATTCCATGATTGGCCTGGGGAAGGCCACACTCCGGTTTTCTTAAACTGTGTAGGTGGACTCATGTGCAGATATATAATTGTTGTAGGGAAACTCCTCGAGGGAGAAGCCTGCAAGTTAAGTCAGGGAAACTATATTGCAATGAAAGGACATGGAGTTGCAAGCCTCAAGATGTGTTGTAGCAACAACCTTGGACTTTTATATGACAGGGATGATATATCGGGTAAGGGCAAACTCAGATAGCGATAACTAGTTATGGCGATAAGACTCAGCTGCCTTAGATATTTGGCATCAAGGCACGCCAAACATCACAAACACAAACATTCAAGCTTCAAGCTTGAGTCCGCGTTACCTCTATTGAGATGCAATTTGGAAGGTTCATCTTAGACGTGCGTTGAAATTCTACAGTTTAGTGTCAGGCTTGATTCGCGATCTTCTTCCCCGAAACCGGCTGCCTGACCGCGATCTCTTGCCCAACAATTCCTCCGCAAACAAAGCACCCACAGACGCCAACCACGAGTGAACAGATACAAGACACCGAACAATTCGCCCACTAGGGCACCGGGCAGACAATGTCAAACCTAGCCCGAAACCCCGCGCGCGCGGGCGCCGCTTAGACGACGCCCTCTCCCAGCTAGTCGATGGCCTGACCCCCGCGCTCCCGATCTCCGCCATCCAAGACGAAGACTACTCCGACGCAGAGGAAGCCCTCGCCTCAGCCGAAAGCCGCCGACACCATGTCCTCATGGAGCGCGCCTGGCGCATTCTCGACACCCACGCTAGCACCAACGCCCCAGACCCAGGATCACCAGCGGGGCTTGGTGGACGACGCGGAAGTCTCGCGGGAACAGAGAGCATCAACAACGCGCCAGATCTGATTAAGCGCAAGCTGCGCCGCGAAAATGTCAGCCCGGATAAGGCGGTGCGGTTTTCCAACCTTTACACTCGTCTCCTGACGCAGCCCGTGCTATCGCAGAAATGGGGTATCCTCTTTTTGCTTTATAAGTTGTCTGCCTCGGATGAGCCAGTAGAGGGCGGGGAACGAAGCCGGAGCCCGTTAATGGACGAGGCACATTTTCACAATATGTTAGGGAAGGGCGGTGCACGTCCAAGACGGGGCACGATGATCGACTCCGAGGATGAGGGCCCCGCTGTTAGCTCGTCGGCTTCGCAGCAACATCAACGCGTGCTGCCGGCGAAGATGGAGCGTCAGAGCTCGCTGCGACATGATACCGATCGTGATGGTGTAGATCAGGCTGGGCGCAGCTCGACTGAAATACCAGCCACCCGCGTTGATGCTGGAGTGAATGAGCGTTCTAACGATGAGCATGTTCGTGCGGCCTCGCCTCGGCCCTCGAGTGCTAATCCATCGGGCCCGGCGAAATGGACTGGGTCTGTTGAGCATAGGCTACTGCGCGATCTTCCGTTCAACTTGCAAGGGTTGTCTTCGTCGAATTTGCAATTTAGTTCCTCGTCGAGCTTGAAATTGCCTTCGAATTTGTCTGCGCCCATAACCTCACTCCTTAACACGTTGGCAGAGCCTTGCCTGCTTTATAAAGGACTGTGTTTGTTTGTGGAGAGCGAAGAAGGCGGGCTGGTGAACCAGAGCTTGCGAGCTGCCATTGCAATTGAGCTGCGCGCATATCTTAGCTTGGTGGCTACACTAGAGGCGGAAATCCGGCAGGCGCTGGCCGCAATTGGAGAAGGGACCGAGCCTCAAGGTGTACGAAAGGGTGGCGTTACCTTGAAGCGATGTGTGGTGTGGACGAGGGATGCTACGATGGCCCTTCGACTGATGAGCTTGATCGTAGAAGAGGCTCAGAGTAAGTGCGCAGACAGATGACTAGATTTTCTTAATGGCTAACACATATCACAGGCAAGAGGGGTGGCCAGTTGATCTCCTTAATACACGGCTTTTCAACATCCCACGGAGATCCCTTCGTGTGCGCATTCGCCGAGAAACTTCTTGCACATGTGACGCGTCCATTCTACGACATGCTACGACTATGGATTTACGATGGCGAACTCTCAGATCCATACAAGGAATTCTTTGTTGCTGATCCAGAGTTCCGGCCGAAGACTGACCCCCGGCGGCTTGCAACCAGCGTCTGGGAGGACAAATATAAGCTTGATGATGACATGCTACCTTCAATCATTACTCAGGAGTTTGCGAAGAAGATTTTCCTGATTGGAAAATCTTTGAACTTCATCCGCCATGGCTGCGGCGATTCGGCGTGGGTGGAGGCCTATTCAAAGAAAGCCTCCAAGGAGCTTCGATATGGTGACACCGCCACTCTCGAGATCTCCATTGATGAGGCATATAAGACCACAATGGCTCGATTGATTTCTCTGATGAATGGAAAGTTCAACCTCTTCGATCACCTAAAAGCACTGAAGAGTTACCTGCTACTGGGTCAAGGAGACTTCATTGCTTTGCTCATGGAGTCACTTGCCATAAATCTGGATCGTCCAGCAAATTCACAATATCGACATACCCTAACTGCACAGCTGGAACATGCTATCCGTGCCTCCAATGCACAATACGACACCCCAGAAGTGCTGCGTCGGCTTGATGCCCGTATGCTCGAGCTAAGCCACGGCGAAATTGGATGGGATTGCTTCACATTGGAATACAAAATCGATGCTCCCGTGGACGTGGTCATCACACCTTGGGCGTCAACTCAATACTTGAAAGTGTTCAACTTCCTCTGGCGCATCAAGCGAGTTGAGTTTGCGCTGAACAGCACCTGGCGACGATGCATGACCGGTGCACGAGGAGTTCTCGGCAACGTCGAGGACAAGGTCGGAGCAGACTGGAAACGAGCACGCTGCGTGATTGCAGAAATGATCCACTTCGTCAACCAGCTCCAATACTATATCTTGTTCGAAGTCATCGAGTCCAGCTGGGAACAACTGCTCACGGCAATCCGCAGACCCGACTGCACGCTGGACGACCTTATCGAAGCACACACCAAATACCTCAACTCCATCACCCACAAGGGTCTACTAGGATCTGCATCCTCCTCGCGCTACGGCACCTCGACCTCGACCTCCGCCAAACAACCCGAAGAAAGCTTCCTCAGCCAGCTCCACCAGATCCTCAAGTTCATGCTTGCCTACAAAGACGCCGTAGACGGCCTGTACTCCTTCTCCGTTGCGGAATTCACCCGCCGCCAGGAGATCAACGCCAAGATCGAGACTCGCTCCGCCCAGGGTCAATGGGGTCTCACAGAGCGTGATCTCCTCTCCCGCCATTCCAACACTCGGACTGCGGCCTCAATGGCCTCGACCCCTGATGTCCGGCCCGATAGTGCTGGGGTAGACGGTGTCAACACGCCGCTGTCATTATCTGGCGCTAATCTCGCCGCCGACGACAACATGCTTGCCTCGCTTCGCGTCCGCCTCCGCGAACTCTCAGTCGAGTTCCGCTCCCGTCTAACTGTCCTCCTCGGCGATCTGTCGTACCAGCCGGATGTGGACATGCGCTTCCTCGGCGTTGTGATGAACTTCAACGATGTCTATGAATTGCCTAAACGGCGGAAGGCTGCTGGTCCGAGTGCTAGGGATAAGGAGAAGGAGAAGGAAAGGGAGAAGGCGAAACGGAGGGCTGCTGCGTCTGCGGCGGCTACGGGATCTGGGACTGAGAGTTCTGTGCAGAAGGAGGTGCGCAGGGAGAGGAGGGATACTGGGGCTAATGATCCTGGGTTTGCTTCTGGGACTGGGACATAGATGTCTGCAGCTATTACATTCCTCGTGTGAGGACAACATTAATGCAATTGACGAGTTCCACGATGTTTTTCTTTCTCATTGCACTGTATACAAACATATCAGAAATATCAACAAAATATTACACAAAATGCATGCAGAAATTCATTAATAACAAGAGGTTGGCGGCCAGGAGATCCACCTGGGCGAATTCTCTGATGCCAGCCAATTAAACCCACCGATCCCCTGCCAAGCTTTCAGCCAAGATCTCGGTTCTGTCCCATCTATAACATCGAAATTCAATCGACCATTGTCGCTAATCTCCCCCAGATGGAGCATGAAGATCACAACTTCCTACAGCCGCCCATCCCATCCTCTGTGGTCCACCTCGGTGGATGCCAGAAATTCATCGTTGATCAAGAAGACCTGAAGAGTGTCGAAGTGCTTAAGGCATGCATGACCTCGCCGAGATCTTCGATCTTCGATCTACTCGGCTTTCTGGGTCCAGATCTAGGGAAGTTAAAGTTTGCCATTCTAGAATGTATCGATCAGCCATATTTTATGGACTTCTCATGCCGCAGATGCCTGTGTCCGTGAACAAAGCTTGATTTGACAATCTGGCTCGAGACCTTCCAAGGTTATCACCATGCTCATTATGGCTTTTGAGATAGTCGAAGATATATCTGCTCACTATATGTGATGACGGAAACCATCTATGTTGATTCAACTGAAGATGGGCTGTTAGATCGGGCGTATAGCAGCAAACAATACTCTAGGTGTCTGCCTTTATAACGGAATTCACAACACGAAGACCTAGAGCTGGGGTAATCTTAGATACTCTCTATAATAAGACAATTCTAGGGTAGTAAATAAGTGATAATGAGCATTCTTGATCCATAACAAAGCTATGGGGTACGTGCACATTTCTTCCCCGGGTAAACTCCAGCCTTACCAATTTAAGTGTGTCCGATGTCAGACCCCGCCCCCTCCGAGACGAACTTAGGAGAACTATAAGACAATATGTATTCTTCCTTCCCCTTCTTGTCGAATTTACAAGTCCTCACTTCCAATTTTCATAGGAATAGCGCAACAACCCATGTATATACTCGTGCCCAATTTCCACCTAAAGCCAGGAACAGACCCTATCGCCTTAGACAACATTATTTCGCATCCGCTAAAGCCACTCCGAGCTCTGACAACTGTCGATGCCGCACGCTAAGCTTGTGGGCGGAATTCCTATAGACGGTATTTAGAAAAGTTTCGAGCGGAAACGGCAGCGATGTGCAATCAAACTATATGAGGGACTCCCTCGAGACAATGTGTTTTGTCGTCGACCCTAATGGTGAGTCTCTTGTTTTCTGGCTGTTGCCTGGATTGACCGATCTACCAGGGTATATATACCTCCCTATCGTACCTCTATAATGGACTGTTTAAATTTGAATTTCTTTTTTTAATTGCTACAAGTCGCATTTAGAATGAAATCAAACAGCGGGACAGGAGAGTCAAAATTCACCATTTAAAGTACCGGCTACGGAAAGTTATAACACTGGATGTTCTCTTGACCTTCAAGTCGGATGTTGTAAGTTGGCGGCAGAAGGGTGGGACCGTGAATAATAGCTAATCAGATGCAAGTGTTGGCCCTCTCATTCCGTGAGTAGATCTCCATTTCCTTACTTTCTGGATATGTTATCTGTATTATCTGTAGATAGCTGGTACTGCAATAAATAGAAGAAACTAAACCGCAAATCGAGCTTTGTGTGTACTTGATATAATTCACTTGGTTACAGCGCTCGAATGGTCCAGTTGGGGATATATAGCATCTGGATCTTAGCTCAACAACAAGACCTCTAAGTAGAATTTTCTGACTGATGGCTCTGTACCCTCCACCTCAAGATTCAACCTTTTGATATGTTTCAATTGGTGATTCCCTTGCAAATAGCCATTGAGAGTATGTAAGAAGGAGGAGACAATATGATTGGCCCGCGCAATTGATCGGCAGAAAAAAAGTAGTCTCCGCCCAACCGTCTCAGCACCACAGTCGAGGTCGCATTTACAGGCCCTGAACTTCGGATTTCAGCATTCTTTAGAGCGTCACGCTCCTCCCAATTCTATTTTGTGTTTCGTCAGACCCTGTCGCAACCCACCCACACCAACGATGGCGCACCAGACGGACGCCCAGTCCCCAGCGTCGAAAAAGCTCGGATCGAAGCTCAAGAAGTCGAAAGATTCTACAGGAGAGGAGGGAGGTGCAGATGCACAGGAGACCACTCCCAGTAAGGAAGACGCCAAGTCCGACAAGAAGGACAAGAAAAAGCGCAAGTCCGTTTCCGAGGATGCGGCACCCGAGACAGACGGCGAAATGAAGAAAAAGAAGAAGCGCCGCCATACCGAAGACGACAACGAACAGAATGGCAAGGATGATGAATCGCACAAGCAAAAGAAGAAGCGTGTCTCGTTTGGACCAGGGACAAAGGAATTCGACGGCGACTCCGAAACTGAGTCGGACGAGGCCGACAGCAATGACGCTGCCGCAACCGACGGAGCCGACGCAGACACCGAAGACGCCGGAGACAAGACTACCGAAGAGATGAAGAAGCGCAAGCGCGAGAAGAAGAAGCAAAAGAAAGACGGCACCGCCTCGACTGAAGCCCCAATCCATGAGACGCCTATTCTTTCGTACTTGAGCCACTACCACCGAGCACGCCCGACATGGAAGTTTCAAAAGAACCGGGAAACCAACCTGTTCAAGCATCTGTATTCGCTTGAGCATGTCCCCTCCAAGTACAACACATCGCTGCTGGCGTACATGCAGGGCCTGAAAGGTGATGCCGCCAAGCAGCGAATGAGCAATGCTGCGAGGGACGTGATCAAGGCCGATATGGATCTCGACAAGCCGAAGGACGATGAAGAAGCGGAGAACAAGGAGCCTTCAACAAGCCCCGAGTACCTGGAAGCTATCAATGCGTTCCGCGAGTGCTTGCCCAAGGGAGATGAGGATCTGGACAACGTCAACTTCGGAGAAAATTTGGAGGGAGACGTCCAAAAGCGTTTGCCCAAGAGGCAGCGAGCAGAGCTGGTCTTTTTCGCTGTTGCCGGCAAGCTTTTCAGCGCCGAGGATTTGAAGAAGCCGAAATCGAAACCCAAGGCTCCTGAGCCCCCGGTAAACAAGAAGCGGAAGAACAGAACTATGGTTGTTGATATCAGCAGCAGCGAGGATAGCGATGATGATGCCCCGGCTCCGAAGAAGGCTGCCAGCAAACCCGCGCCGGATAATGATGACGATACCTCGTCGAGCGGCAGCAGCAGCGATAGTGACAGCGACAGTGATAACAAGTCATCTGCTGCCCGGGCCCCGGCCAAACAAAGTGCCGCAGGCACTCCTTCATCGTCCGCCCCCGGTGGTGTTACAATGTCGAAGAAGGAGAGCAAAGCTGCCAAGCGGAAGGAGAAGTTTGTACCAGTTCGCGAAGAAAAGCTTAAGCCTGCTGTGCCGAAAAAGACGCAGAAGCGAAAGCTCAGAACTGCTCAGATCGAAATCTCGAGCAGCGAAAGCGACAGCGAGTAGTTCCGATGAAATGGGGCTTGGGTTGCTACCTAGGGTTTGGATGTGTATATATCTCTACCACAGCATTTGGGACGGTGTAATTGTGTTCATGTCAAAAGTCATTTTATCCTCATGTCCATAATTGATGTGCATTGAAGTATTTGTGTAGATTTCTATATGGTTCGTTGTCTCTTTGAAGTTGATATTTCACGCATCCAAAGGCGAACAAAAAGATAACCAGAAAAAAAGTTCGAGTCAATCCTTTGGTCATCTACCTACAGGCCCTCGTTATCCTGTGAAATAACTCGAACTCATAAATAGTAAAAATCCAATGACCAAGTGCTGCTGAACGGGCTGTTGATACAGGAACCTGGAAGGCGGTGAAGCTGACCTCAAGCTTGAGCTCAGGCAGCTCTGGCGCGCGTCACTGATCAACCCCCATCATCTCATCCTCTCGGACCCTCCTTTCTCACTTCTTTCCTTTGCTTCTGTTAATCTAGCTATAAAATACTTGAAGATTCGCCGTCATGTCTGGTATGCTCCCTCGTCGATGATAGCCCATCCCAGCCTCATGACTTCATTCCCGACTGACCTTGGTTCTCTCCGCAGGAAGCGCCTACGACAGACATATCACTATCTTCTCTGACCAGGGTCGACTGTACCAAGTTGGTGTGTATTTCCCACTCGATGATTCCGCCTCGATCTGCCCAGCGGCCTCAATCCGTGCGCTGTCATCATGACTGACCAAACATCTCCCAGAATATGCATTCAAGGCCATCACTTCAGCCAACATCACCTCCATCGGTGTGAGGGGCAAGGACTGTGCTGTGGTGCTCTCGCAGAAGAAAGTCGCTGTAAGATGGATTCCTCCTTTATAGCTTGGGGATTGCGCTCATGCTAATCGGCTGTCTACCAGGACAAATTGATCGACCCATCCTCCGTTTCACATGTTTTCCGGATCTCGCCTTCCGTAGGCTGTGTGATGACCGGCTCCATAGCAGATGCTCGCGCATCCGTTGACCGGGCCCGTGGTGAGGCTGCTGAGTTCCGGTACAAGTTCGGATATGAGATGCCGTGCGATGTTTTGGCAAAGCGTCTGGCAAATATCAACCAGGTTTACACACAAAGGGTAAGTTTTCCCGCCACCGTGCAACGATCCCATCTAGAGAGACAGAATGGCTGACATAATTCTCTTTGAAACTCTCCAGGCTTACATGCGACCACTTGGCGTGGCTACGACCCTGATCTCTGTCGATGATGAGAGCGGCCCCCAGCTCTACAAGTGTGACCCGGCCGGTTACTACGTTGGGTACAAGGCGACGGCATCCGGCCCCAAGCAGCAGGAGGCGTTGAACTACTTGGAGAAGAAGCTGAAGAACAAGGATGCGGCCACGGGCAGCTGGGAGGAGGTTGTGGAGCTGGGCATCACAGCCCTCAGCAATGTGCTAAGTGTTGACTTCAAGAAGCACGAGATTGAGATTGGTGTCGTCGGTGGGCCGCGGGCCGACGGCGAGGAGGGAACCACTACAGGGTTCCGTGCCCTGACGGAAGAGGAGATTGATGAACGGCTGCAGGCCATAGCCGAGAAGGACTGAGTGAGCTGGGCCCTGCAAGTTATGGAGGCAGGCGACCAGTAATGGAAAGACACTGGTGTTTATTTTAGAGAAACAGACTATCTGTGAATGATAACTCAATTGTTTTCCTGCACGAGTATACTTTCAGCCATTTTCGGGGCTCATCCAATCCTGCACCTTGACGCCCTACTACTAGAGCATTGACCCATTTATTATCGTCGATACTATGGATACTAGACCATAGATCCATTTCTTATCGCCGATACTACCTATGGATACTATAGCGTAACACTGTCGGGTGGTCCGAGACCATATCCAGCCTGTCAAAACTGCGACTGGAGAATCCGCCACCTGTGAAAAAATTCGGGGGATGGATAACTCGCTATTACCGGTTTATCACAGCGTGTACGTGCATAAAAGCAAGGAGACAGTGGACGGGCATGCTACTACTAAGAGTTGTTGTGCGGGGCGCCACATGTGGCTTAGCGGTGGCTGGGTCCTGACAGCCCATAAATTCTGCGTCCAACAAGTCTTTCTCGTGATATGATTGGCGTCGTCAACTGAACTAGAGCAACTAGGGAAGTTCCATACTAAGAATAAGTGTGGCAAATACCAGCTGAACATGTTCACAAACTGTCAGATCCACTACACGTCAGGTCCGAGTTCAGGTCCGAGCAGTAGATCTCATCTAATGCAGGTCCAAGGCTGAGGTCTCGCCTTTTTCTTGCCCTTACTCTGTGTTTCTGAATTTCAACAGGGGTCCCACGAGCCATGATGCATCGCAAGGAAAAAGCAGTGAAAAAAAAATTTATGGGTTCCCCACCGAGTAGTTCACTCGATACTCTCCAATCAGCATCATGAAACACCCATCTCTCTCTTCTTAGGAAAACCCCAAATCGGCCGCACAGGAACCTAATCTCATGTGCGGGCCAATGCTCTCTCCACTTCCAATCCACAGTTCGGGATAGTGGTAATGCAATAGGCCAGGTGTTTTCCCATGCGACATATGGGTCATCTTTCCTCTCTGTCTCCCACTCTCCACTGTTGGATCCCCTCTCCCTGGGACAGGGATGGTCCTAGTCATGCCGTAAACGGTTTCTCGGGAGCTTATGGTGTGGCCCGGTCCCATCCCAGCTGTACTTGACAACCCGAGGTTCCTGATCGTGGGATCTTGCCCGTCTATTGGTGCAGCTCGTCTTCTCGGTGATGATGTATCCTGAGATCGTCTCCGCTGTAGCGGGCTGATAAATCCTTGGTTTTATGTTATTATTATTATTATAATTATAATTATTTTGTGCCATTCTGGCTTTTTCCTTTCTGGTCCACCCATTGAGGGTCGTTGGCTGTCATGTATGGGGTAAGGAGAGAGACACCTTTACCAATCTTTGAAGACTTATATCTTTCCTCTTTCCCCCCCCGGAGACCGTTGGTGGCCTAACATTCTCGACTCCATGGACCATCAGTTCCTCTAACCATTGCCTTTCTTTCATCTCTCATTGGTTATCTTTGGTGTCCCTTCTTTATACTTGCTTTTTTCCTTCTTCCTACTCGTCCATCCTCTGATCCATTACCCTCCTTTTTATACACTTAATCTACCAGAAACATGGCAGACGGATGTAAGCTGACCCTAATTATGTCAACCAATCAATTCCTAATAACCGTGCAGTCAACCAAGCCCGCGCTATGCGAGTCGCCGAGATAATCAACGACTACCGCACTCTCCTGCTCCACATCTCGCAACAGCAAGTCGAACCATCCCAAGAAGAATACTGGGAAGATGGCTTCGTAGTACTCCGCGAGTCCCAAGCCTCAGCCCAGACCCTAATGTCCGCCAACTACCAACCCTGTCCGGTAACAGGGCAAGGGAATATCGAGACCGAGAAAGCTGAGCTACAAAGGTATATACACAAGACCTGAACATCCAATCATGTCAAGACGCTAACAGCCTCCTCCTCGCAGGGTCATACTCGACGGCAGCGCACGCCGATTCCAGGCACACAAGATCTACCTACGCGCCACCGCAGCCCGGCGATGGGCCATGACGCGCGCCAGCGTCCTACGCGGCTCCCCTCCAACGACCCAACACGCTACAGCCTTGAAGACCGCAACCACCACCCTCCATCAGGATCTGGCTCGCGTCACGGACCAGCATGTCGTGGCAGACTTGCGAGCCGCTGATCTGCGCGCAGGCCACTGGCTTGACGATGACCCGTCCTTGGAGGCGATCCGTCGCTGGGTTGCGGGTCGGTAATCGCGCCGGTGATGAGAATATGAAACGGACATGAAAATGAGAATGGAAATGGAAACGAATGCATGTTGTGTGGGGTTGAGGTTGGGGGTTTTTTTTCGGATTTTGCCTTCTACTGATTCCCAAGTGCTTGTGAGCCTTGTTGGGCTTTGTATGATTCTTTTAATAGAGGGGCTTGTGTGGGATGGTTGGTACAGCGCTGGTCGTGTGTACTGCCTTCTGTGAGGAGACAAAATGAGTTTGGATCCATTGCGTGGTTTTTGTTATAGCTACGATATCCCCTCTTGTTTCATTTTTTTTGGGTTGTACTTTTTGTTTGAGGTGTTATGCGATATTTGTTTTAAAAATCAATTCCATTGTTTTACACAGTTCAATTGTTCAATCTAGAAGACCAGATCTAACTACTATGTCTTGTAAAGTGAGCAATATACATCGTACTAGGTCCATACTTGGTTGGATGCATAAAAGGAATGATAGCCCTAATGGCCCCACAGTGATCTGACACAAAAGAAAAGTACTTTGTATACAAAATATAAAATTTGCTCTCAGGAACTACACCTAAAGACAGAACAGATACTTCGTGTAGGCCTAGTTGACCCTGTCGGCAATTGACACATGAACCAGACACCTGGGGCGCCGAGGCAGAGATGCCAGCTGAAAGATCCACCGTATACCCAGGAGTGAAGGGTCAAAAAAAAAAACGTTGCACAGATCAAAGTGGATCGGGACCAACTTGCCATAGAGATTTCGGACACGGGCTGCAAGGCTAAGGTTGTTAGTTCGGCTGTGTAGATCCAATCAGCACTACGAACGACCATATCGCGGCTCGAGTTCAGCTATCGATGGACTGGATTTTCAGGCGACGGTTTTTGTTTTTTTTTTGTTCTTCGTTGTTCGAGTGGAGATGTTATTCCCACGTTTTATTTTTCTCCCGTTAAACTAATAGTGGGCTGTCGGATCACCTCCTATCCATACATTTCTCTTTCTACAACAGATATCTCCTCGGCACTTACGGCCCTCCGTGTCTGCTCCGAGTCTGTTTTATCTTGGCGATCGGCATTACATTTTGAGTACGAGGTGGGGCATATTGGATAAAGATGCTTTGTCGATCCTTGCACATCAACTTCTTCGGTGACCTCCGAGTGTTATGTCCAATGTTGTATTTGTGGATGAACAGTGAGTAACTCACATTTCGCAATATAAAACCATCTATATCATACATCAATTTATAACATATATATTTTGATCCCGGAATTCATCACATGGGAACAAGTGGAGAGCATCAGAGAAGAGGAAATAAATATGCAAGGTAGATAGGTTGCACCGAGGCCAGGCATATTTGGGGATCATGCATGAACCTACTGTTCCATGCTAAGGCCTTGATGTATAGGTTCGAGGATCATCTGATGACCAGGAAGAAGGGTGTGAAACACTGAGTCCACGTGTAGTCCCGGTCGATCTTTGTACATCACTCGCTATCCTTTCAAAGATCACTCACTACCCGGGATTGCCGCTTTTCCGAACATTCTAAGGTTGTCACTTGCCACGAGTTCAATGGTTGATCTACTGCCGAAAGAGTCTAATCAATGCTATTCTCCATGTGGACATGTTTGAGGGCGTTAGTCGCCTGACCAAGCTTTTATATATCGAGAAATTGTCTGGCTTCGGGAGCTAATGTTAAGCTCTGCTTGAGGAAGGGAGCGTGCTCACCAGAGGTTATGAAGGCGTTTTAGCTCTTGCATCGCGCAAGATACTTTCAATCATGAGATCTTCGACAAGCTTGAAGGCTTCCCACAATTAACAACCAATATGATAAACAACGAGCTCTCATGACTAGTCAATCATGATTCCATATAGTATTGCCCCTCTTCTTAGGCGGGCCATGTCGCATTCTTGCCTTAGAGTTGCATTCTCCAATATCACGAGTACTTGATACTCCCTATCTTGTGCTTTGACAAAACAATCAAGTCTAAATTCAAAACCAATAAGCTAACACGCTATTACATGAAACATAACAGGGATTGGCCAAAAATGAGGTTACATGCACCTTGAACAGGTGGAGGTGTCACGCACCACGTTTTCTTGGGGTTCTTCTGGGCATTTAGTAAACATACATATACATATAGTATTCCACCAACATAGATGTCTCCAGATTATACAGATTGTATCTTTGATTACATAGATATTATCTGATCTCCGGATATCTTTTTCCACATCTATATTCAGCCACGTTTGTTGCCTTGGTGCCTGAAGTTATACACCGCCACATGTGAGTCCCGACCAATGACGTTGTGGCGTTGTTATTGCCCAGACGCCTAAGGTACGACAGTCCACTAACAATTAGGCTGCGACATAAAGTATCACTAGAAATACTTGCACGCTGCCTTTTAGTGTTTTTTGTTGAAACTCTCTAACATAACTTTCTTTTGACTTGAAATCGTGGCGTATCGACTCAAGCCCATTGCTTTGTTTACTGCCCTACTTGTGGCTGTTCTCGTGCAATACCTTAACTATCCTCGTATCACCCATCCAGCATCAACCATGTCTGAATTGAAATCAGTCGCCTATTTTGTCAATTGGGTATGTGCTTAATTTTGCTTATCCCATTTCATCCCCGACTGCATGACTCGCGTCCATTTTACCACGCCTAACTGGCTGGACATAAACATCGGAAAAAGCATACATGTTGACAAACTCTATAGGCAATTTACGGCCGCAACTACAACCCGCAGGATCTGCCCGCGGAGAAGCTGACACATATCCTCTATGCATTTGCCAATATTCGTCCTGAGAACGGCGAAGTGTATGTCCTGTTGTTGAACCCTTACAGACTGCAGAAGCATTTCCTGACCCAGAACTGCAGATACTTGACCGACTCTTGGTCCGATGTCGAGAAGCATTACCCAACAGACTCATGGAATGATGTCGGTGACAATGTCTACGGATGCGCTAAGCAGCTTTTCCTGCTCAAGAAGCAGAACCGCAAGCTGAAGGTTTTGCTTTCTATCGGTGGCTGGACGTACTCGGCGAATTTCGCGCAGCCTGCGAGCTCCGAGGAGGGTCGGACTACTTTTGCCGAATCGGCGACACGTCTGGTTCTGGATTTGGGATTCGATGGTACGTTTCATCGGCTAAGGACCGTGTTAAATGCTGATTTTGACTCTTTTATAGGTCTTGATATCGATTGGGAATATCCCAAAGGTTAGATTATTAGAACATACTAGAAGGAAATTCGGGGCTTACTTTATATCCAGATGACACCGAGGCTGAGAACCTAGTTCTGCTGCTCAAGAAGTGCCGAGAGGTATGTCGTTCTCCTTAGTCTTAAATTGGACCAACTGACCGGAAATAGGTTCTTGACAGAGAGGCTGGTTCCAATCGCCGTTTCTACTTGACAATCGCCTGCCCTGCCGGTATGTCTATCCCACATCCTTGGTGATGGAAAAGTACCGTGAACCATCAAACTGACTGCTGCAGGCGCGAGCAACTACGAGAAGCTTAAATTCCAAGAGATGACCCCGGTGCTAGACTTTTACAACCTCATGGCGTACGACTTCGCCGGAAGCTGGGACACCAACGCTGGCCACCAAGCGAACATCGCCCCTTCAACTTCCAACCCCGCATCCACACCGTTCTCGATCAACGCTGCTCTAGACTACTACATCAACCATGGCGGTGTGCCACCCTCAAAGATCGTCATGGGCATGCCACTGTACGGGCGTGCATTCGAGAACACCGACGGACCCGGCGCACCCTTCTCCGGCGTCGGACAGGGCAGTTGGGAAAACGGAGTGTGGGACTACAAGGCGCTTCCCAGACCCGGGGCCGAGGAAAAGTTCGATGAGGAAGCCGGAGCCTCGTACTGCTATGATGGCGGTGCGCGCACGATGGTTTCTTACGATACGCCCCATGTGGCACAGGTCAAGGCGAACTATATTCGCGAGCGCGGACTGGGTGGTGGTATGTGGTGGGAGAGTAGCGGTGATAAGGGTGGCAAGGCGGCTGATCCGGCGGAGGGAAGCTTGATCGGTATCTTTGTCGATGGTGTGGGTGGTGCAGGTGCTTTGGATCAGTCGGCTAATGCCCTTGAATACCCCGAGAGCAAGTATGCCAATGTCAAAGCTGGATTCCCGAATGAGTAGGTTGAGTGAGAGCTTGCACGGCTTTGTGCATTGCTATTCGCAGTACAGTGGTTTACCAGACAGAGTGTGACAATATCTAAGTCTACGAATACATACAAGTCTATCATTACGTGGGAGTTTGAGTTTTCGGCGGATGCCTAGTTTGTATTCTTTGTATTGACTGTAGCACATGGGTATTCCAAGAACCATCATCAACAAACATCAACCGTGATACTCCATCACTTGCCCTAGCCTAGCGGAAACCATGCCCAAGCTCGGTGACAGCACACCACGGTCCCGACTTAGACCATTTATTTGGCCTCGTCGAAGACGTAGGTGAGGTGGCACTTACCGCAGTACTGGCGGTTGTGCATAGCGGCCATGAAGACACCGGCACCACACTATAAGAAAGGATAAATTAGTCTCTGTTGATGGGAATTCAAGAGTATTGTCTTGCGACAAAAGTGATCACATACCTCGGGAGCGGGGCACTCGCGGCGAAGACGCTCGATCTTGCCGTCACCGTCAACCTTGTAGTACTTGAGGATGGCGAGCTTGGTCTTCTTGTGCTTGTGCTTGATCTTCTTGGGGGTGGTGTAGACCTTCTTCTTGCGCTTCTTACCACCACCACGCAGGCGGAGGACGAGGTGAAGGGTCGACTCCTTCTGGATGTTGTAATCCGAAAGAGTGCGGCCATCCTCGAGCTGCTTGCCGGCGAAGATCAGGCGCTGCTGGTCAGGGGGAATACCCTCCTTGTCTGGTGCGGGGTTAGCCTGTGTTGCTTTTTTTTCTCTTCCGAGTCTCGTCTGTGCGATTGTTGCTCGCGGATTTCGGTTGTGCTTACCCTGGATCTTGGACTTGACATTGTCAATGGTGTCGGAGGACTCCACCTCAAGGGTGATAGTCTTACCCGTAAGGGTCTTGACGAAGATCTGCATCTTGATGAAGGCCTGCGAAAAAAGTCAGTGGGATGCTCGCGACGATGAAAATGTGACAGGCAGAGAGAGAATCGATTGCATGTTACTTGCGCATGCTAATCACATTCCCACATGCTTGCATAGGACCAAAACTCACCTAGACAGATGTGTCTTCCTCAACCTTGCAAGATTGAAGAAGATCGTTGTGCGCGGAAGCCGGTTGATGATTAAAATCGTTGTGCGGTCACGTGGGTGGGTCATTTACCGAAAGTAGTCTAGCTTAAAGGGAAATGCTGACCGAGACTAATCACGTGTTGGGCGGTGAAGGACTCACAGGAAAAAGGTCGGACCGTCCAGAGAGCCCCACACGTGACTCTAAGTGATGTGCCTGGGTTTCATGCCTGAGGCCACCAATGTATATCCCGTGTTGGACAGGTCGAATATCAGATATTGTGACGCCATGGGGACCATATCGGCCTATCGGCCTATGGGTACTATTTATGGAGCCAAGGTCTATAGAGTATGAGATCGACTTGTTTATATTGAATCTCCTCGGAAACGAACCGAGGAGTTGTCAATTCTATAGGTCTACGTACCATTTAGATGCATTTTATCACAGGGATTAGCTGCCCTTGCAGAAGAAGTAGAATAAATCTAAGCAAGGCCTCGATCAAAGGATAAAATCGAGAGAGTGGGCAAGGGGAGTGGGCCCACTTTTCGTCAGAGCCTTGGTTTCCCAGACGCCCGGGCTAAGCCGTTGCTATGCCAACACCCCGATTTGTTGATGAGAACGGGTCTTACATAGATCTGGGTTCCAGAACCAAACCTTGGAAACCTTCATACATTCGTGTTTCTGCTCTTTCAGGTTCAGTTCAGAATCTACTTGAACTGTGTGACCTTCAGGTTATTTCAACTTGATACTCTTGAAGACTTGCGCTACTTGAGGCTCTAACAACTTTCCACCTTTTCCTCTTCCTATTGCCCATTGCTTTCATATTCACGTACTGACACCTCAATCAGGACCCAACCGTCAATCGGCGATATAATCATGAACTCCACGCTGGGAAACGGTCGTCATCGCCGTCAAATCTCCACACCAGTTGCGCCATACCAGCCCGTGCCAGTCATGAACAATATGCAACCCCGTCGGTCACATCGTCGAGGCCAGACTGTGGACTACAGTTCCTTCAGTCAACAGCCCACTATGGACCGACACATGCCAAAGACGGTCTCGCAGCTGCGAGATTATTTTAACGAAAAAGCAGGTTTCTCATATCAACAAAGGGATGTACAGCAGTATCAATCTTATGCCCAGCAGCCCGAGCGGTCTTTCATTCCACCAGGCATGAACATGCAGCAGCCGTATCAATATCAACCTCACCAGTCGCTCGGGTCTGACTGCCAGGCTTTCAACCAAGAACAATTGCAAGCGATCCACACCACCACTGGCAGCCCTGCGCCCTCTTCTGTCGGTGCTCCGGCTTTGTCTCGATCAGCCAGTGAATGCTCTGAAAACACACCATTGAAGCTTGCACTGCACCGTATGCAGCAAGAGCAGTTCTCGAATCAGCAACAACAACAATTTATTGGCAATGCCGATTGGGAATTGTTTCCCCAGCGCAACATGCCAATGGTCCAAAACGAGCAGGTGACGGCCTATGCCGGACCGATGCACCCAGTCTCTGTTCAACCAAAGGCTCCATCTGCGAAGATTCTTTCCCAAATGTCCACTGCTTGTATGCATTTTTCTCTGCAATTTAACCCGACCGAAGCTAATTATATGGCAGACAACTCCCCCTTGACCCCCGATTCTACCCCATTGAAAAGATCTATTGATTATTCCATGTACAGCAATGACCCAACACCTTCCAAATCCCAAAGTTTCTCATTTCCCCATACCCCTTCCACTGCTGAGATGCAGAGAGCCCAGTCTTTGCAAGGAGCCCCCTATGTCAATTCTGTGCAGATTAAGCAGCAAATGCCCTCCCCTGTCAATTCCCCGATTAGCGCATCATTCACCGAAGTTGCCGATATGCCATCCCCGGGTTCATATGAAATGACGCCTCAAGAGTCAAATGCCTCATTCACATCTTCCACTGGCAGAACCAAGAAGCGAGCCCCGTCTACTGTATCCTCACCCATCGAGCTAGCTGCTCACGATGATGACCTTGATGCTCGAGTCAAGGCCTCAGTCCAGCAAACCGGTGTTTCGACCGACGAAATTGCCAAGTTTATCTCAGGCCCCGATCCCAAAGATGGAAAGTGGGTCTGTCTATTTACAGGCTGCCTGTGCCGCTTTGGTCGCAAGGAGAACATCAAGTCCCACGTCCAAACACACCTCGGAGACCGTCAATTCAAGTGCGATATTTGCGAAAAGCACTTTGTGCGCGGACATGATCTCAAGCGCCATCTCAAGACACACAGTGGCAATAAGCCCTTCGCCTGTGCCTGTGGTGCCAGCTTTGCTAGACAGGATGCCCTGACTCGTCACCGCCAGCGCGATATGTGTGTTGGAGGCTTCACCGGTGTGGTTCCAAAGACCACCAAGCGTGGCCGCCCCCCGAAGAAGAAGACCAGCCGCCCGGATATCGACACTCGCCAGGCCAAGTCCACTCGTACTCGTCAACGTGTTGCTGAAAAATCCACATCAATCGCCTCATCCCAGACCCACGCCACTCTGCAAGATGCTCCCGTGTTCAACTCGCCCAACTATGCCCCGTCCGCTGCCGTCTCATCGTACACGCCGCCCACCTCCCCGGGAGACAGATACCACACAATTTCCTCGCCATGCCAGACCTACAACTCCCTCGATGCCCAGCTCGAGGATGACATGCTCCCCTTGTCACCACCCCAACTCGCTCACGCTAGATATGAGCAGGCAATGGCCCAGTACGGATCAAATTTCGGTTCCCAGACATACTCGCAGGAATCCACGTACTCGCAGGAATCTCTCTACAGTGACTCTGCTCTCTCGCCTCGGGAGATGTCTTCCCCTCGCTCGGCGCCCGTCAGCTCGGAAATCGATATCTTCATGACGCAAGATCCCTCCGAGGACTTGCGCGAGGAATTCGGCCATCTGGCTCACTCGGGTCTCCCTAGTTTCCCGAATTATCAGTTCGTGGATACAACCGACTTCGCCTCTGTCTCGTCATATTATCCCGAGAAGACCTTTTCTAGTCTTGCTCACCTGGATGATGACCTGACGGACCCAATCGACTGCTTGTCCAGCGAGTTCCTGGTGGACCCTTGAACGGCTTTTGTTACCCCAAAAAAGGCTCGACATATACGGCGCGGCTTATCATTTTCTTCACGGCGAGACTTCTTTGCAACGATACGGGACGACCTTGTACACTTTAATGACCCACGACAAAATCGGGCGTTTTGTTTCTCTGCACATTTCGGGATTTGAAACGACTTTGCGAATATGCGGGTGTTTCGGGCTATTTGCTATTTGCTTTTTGCTTCTTGCCTTTTTGCCCTTATTGCCCTATTTCCCCATGTATTCTCTTTTTTTGTTCCTTTTCTTTGTGTTTTCCAATGATTGTTTCATTGTGCACGTCCTTTTGGCCTTATCTCATCTCTTTGAAGATGTTCGATATATGGCGGCGTGTCTATTCCCGGTGTTTATCCTTCTTTTTATATGTTCCCACTTTCATGATGCGATATGTATTTGATGTCTTTACCTTCAATGGATCTTTTCTCTACCTACCCTGTCAACAAAGGATGGCTCACTCGAAGGATTATTTTCCTTTGATGACAGACATAATTGCGGATAGCCTGTACTCTACTATTTCAAACTTGCTATGTCTACAGCTTCCATCCGGTTTCGTGTCATATGTTACTCTATTTTAAAATTGTAGGCTGAAACCTCTACTTTATATTGCCAGGTCGAGGAAAAGATAAGGCTTCACAAGAAAGCCATATAGCCTAAGAGAAAGAGAGCAAATAGTCTGGATCCCAATACAAAATATTCGTTTACGAAGAAAATAACAATTATTGAGACTACTCTAAACAATGCGCGTTTCTATTTGAAATTTCTAATTATTCTGCTCCAAGGAATCGGTATCTGACAGTCCCCTCGCCCCATTCTATGCCGGAATTCTGTGCAACTCTTATCACATCCCGATATGCCGATCTACTTTCCACTAGGAGCATAGCGAGGGGAACAATAGTGAAGATAGCCCATCTACTTCGAAGCCCAGGTGATCTCGATCTCAATAGGCCGTCCCCCTTGCGAAGCATACACATTGCTCTGTGTACGCCCTTTGGGTGGATTCTCGGCATAGAAAGTAGCGTGACCACTGTAAGCAAGCTTACCATCCTTGGCCTGTATGCAGTATGAGAACGTGAAATAATATCTTGTAAAAACATCTGGGATATACATACGGTGAACTCGCTTGGCGTGTTGACGTGGGGTCCGCAAGCAAGGGCGTCTCGCTCGAAGGCACAGGGCCCCTTGCTAGATTTCAGAGTAAATATATCATCTGCAGGATGTCATTTACTTCATGTTAGCAAGCAGTGGCAGAGGCGTCATATGCGCAAAGCACAGCTACGCACCTGAGATATTTTCGGCCCGGAAAGTCGCACAGGTCCCTGACGAAAACCAAGTTCCGTAGCTGATGATACAGCCATGCTTTCTGCCAAGTCTCTCAACAATCAGGTTACCTCGGCCTACAAACGGAGTGCCTGGCGCCGTGGGCTCGGGGTGACCTATGGTTGTCGTCTGAGTAGGCTCGTGCCGATCATGCTTCAGTGGGTACTTGATTCCCTTAGAGGGGCAATTGGACTTCTGGCCATCTAGTTATTTTATAAGCTTGTGATGTAACTGAGTGAGTAACTTTGAACGTTGACCGACCTGGGCCTGCAGGGATGAATTTCCCAGATTGTAGACTTCCTGCGATATTGAAATAGTACCAAATCTCATTGATGGCACCACCTCGGCAACGGACAGTGACAGGATCTCCATGGGCTTGCTCTAGTGCAGCTTCAATATCGGCAAGAGCATATGTCTGCGTCCGAGATGGTATGATGCCAGCATTGGCCAGGAACTTATGCATGGTTAGTGGTTTGATCCGAATATATAGTCGGTCATTGATCGAGAGAACCAAACTAACCTCATGGGAAGGCAACTCCTTATAAACCTCAACAGTTTTGTCGAAGTAGTCTACAACCTCCTGCTGCGGCAGATAGTCCTCATAGCAATCTGGTTCCAGGGTGCTGACGCAAGTGCCGTGCTTGTTCCACTCATGTTGCCACAGATTGCTATCATCACCACGGAAATCCTTCCAATACTCGCTCATGTATTCGAGCAAGTCTCCCCGGCCCGCGTCCACTAGAATCAGAGATATGTTGCTGTACTTGCGTTTGGAGTCGCAGAATTGGTCAAAGCCGCCGCTGCAGTGATCGGGCCTGAAGAGTTAGTTTTATATTCATTCAACCTGGGGATGTGGTATAAGCTCACCATAGTCCATGGATAGTCCATGCATCTTCAGGGCCAAGTGCAGGGTCGACATCCCAGAATTGCGTCTGTAGCATTTGACCGCCGGGGTAATTGAAACAGCAGGTGTCTTGACCGTGGTAATTGGCCTGGCAACTTATTTCGGAGACAGGGCATGATGATGAAGTTCCGGGGTTTGCATTCTCGTTTGAAGTTTGCGAAAGCCAGAGTGAGCCAACGGTCTTGAGGATCTTCTGGGGTCCGGGGATCCCCATGAACTGTTGTGATGATCCCCGCATCATCGATGGCAGCATTTTGCCGTGATATTAGGGAGCAGACTTGCCAAATTGAAGCAGAGAAAGAATGTAAGAATAGGCAAGTAGATAATTACTAGGACGGTTGTATTCAGACGAGGAATAGGTATACTCAGGAGGCTATAAAGGTTGTCGGCGTACTATCGAAGTCGCCTCGTGCGGAGTCATATATGACTAAGCGCGGGGGCAGCTGATAAGGGTCACCTGGGCACCACCTGGGCTTTGTTTACTTGCACGACAGCAGCCTTATTTTATGTTGCACTCGCTTAAGGTTGAGGATGGTCATTTGGAGTAGTTTGCTTAAGTTCGGGAGTGAAGGGGTATCATAGCTGGTCCACAGTGGGCAAAATAATCTCACTGACTTTTCGCCTGTCATTTTTCTGGCCTCAGGTGACCCTGGGCCTCCTGCTTGCGCGCTTCCTCCTGTTCATGTACTCTTTCTTTCCACAAACGTAATACCTCAAAGCCAACCTCAACGGCAATGAGCAGAATGATAATCCATTCTAGCCGGAGACCATGTGTCTCACTAAGGCGCTCCCGGAGTACACTTGCTATCTCTTGCGCATAGTCCATCTTCTCGTTTAGCAGTTTGATGCGAATTCCAACATCCAAAGCTCTGCCAGCCTGTTCGTAGTATCCCTCCAAGCCGAGCTCGTGTCGGCTGTCCCAAAATATATCAGGAAGCGAATCAGTGAGCTCAGAATAGAGATTGAGTTGCGCTCGGACACTGAGTAATTGCCCCGTCTTGCGGAGGACAAAGTCTCGTGTAAAAGGAAGACGGGATCCCTGTGATAGAAGAGTCGGAATTGGCCGAGTCGATTCAAAATAGTTTGAAAGAAGGCTCTCGAGGACGGCCAACTTCGTACTCCGAGCAAGACCCGACGAAAATGCAACCTTGGTCAACACCGTGTCAACGGAATGTTGTGCCGCCGGTGATCTCTCTGTATCTCCGTGACCAGAGTTGGTCCCTAGTATAATTGTGTCCCCTTTGATCACACTGTTCTCCCGGGTCGGGTCCTCCACAAATTCGAGATCCTCGGTTTCCAAGTCATCCACATGGGCACCTTCTGCTGCAGGCAAGAGAGTTCGTGTTGCTAGGAATGATGTGAATCCTTCTGGGAGCGACCATGCTACTACTGTACCGGAGGGAAACACAAATAAATCGCCCACTTCGTCGCATGGTAGATCTGTGCTAGAGGGATTCGTCATGCGCTGTATGGAGTCTAACGGTATCTGAACATGAACGACTTGCGGGAAGAGCCCCGTTTCCAGCGGGTCCGGTTCATATCCTCGTTCTTGCAAAATATCTCTGACTTGGCGGATGTCAAATTGCTCGGCTACGGCGTAGGCGGTCACTGTCTGGAGACGCCGAAACAATCAGTGGAAGAAGATTGTAGAAATCTCAGTTATGCCTACCTTAGTCTGATATAAACCCTGCTCTCTGAGGAGCGCCTTGGAGAGAATGCCATCCTTCGACCTCTGTGCCTCCACCGCTACTCGCCGCAATGAAGTGGGAGTAGCTGGTAACCTAAGACCCCGTCGACGTTGCTTCTGAGAATCCGGAGAGAACTCAATTGGCTCATCGTTGTTCTGTTTTTGTTTCAAGTGGGCGTTGGATGAGAAGAAATCCTTCCGTCGGGGAAGTGCCAATGGAGGAGAGACATGAAGGTATTGGGTCTGCGGTCGCGTAGGAAGCCGTAATACTGGGTGCTTGCAGCTCAAGCACACATATGGTCTGGCGAACATTGCGTGTTTATCCGAGGAACAAAAAAAGCCCAGTCGCTCGGTCGATGACATCGTTTTGCAGCCCGCGGCCCGATACCCTGCTTAGTCATCAAACCAAGCTCGGGGCCCTGACCTACCCCGGCTCAGTTGTATAACCACAGAATCCCGTTTCCAGCTTGTCGCATTCCACTTCAACCAGTTTGGGAGCTGCAGGTGCTGAGAGGGATTCGCCATGGACGCGCCTGGCGCGACACCGCCGGACGAAAGTGCCGTTCAGAGCACTCCCAAGCAAGACACATCCATACGAACCAGGTCACCTACAGACACGACCCAAGGCGCCCAAGATAGACACGAACGATACAATGACCACAGCTCTAGTAGCAGTGGTGACGGAGAAGAAGAAGGGGAGGCCGAGGAAGAAGAAGAGGGGGCCGAGGAAGAAGAAGACTCGGACGACGAGGACGAGGAGCCCCGCCTCAAGTACGCATACCTTACGAAGCACCTGGGATCAGTATATCGTAACGGGGATGCGACAAGCTCGTTCCTCGTAGCAGGAGATAAAATGGTCAGCATTCTTGACGGAATATACACTATATAATGAGCTAACAATGTGCCTAGATCGTTGGGACACACAACGGGAACGTCGTAAGTTAGCCATACCCGCGCGCAGACATATGAGCTGACCTTGTCAAGCATGTTATGTCATTGCCGCTTCTACAATCCCTCCGTGTATATCATGCACACTCAGCAAGTGTCACCTCAATATCGATATCGCCATTTCCGCCTCCCCTTCCGAACCTTAAGCAAGACACCTTCAGCAAGCAGACCGCAGAAGAATACAGGCCATCCACGCGATCATCTAATACCACCGGCAGTATCCGTGGCCAAGGAAAACCGGGTAACCATTCGACCGTCCCTCCCATACCGTCGAACTCGATTTACATCGGAACCTCCTCAATCGATGGCCACGTTTGCGTCTCGTCGCTAGTAGACCCCAAGGATGTGCTATTGCGAAATTTTGGCCGCCCAGTTCAGTCCATTGCTTTGTCTCCAGAGTACAAAAATGATCGGGCATTCCTCTCTGGTGGCCGAGCGGGTGAATTGGTCCTGACAACTGGCGGTCGTATTGGAGCGACCTCCAACTCGACAACAATGGGGGGTGCAGCCGCCACAGCATCAAGCTGGCTTGGATCCATGGGCCTGGCATCTACTAGTGGAAAAGACACAATTATCCACAGCGGTGAAGGCACTATAAGCACAATTAAATGGTCACTTTCAGGAAAATACGTGGCCTGGGTCAATGAGGAAGGCATCAAGATTATGCGGTCAAACTTGCATCTGGATTCTTCAGAGACAGAATTTGCCTGGAAACGAATCAGCCATATTGATCGTCCAAATCGTCCCGGCTGGGATGAAATGGCCGGTGTTTGGAAAGCACGCGCAGAATGGATCGACCAGTCTGCTTTAGACAGTCGGGACAATCTCGATCCAAATGACAATCCAGCAAGTCTAGAGGTACAGTCGACCGTGCCCACTGAGAAAGTGGAAAAGCTTGTCGTCGGCTGGGGAGGAACTGTTTGGGTCATTGATGTCTACCCCGAAAGGGCAAGCAAAACATCCAAAGGCGAGAAATTGGGCTCTGCAGAGGTTGTTACAATGTAAGCTGGAACTTTCACAGGCTGAATCGTTCATCGCTAACTTTGAACACAGATTACGAACAGATTGCGTGGTATCTGGCATCTCATTGTATACGCCTCGTCTTCTTGTCATTCTCGCATATATGGAAACCGAAGGTGAAACTGCAAGTAACATAATAGGCAGTGGGACGCGCAATCGAAAAAAGGGCTTGGAACCTGAACTTCGTGTCATTGACATTGAAACTAAGGAAGAAGTTAGTGCTGATACACTTTCAGTAAACCGGTTTGAAGGTCTATCGGCTTCTGATTACCATCTGAGTGTCTTACCCCCGTGGAAGACCCCAGAGGGACAAGTCGTCCAGCGTGGTGCCCTCGGGGCTCTCGGTTATGGCCTTTTGGATGCTACCATGTACCCTGCACGGCTATTCAGCTCTGGCGCCAGCATCCGCAGTACCACAAGTAGTGGCGACAAGGGGTCTGGTAGAGTTGCTCCCTCTTTCATATCCAAACTCCACGCGGCCGAGGAGGCCCTTCCGAAGGAGGTACAGGAAGTTGCAGGTGCTCCTGGTGCCAAAATCTTTGTCCACAGCCCTTACGACTGCGTTGTTGCAGTAAAAAGGGATCTTGCGGACCGGTTGTCCTGGCTTGACTCTCATGGCCAGTACGAGGACGCATGGCGTCTCGTCGATGAACATCCCGAAGCTGCGGGGTCGATACCTGACTTAACCGAAGTTATTTCTGAGGCTGCAGGAAGGTCCCAAACCAGTTTAGGCGAATTCTTTGCTGATGATCACTCATCCATCACGACGGCTGGTCGAACAAAAGTTTCTGCTGCTGAACAGGAAAAAGCTCGCCTTGGGGAACTTTGGATCAACCAACTGGTCAGCGAAGATAAGTGGATTGACGCTGCGAGTATTTGTGGTAAAGTCATCCGCAATGCCCCTCGATGGGAACACTGGGCATGGACCTTCATAAAAAATGATAAAATCGACGAAATCACTTCACAAATCCCGGTTGACTTAAATCCATCGTTGTCTTCTCGAATTTACGAAGTCATTCTCACTCACTATGTGTCTCGAGACTTGGTCAAATTCAAAGAACTCATCGAAACATGGCCATCCGATTTGTTTGATGCGAATGTGATCGCAGAAGCCATCGAAGCACAGGTGAAATCCAAATCAGTGCGCGCCGAGTCTGAGGAGTGGCGACTCCTCACAGATTGCCTCGCCAAGTTGTTCCTGGTAGGAGGGCATCACCGCGAAGCCTTGCGTTGCTATATTCGACTGCAAGATGGAGATGCTGCTATGGCTTTGGTTCGGGAACACCGTTTGCTCGACGCAGTCACTGATGATATACCGGCTTTCATTATGATTCGCGTTTCCAAAGAGCAAATGAAGTCAGCCACGAAATTCGAACTGGAAGAGTTGACATCTGAGCCCACGCGACTCCTTGTAAGTGAAGCATACACGGGCATCGTTCTCCCAGATACCGTGGTATCACAGTTGATCGCCGCAAACCGGTTCCTGTTTCTTTATTTCTATCTCCGAGCGCTCTGGCGAGGTGAATCATTACCGCACGATGCCTCTAAGCCCAGAAGAGGTCGTGGAACTCATGCTCGGGATGCAGCTAGCAAGCTTGCTGCCGATGAAGGCAAAGCCCTGATTGATAACTTTGCCGATACGGCCGTTGAATTATTTGCCGACTACGACCGGCCTCTCCTGATGGAGTTCCTCCAAACAAGCATATCATATTCATTCGAGAAAGCCACATCCATCTGCGAAGACCACAAATTCACGCCAGAGTTGATTTTCCTCTTGTCCAAGATGGGCCAGACGAAGCGAGCCTTGAACCTGATTCTATCGGATCTCAAGGATGTTTCACAGGCCATTTCATTTGCAAAATCACAGGAGGATCCTGATCTGTGGGAGGATCTGCTTGATTACTCTATGGACAAGCCAAAGTTCATTCATGGTCTTCTTGTCGAGGCCGGGACGGCCATCGACCCGATAAAGCTTGTGCGTCGGATACCGAGCGGGCTGGAGATTGAAGGTCTAAGAGAGGGCCTCACTCGCTTGATTCGTGAGCATGATCTGCAGGCTAGTATCAGCCAGGGCGCGGCTAGAGTCATGCAAAGCGAAGTTGCACTTGGGATGGACTCGCTGCGCAAAGGTCAGCGCCGGGGAATCAAATTCGATGTCATTGATGACGGAGAAGAAGATTTCAATAAGACCCCGACAATGAAGGCCCAAGCTCAAGATCAAATATCCGTGACCAGTGGCGCGAGAAAATTCGGAGGCCCTGGACAGGGAAGATGTGGCGGTTGCAAAGCCGCCTTCCGGGCAAACGGTATGATTTTGAGCTAACTCTTTCCATATTTTATCCTCGGGGGAAAAGAATAATGCTAATAATAACCCTGTTACAGAGCGAGAAATCCTCGTTGGCTTTGCCTGTGGCCATATTTTCCATCTATCCCACTTGCACCCAGACACGCCACAGCAACAATCCGGCACGACCAGCCGTGACCGATCCGCCGATCTTACGCCCCGAGCCATGTCTCCAGTCGACGAGACCCGATCTTCCACTGCGTCTCGCACCGTTGGGCCCAAAGTCACGACGGCAAGAATCCTGCGAGACAAGATCGGTGATGGATGTCGGATCTGTGCTCTGACGAGAGATATTGAATCCCTTGGTGAGGTTGAGGTTTGAACTCTGTTGGGGTAGGGACATCTGTACCCATTCACGTCTGTCCTGTGTGTATACACCATGTGCACATACCTATGCATTCTCCTTGTTTCTCTGAGATACCCTGGCTTTTAGCCAAGCTACTATACCCATTTGTTGGGGATATTAGCATTCATCCATTCTGTGAGGTTATCATAGTGTCCATTGTGCATTTGATAAAGATGTGTGTTATTTCCAATACTTTGGCTGCTCACTACATACGTAGTACTTTCTATTTATCTGTAACATTTGTTTCACAGCCGAAATATAACTACCCGAATGCACTGTTCGGCCAGCTCTTTTGTCCTTGGGCTTTCTATTCGGCTGCAGATTACGAATTATAAGATACTTTGGTCTCTTCATCAGTTAGACACAACCAATAGTGAACATTTCTGAAATTAGGAAAGCTATGCTTCAACTAGAATATGAGTCACTGATAAAATTTGCAAGATTAAAGGGAGCCAGTTGCATCCCATAAAAAAAAACAAACGGCCACCCATCAAAACCATGGGTTCCTCAAATTCCATCGCAAACACAGTCGTCGCATCAGGTACTATCCTCGCTGCATCATAAGATGGCTAGACTTGCCTCCTAACACGGTAAGAGTACGTGGCGTTCTCACAGAATCAAGTGAAAAATGTGAGAGAGCATAATCACAATGCTCATGGTAAAGAGACGGCTGTTCATGATTCCAGCGGCATTGGCACCGTTGAAAACAGGAGAGGGGGCATGAGTGCCACTGGAAGAAGTGCCATGAGGAGATGGCGGGACAGTAGCCTCCTGGGTGTGGGTAGGCTGTTGGGAAGGCAAAACTGGAACATTGGGCCCGGTTGTGGTTCCCTCGGCCTCAGTCACCACGGGCTTGGGGACAGTGGTCGTAGCCAAAGTGGTCGGGGCCACAGCGACTGGCTGAGTCTGAGTAGTCTCTTGGGTGGTACCCTGCTGGGCAGGAGGAGCAGGAACCTTGACAATAGTAGTAGCCTCAACAGTGGTGGCGTGCGGAAGTGGGACCAACTCAGTCGGCTTAATCTCGGTAGTCACCTCGTGGGTAGGAGCCTGTGGAACTGGAGCAGGAACAGTTGGCTGAATCACAGTAGTCACAACCTTGGTCGTCTCCTGCGGGAGAGCACCGGGAACAGTCGGCTGGATGACAGTGGTCACCACCTCAGTGGTGGGCTGTGGAGCAGGAACTGTAACCGGGATTGGAGTCACAGAGATGGTGGTAGTCTCCGTAGGAGTGGTGGTGTACACCTTGGTACTGATGCATTTCGTAGTCTCGGTGCAAGGGATCTCAACCGTAACAGTGACCTCTTCAGTGGCAACCGGGACAGGAACGGGAACAGTCGACTGAATCTCGGTGGTGGTATTGGCCTGTGGAGCGAGAGCCGGAACGGTTGTGTTCGAGACCGGCAGGGTGCTGGTGGTAAGAACCTTGGTGCTGACACACTTGGTGGTCTCAGTGCAAGGAACCTCAACAGTGATAGTGATAACAGTGGTCACCGGAGTAGGAGCCAGTTCAGTTGAGTTGAGGCAAGGAGACGTAGTGTAATAAGTGGTCACATCAGTCACAGTGCCAGGAGCCTGGGGAACAGTTGAGTTTGTGTAAGCAATTCCAGTAGTGCCAGGGACAGGAACCACCTTGGTAGGACGAGAAGATGTAATGGACCCAGTAGTTATTTCAGACGCAGTTCCAGGAAGCGTAGAGGTGACATGGTCCACAGCAGTGGTGGCAGGAACAGGAGTCACGCTGGTAGCATTGGGACTTGTTGTCACCTCAGTAACAGTACCAGAAACCGTGGAAGTGGTGTGGTCCTCAGCAGTGGTGGCAGGAGCAGGGCCCACACTGGTAGCATTAGGACGAGAAGAAGAAACCGACTCAGTGGCAGTGGCAATAACAGTGGAGGATCCAGTGTTGGTTCCAGGGCTGCTTCCAGTGGGCACCTCAGTAGTACTGGGCACTGAGGTCTGAGCAGTTATGGGTACAGAAGACTGTGAGGTCACCAAAGTGGTGCCAGGCGCAGAAGTCTGGGTTATGCCGGGTACAGAAGACTTGGTGGTCACCTGGGTAGCACTGGGCACAGGAGTCTGAGTAGTGCTGACAGGCACTGGAGTCAGGGAGGAAACCGGTGCAGTCGGCTGAGAAGACACCTCGGGGGCGCTGGGCACAGCAGTCTGAGTGGTAACAGGCACCGTGGTCGAGAAAGTAGTAGGCACAGTAAACTGAGAAACACCAGGCACAGGGGTGGTGACCTGAACCGGGGCTGGAGTAGTAGACTCCGTGAAGAGAGGTGTGGTCGAATGGCCAGTGGTGCAAGGATTATCTGTGGTAACAGTTGTGGTCGATTCCTCAGGACCGCAGGTGGTATGGGTAACCGTGACAGTGACTAGTATCAAGTTAGTTTTTGGTCTGAAAAAAAAGCGAGGGAATTGAGAAATCTCTGTATAGAGGAGATGAGCCTGGACTTACTCAGTTCAGAAGCGTGAACAGCACGACCAAACAAGGCCCGAGGCAAAATGTTGACTGTGGAAATTGATCAGTAACGGCAGATTTCAAGGCGGACCCAGACAGTGAGCTTGACTTACCCTCACCAAACTGGTACTGCTCCCCAGTGTGGGGGTCCTGAAGAAAGACCGTCTCGATGTTATGGCATTCTGTTCAGTGACAAGGTCAGTAAGTGGTCATAGTGCAGCCAGTCATGGGCCATGATATGTACCAGCCGAAGCAGCAGCCATGGTCACCAGAATGGTGACCATGGCCAGAAGCAACTTGAAACGCGTCCAAGCTACCATCTTGGCGAAGATGGAGGTTGATAAACGAATGTAAAATGATGGCTTGATGGAATAACCAAGCAATCGATGAAAACGAAGGTGAAGGTAGAAAAGGGACAACGAACGTGAAGTGGAAGAGAGAAAAGGGGAGAAAAGAAAGAGGGAGGAAGAAATAGTAAACAAAGTAACCATCTGAGGAAGGAACGCTGCCCGTGACGACGGGCACACGTGCTGGTTTCTGATTGTGTTCTTTCCATTTTTGAGGCAAACGTACAAGGAAGTCACGACTCCCGCTTACGGCTATGGTGAGGTCCTTGACGGGGTGGTACTGTTGGGATATAATTTGAGCACACCTCGGTGTGTGACTCGAATAGAACCTTAAACTGGATGCACCGGCAACCGTAGGTGTACAACCTGAGTGAGACAGTCTAAATCTAGTTCATTGACTGGAATGGCTGCAAAAGACAAGGCCCTTTGCCTAACCTCGGGGGGTTTTGTTCGGTAGAATCATGCCGTGGGCTACAGTAAAGGACTCAATTTCCGGCCTTGGCATAGAGATCAGCTCAAAACCAGCCCCCTAGGACTCTCAGAAAAACAGAACTATTTCTATAAAAAGGCTGGGGTATCACAGACAATGGTCTATGTGGCACATTAACAAGACTACAAAGACAAACAGACATAGCTCTATGCTTTGTTATGGTCAGGCCATAAAGATCCTAAACTAAGTTTGAATATAAGACAAAGTAGCAAAACATTGCAAGGATATTAACTTTTAATATCTTTGAAGTAACGATTATCATTGGAATGGCCTAAATTTAGGTCAGACACTGCGAGAAGGTCAAGTGCCGAAGTGGGATATCACTTGAGCGTCGAAGTTGTTAATTTGCAGCAAGTCTAGAATGGGGTTCTATTTTAACTTAAGCATCAGCCCTATATCAGTGCGGAGGATGATATATGCTATACTGTCAGGTCAGGTGAGGTCAGGGGCAACGGTGACACGACTTAGGGCATCAGGTGAAATTACTACGACATAATCACGACATGAGCAGCCATGGATAGGTATCATTTGAGCCTTGTAAGCACAATGCTAAGGTTAATTATGAGAAAGATGACATCCAGATTAAGTGCAACGTTTCTATATCGTAGACACAAAGTATGTTCCTATAAGCAGTGCCTAGCCAATCTAAATACCCACTATGGAAAGCAACAAATGCCAATCAGAGTCCCAGCCGGTAGATATCTCACGGCAAAAGAGAGAGAGAAATACTGAAAGAAAAAACAGACCAATCAAGGACATCAGTCAGAGTGGCAAACATGACTCGGAGATTCCGATGTTGTATGGGCACTTCGGCTACTAACCGAAAAATACTAGTGTATACAGATACATACATACGTTGACGTATTTCTAAAATACCCGGCCAAAGTTCGGTATGAAACCAGAACCTCTCTATCCAAAGGAGCGGTCACATAACGGGACGACCCGCGCAGAGAAAAAAAGAAAATATAAATAATTTTCTTTGGCCCCGCTTCTACGGAACTGGCGTATTATGACATCATATTGCTTATGTGTGTGTATACGTATCAAAATACTTCAAAGTTGGGAATTCAAGCTGAAGTAGCTTGAAATGCGGAAATTGTGGGATGTGTGGCCATAAATTTTGTATATTTGATATTAATAGAGAGCTAATCAGGATCCACCGAGTTCAAAAAGTACAAGGTACTATTGTACAATATATATGCCAAGTTGGCACATCTCGGCTTGCGAACACATCCACTCTATCCCTCTTTTTCTCTACTAGTTGCCACCGAAGTTGATCCTTGCCTCTTTAACTACGATCATAAGCCTCCACCCCACAACTACATTTTTGTCGTGCAATGCAATGATGTCAGATGAAATGTCAATTACATCTCTTCCAGTGGAAGTAATGTTCAACATCTGCAGCTATATATAACTTTTTGAATAGCAAGCACTCAGATTATCATGTCGCGCATTGTACAGCACATCGCTTAAGGGGTACTCCAATCAGTATTTCAAGAGCATTCACTTCATTATGACAAGCGGTAGCCTTCATGAACTAGAAATCTCGGCATAAAGGTATAGTCGGAGATAACTCGAGTCTCCTAACATCAGAAGCCTTTGGCCCCCAATTTCGCGGATGCTTAGAGCGATTCGACAAGCTTGAGACAGTTGGACGTGCGTAGTATACACCGACTTTTTTTGCTTACGTTTTTACTCAGTGATAAACAGGAAGGGAAAGGTTGCGAGTGGCGGACTTTATCCTACATACACACGATGTACGATGTAGTTTGAAATCCAGTGTTCGGCAATCTCGTTGTAAACTCGGGGTTGTGTTTTCTTTACCAAACAGAAGAGAGGTTCTACCAAAAGGCCTATTAAAGGCTATGATCTTATTACTGTACGTTATTACTTCCGAGGTCTGTGCCTAGGGCATCCATGGAAACGAAATCACTCCATACCTCTGGGAGAAGATCACAACGGGAAAGAGAAAATGATACATCTGCAGTGTAACCGATAGTAAGCGTCGCAAGCATACATTACAAAAGCAAAAAAGAGGGATAAAAATATCAAAGCATGCATGTACCATACGATATAGAAGTGGCTGTATGCTCGATCTGGAAATTCGATGAATACCACCGAAATGACGACCCAACGGAAGACTCCCGTGCCCGAAAGCCACCTGGACATTGGTTGGCGGGACAGGATGGGCGAGAGGCCCATCCAATCAGAAGTTTTATGTAAACCCGAAGGAGCGGTCCATGGGACCTCGGGATCTTCAATATCCAAACCACGATTCCGTAATGACCCCGGCAATGCTCAACAGCCGTGCTCTACCAGGTTACTGGAAACCGGGGATGGTGTTTTGTTGACTTTTGTGGCTGAGAAAGCCACAGTCCGTGTTCCACTGGGTTGATATGGAATGAATTGTGGACCGTGAGGCGTTTTTCTTCCCTCTGCTCGCACAGCCCGATTTGGAGGGGTTTAAGCGTCAGCGTCCTCGGTTAATGTGGCGGCTTTCATGCCGAGAACTAGTTACCAAACGCATGATTGTTCCAAGGGTCTTTCATGGTGCCAAGGGGTGGATGGCTGTTGGTCGCTTTATTGGCATAGTTGATAGGGTTTAACAATTGCGTATTAGAGATAGTACCTTGTGTTCGAGATAGGATAAAGTACAACTTCTACATGCAAGATTATAATTGAGGTAGCAAGGTCATCGTATTCTGCACCTGCATCAGAGCGGCTGACTTATAGTCCGTCCTCAGGCGACTATCTATATCAAATGATACAAGGCCCGTATATATACACACAGGCATAGACGCGGACAAAGATCGCAGAAAAAGTCGAACGCTCAAAGCTGGTAAAGACCAGCAACCAACAAAAAAGAAAAAAAAAGAAAAAAAAGGAAAAAGGGTTAATGTCGAATGAAAAAAGCTGGGAAATCAAATATGGAAAGGATATCAACGTCGTATGCTCGGCCCTCGACCAGATCGAAATAATAACCAGAACAAGCAGACAAAGATATCAATAGTTCCATAGCCCATCGACTCATATATCGTCGTAGTGGGTACGCAACGCTAAGGTTAAACAAAGATATCAAAAAAAATCAAAAACATAGTATAACAGGGTATCGTTGCTCGGAGACTCGTTTATTATCACCGTGTTCAACGCCCCGTAGAAAAAAAAAATTGGATGCCGGCCCATTGAAAAGGAAATATGAAAACAAGAAATGACAAGACGAGAGCAACCGATGCACTCAAGATGGAAAGTTCGTATGCTGCAGACCAGAGTGAAGAGACCACAGTGGCCAGCGAGGTGAGATGAGGCGAGTTGAAAAGAAGATTTACTTTTGCATTATGTTCGAATTTGAGAGGCGGGGGCATGGCCTTGAGATGTAGGCGATGCGGTTTTAATAGGTTAATTTGATCTCCATGGGAGACCCGGGTGTGCCAGAAGCACTGCCATTGGGATCTGGTGTTTCGGAGATGTCGACGATCATGTCTTGACCCTCTGGAAGATGGCGGACCACATCATCATCAACTATGACTCGCATGCCTTTCTCATGGGTATGCATGATATTTGAGATTCGCATCGGATCGATGTGATATTTCTCGGAAATTTGGCTCACGAGGTCTCGAACAGTGCGTTCTGTCAAATAAATTGCACGGTAGTAGTCCTCTGAGCGCTTCGAATTTCCAGTGAATCGAATATAAAAGCATGCAACTGCGAAGAGAATCAGCAAGGATATTAACGATCGGGTTGTGCTCGAAAAAAGCTTACTCGGCTTGGGAGGGCGATCCGCCGGAGGTCGGTAGGTTGAGTCTACACCCATGGCCTCTATGAATCCTCTTGAGACTTGGTCGCCAGAAGGAATTCTCTGGATGGTGGTCGGGCGATTTCCTAATCTGAGTGCTTGGGTAGGCGGCGAATTCGAAGAAGAGGTATTGGTGTTGGGCGGCGAAGGCATCATTGACTCCAATTCACGTGTGCTTGAACGGCTCATATTCCCATACTGGGGGAATCGCCATCACCTGATAGCCGAATGGGATATAGGTCGGGATCATCGAATTTTTCACCGCGCAAGCCGAAAATGCTCACTGCGCGAGTAGATGAGAACATCTCTTGCATCATAGACAACTTGGCTTGAAGATCATCCTCCAAGGAGACTTTTTCTGGAGGAGCATCTTCCGAGTCTATCGACCAAGTTCGCTTGTGGCTCGAAGGCTTCATAGGATTGTCGGATCCCTTTGCGGTAGCAGAAACATTGTTTCCACGCTTGCGCTTCGCAAATCCACCACCCATTTCTGCCTGGGAGACTTGCTGCTTAAGTTTATCGATGGTCTTCTTGACATGCGCAACGTCATTGGACAGCTTCCGCTCAGCGCCGTGATCTCGGAAAAGCTTTACTTTGCAGAAAGACAGCTCTGTATCGCGCGATACACCTGTCTCCTCACCTGGGGATAAAAGCTCGGTTTTGGCGCACAGTCTGACAGGAATTCCCTTCACTCCTTTTGAGTGGCTGAAATCCGTGGAAAGGAAATTGAACCGGACAGGAATGTTGCAATCCGATACGCCGGTCGCTGGGTTGGCGGTCCAAGTGACGCAGAAGCCGTCGACTGACATACTCTCGACTTGCACCTGTCGATTCCTGTGTGCATCACTGCCACCTTGTAATGGATCCACATATTCAACAGCTAATAATTTTCCGCCCCGTTGATGGGCTTCTGTGGTACCTCGGCCTTCCTTCCATAGTTGCCAACATGTTGACGGTTTCGCTCGTTGTTCTCGCTCTTCGAAGGAAACGCGGACAAATGTTCTATATCGAATCGGTTCGTGGTTGACCATTGGTGGGCTCGTGTCGATAACTGAGATATTGTATGCTTGGCCCTTATTGAGATAGGTTACAGGAATTTCACTCAGGTTCTTCACCATGGCGGTTGGTGCCCGTAGAGAAACATTGAAGCGAAATCTAGAGTGTGATAGAACGCGGTTAGCATTGAACAGAAATTCACTTTTTGTCAAATCATTCAACTCACTGTTCGCCCTTCGCATAGGACATGTCACCACCAATTTGAGCCGAAATTTCCGTAGAGGCCGTCACGTTGGATGCTGTTTCGACATTTACATCATTTAGAGCAGAGTCATCGAGAGTATCATCCATGGCGTCATATCCGGTGTCGCGGTGCATGAATGCGCTTGGTGCATATGACGGTTGCTGTGTGTATTGGTTCATGCCATGGACTGGATTTATGAACTGCGGGTGGAAGGGCTCAAAGCCATTGCTGTGGTGGTTTTGTATAGCTGGCATGCCCGCCAGCGGGGTCATCAAGTGCATCCCGGTTGGAGTATGCAAATCGCCAGCCTGATTATGGAACATTGCACCCATTCCAGAAGAAGTTGGAGTATAAAAGCCTGAATGCTGGTTGGCAAGAGGCATCATTGAATATGAAGCGGATTCCATCCATGAGGGCGTCAACCCCAGGTCTTGCATATTTCGGGGAGTGCGGACGTTGGTGATGGGGAACTTGAGATCATGATTCTCCATTTTCACATCGTTGTTCTCGGCCATTCTATGAGCAAGAAATGTTTTCTCAGTTCTAATCCCATACCTTTCGCCTGGATACATGATGTACATACCTTGGGGCTATCGAAGGTTCACCCCTCACATTGCGCGGGCTCTCGCTGCGCCGAGGGACAATATCTGAGAATGCTTGCTGGAAGCGACTGATGAACTCGCCATCCGGCTTCTGGGCGTTGTTCCTGTTGAGCAGAAAGAATATAAAGTTAGAAATGGAACCATTATACTATTGATAGATTAAGTGTAAAAACTCACCGGCTGTTGAACATTATTTATTTTATCAATGCTTCGCTTGACCCGGGAGAGTGAAGGTAAGAAACCAAGAAATTTTCGGCCCACTGCCAGTAGGGTTGGGATGGGATGTGCTCTTTCTGGTCTTCGTTTCGAAACGTGGATTATCGAAATTGGGGAGCGTTCGGATCTCGTAGTACGCAGTCTTGGATAGTTTGAGATTGTGCGAAGCCTCAAGTGAAAGGGTCTATAAGGAATTTCCTCTGAAGGAATGCGCAAATGACTAGATCGGGGTTGAAATGAAGTACGCCAGAAACGGAAGATCGGACTAGATCAAAAGGGTGAAGGTAGATAAAGTATAAGTCCAAGACAATTTGCAAAAATAGTAATGGAGTATGTTTCCTTCCAAGGTTCTTATAAGGGATTGGAGGAAATGATGTATAATTGGAGAGACGAGGGGTGAAAGGAGGGGAGATGACGATGTTTTAAGGGAGGGGAGAATGGGAAGGAATAGTAAGGATGGCACGGTCAATGAAGCCCTCCAATGAAAGACGTATAAGAGATGCCCCCAAAACCGTCACTGAGCCACAGTGGACTTTTAGCAAAAAAGGGGGTCCATTGAATGTGGAAGATATTAAGAGTTGTGATCAGGAGGGAAGCTGTTGCCACCTGGGAGAAACTGATAAGGACAGGAAGAACAGGGGGGCCACTTTTGGTAAGAGGCGTTTTCTTTTTTCTTTTTTTTCTTTCTTTTTCTTCAAAAAAATCTCCCGATATGGTCGAACTACAAATAAATTCTACAAATATATTGGCTGAATAACTTGATTGGTAAACAAGCGAAATAAATTATGGAGAAAGGTTTGAAAAAGGCAGTTCCCGAGTTACGGAGAGAACCGTGCAGGTATAGTGGGGAAAACAAAAGCGAGAGCGAAGTGTAAATTTACATACGATGTATGGAGTATTGTATCAAATTTCGATCCCTTACGCTTTATTTTATATAACTCACCATAGGGCAGAGTAGACAACATACATATATATACATAGGTATGTTTATCTTGTTCTTCTTTTCATTCCGTCCAACCAAGGAACATTTCATATCCAGCATCGTGTCCATGCTATATGATGTATGGTCCTCCATTTCTAGCATATAATAACACTTGCTGCGGTTTATTACACAGGAATGTGTATACATTAGTGTAGCGTCTTCATAAGACGACTCATATCCACGGGTACTTGGGAGGGAAACTTGGAAGCATTTCCCGTTTGTATTAAGTAATATAACTTGGTTGCCCACCTGGGCAGGTGTTGTTAGTTGCACGGAGTACATGCGAGCGTTTGTAGCTAGCCAATACTATAACCATCATTCATTGTTCAAGACTTCAAATGCGTCAACATCACAGCCCTATATCTAAAAGTCTGACCTCATACTAGTGTGTACATTGTACAACATACAAAGTACTTCAGCCGCGACGAAGGAGTGTGGAACTGTGAATCTTTGGTAGAAGCTGTGATAGGTGGCCGGCCCGGCCGGATCTGCATCCAATCTGATATTGTTCGGATAATATATATTTTTCCACTGGAATCCATTGGCTGGACCCGGGGATCTGTCACTTGAATCAGCTGGGTGTTGCCTAAAACATTTAAATTTATGGTGATGATCTCATCTTCGGTCTCTTGCGGCTCAAGGGGACCATAGACGCTGTGGCTTAGTTGATAAGTGGTTACTCTCATCGTGCGCCGAAACTACGGTTACTAGTGTCTATTATATATTCCAATTGTATAGTCCAAGGTTGTAACTAAATTTACTTATCAACATGATTCAGCCATGACTTGTATACTGGGGCGTTATGGAATGTCAAGACATGATGTGGCGTTGATACAATAAAATACAGCCGCATACCATGTAAAAACAATGCCAGTCAAACACAGCTCATTGCTGGAAGGACCACCCACCAGTAATATTGCTCAATTTACCCTTGAATGATCGGCAGAGCACGTGCTGTAAATATTTTTACCATAACTGGTAGGTACTTTATACATGGATACATGTACCGGTACATCGAGTACAAGGGCATGGACTCCGTACCTTGTACCTTAGAGCTCTCAATTTAAGTTATTGAAGCTAAAGCACGGAATCCGTGCATTGGTTTCCGAAATTTGTAAATTACTAGTCTAGGCTCACTTTGAACATCCACACACAAACATCCAATGTTCTAAGTGCAAAATACCCGAACGCCTTCTCCACTTACATCACCTCATGCAATAAAAGGAGCATCCACTATTGCTCGTCATTGACATTCTCTCCACTTTCTTTTTAAACGGCCTAGGGTCTAATTAGAGCTGACGTAACGGCCTTTCTTCCCGAGATCCGATTTACATACTATGATAAGCAGTAAAAGCCACGTCGTCATAGGAACATTTTCGATGATATATAACAAGGGAAAATAATGGTGAGCTAGACACCGGCGGTTGCGCTGGAAAGGCCACATCCACAGATGAGAAAAAAAACTAAAAACTAAAAACTAAACAAAAAACAGTTTGAAGTAACTAGGCTTCTAATTTGTGTTATTATCATTTCATTGGGATTAATCGGAAACGGTAGCTGTATAAGTTATACAGTCGATTATTGGTCGATCTGCATCGGGGTATGAGGCTACTAAACCACAATAAGTAAAAATGTAGTAACGTTGTACAATTTAATAATATGTACCTAGGAAAAGTTCGTGGGGCTATAGCGCTGATCGGTTACATCATTCGTACAGGGGTGCAATAATAATGAACGAGCTTCTCTACAGCACGAAGCAGGGTGTGTACAAAGCTTCATATGGAGTACGGAGTAATTGGATGAATGACGACCACGACCCCAGACAAATCGACAAGCCTGCCAGAAAAGAAAAAGAAAGTCAAATATGGTAAATCGTAGATCGGCAATGGGGAGAGGGTCCGATCTACCCTGGCTTACAGTGGTATAGCCAGTCAGGCCAACAAACGGTCTTGCCACTTTGATTTTTCAGGCACCCCAAGCGCTTTCAGAAATGAAATTCCACCGGCTTACGCAGCTTTGCATTAGCCACAAGCATTTCCCCATTCTGTTCCCACTTATGCTTAGCTTAAGCACGAATGACATGTTCCCAAGTATGTACTTGTGTACACTTGGGCACTCTATACTTTGTACGGAGTATTAATGTCTCATATCCCAGTAAGAAAATCCAAAATGCCCATTGGTTAGCTGCTTAACCCTGCCGCGGTCATGATATTACACTCACTATACAAAGTACTACCACTAACTAATTACATAGTTAGTACTTATGTACCCTATGACGAGTTCTAATATCCCCATTATTGGACCTGTCTATATCTTCAGGAATTCGGATACATAAATATGTACCCCTATAACTTTGGAAGTATCAAATGTTCCCCAGAGTCGCGGGCCGATCTCGTGAGGTTCCGACATGACGAGGTCTGTCCCGAGAGGTAGTTGATGGCTAGCTTGTGCCGTCTCCAGTTTCACTCCACAATAACGGGGAGAACGATCCTCGCCGGGATTGGCCGGCTAACGCTTCCGTCTAGGAATGAATTTGTACTGGACGTCATCATAATAAGCTCTGTCTGTAGATCGTACCTATGATTTCTCTAACCTACGTTATTGGTGATGGGTTATTTTTCCGTAGCTCCATCTCTAGGGCTGTAGATTGTACAATAAACACTAAACCAAATATAGACTTCCTCCATAAGGGCATTGGCAGAACTTTGCTATGAATCATAGAGCTTGTTAGCACGTGGGGTCATTTTTGTTTGCAGAGACTGCACATGTGGGATTATTAGGCGTTCAATTTCCGAAATATGCCTCGATTCCCTTGTTTTCGGGAGACAATTTTAACAAATGCGAGACACACCCCGAGGACTCTGACTATGTAATGCTGGAATCTGTCTACTCAGGAGAGTAACCCCCTAGCCTGTCAGTGCTCAGCAGCTACTCTGTTACAACGACGTAGGATTGTTTTTCGGTTCACGTTCATTTACTCTTCGGATTGCCATTCTTGAACATTGACGGTGGTTTCATGACATTACCATATGAACTATCCAACCAATATGAATGATGTCCCCCCTTTACAAAATGATCCGGTAGTGCTGTTTGGCCATCGGCATGCTCAATGATTCCCAGTAAGTGTAGTCCCATGCACCCGGGACCTGTATCGACCGCGTCTAAGGTCAAAGAAAATATCACCATGCATACATGCAACCCTAACACGCCCATGACGCCGATGTGTGACAGAAAATAAAACAGAAGAAAACATATAGACACAGACACAATCCTACAGAACCTCGTGTATATAGTGGCCAATGGCCTGTTCTGGAACGCGGAATTGCCTGTTCCCAGACTAGGGATGAAAAGAGGGTAAAAGGTGCAAGAAGATGCAAGGCTTAGTAGCCGTTAGAGGAGATGAATGAGGAGGATGCCCTGCAGTCATTCGCAGTCCACCATAGTGTACGATAGTTGACCGAGTTTGTAGCTTCGAGGCATGGACATGAGGACGAGGAGCTTCGAGAGTTGGAGGAAAAGGAAGTTGGTAGACAGTGATGTGCTATCAGTGCTGGATGATCAATGAGAACCCATCAACCCATGATGCACAGGAGCCAGAGATTCCAGCAATTTTGTAGCCCAAAGGAGGTATTAAAGTGTGGCTGTTTCGAAGTTGGTTAGCTTGCTTCAAGTATCGCGAGAGAATAAAAGAGAATACATACCCTGAGCCACCAGCGGCATTTCCATAGACACCAGATTTCCTCCCCAGGCTCGTGAGAATCTCGATGCCATCAATCCAGAGACCAGCCCGGACATAGAACCCAAGCAGAATTTCACCGCGTCGAGTATCAAGGACAAACTCATCGCCGCCAGGTTTGCCTCCTCGCTTGCCGAATAGCTGGCTGGTCGCGTCCTCGTAGTAGAACTCGATTCCATCCAGTGCATTGCCATGGTAGACTTTGATCGATGTCAAGAGCTTTGTTTTGATGAAGGCACATTCCAGCAACAACTGCTCTGGCTCACTGCCTTCCATCGCCGAGTGGCCTAATCTCCCGCTTTTGAAACCAGACTGGCTTTTGGGCAATTTGACGAGAGAATTTTTCGATTTCAGATCGCCAATATTCTCAACAGTGTAGCTGCCCAGTGCACCAGAGCAGACTACCAGACGGATGTTCTTTTTCTTTTCCTTTTCGGTGCCATACACACGTTGGCGAAGCTCGCTCTCTGTCACCGCAACTTGTCGTGGCAGTCCGTTGGGGCTCGACTCGCTGTTCAAGTACTCAATGAAGTTGTGGCAGAAGGTGTCACCCTCGGCATATAGTTCCATGAACGCAATCCCCGACGAAGCAGTGAACAATATTTTGCCGTTCTCGACTGGCCACACCTGGACGCTATCATCCGAAGTCGGAGAAGGGTCACTTGGGAGTCGGAAGCTGGGGTGGAATCGGAAGCGTAGCGCATCGAGGCGATGCCAGCTACACTCGTCGTTAGGCAAGCACACTTTCAACCCTTGGGCCTTTGTGCGCGTTGAGAAAGGCTCTCGGGTCAGGAATGTCCTGTTCAAACGCACATAATCGCGAAGCATGACTCCAGACTCCTGGTGAGGACATCCGAAGAGATGGCCCACCTCGTGCATATGAGCACCAATGCCCAAGTTTGCTGATTCCCAATTGGAGCCCGCCTCGCCACAGTCATTGGCGACGTGGTTCGTATCCGTGCGGGTGCAGTCTGTGAATGCATCCACGACTTCTTCCAGACACGATGGATAGCTTTGGAGACAATGGGACCCAAACAGGGCCATTTTGATATCGTCGTCGGCCGAACCTAAAGCCGCATGGCCGGTGATCATCTGGGATTCGGTATCCCAATGAGAATCGAGGAGGAGAACGGAGACGTATTGCTTCTGGCCAGGCTGAGGCTGGAAATGATTTCGCACCGCGTCTTTAGCAATGACGAACAACTCATCTCTCTTGTCAGCTTTCTCGTTCTGCTGGGCGATATTGAGACCTCGGAGTTCGGCCACTGTTTTCTCAGTGCGGACTACATGAATCTTGGCCTCATTCCGCATCTGGCCTTGGATCAAGTCACGTCGGCTCAAGCTACCGGACTGCCACTCTTCCTCGAATCGGAAACAACGCCGCCCGAAGTTATTACGGAACATCTGTTCACCGGTGAAGGCCTGCCAGAGATAGGCCGCCATGCGGTACTTTCGAATCGCCATCTCCAACCCGTTTCCTTCGCGCTCTGCCCTTTCCGGTACTGCATCGTATGTGCCGTCTGAATCTTTCCCCAGGAGTATGACCAGCTGCAATGGGGGGTTGTTGACCAGAGGAAGGTAGTTGATGCAAATCCAGGAGGAGTGAATGGCGGGGTGGGTGCTGCCTGAGGACAATTTTGGCGAGACAAAGTCAAAGCGAAGGCGATTAGGACCGGGAACTAGATGAACGAGGACTTTAAAATGCGATGCCGTGACGGGCCAGCCGGTCGACGGGAAATTATCTTGGTGGTGATAGACGGTGACATTTCCGTCCAGCGGATGTTGCCTTGGGTCGCCGATTTGACCATATACGAGCAGCACTTTCTGGTTGACCTGCACGACAGTCAGATACTTGATTCCATTTCACCAGAGAACACTATGTGCCTCCAATTCCTGCCCTGGCAGGCAACATACCCATGAATTATCAGCCACAGACACAAGTCGCGGGGCATAAGGCGAGACGGGAGCTTGTGATCGGTACGCGCCATTGACTGAGGACGAGCTGCTACCCTATATTCCCAAGCGATCAGAGTCAGTATTGTCAGTTGTCGCGGGAATGAGTCTGGGTACGTACGATAACGCTGTTTCGCTGATGGCTGGTCACCAGAGGCCCCGGTCGCTGTGTGGGCGTTGCCACGCTGACTGCACTGGTGGTTTCGGATTCATTGAGAGCAGGAAGACTGGGGGTTGAAAGGGTCGGTCTGATCGATGACGGTGGAGTGATGGAGTTGTGGGAGGAAGTGTCGATCGTGGATGATGATTTCCCGGAGACCTCCTCCACACTATGAGATGGAGTCTTGTGAAAAGTGGCCTTTGATCGACGCCGCAGGTCTTTGAAGAACGGCATGGCGAGGTTGAGAGAAGGGGAAAAAACGAAGCTGCCCGGTGTTGTTTTTTAAGGCGGATAAATTGTCAGGAACAGGGTAACCGTTTGCGGTTGACGACGAGTCGCCCCGCAAGTGACCAAATAGGGGGGGGTTGAAAGGGGGATGAATTATGATTTAATATGGTTAATACAAGTGATTTGAGAAAATGAAAGAAGGAAAAGAAGGAAATGATCAGAGATCAGAGATTCCCCTTAGCTCCAAAAAATAATAAGGAGCACTATACTTAGAGCACTTTAAAAAGCTCTGAGAGGGCATATTACGTACCCTCAATCTTCGCCTAAAACCTCATTTTTATTCTGTTATCAGCTCAGCTCAAACTCTTTTGAGTAATGTTTCAGTGTGGATCGGATCGCACTAATGTTCTTAGCTTTGATCTTGTCTGAGAGCTCGCATACCCGGCTATGAGCACACCGGTATGCCTGTGAAGGCTATATTATGTACCTATGTTTCAGTTCGCTATAAGCTTGCCGGGGATATGCTGCATTTTTGGGAATTCTTGGGTTTTGGAGTTACGTAGGTGTCAAAATCCTTCTCTCATGGGGCCAAGATTAGAATCTTGAAACGGGGTTCGTAACAGGGCTGCATATATGGCTAGATACAGCTCACGGCCCAAATACGAATTGAGTTATTTTTTTTTGGACCTGACGACGTGGACATTTAGGATGCTTGTTTTCTCCATTTCTCCTATTTCTCCTCTCTCTCTCTCTCTCTCTCTCGAATTGATACTCCATGCACATAAATTATATAAAACGCTTCCGGCGATCTAGAGCATACCTTGGGGAGATACAACCTCATTCTCCACTTCAAGTGGGTTGGAATATGTGGCTGCATACCTGGTTTCTATGGGGATCCTGGAATCTGCAGAAAAACATCTTTCTCCTTTGAGAATAAAGATCTTTAGACTAGACTGAACGGAGTATAGAAAGCAAAAGCAATCGGAATTCAGCAGACTAAGTGAATAGATCGATTTTTGGAACAAACATTCATGACATATATTAATAAAATAATAAAACAGCTAGATAGGGGTAACTGAATTGGACTATATAGAAGTAGTTGTCTACATTTAAATACTAAAGTGGGCATGGAGTACGGAATAGCTCAGCTAGAATGGATACATGTACATAGTAGATCTGGAAGAAATTTGACAGATTCAAGAGAGACAAAATAAGAATAAAAAATGACACGCATGTACTTCCCCGTGTCTAACTGTTCAACACTTTCAGCGAATAGAAATTGGTTTCTTTCAGCTTTCAATCCCAATCTGTTCAAGTGCTTCTCCAGAATTGTTCTCCGAGTTCCCGCATTTCGCCAATCTCTCTCTCACCCTTCCCTTTCGCCCTTGCTCCTCCCAAACCCCAACCTCGACTCTACATTTGAAAACGTCTTTTCTTTTTGCATAGGGGTGTCTTTCTTGTTTTATTGGGTTCCTGACACAATGCCTCCATCACAGCCGGGCTCGGCAGAAAAAACGATCCGCAAAATCGATATCGCCCAGGTAAGTGATCGAAAAAAAAGAGGCTGCGGATTCCTTGAGATACAGTCTTGGCTATTAGTCCAAATACTTGCTATTGCATCCAAATACTTCCAGATGATATTGTTGGTGATGTGGGACTGACCCTGGATTCTCTTCGCACAGGTTTCTCTCAGTCTGCAGGATCGATTGGGCCTTGCCAAACTCAAGTACCAACACGGTCGACTACATGGCCTGAACCCGAACCAGCAGGATGGAAGACCCCTTCTTGAGAGTGACAAGCCTTCCGACTCTTCATCTGAGTTCTCACGCAGTCGTTGCGAGACCCCCTTCACCTCCCCTCCCCTCCAAGCCTCCACCTACTCCAAGGAGCTCCCTCGATCCGCCCGCAACAAACATGCCGCCACCTTCAACTCTCGAGTCATGCAACCCATGCTGTCTGCCAGTCGAAAGCGCCTACGATCTGACTCCGATTCCGAACGTCCTGCCAAGGCACCCCGGGTATCGTGGAAGAGTTCTTACCGGCTGCCGGAATCCTCCCCTGGCATGAGCCGACACCGTACGAGCCGACGCACGCAAGCCCCCTTCATGTCTGAGGCTACAATCCCGGAGATGTCATCGCCTGTATACCCTGGACCGTCAGAAGAGATCGATCCCGATCTACCGCTACACAGTTTCCAGGCCATGAGCTCGATCGTAGGCTCCTCCCCTCCACGAACCCCTCCTCCAAAACATATGCGATTGTCCCGGAACAACCAGCCTCAGAACCACGAGGATGGTGCAGATTTGCTCTTGTACCTCGCCAATTCCCCAACCCCTGCTCGGGTTGCAAGGGGCAACGGAAATCAGGCCTTCCCACCTTCCACACCTCCCAGTCAGCACGCAGTACTGCCAGGCATGACACCTACACTGGGTGGTGGCATGTTTGCCAACATCAGCACACCGAATCAACAATTCAATTTCGCTGATTTCGTCAATGTGACCCCTAGCCCGGCGCAACCAACCTGGGGTGGCCGCACCCCAGGCAATCCTGCTCGCACTCCGCTTACCAGCAACAGAAAGCGATTGAACTTTGATGCCCTGGTTCCTCCAAGCAACTCCAGCCCTCGACTTCGTGGCAAGGAAACGGGGCTGGCGTTACAACTCGGCGGCGAACTGCACCCATGAAACCCAGTGTTTCTCCCTCTATTTTCTCTTCTCTGTTCATTTTTGCCTTACCTCCCTCTTAAACCCCATTGACGACTTTCTTATGATCATGTTATGTACACATTGTGTTCATCCCATATGTAATTTGCCCTCTTTCTCCGGTGTAGAGTCTTGCTCTTTCGAGGACATGAGTCTTAGATTGGGAAGGCCTCTACTCGGACTTGCATCCACAGGCGTTGTCTTTTCAAATGCTTTGCTATCATGTCTTGCATTACCTCTCATTCATCAAGACCATATGTCTTGCTTTTTCTATGTCATTGTTTGCCCTCTGTTGGCAATTTCACTGTTTACTCCTACTTCTTTCTTTCTTTCTATTTTTTTTCTTTGCACCCAGCATGCCTTTGATGAGATTGTTTAATATTTCTGCATGGCTCTTATTTTGATATATAGAGATCAAAGATGAAATGGAAAATGTTCATCATTGAAACCATACGTGTACCTCAGCACAGATCCTAAAAATCCATATATGTTATCTAGCCAGCTCATTTTTATCATACTTATTGGCCTGGAACACCCGAAACCTCACTACCCATCTTAATGTCGATCCAAGGCATATACGACAGCATCTCCAGCATAAACTTCCCTATCTCTGGTCGGTTTAAAAGCAGCTGTTTTCCTTGGACCACGTAGTCAACCTTGGGACCCCTCAATTTTGCGTCCAATCCGGTCGCGTCTTTTCGCGTCACTTTCGCGTTGCGGTTTAAGAGGCTTTTGGGCAGCCAATCAGAGATGAGACTCAAAAGTCAAAAGTGATGTCATATATGGCTATAATGGCCTATTTTGCTTATTATTCTATCACTAGGATATAAATATAGATAAAGGACATTAGAGCGAATAGAAAGTGCAGAACACCAGATATCCAACTGATTTACACGGGGCCATGTCAGCACGAGACAATCTAAAGGGAAAACACAGCATTCAGAATAGTATACACTCATAAATGGTCAAGGCGCCCAAACTACAAGTTCGTGCCTTAACAAAAGTCATTTGAATTCATAATAAACACCTAGTAACAGGCTAGTATATCTTGTATCCTTTATTCTGTGTCCTTTCTCGCTTTCTCTTTGTTCAGAAGGGTTTCTTGTTTACTATCACAAGTATAGACAGCCGCTTATGCGGCCTTGTCAAGTATTTTTGGTAGTCTTTTATAGTATGTAGTCTTCTCAGATCGTGTTTTTAGATGTCTTTTTTAGTGGTCTTTTTTAGTGGTCTTTTGTAGTGGTCTTTTTAGATATCAGTTTTTATAGATATTTTCTTCCCCTTCTTAGTTTATTGGGTGGACTGCAAAAAAAGGCGGAAAAAGGCTTAATTTGTGAAACGGACTTTCCTAAATATAACCTTTGATGGTGAAGCTAATAGGAATAATGCTGAGCGCAAGTAGGAGTAACAGATGACCCAAGCTGAATACCGGGGGGTTCTTGTCAGTTCGGACCTATCCGTGCTCACAAGTCAGTCTTTTGGGGCCCAACTCAATCAGAAGCTCCCTTATCAACTCACATCGTATATCCAGTCATCCAAACGCCCCCAATGCGTGGTATACCACATGACAAATGAGTTCCATGGGTAGATGAACCAATTCTTGTCAGTCTTATAGTCGATGAAATACTGCCAGCAGCTTGGTATCAGATATATATGATCACAGCAGAAGAACTTGGTATGTGTTTGCTTACACTGCCACATGAGCTATTGAAGATCGTCGTGGCGATTTTCTCATGCAATTCCTCGTTGTAATCTTTCTCGCTGTTGGGGTTGACCTCGACAAAGGAACAGCGGTCTTGAATAACCGGTGCAATCACCTTCATGACGAGGTTGACGTAGCTGCATAACTGTCAGCGGGATGCCATGGAAAGAGGGATCAAGAACAACCCAACATACTTCTCAATGCAGTAAATGGCAGATGTGTGGCCTTTACCGGAGTTGGGGCCCAGAACATAGAAGAAATTAGGGAAATCGGACATTGCAGTGGATTTGTATGCCTCTTTGTACCCGAATTTATCCCAGTGCTCATTACGGGTTCGGCCATTCCGCCCTACCAGCTCTACATCGTACTGCGTCAGGGAGAATCCGGTGGCGAGCAGCTTGTATTGAGAAGAACAAGGATTAGCTGGGATAATAAGTATTTGAGGTTTTAGGTCTTTTGACTTACAATTGCATCTGCAGGATATTCCTGACCAGACTTGGTGAAAATCGAATGAGATGAAATCTCGACAATCGGGTCATTCGTAAGATGAATATTGCTTTGCTGAAGGCAGCTGATATATTTACTGTTGTCGAAGATCCGGCGCTACATTGAAAGGAGACTCAGTATGTGTATCCCAAAATCGGATTTTGTTGTGAAATCTTGCCTTGCATCCAATTTCATATTCTGGTGTCAAAAGGGGCCAATATTGCTCTTTCATCGCACAATAGTAAGCATGGGGGTTGACAAAAATTATCCCTCTTCATTGAATTGAGCTTACTGGGTGCATAGCTTTGAATGTAAGCCTTGCTTCTGTCTGCTGAGTGATTTCTGGCTTTGGTTCCGTTATAATTAACATTGAATCTGATAGCTGTGCTCTCCAAATAGAGAAACACAAGCAGTCGCAGGGAACGTAGAGCACCGGGAACATAGCGAAAAATGAATTTCCAGTTGTCGTCGATTTGCTTGTTTTCATTTTGCAAATAGAATTGGGGGGTCTGGAATAATGAGAAACGATATCTATTACATATGAGAAGTGTGTCTTACCCGAATGAATTGGGAGATGCTTCGAGCTTCCTCAGCAATAGCAGGAATGAGCTGAGCAGCCGAACCTGATCAACCGTTAGCGACATGGCCTTAGGACAAGAGAGAAAGCATAGCTCACATCCGTTACCAACGACAATCACATCTTTCTGGTGAAGAGACATGTCCGCTTTCCACGCAGCGGTATGAACGATATCGCCTTTGAAGACTTCGACACCCGGAATGTCAAATTGATTTGGGTTCACCAAGGCCCCAACCGCAGATATCAAGATCTTGCAGTCGTGGAAGAAGGTTTGACCTGTGGACAAGTTCTTCAACTTGACCAACCAACTGTTTGTCTGTTCTTGCCAATAGGCCCCTTCCCATTCTGTATTCCGAACTATGTGTCGAGAGACATCAAACTTATCCGCAACTCTGTTGAAGTAGTCCAATATCTCCGCTTGTGGGGGGTAGACTCGCGAAAAATCGGGATTTGGGGCAAATGATAGACTGTAGAAGACCGCTGGGATATCCACAGCACATCCTGGATCTACAATGTTGTATTAGGCACTGAAACCTTTGAAAAGAGAAAAGAGAAAAGAAATCAACCAAGAACTAACATTTATTTGCCCACCAAGTCCCTCCTGGAGCAGATGAACGGTCATAGATGATATAGTCATCACAATTGTGCTTCCTTCGAAGTTGACAAGCCGCAGCTAGACCAGAAAAGCCAGCTCCAATGATAAGCACCTTGGAAGAAGCCTTATTCTCAGGGGATGCCATAGTGAAAATTCAAAGCAAGAAAGTATTCTTCAAGTAAGCTGAATGAGAAGGAGAGTGTGTTTCACGGAATCTTCTACTAATTTCTCAATGCTGAACTTATAGCTTCTATCCCCAGTGAGTAGGACGTTTAATTAGTTGTATCTATGACCCTATCAGTATCAAAGACACTGGTATTGCGTGGATGTCTCAGGGTTACACAAGGATAGTTCATTCGCCCAATCACCAAATAATCCACTACACCTCTTCGAAATATCTAGGACGATAAGAGCAGATCTCTCAGCGAGGAATTGATTTAAACTTGTATACAGATTGTTGATCTTCCAGTCTTTGGTCGTAGTCAATTTAAATCACCCCCTTACTCTAGGATCTATCGCACACAACCCCATCTGGCATTGCAATGGCGCCTATTCTGTCAAGATGCATTCTCATGTTATACAACGTTATGTGGAAAGATTTGCCGTGAGTGGCTGTGCTAACCAATAGAAGATATAGTGAGTTGTAGTATCCCGTCATAATTCGCCATCGACTGGTCTTATTTTCTTGCGTCAAACACCAATTCTTTTGCATATCTCCTCGACCGATCTGCTGTATTATTTTATTTTTCAAGTTGGGTGAAACGGCAACTATCAACTTCTTTGTCTCTATAGGCTTTTATCCAGCCATTCCACCACAAAAGGCTCGGCCAAAACCAACATGTTTATCGTCTTTTTCCCTATCTTGGTGGATACCCTTCACCATATTGGTTGGATCAAGAGTATCAGAATTATTATACCTTTCTTCCTGTTAGCTGTTGGTAGTACACTGCTTGCCTGGGTGTCGATGATAGCATTTCTCCGGCGGAAGTTGGTCTTGTGGTCTGATGGAGACCCCAAAGCCGAGCAAACGTTACTGGGAAGACCTCTACTATATCCAGCACGTCTAACACACGCTCGCTTCTTCCCGGAGAAGTACCATTACTGGATCAACTATTTCCTCGTTGGGGTTCCCGTTGGACTTCGTGGCCGTGTTGGGAGTGTCGTTTCCATTGAAAGTGATCAATCAGATCAACACACTCCAATCACAAATCCTTTCTACTCTTTTGTGAAAAGGGTCTTTCGGATTCCACTTTGGTTCAGAATTGATACTAGTTGGTATCTTCATCGTGGAGATGGTCATCTAACCTTGGCCGCGAAACTAGAGCATTTTTTGAAAGAACGGGTATGTTAGTTTCTGCAAATATCTATGCCTTTGCGTTAATATGTTAATACTTCTAGGGCGAGGATCCAACCCAATATCCTTATGCGTATCTCATCAGCATCCCTCAATTTCTCTGGTGGACTAAAAGCCCGATATCGTACTGGTATCTCTACTCGCCTCTCAAAGAGCTTAGTGGAATCATCATGGAAATCAATAATTCGTACGGCGAAAAAAAGAATGCGTTCTGTCGACTAACCAAGGAAGACTCTTCCACTTATGAGAAAGAGAAAACTTGCGAGGTTTTCAGCACCGTTTCAGGAAGGGGACCTCATGGCGATCAACCCCTTCGATTCACATCATCGGCTCCCACTGCCAAGTACTACAAGGGAAGCTGGGAGAAGGACATATTTGCTTCACCTTTTGAGAAAGTCGAAGGCGGATTTGCCCTTCGTTTCATGGATCCGTTAGATCCAGCACCTGAGAAAGGTGGCCCTCTGCACTCCAATATGACCCTTATCAGCACCTCTGGCAAGTCCAAGATTTCTAGTCGTCTTTTTTCCGTTGCTCCTCCAATTGACCCTCTTTTGGCGTCATCCTGGGAGCTGATGAGCTTCCTTCTCGGCTGGTCATTTGTTGTGCCAGTCTCGATTGGTCGGATTGTGGTAGAGGCTGTCCGTATTCGACTCCGAGGCAACATGCCCTATTTGAACAAACCGGACGTGAAGAAGGGAAACATCCCACGTAATGCCTCAGAAACAGAGAGGTTCTCTCAATACTTCCCTTGGCTTTTTTTAAAATTATTTTCTAACGGTCCTCACAGGGTTTTGGAGCCTTTCTTCCCGCTGTACCTCTCCCACCTCGTCAAAACATGCCATTTTCCTTTGACGGTGATCTATACCCCTGCCAAATCACTACATCTCCACCCCATGTCTATGAATTCCCCAGTCAAAACGTTTACTTCTGCACCTCCCCCTACCCTCGAAATACAGCCTCTTACGCCTCAGTTCTATACAAATATCCTGAAATACCCGGATGCCAAAACCGGGGTTTTCACCGAAATGGAGAACTTTCCCCAGATCTGTGATCCGGATTCCCAGCGCCTATGGGCATCCGATCCAGCGATGTTACAGAAATTAATTGAATCTGAAACAGACTCGCCTAATGCAAAGACAGTTCAAGTCACCTCGCCATCAGTCCCCGCCGAGCTGCCGATCTACCCTGCAACCCTTTCTCCGTGGCAAACCAACTCGGGACTGAGAACATTTATGGATGCTTTCACCGATTCCAATTGCCCCTCGGGCATGCGTAGGAGATATCGGACGGCAAGGATCTACTGCTATCTGACAGAGACGTTTGCGTGGGGGTCTTACAAATTGGCTGCTTTTTATGGGTTCCTGCTGCGCACGGCAGTCTTGGGGCTGTATTGGAGAGGGCTGTGGTGGATGTTGTGTGACCTTTCAGTGTCGAGTTACGAGAAGATCCTAATGGTGTCAGGGATATATTTTGTGGGGGTTCGAGCGTGGACGGCGCTGAGTGGTTATTTCTATAGATAAGCGGGGGCTATTTGGGTTATTTGGGTGTGCTGTTTGTGTATTTGGTTGGCTGCAGCAATCAGCATGTGGGATCTTTGGCTCATTTCAAATGTAAAAGAACTCCCGAGGTCGTATGGAAATGCTTTAGTTGCTTTTGATTGGAACAGCCCGGCTTAATCGTACTATTTGTAGAGGTTAGACTGAGACCACACTCGACCCCCCCTTCCCTTCCCTATACTTAGTATTCTTAGTTAAATGCACTCTTTTTATTTAAAAGAGCTAGCTAGTAATATAATACTAAAATCCAAGTTCTACTAAAGTAGTACGACTATATAGACCTAAATACCCTAACTTATAAGCCCCTAAACCTAAATAAATAAACCTTTCACTGATATAAAGAAGAAGATAATAATATTAGAGAAAGTCTGTCTATATGAGATGATCCAAGACACTGAAATTTCGACGATGAACTGAAAGGTTGAGCCAAAGGGAATTTTTCCTTCTTATATATTCGTAATCCTGGTCGTCCAAGCCTGCATCTTATCTTTCTAGTCTACAAAAAGTCTATGAGTGACTGCAACATCAAATGGTTCTACAGTAGTTTTCGAATTCAGTCATACCTCCGCCAATATGCGGCCAACTGCTATTGGGGAGCCTACTAGGCAGAGTATCGTAACATTGGGGCCTAAAATATTAGCACTAAATATGCGATTAAAACACGCTAAATTGTACGCTAAATTGTACGCTAAATTGTACGCTAAAATGTACGAGCCGCTCTATCAAGGTACTATGTTGTATGAACTTCGTGCTGCAAGGCTGTCTATTTCTGTATCCCTAGTCATGTATAAATATCGGGATAAGTACAGAATTTTAGAGGTATTATTACAGTCAGCGATCAACCATCATGCTACTCCTGCACCTCCTCACTATCGCCGCTGGCCTACTAGTACCTGCTAGCGCCAGAAACATACCAAGTCAGCGAACCTCAAGTAAAACATCTACTCTCATAGCAACACAGTATGGAACTGTATTTGATGCCCCAGTCACAATCGGGAATCAGAGCTTCATGCTCCTCGTGGACACCGGCAGCAGTGACACCTATGTGATGCAAACCGGGTACAAATGCGTCAACAGCACCGACAACCTTGTCATACCAGAAAGTGATTGCCTCTACGCAAATAAGACCTATCACAAGTCCAAAGCATATCATCGTGTTCCCAACGAGATGTTCGGCGTGGAATACGGTGCAGGACTCGCGAGCGGCCTCATGGCCAATGAACAAGTGTCTATGGGCGGTGTAAGCGTCAACGCGCAGAAGATCGGCATCTCAAATGAATCCAATCCCATGGGCGATGGGGTGAATAGCGGGTTACTCGGTCTGGGATACCCAGCTCTCACCTCCGCACACCCGGCGAATCACACATCCAACAGCACATATTGGCGCGATCGTCTAGTGTACAACCCTTTGCTGTTTACGATGCACGAGCAGGGCCTTATCGATCCATACTTCAGTCTCGCCCTCGCTCATACACCGCAGAATCAATCTACGTCTTTTGGAGGATACTTGACGCTCGGCGGTCTTCCACCCGTCAACCACAGTTGCCACTTCTCCACAGTCCCCGTTGAAATCACGGAGAACATTCCGCGGTGGTATACATCGGGGAAAAGTGTCCTATCTTATTGGTCAACCAGTGTTCGCAATATCACGTACGGCTCCAAGTCGAATAACCTGACTACAAACACAACTTCGTTTCAAGCATTCATCGACTCTGGGAACTATATCTCGTACCTTCCACCCGCGGTCGTTGATCCGATCAATGCTCTCTTTTCGCCTCCGGCAACTTTTGATTCTGACCTCGGTTTGTATGTTGTTGATTGCTCGGCCAACGCACCGAAATTCGGCCTGTCGCTTGGTGACCAGACATTCTACCACGATGGTTCCGATCTTATCTATCAGACCTCCGAGGGGGTTTGCGTGTCTAGTCTGGCTTCGTCTTCGGAAGTCTCTCTGGGTGATGTCACATTGAACATTATTGGCGTTCCATTTTTGAAGAACGTCGTGGCTGTGTTTGACTTTGGGAAGAATGAGATGCGGTTCGCTAAGAAGTTCGGCTCTCGGCATAGTGCCTCGGGGAATATTACCTCAACACCTCCGGTTTCTAATGCCCCGGTGCGATGCGATAACCGGTATAGCGCTGTGATCGGTTTGTTTTTGGCCTTGACTACTTCACTGATGGTATAAAGCTTGAAAGAATTATGGTTCTGTGTTTGTATCTAATTGTTTGATCTGGCTTTGTTCAAGTTTTAACACTTTGAATGCTTCCTCCAATCCACCATCTGTATCGACAATTCCAATGCCCACATCTTCTAGTTTGAAATCCATCTGAGGCTCTTCGCTTTGTATATCATTTTCGGATAGCATTGCTTTAACAATAGTCACAGCAGTACGTGCATCCCAAAGTCCATCACGAGATCTAAATAGAGACCCTTGCATCAAGGAGAGTGCCGTGCGCAAAATACGGCGGTCGTTTGTTTTTAGGCAGATAAAGTATAGCATCGCGATGATATTTGTCGAAAGGGTGAAGACTCGATTGGAAGGAGTCTTCTTTTCGAAAGTAGACCCAGACCCAGACCCAGATTCAGATTCAGATGACAGAGATATCAGGTTTGATATTTGGGTGAGAGCGATATTAAATCTGCAAGTCGCTTCTAGAGGGATATCGGCGCCATGAAGAGTGCAGATGATATTTTCCAAGAGAACTGCATGGAAGATAAGTGCCTGGCTTCGTAGAAGTACGAGTCGTTGGCGTTGAGCGGAAGTAAAAGACTGAAAATGTTCACTCGTGGTTATTTCCTCCACAATTTCTTCCAACATCTGAAATTGAGCTTCCAGGTGCAATCTTTCCTGAAGAACAATATATGGTACTTGAGCCTGAGGTAGATTCTTGTATTCCACAAATTCCATAAGGTGCCATAGCGTCCAATTCTGGAGCGCGGTAAGCGAGTTCTCGAGATGGGATAGACCAGAAATTCGCTCTGGAACCGTAAGCATCACCCCCGACCCTTGTGCCGGCAACGCAAGCCTGAGAATAGGCGTTCTCTCGGGTGAAAAAATACTTGCATGAATATCAAGCTGAGAGTAGATCACCATCAACTGCGCATATGTCTCCTGGCTATCCACAATATACGCATAATCCGTCTGAAACCTTCGCAGGAGAATCAGACCTTGATCCAGATGCCATAATGCTTGCTGGACATTGCCGATCAGACACTCGAAGGTATAGAATATGAGGCTGCAGATAAGCGCAACTTCAGCTGAAGGATCCCGGGCAAGATGTGCACGAAGCTGAGAATGCGCTTTGGTAATAAGCTGGATGTGTTTGACAGACACTTCAAGCTGCGGTGATCCAACAAACATATAGTCGCGATAAAGAGAGGTGAGCGCAACAACAGAATTGCGGATTACGGACTGGTCTTGGCTTCTCTGCAGGATGAGGTGCGTCCATAGCGTAGTATCTGAGAATCGAGATAAAGAGTCGGCTGCTTCGCAACAGTAGAAATGAAATAGTTCACGGTGTGCGCGACTGCCGGGTACTTTGAATGGAATCCTGTACATCTTGATTTCGGGTTGGGGGCGGGGAGCTTGGGGATATCCGGGACAGTTTCGTCCGGTGGAAGTGCACCGGCGACATCTGGGACGTTGCTCGTCGCATTTGACTCGGTGGGTTCTGGCTCAGTCAGAATCAGTGTGCTTAGCGTTAGACAATGTACTCACTTGCAGGTGGCACACCCAGTTCGAACTTTGGGTGTGCTACGACGCGATTTGACGGAAATCATGCCTGGTCCAATTAATATGAGATATATCGAGATCAGGAGCGAACCTGGAAGGATTGGGTCAAATTTAAGGATAACCAAAGTAAGCAAGGCTGAAGTCAATACCGGATACAACCTAGGCTTACACTACTGAGTGGGGGCGGAAACCAGTCTATGCTTGGCGTATTTACCATCAGACATCAGACAACCACGCTGACAGACCTGAAACTGTCGATGAAATTTGACAGTCTAAAGTACGAATCTGAACTTTACCGTCTTCAACTTTCGACCTTCAGTGTGGGTTCTCTCGCCGCCTCGAGCGTGCAGTGGATTATAAAACAAAGATATCTGTTTCTCAAACGCCGACCTTATCCCCCAAACAGTATATACGTTGACCGCCACTGGGTGAGCCATGCCTGATGCAGTTGGAGAAAAGGCACTTAACGGAGAATGGGAAAGGATTTCGATCAAGTGTTTCGAGATCCAGGAAGACATGGTCATGGGATTTGAAGGGCGCTCGTGCAATATCACCGACAGCGAAGGGAGCCCTATTCCCAATGACACATTTGGACCGGATGACGGACAAGTTGAAAAAGAAGTCTTGGCGACATATGCCTCTCACCTACTCACAGCTACTGTTCCCCCTTCTTAAATTTAACGAGAGCCCTCATAATATCGGTGTTCCCTCCTCCGCTTGGCATAGTATATAATGAGCGTCTACCCATATAGCCGTTGACACTGTCCCTAACGGTATGGCCGAGTAACCGATAATAAATCTCATATCATGCATGATACATATAAAAGAAAGGGCCTAGGGGGGAGTCACCCCCGCTCTCCGTGTTCCTGTATGTTGTACAGGCACGGCGCGTTAACCATTGGGCCACTGGGCCAAATAGGTAATAAAATATCCTGTGGATGGTATGATATGTCTATCGTATGCTACAGGATATGGCATCACTATTTATAAGATAAGAGATCTACTGTTCCTGTGATTGTGTGTGATATTATGATGCTATAGATTCTTTCGAAACACATATCGGACCGCTGCGTCAAGATAAAACGTGCTCAAGCCCTTAAGCCTGCGTCATTTAGCATCATGTCGCCCGTAGTTATGTATAGATATGCTGCCTTTTCCCACAACGCTCCTCCCGAGATGTGTGGTACAGAAGCACGTGTATATGGATACAGTTACACAGAGCTACCCCAACATGAATTCGACGGAGTGATTGGCCGCCACCACGGGTTGGCTGCTCGTATTCCTTCACCGTTTTTATATGAATGAGCCACGGATCACGATCTGCATAGATACGTATAATCAGTCACATCATGACCAGCACCTGGAGTTGTACAAACTCGTCAGACGAAAGCTGGAAGAGGGTGAAGACATCCATGGATGCAATGCTATTCAAATTAGGCTGAAATGGTATTGATACTAGAATCCACATTGAACGGATGTACGAGAGGCGACCATCCTCTCGCTATACTACTAATATCATAAGATAGGTGCTACTTAAAGATCATTCATCCCGTATAAATTATTTGCTTTCGTCCCACAAGGCCAGACTTATTCAATGCAATAATACTGTATCACCCCTTCCTGTTGACTCGAACATCATCTGTATTACATTGTTCTTATCACCAGTCCAATCATGTCTCCTGACTTTGACGCGATTGTGGTGGGTGCTGGTTTCGCAGGAATCCGCATGCTGTATCTGTTTGTCCCTAACTTTTCTCTCCTTCAGTCTCTACCAGCATCTCTGACGATAAATCCAGGTTGAGGGGAAACGGATTTAATTTACGAGGGATTTGGCGTTACAACGGCCTCGGTGGGGTTTGGTACGCCAATCGCTACCCCGGCGCACGATGTGATAGTCCCCAGCCCTTCTACCAAATTCAAGACGAGACATTAGCTAGCGATTGGACATTCTCAGAAAGATTTCCAGAGCATGGCGAGATTCGTGATTATTTCCAACACATCGATTCTAAGTGGAATGTGAGCAAGGACTTTGACTTCGGTGCCACTGTTATTCAAGCGTCGTTCAACGAGGATTTCCTCTGGTCCGTCTGGCTGTCTGATGGAAGGTGCTTGACCGCGCGGTGGTTTATTCCCGCGGTTGGATTTGCTTCCATCCCATCTCTGCCAGCAATCAGAGGTATCCATCAGTTTCAAGGGGAGCTTCATCACATTGGAACCTGGCCACTTTCAGGAGTTTCCCTGAAGGACAAGCGGGTTGCTGTTCTCGGTACCGGCGCCTCGGGAGCTCAGGTGGTCGCTAGAATTGCGCCCGAAGTGAAAAGTTTGACAGTCTATCAAAGGACGCCTGTTGTGGTTATCCCAGTCTCAACCGAATCTGACAAATTTTCCAATCCGCATGCTGCATCTTTGACACCGGAAAGGACTCGCGCGGCTTTTAGACGATCACCGAAATCGTTCTCCGGCCTCGACTATTCCTTTCAAGATTCGGAGTCGGTGGCCGTAGGGTCTCCACTGCGTGATATCCTGAACATGCGGTTATACAAGGAAGGAAGTCTTGGTCTCATCTGGGGCAACTTTTCGGATGTCTTAGCGAACAGAGAAGCCAACGAACAGTTATATTCGTCCTGGGCGAAGCTGACTCGAGCGAAGATAAGAGAACCAACCAAACGAGACATACTCGTCCCGCGCATATTTCCCTATCCGATTGGAGTCAAAAGGGCTTGCTTTGTGGACAATTATTACGAGTCATTCAATAGGCCCAACGTGGGTGTGGTAGACACCAGGAAAGAAGAGTTGACAAAGATCACCAGAAAAGGCATCCAGAGTGGCTCAACCGAACGCGAATTCGACGTCATTATCTGCGCAACTGGATTCGAGACTTTGAGTACTGGTATAACCAGATTGAACATCACCGGCAAGCACGGCGTGCACTTGACCGACGTCTGGAAAACCCGTATCATTTCCTATCTGTGGATGGCTGTCCCTGGATTCCCTAACATGTTCTATCTATTCGGTCCACAGGGTCCAACAATTAAAGTGAACGTTCCCACGACCGCTGAATGTCAGGCACAGTGGATCTTGTCCATTTTGAAGAGTCTCCGCGAGTCCCATATTGCCTGCTGTTAGCCGACTCCATCTGCATCTCAGGGTTGGGTGGAGAAATTGAATCAGCAGTGGAATAATTCATTATACACGAAGGCAAATATATGGGAGGCTCGTAGTTCCTCCGACAAATCAGAGCCACTCTGTCAAGTCTCTACACATATACTTGACCAATACACTAATTCTATGCAGGATCCAAGGGATACAGAAATACCACGATTACATACAGCAATGTCAGCCACCGCACTTCCACGGCTTTGTCGAGATGCGGCCAAAGCCTTCGACAAGTTTATAGCCAAGGAGCGGATCACGCCTAAGGAAGTGTAGATGCTATATTCACGCTCGTCTGTATGTCGACCACTACGCTATAGTTCTACTTGGATGACTTATACTCGTTGCTAAGTTCCAGGATCATATAGCTAGTTCTCGGGTTATTTCTGGTATTAAATCGTGAAGAAGTCGTGAACTAACACTACCAGTCGTACTCATTTTTCATATAGAATATGAGGACCTGTGGGTTTGTAAGTGGTCTATCTTCCTCATTTCTACTTTCTTTCCACCCCTTGCGTCTACGCTATGTCCCAGCTATCAAACCCTTCTCCTCCTCTCTTTGGTGGTCTTGTAGACAATCCTTTATATTATGTTCTAGACGACACACCATTTTTATCTTCAATTCCTCCTTAAAGCTAGTAGATCCCTAGTTTTCTCTACGGCTCGGCTCTATAAGAGTAGGAAGTTACAGGAGAGTAAGGACTTACTAGAGAATAGAGCGGGTCGGCAATGAGCGCAACACCAGTTTTAGTGTCGTAGGAAAATTCGTGCCTTCCTTTTCATCCTATCTAGTATATTCAAATTCCCTCCTCAAGGAAACATATGAAAATCTTCTTGATCACCGAATAAACAGCCTCGCCCTTCAAAGATTACAGTGTTATCAGGGTTAAAATGGCACATTTGATCGACTCCCAAATAGCCATTTGTTTTTCATCAACATGCCTCTGTCCAAACAGTGTTTTTGCACTCCTACAGAGTTATATACATCACGTAACCTGGGATCCAACTCGGCGAGGGGCCAGGAGAATTAAATTACAAACACACGTCTGTAACATCCGGGTCCTAGAATATTTTCCAAAATAGGCAGTGACAGAAGCAACTGTTTTCCATCCAAGAGTTCTGATAAGTTTTTACACCCGATGACCTTCCTTACAAGCCCAGGAATCCCCGAGAATCAAGACTTTAATCAGATATTTAGTCTCAAATTGCCAAAGGGGTAGGAACCGCTTCATCAGTAGAGGTGCTAATAGAAGAATTCTCGGAGTTCCCAGAATCGTTCGAATCTTCGGCAGGAGCCTCCAGTCTACAATGTGGACGGGTGCAAGATTCATCAATTATACATTGACAATCGTTGGTGCAGAAGGCGCTGCCGTGGACATGAAATGTTGAGCAGTAGGCGCCATGATGCTGACAAAAGAAGGCATTGGCGCGGGTCGAACAGTTCAAACGATAAATAAAATTCTTCTTCGGAAGGCTATTGAGCCCTTCATCTCGGGGATCATTGGTAATAGGAATTGCCGAGCTCATCGTCGCAAGAAGCCATACGACTGACGTGAGACTGATCTGTCCATGTGCACGAGGTACAAATCAAAAAAAAGTCAAAGATATAAAAATTCCTAGCAAAAGGAGGACGAACCTGAGCCTTCATCTTGACTAACAGTGGAGCGTCACGATTGAAAGTATATTTCGTAGAATGAATGTGTAGACAAACTTAAACTTCGAGGTATTCCGTCAGAAAGGCTCCGTCCTTTATGCCTTTCTATATAACATTTCTCATAGCTAGTCCACAGCACCACGACAGATACGGCATCGCGGATCGGCGCAATGTCCTGCCCAATATGCCTTTTTCTTTAATAACCAAGCCAATTTCCTATAGCACAGTTGACCATTAAAACCCCGCATATATTACTACCTAACAAGCCCGTCCTTACGGAGCTTTCTCTTTAGGAAAAAGGGCACCCCCGTAAGGTCAGGTTGAATGTAACCGTACTTTGAGTGGTTACATATGACTGCGGCAACTCACGGCCGAGTGGTGTGTGGTAGCATTATATTTCAGGGGCGCTAGCGCAGAGTCGAGGAATCTCGATTTAATCCTTGCTCTGTGTCAATGATAAGTGGATTGTTTACAGACACCCACAGAGATAACAGCACAAAGGACTTCGAGCTCGCGAGGCAATCACATTTCCACCTTTAAAACAAAGGTCCCATTCATTTTCTTTCAGTGAGATTCAGTCCCACAAAACATTATATCTCCGGATATCCCATTCCAGCCACACGCGTCTTTCAAGTACAGCCGTCGAGCTATCGTCCATTATGAGATATCAGACCCCCTGGCACCCTAAACATAAAGTCCCTATCGTGGATGGGAGATTTCAGGATCCCAGGACGGGAGAAATCCGGCAAAACACCCGGACAGATACATTTCTTGGTCCTCCTTTGGTCCACGTGACGTGGTTCAACATTCATGGCAATTCCACGTTTCGAAGTATCGGAGCTACGTTCGCCGCTTCAATCGACGATATGTTCGTCAGCATTGCTGATCATGTGAGAGGAAACGTTTACAGCATTACCAGTATGAACGCAACCTTATACTCGGTGACCGTTGTTTGTTCGACCGAGAAGTCGGATGTCGAGATTGGGGGTGTAATTCAAGACCTGCAACAGCATTTGAACAAGGATGTAGTGACTCCAGAGGAAGAACTGGCAGCCTTGCGAGCATGGAAAGAATCCAATGAATCCATTGAGAATGCGTTGCCAGAAGAGAGCGAGGGGCCCAATGCTTAATTTTGTGAAGACGCGCAAATACAGTGGTCTCCATCGACTTAACTGGCCGTATCTTTGCGTGATAGATGCTGAAAACGCCGAATATCTCTATCTTCTGTTCTGATCCGCTCTTACTTATAAAATCAGTAAAGCGCAAGAAGTGTTGAATAGATCAGAAGAGTTGCTCCAGTAACAGCAGTTGTTATAATAGCCATTACCGACCAATTCCCACCTTGAGATGTGCAGACGTTGATGACAGTGGTTAGCAGCCGGACAGCAGTATATAGACTTATGGGTCTAATTCAGGGTTAGATTAGATCTAGCTTCTCATACCTCTCAGTTGGGATGTGCTCATTTACAAAAACACTTTGTTAATCAGCCACATAAGAGCTACAATTCCATTTACAAAAAGGAAGCACGGGAATAGCGAGTAACGGGGGTTTTAGATCGTATATAGAGCGGTATGACTGGCCTTGTTGGTTTGCAATGTCTTTTCAACCTGATTTGAGGTCTATAATAAGATGTGATCGCATCTTCATGGCCGGAGCTCTCCCCGCTCATATTTTCCTCCAGCATCATCCGAAACTGGGAAATTGATCTGCCTGGCTGGTACAGTAGCTGCCAAGTTTGGCTTCAACATGAATTGCACACTTCCACTCTTTTCCGGCACTTTCGGGAGCTGGTCTATTATAGACTTAGGCCGTTATCTTAGTATGTTACCTATCGTATAGACAGTAAGATATCGGGACTACTATACAATGCTGGTTCCATAAATAGCAGTTCTTGTTTAGCGCAGTCTAAAGGCTATATATTTCGCCCAGTGGAGGGTATTGTGAGTCGGCAATTTCAAAGTAACGAGTTCTATTCAACAAGAAACACTAAGCTAGGGAGAGAAGAAAGAAAATGAAGGGGAGGGACGCTAGAAAGCTAATTATCTGCATCTCCTTCCTCCAATCATCTCGGACCCCTGTTCTCATTGGGCCATTTGCCATCCTCTAGCAACCAAGTATCGCAGTATAATCTTGCATTTAGCGATACTTCAGTCGTAGATCGATAATCTTTGCCTACCTTAGGGCTTCACTTAGACGTAGACACTATCTCTTTCTTAGGGGAGTCATAACGGGTTGCCTTATTTCCTTTTCCCGATTTTTACGATTTTTCACGTTAGAAAAATATCCAAATTAATCTTATAGATTTATAGGCCCCTTGTGCCGTTTTCACCCCCACGAATTAGCGCACGCGCGTGCATTTCATCCCTGTACAAAAGGCCGCAAACTGATGAGTGCACTGTTAGTATCCAATGGATCCTATGAAATTCACAACATACGGTGCTTTTGCTATGAACCTCTTTGCTGAGCCCTGCGGTGCTCCGGTGTAATTTCCGAGAGCTAAGCTATTATTTGCTGTAGATAGACAACAGAGGTCAAAGCGACGCATTCTGACATGCTTATTGGAAATAACGAGTCATGAAGTTCCCTTTCATTTCATTTTCAAAGGAGGGGTACCTAGCCCTGCCCTTTTGGAAAGACTTGCTTTAGTCGCCGAACGTCTATAGGACTGCGTATTAGGGCGCTAAACCCAAATAGGCAAAACTAACTCGAACAGGCAATTCACAGGTCCGCCGTTTACAAGAACAAGTAAATAAACCTACTCCATTCCCTCCTCCAGACCAACCTCTCCAATCTCCCCGACCTCCCCAGTCCGCTCCATCTGCTTCCGCCACAGCAATGCCAGATAATCCGACGAGGTAGCCTCGTCAATAGATTTATCCTCACGAACCTTGATAAATCGTGGAAAGCGCAGACTCAACCCGCGCTCATCGCTAACTAGCCCAATAGCAGCCGTATACGTAGGACTGAGCGTGATATCTGCGAAAGCCATTTCCCACACTTCGCACGGCTCAAACCACACGTCTGGTTCGCCGTGGTACTCGATGTAGCTGGGGCGTGAGATGACGTTCGTACTGCCATGCGCGTACTTTTCTTTGTTGCTTTGGTAAAATTTGTCCGTGAACCCTGACATGCATTTTGTTACGGCTTCCAGGGATCCCGTTTCTGGGTTGCGTACTGCTAGTAGGATCGGGGACCACCATTTCGCTTTGCGGCCTTGGCCGTGCCACCCGGCTATCGGGATTAGGTCGAGGGTTTCGGAGGATGTGCTGTAGTCTTTCTTTACTTTAAGCCAGGATTCGAGGCGTTTGTCTGGTTCGTAGGTTGAGAGGAGGGGTTTGCGTCGGGTGGGTTTTTCCTTGGGTTTGATGTTGGTTATTAGGTCGGATGCTGCTTGATTTGCTTGCTCGGTGGTTGTGGTAGCTGTTTCGTTGGGGAGGTTGTTGTTGACTTGAGGGTTCGCACTGGGCTGGTTGTCGAGAAGTTTTACCATAATGCCCTCGCATTTGACATCAATGGCAGACTTGAAAAACTCAAGGACAGACTCGGAATCCGCTGATGTCGCATCCAGGCTCTTCACCCACCCGAAGTGTTTTGGAATCTCTACAAAGAGACTGCGAAGTAGTTCGCGGCGTTCTCGAAAGGGGCGATCTAGCAAAGGCTCGCCGTTGAGATACATGAGGTCGAACGCGAAAAGACAGACATTGACTTTGATGTCTCCGAGTTCAACGTTCTTCTTTGCACGATTGGTCAAGACCTGGAATGGCTTAAGATCGCCAGTCTCACGGTCCAAAGCAACTACTTCTCCCTCCAGAATAAAGCTGGACACGCCTTCTCCCCGTATTTGCGGGACTAGGAAGACAAGATCTGGATATTTCTCCGTCATGAGCTCAAGATGGCGTGAGAAGATAGAAACTTTCCCTTTCTCGTCGCAGTGTACCTGCGCACGTTGCCCGTCATATTTGTACTCGCAGCTGAAGTCCCGGCCTTGGAGCTTCGTCAACATTTCCGACAGATCGCGTGTGATGCTGCCCAGCATCGGCCTTAGTGGAATGTGCATGGATAGGCCGCATCTGACCAAAAGCTCTTCCGTGGGCCCAATCTCTAATAAGCAGGGCACCAACTCATTGTAATTAGGATGTCTAGCATATGACGCTTTGACGATTTCTTCCGCATTGCTGTAGATTTCGGCAAGCTCGTCCTTCTTCAAGCGTGAAATTTGATGCGGCGGCCGAACCTCGAAATCAGCCCCGACTGGCTTGGAATATAAGACAGCTCGTGCGAGAGCAATCAGCATCGTCGTTTTGACTGCGCCAATTCGTAGATTTTGGACCAATGTCCGGACAATGTATCGACTCTCCTCGGCGCCGCGCGTATCCTGTAGAAGCTTCTCGACGATCCTCTGCTTGGTTTCTTGACTACCAGTTCCTTTGCTAGTGGCGATTTTCTTCAGTGACTGGTATACTCCTTTGATTCTTAACGGCTTCGGCTTCATCAGAGTGAATGATTGTCGTTTTTTGGCTTCGAATGCAACATCTCCTGCATCGCCGTGCTTATCATACAGGGTTTTGAGTCCTTGGTTATTGAGGCCGTATATCTTTTTTAGTGCCTTGGAGATGGAAGAGCCTCCCAGGCCTAGCTCTAGTTCATCGTATGGAGGTGATATGGAATTGGTTGCTAGCCACACAGCAGGCAGGACACTCGATGGGTCCCCTTCAATCAGAACCCGAAGAAAGTTGACCAGCGTATCGACAATCTTTATTCGACTGGTTGTCGCATTCGCCAGGACAAAGGCTCTCGTTAATAAAGCGTAAGAAGCATCCCCGCCTTCGGTTGCCCAATGCGACCGCAGTTCTGCTGCGCATTGACTCGCGTCGAATGTCTGGGGGGTTTGATCAAGAGGAATAGCAAGGGATATTGTATCCTCCGTGCCAGCTGATGACTGTAGTGAGAGAGTGCTCTTCTTTGGTATCACCGGTGCTACCGGGGGTGAAACAGGCGAATCTAATGTATATGGAGCTGGATTGATCTGCGAATCTGCTTGTGTATCTTCGGCGGGAGTGCTTGCGTTTTCCTGCTCATTCCACTCAGCCTGTAACTTGCGCGCAAGAGCTTCGTCGGAGAGAGATTGCTCAGTGACATCGGGAGCTTTTAAATTGATTTGTTCGGTGGTCTGTCCTTTAAAGAACGACTTAATACTGCGCGTCGGTGGCGACGAATCTCCATTTCTTTTCCGCTTCTTGGCTGGACTGGACATTATTCAAAGTGTTGATAGTGTAAGAGCTCATGGTTGCCACTGCGGAAGACGTCAGTCCAAAAGGCGGAGATCAACATTCGCGACACCTTGCGCTTCCGCAGTCAAGTTTCCTCCTTCAACAATGGCCTCCCTCACGAAATTATCTTCGCATGAGCGGACTCGCGTTGAAGATTATTTAAATGACAAGATTCAGGTTTCTGCCGATCTGGAGAGTTTAGATTCGCTGCTATCCAGTCTGCGCGCGCAACAGGAGCTTCAGCGGAAGCAGGTACCACCCCTCACAACACCGACCTTCTCTCTATACACTACTGATGCAAACTCGCAACCAAATAGCTAGCGGAAGCCGGCGAAGCACTCTCAAATGCGACAAAAGCCTCTAATGACCATGCCGAAGCCACTCGAAAGCAAGCCGAGGCGTTCACCGCGGAGCAAGCGGACATCGACCGACGATTAATGGCCATCACACAATCCGAAACTAGTGATGAGGCCGTACGGAGTCTGGAAAAGAGCATGGAGAAGCTCCAACGGCTTGAATTATCCAAGGGATATGTGGAGTTGCTCAAGGAAGCCGAGGAATTGAGGTAATGCCACGTTCACGAATCGTGAGGGGCTGGATACTGAGACAGCAATACAGCAAGCAAGCTTTGACAGACATTGCCTCCGAACCACGCGCCGCTTTGAAGCCGTATGCCCGACTACGCACCATCGTTGGACTACTGAAGGATGTCCAGCCTGCTGCCGAAGGGGCGGCCCCCCATCTTGTCGACTATACAGACAAACTAGCCTCTGCATTGAGACAACAGATGAAGAAATACTTTGGCGACCGGCTGCAGAAGACGCTGGAAGAGTTGAAATGGCCGACAAGACAACTGAATATTACCGACCAGCTCCTGGACCGATGGAGGCAAGATGTTGAACTGTTGATCGACCTGCAATTACCGTATGATCAGTCGCTTCATGCCTGGATGCATGTTCTAACAAGTTTTCTCTTAGTGAACTTCAAAGCCGTGATTCACTAGCTTTCGGACTGAGCTTCGACCCACCAGTCCTATTTCCATTAGAGGTTATGGTGCATCATCTCGATCTCCGATTCAAATATCACTTTAGTGGAGACAAGCCAACAAACCGACTGGATAAGGTAATGTGGCCCTGGATCTACGCAGCATCAGAAGCCTAACTTGGGTTCTAGCCGGAATATTTCCTCTCGCACATAATGGACATTGTCAACCAATACGGCGGATTTTTCGTTTCTTACCTGCAGCCCATCTTCGATGAAAGGGCCGAGGCAGTCGGTCCAGGTTTAGAATGGAACTTTTACAATGCATCACATAGTTACATTACTGCATTGCTTCCTATGCTGAGACAGAAGATCAGCTTGTTCCTCCCTCAAATCTCAAACTACCCTCAGTTGCTCAGCCATTTCATTCATGAACTGATGAACTTCGATAACGAGATCCGAGAAACATGGAACTATATGCCAGATCCATATGCGGACGACAACTGGAAGGGCATGACCTGGGAAGTGTTGACCAAACAGGGCTGGTATGATCGATGGCTTCAGGTTGAGAAGGACTTTGCGTTGGCGCGATACCAAGATATCATCGACACCGCGGACAGCGGTGAAATCGACTACGATGGCATGGAGGTCACTGCAACGAAACCAACAAAGGCTGCAATCCGCGTGAATGACCTTCTCGAAACCATAACCGAGCGCTATCAGCCCCTGTCGTCTTTTAGTCAGAAGCTGCGGTTTCTCATTGACATTCAAATCACAATTTTCGACCAGTTCCATGAGCGCCTCTATTCTGCACTAGAGGCCTACCTCGCGATGACGTCGACGCTTGGACGCACTGTACAGAGAGCCGACGGGCAAGCCAGCGTCGAGGGTGTCGCCGGGCTGGAGCGGCTTTGCAGGGTCTTCGGAAGTGCGGAATATCTCGAAAAGAAGATGGAGGATTGGAGCAACGATGTGTTCTTCGTTGAGCTGTGGTCCGAACTTCAAGATCGGGTTCGACAAAACCGAGACAGCGGTCGCAACGTAGCTGGTACTATGTCTGTCGCAGAGGTTGCGTCGCGTACCTCGCCCGCAGTCGCCAACAACAACGGCGCCCACACCGAGACCTCATCCGATGGCGCTCTCTTCGATGAGACGGCATCTGCCTACCGTCGTCTCCGACTTCGCTCAGAAACTATCATCACCTCGACCTTATCCTCTAATATCCTCGCCGCTCTGAAGCCCTACTCCCGCGTATCCACGTGGGCTACGCTGTCAGCCCCCTCTGCCACAGCGACGGCATCTCCCCTCTCACCCACTTCCGATCTCGCCCATGCAATGCGTGTCTTGTCCACGCAACTCTCCTTCCTCTCTCGCGCACTGGGCACTGCGCCTCTACGACGAGTCTCGCGCCAGCTCCTGTTGTCTGTCCAGAGCTATATCTGGGACAGCGTCCTGACCAAACACACCTTTTCTGAGACCGGAGCGGCCCAGCTTGCCAGCGATGTCGACCATCTCTGTCATGTCGTGGATTCTGCACTAGGTGCATCTAGTCGGGCGGGCATCTCATTCCAAACTATCAAAAAGCTCAGTGAGGGACTGCGTATCCTTTGCTTGAGTACGGCTGAGCAAGAAGTGGACGTCTCTTCAAAGGAGGACGTGCCTTTAAGGCTATGGGATGTGGAGAAGAGGCTGTTTAGGGATAACGAGAGTGCACGGGGTGTGCTTGCTGAATTAGAGATCGAGTCTCTATCGGAAGCTGAGGCTCGGTCCGTGTTGGAACGTAGGGTCGAGATTGGGAATTGATGACTTTGATATCACTCTATACCCAAGCTATTTTCCTTGCACAGAATTTATTACTACTGTTCAGGTAGGTATAGCTCTACAACCTCCACATTTGAGCTCCGAGATATTGGCTCATCTTGTTCGTAGGGTGTCAAATTGATACACAGCCTTATATATTGCACCAGATCTCTTGTATGTCGTATCCCGTCTCTCGTGTCCATATGCTCTACTCTATATGCGCAAGTAAATTAAAAGAAAACAAATCACGCACCTGCTCAAGCGCGATGGACAACAGGCCCGTGTCCACGCTCACCAAGCCGCTTATGCGGAACAGCCGAGTTACTCGCCTTCAAAGACTCAATAATACCAGGACCCACCTCTTCGATGGCGCGGACAAGCGAATCGACGGTCTCCTGTGTCGTCTGGACATTCACCACGCACCGGAAAAACTTCCCATTCCCAGCCGCATCCTCGTCCCCACTGGGAGGTGCAAAGTCCACCATGAAGCCCTTGGGCACGATCGCATGCGTCACCTGCTCAGTGACCTTGCTGTTATTCTTGGCGCGCTGTGTCTCATTTGAGACAATGCCGCGCGGGTACACGAACTCCTTGCCTGGGGCGTAGTAAAAGCACACCTGCAGGCACGGCGGGGGATTCTCGCTAATAAGAACGAAATCGGGATGTTGCGCGATGGTGTTAGCCAAGTGCGTGGCGATGTCGCATGCCGAGTCGATCTGCTGCTGGTAGCCCTCGTTGCCGTAGTATGTCCAACCCAAAAACAGCTTCAAAGAATCCGCACGTCGACCGCATTGGAGAGTGAGGTCTGCCAGGTCCCACACCTCCGGCGAGTCGACTTCCAACTCGGTTCCGTTATCTGCGTCGCCGTTGGTAGCAGGCTCGTCGTCTTCGTTGTGGAAAAGATACCCCGCGGGAAGAGTGTTGGCCTTGTGGAACTGGCGCATATCTGAGGCCAGCAAGTACGAGCAAGTGACCGGAACGCCGAGCATTTTGTGCGGGTTAATGGCGATACTGTTTGCTTTCTCTGCGCCGGCTAGCTTATGCTTCTGGCGCTTGGAGAAGACGAACGAGCCGCCCCATGACCCGTCGATGTGGAACCACATGTTGTATTTTTGGCAAATGGCTGCGATTTCGTTGAAGGGGTCGAAAGAGCCCATGACGGTTGTGCCTGCGGTGGCATTGACATAGAACGGCGTCCGGCCTTCGCTCTGCGCCTTCTGGACCAGTTTCTCAAGCTCGGCTGGGATCATGCGGCCAACCTTGTCAACGGGAACGGGCCAGACGGCACTGCTGCCGAACCCGAGCATCTGCGCCGCCTTTTCCACGCTGTAGTGGCCGTGCGCACTCGTGAAGAGCACGAACTTGTACCCGCCGTTCCCGTCTGTTTTCGTGCTCGGGTAGAGGTTGTTGCGCGCAATGACAATGGAGGTGGTGTTCGATGCGGACCCGCCTTGCACGGAAATACCTCCTGCCCGTGGACCGTTCAGCCCGAAGAGGCTCGCCAACCGCTCGCCGGTATATTTCTCAATGACTGTCAGCGCAGGCGAAACTTGGTAGACGTGTACGTTGGTGTTCAAGGTAGCGAGGATGAGCTCTGCTGCCACGCCGGGCGCATTGGTTGACGCATACAGCTTGTCCAAAAAGCCCTGGTGCCAGGTGTTGACCGAGTATTGCAGGACCTTTTGCAAGACGTCAATGAGACCTTCCTGCTTGGTGCCTTTCTCTGGGATCTCGAGCTGAAGGATATCCCGCAGTTCTTCGGGCTTCTTGTAATCTACCAACGAGGTTCCAGCCAGTCCAGTGTGTCCAGTGTGTCCATTGGTGCCGTTCGTGCCATTCTTCTGTGTCAAGGACCCGTGGGGATCCTCGTCTGCAGATCGGATAAAGGGAATGAGAAGGTCTTCCACTGCTTTCAGAAGCTGGGGAGAGTGATCGTATTAGTATCAGAGCATCGAATCAAGAATCTAGCGGGGTGTAGATCATTGCGATATGGGGTTGACTCACGCTTTGCACTTCATCAGCGCGGTTGGGCTGCGCAATGCCTGACATTTGTACAGGTTCTCACGTTCTAGTATGTGAAAATGCAAGGAGAAACAGGATCGAGTCTATACAGAAGAAATGGAAAAGAAAATAGGGCAGAAGGCGCAATTGAAAGGCAAAAAAAAGTTCACCCGGCGATCTCGGAGATGGCGACAATCCCGCAGAGCCTGACATCATCTGAATCTTCAGCCCTCATACGATGGTCTATAGTTACTCAGCTATACCTATATGTTGAGTCAGGTCCTCACGTAATTTGTATACTCCAATTTATCTAGATTCCTTGCATATATCATATGCAGACAAGGATATTAAGATTTGGGCTGATCTGCAGGAACCCGGTGCCCTCATGTGATTGTCAGTGAACTATACATGTCATACTGCCAATTTTCCAAATATTTTCGAAATGTTTTGAAATATGATATCGATTCATAAGAAAGCCATGGAAATAGATATAAAGCAATAAAATAATTGATGCATCAACGCCTTTTTGTATGAGTACATGTGCATTTCGCCAATATGTAAGGTTATCGCCACTGTACCTCTTCACCTGCTAGCCACCCTAGTCTGGTTCGCACCAGTAGCACCAGCATCGGCTGCTTCCTTGGCTGCTGCATAACGGGCCCGAGCCTGTTCAAGTTTAGACTTGGGGCGTTCGGCGCCTTCATTGCTCTCGGTTCGCTCCTCAAAGCCCTTGGCCTTGTGAGTCCAATCGCGACGGCGGCGCTTGAAGAGATCCATTGACCAGTTTCGCCAGACTGCGCGACCCACAAAGGAATCGCGGAGCTCCTGTTCATGCTGCTCGAGTTCTTGCGCCATGCGCTCCTTGACAAAGAAGATATCCTTGGTTGCAGACCAGAGCGCATCCACTACGTGTGAACCGCTGCTGCTCAAGGCAAGAGGTGTGAGATGACCCTGGAAACGGGTGGTGAGCTGTCGCCGGATTTGAGGCGTGGAGGTTGTGGATGTGAGGGCCTGTTGGAGAACGCGGGAGGAGGTGGGTTCTTGGGCAAGTTGTACGATGGTTTCGGATGATTGGGCGAGGAGACTAGTGTAGACAAGTTGGCTGAGTGGGCCAGGAACGGTCAACATGGCTTGTACCAGAAGAGAGCCATGCAGTTTCTCTGCTTTTTCGGCCGCAGATACCGGGGGTGGGCCCCGTGGCTTGCGGTCCTTTCCGTCGTTGTCCTCGTCCATATCATGGTCTTCAGATGGCGGGGCTGTGTTCTCCGAGATGTTGAACTTGAGCATCTGCTGCAGTCTGATAACAGGATCCTGGCTATAAGCACCCTCGAGTGCTTCGGCAAGAGGCTTGGTGTCGACGCCACGGACCACACACCGCTCGATCAACATCTTGGGGACAATGAGTCTCGACCGCTCAATCAGGCCCGGAACTTCGGGGACAATGTTGGTCATGGCAATCTTCAAGTCATCCTTGCCGAGTCTTTCCAGCATCCGAAGAACCACATATCCAGCAGTGCTATTGCGAGCGAGGGAACCAATTCGGTCACCCAAGTTGTTTTTGTAGAGGTTTTTGAATGATTTACCAGGAAGGTATCGCACCATCGTCTCTAACAGGCGAGAACCCACTGGGTCGTAGAGGAGACCACGAATGAAAATCGCGCTTTCGGATTCTTCCTCAAACGACTCATCGGGAACCAGTCTCCGAATGGTTGACTTGGGATCTTTGGCGCTGGATTTTCCAAAATGCGAAAGTTCCAAGAACAAAAGCACCTGAAGCACGGGGTTTCCAACTGGGTGGGTAGCTAGGGCTCGGAGATAAACATCGTCGAGACCGGCCACCATATCGGTCATGATCTTCTTGAGTGCCGGCTCAAATGTCTCTGGAACAGTGTGTTTCTCGGCTTTAGATTTTCCTGCCTTCTCTTCGCCCTGAACAGTCGGGATCTCAATTCTTTCCTTCTTGCGACTTGCGACAAACGACTCATTTGACGTGACATCCACCGGCTCACCTGCAAGAACCAGCAGTAGCACTCGGATTGTATGCGACGCAAATCGTTCCGTCAACAGGTATCCCCAATTTTCCTTCAATTCCTCAATAACAGCCATGAACATTTCTGCGAGCGATAGCTCCGGCTCTTCCTCTCCTTCTTCGTCTGACTTTTTGGGTTGAGATTTCGTCTTTTGCATCACGGCAGGCGCAGCGTGAATGAAGAGCGTCTCACAACAGTGACTGGCGAACCGATGCTGCACTAGGTGGAGGAAGTGGCCGATAAATTTGCTGAATATCCGGCGCAGCTGTCGAGCGTCTGACATTGAGATCAATTTCTCCATGAGCCTCGAACAGCCCTGACTGCAGGCAATCTTCAATTCCTTGCCACTAGCTTCCGAGTACACACTGTCGACAAACAAGCTGCGCTCTTCGGCATCCTGGAACTGATTGAGCTCCAGCATTTCGTTGGCGCGCTGGAAGTATTCTGACTCCTCCTCGTCTAGAAGACCATAGAAAACCATGTCTCCATCATGCTCAGGTCGCTCGCCTTCCTGCTCTTCGCCCTGCTCAAGGGGAATGTAGTCCTCATTTTCGGCAATTTGGATGTCATCGTTGGCCTCGTTGGTCTCGTCGGCGTCGTCGGCAGAGGGCTTCATTCGCTTCGCGACGGGATCTTCGGGGGTTTCCTCGAACTTTCTCTTGGAATCCTCTTTCTCGGCTTTCTTCTCGGCCCTGCGGCCTCTTTTTTGTTGTTCACGAGGCATTATGGCGGTGTGTCGTGAGGGAAGATGGACTTTAAGCGCTGGAAATTTTTTGGATAAGCGGTGGTCCAAGCGTCTCCGCGGTGATAAGAGTTTGGTCTGTTTGCAATTGCGGCCACTCTATAAGACAAAACAACAGGCCGAGTTATTGAGTAGAGCGAATTATAATTGCAATTTCATATAGCATCACTAATATACAGGTTTCATTTTTATCCTTTACACTGCAGAATAAATGGCAGAGACATGGCGCCCACATTCAACACGCTGTTCCATGCTCACATTGCGCTTCCCGACCTTGCCCTTGTGACGAGGCATGATCTGTAATCGCGCCTCGGCCTGGGTTTTCTTGTTTTCGGGGGGTGCGTTGATGTAAGTAGGCTTGGATTGGTTGCTTCGCTTTCCTGTTCCCAGCTGGAAATGCTCATTGCCTCCCCACCAAAGTACATCATAGCCCCAGTCTTTCGACTGATCCAAAGATTCCTTGGTGGTCTTGGTGACATTGGTCTTGTTGTCCAAGATAGCAGAGACATGTGTAGTACCGACAGACATGGCCCGGATGCGAATCGGGGTCATTTGCTTTGTTTTCTCGTCATACTCGATCACACCACTTAAAGCTTTCACCTTGGTGGGCGAATCCTGCAGGTGAACCCATCTGCCATTGCCGAGAGTACCCCAAATTCCCCTACCACAGGCCCATGTGTCTGCAGTTACATTTCCAAGATCACGAACATCGGCAGCCTCTTCTTCATACCCCAGAATGCGCTTGACATCGACGGAGAAGAAGGTGTTGGCGCCACCAGCAGCAATGCTGGTGACCTTGGGCAGATAGAGGTTTCTGCTATAGAGTTTTTGAACCTTCATAAGGAAAGGAGCATCCTTGAAAGGCCTCTCGGGTTCGAAATCCACACCCAATTGGCCAAATGAGTTGTCGCCAAAGCCAAACATACGGCCATCTTTGCTTAGCGCCAGCGAGTGGTAGTCGCCACAGGCAATCTGAACAATCTTGGAGCCTCTGAGAGCTGTAACTTCGTGGCAGGTATCTGCTGGCCCCTTGGGTCTAGTGGACCAGGTAAGTTTCTCCACACCGAGTTGACCAAGAGAAGGGTAATTTTCGGTGGATGACGCCGCAGAGAAGACTCGACCAGAGCTTGTGAGAAGCAGCACATGTTCCTGTCCCCCACTGATCGTGGTGATCTTTTCACCAAGCTTCAAAGATGGGTTCAGTACACGGTAGCTCAGATTAGACTGATTGGGCCAGAACGGAACCCAAGAGCTTTCCGTTGTCTTTGGGCCGGTGCTTTGCCCGTTCTTAGATGTGGGCAGTGAGTATACGGTCCCATCCGAGGACAGCGCAATGATTCGACTTTCGGAAAGAGCGAGTGAGATGAGATTCTTGCCAGTCAGAGTCGTCGTGGGTTTGAAGTCCGACTCCGAGAATGCCTGGCCCCATTGCACTAGATCTCCGTTCTCGGTGATTGCTGCGCCACACTTTTCCTCGATCTTGAGATCTCTCAGCACCTGGCCATCAAAGTATTTGAAGCGCCGAGGAGTTTTGATGTCGGTATCTTTGGATTCTGGATCCACCACACGATAAACGTTCGACCCCCATGTGTAGACGGCGGGACTTTTCAGGCTTCGTTTTTCTTGAATGAACTGAGCTTGGAGATCGTTGACGTCAACGGGCTCTTTCTTCGTAACCTGCGGGCGATTCATCCAAGCCTCCTTTCCACCATCAGCCATATATGAATATCCCAAAAATACTGCAGTTCCTGTCACAGCAAATCCGAGAGAATTTCGGATCCAGTGCGATGATGGGCCTGGCTTTTGCGATTGACTGCTAGCAAATCGGGACCATGGCGCATTCAGTGACTGAGCCGTCGAGTTTCTGAGTGGACGAAAAGCGAGGATGGAGCGCGTCGCGGGCCGTCGCATTTGAGTTGTCAACATTGTAGATGATGGCTGGATCACCAGCTAGAGCATACCGAAGCTGTAAAGGTGAAATTATATCCGGGGAAGCTCTCAATGCCGCGCTTGTGATTTGTTGCATCATCCAGGCGGGAGCTCTCGGCAGAATCCATCTCGGAGTTGACCACATCGCAGTTCGACTTCAACATCAAACTTGGCCTGAATTTCACTCTGGATAAAGTCCCAGAGAGATATGAGCTGCGGGCTGACTCCCATAACACTCCCTGGGCCTTGACCGCACCATGCCTTCCACAAAGCAGCAGCGTGCCCGCCGCCAAACCGCCCCCTCTGGCCCGCCGCGCAAACCCACCGCCAAAGAAACCGAATCAAGCCTCCAAGCATTGGACGAAAAGTCGCCCAGCGATTCTGAGTGGAAAACACCAGGATGGAGCAACGAACTCGAGTTTTCGCACTGGCTTAATGGTGTCAAGAGTGACCTTATTGAGGAGAGCTATGACGAGTACCAGTACGATCGACATTGGACGGTTATCGGATGTGTACTAATTCACTTTTCTGTAGGAACTGCTTGGATGAACTTGAACAATCGAAAGAGCACATTGACGAAATCTTAACGAATACCCTGACCCTTCTGGATGACCTATCCAGCTTGTCCGAATCATTCAAATCGGTCGAGACCCAAACATCGAACTTTGAGAAACAATGCCAAGGGCTTTTGTCTGCCCAGGAACGGGATACAAAACTTGCGAAAGGTATCCAGAACAACCTCCACTATTATGACTTCTTAGACCCCGCATCGCGGCGGCTGAATGCCCCCGGCGCGGGGAATACAGTTCGCGACAAGGAATTCTCAGATATGTTGAGGCGTCTGGACGTGTGCTTGGATTACATGGAAACACACGTGAGTAAGAAAGTCGTGGATATTTATGCTCCTATCGCTGATCTCTATGCAGCCGGATCAAAAAGAGGCAGAGGTCTATCGCTCGAGATACCGGCTACTGCTAACGCGTGCCTTGACGCTTATCCGCGGCAACTTTGTATCTTCACTTAAGGATATTTACCAGAATGTCTCCAAAAAGATTTCGGATCAGCAATTGAACGACACAGCCTTGTCGGCTCTCTTATACGCCAAGTTCAGGGTTGGAGCGCCTGAGCTGAAGCAGATTGGAGTCGAGATTCAAAAGAGAGCTGTGCCGCCGCTCAACCCAGATCAAAATAACGAAGCTGAATATCAGAGTCTCATGAACGAGCTGCACAGCAATTACTCGGCTACCCGTGCAAAGCTGATAATGCCGCTCGCGCGCAAAAAGCTCGGTGAGATCACACAGACGCCTAGTTCGTCCAAGGACCTAGTTGCCTTTGCTCGAGCTAGCATCGGCTATATCCGTGGTCTGTGCCTAGATGAATATGATCTATGGGGAGAATGGTTCCACGGACAAGGAGGTTTGTATGACTTCCTTGAGACGCTATGCGAACCACTTTATGATCACCTTCGTCCACGAATCATCCACGAGTCCGATATCGTCAAGCTATGTCAGCTATGCAATCTACTGCAGACTCGCTATTTTTCGGACCCAGAAGAAGAAGCGGAACAAGTCGAGACGAATCATCTTGACTTTTCTGGTTTGATCCAGCCCGCTTTGCAAGACGTCCAGGCCCGACTTGTCTTCCGTGCTTTGGCAGTCCTGCGTGACGAGATTGAACGATATAAACCTCGCCCAGAGGATACTGATTACCCCATGCGCAATCGACAGGTATCTCTGACTGTGTCAGATACTCAGATCTCGGGCAAGAAGGACACATCCGCAGATACACTAATCGACATGACGGCCAAACAAGGCGAAGACACAGGCGAATCTCCACAAGAGCCAGATGGCAAATGGGACTTTGAGACCCAGACCGCCCTAAAGGGCTGGTATCCAACCCTGCGAAAAGCAATTTGGCTCCTGAGTCGGATATACCGCCTAGTGAATGTAAGATGCCTCTCCGCAACAACCCTAACCACCCACCCATGCTGACCACCCCAGTCCACCGTCTTCGACGACCTAGCCCACCAAATCGTGCACCAAACAACTCTCTCTCTCCAAAACGCAAGCACCCTAATCTCCGCCAAAGCCACACCAGCCGACAGCCAACTCTTCCTAATGAGCCACCTCCTAATCCTAAAGCAACAAATCGTCGCCTTCGACATCGAATACGTCTCCGCCGATATCTCCTTCGACTTCTCCGGTATGACAAGTACATTCTGGGAGCTGCGCGAGCGCGGCGGCCTCTTCAACCCGCGCAACCTGATGCGCCTCGTCGGCCACGGTCTCATCCCGCGCGTCGTGGAGAACATGCTCGACGCAAAAGTCGAGCTGGATGGTCGCCTTCGCACAGTCATCAACGACTTCATCAATGCCTTTGCTGCTCGCATGACCGCCTCTCTACCAGTTCAATTCGTTGATTCCCGCAATCTGGCCCGCGGCGAGCTTATTCTTCCTTCCTGCCGCACTATTGATAAGGAGGTTCCGGTTCTGCGGAAGGTCTTGAATGACTATATCGACGACACGCGTATGAAAGAGACGCTTGTTGGGGCGGTCCAGGACCGCACTATTCAGATCTATGAGGATTTCTTTGAGAAATATACTTCCTCCGAGAAGGCCAAGGGCAATTTTGTTAGTAAGAAAGGGAAGGGTCGGGACGATGCTGTCTGGGATGTTAATACCTTTGCCGAATGGTGCGAGGGTGTGTTCCGTGTCGGCGTCGCTGGGTTGCAGGCTGATATCCCTGAGGACGATGACGATCTCCTGAGCACCAGCTCTTAGGATTTGGATTCGTTCTTATGATCTTTTTTGAATATCCGCTTTTGAGCATAGATACCATGTCGAATTGAGCACTTTTGTACATGTATAAGCCGAAGAATTGTTTGTATAAATTCATGTTAGTCCCGCCGGCAATTCTTGCTGGTATCGTAGTGTATCATAATGAGACTATAAAGAGGGAATAATCCAATTCCCCCGGTAAATGTTATTATCCACAACCGTGAAACAAGGTATGTACAGCTGATCAGAAAGCTGGAAGAATCCAAACGACAAATCTCGCTTCAAGCACGTAAAGAAAAGGGTATGTACGGTCGATAGGAGAAAACGCAAAGTCATTAAGGTACTCCGAGCCCGGTCAAACAAGCAAAACAAGCAGAATCAAGCCAAGTGAACTGAACTCAAAGAACGTCGCGAATCTTGGCGTACAATTCCGTATCTAGGAAGTTGTAGTTCGCATCGGACTCGCAGAAGGGATGGCGGGTGAGCAGGGTTCCGGCAGTAGGGCGTTCGGCCGAGTCACTGGGAAGATGTTAGTAAAAGGCAATTCCCAAAACCAAGATCTGAGATCTGATAAAGCGATCCTAGGACCGAAATTGGATGACAACTTACATTGTGAAACAATCGTACATGAATGCAAGAGCCGCCGGACTAATGTTCATAGAAACATCATCCGGAATCGGTGGAGCCTGGCTCAGACTGCCGAGTTTGAAGATAGCGCCGATGGCCTCCTCCTTGCTCCATGGTCGACGGCCCGCGAACATCTCCAGCACCACACAGCCAAGGGACCAGATATCGACCTTGGCACTATAACCTTGGCCCTGGGACTGAATGACCTCCGGGGCCATCCAGAAGACGGAGCCTTGCATGGAGTTGGACGAGTCGTTGCCGTAGATATCGTCTGTCTTCTTGGAGATACCGAAGTCGGAGATCTTGCACGTGCCATCGAGATCCAGGAGGATGTTGTCTGCTTTCAAGTCGCGGTGAAGGATTCCCTTATCGTGCAGGTATGCCAGTCCGCCCAGGGTTTGCCGCGTTAATGATCTCACAACGCTTTCTTCGAATTTGCCGTGCTTGCGCAGACAGCTTCCGACGGATCCACCGGAGATATACTCCAGGTAGATGGAGATGGAGAACTCGCCACGCTCGCATCCAAGATACTGCACGATGTTGGGGTGTTCGAGGTGCTGCATCGTGTCGATCTCCTGGTCCAGAGCGGCGACCATCTCCTTGACGCGGTCTTTGTCTGCTCCTGCAATTCGCGGGTTGATCTCGACTAGTTTGACTGCCAAAACCTCACCATTGTCCGCGTTCATGCCTAGGTATACACGACCGTAAGTACCCTTGCCGATGAGCTGACCACGGATGATGCGGAAAGTGGGCTGTCGCTGAGGAACAGGCCCGGTATTGGACGCCAGTTGGGTGCTGTTTTGCGGAATCGGATCGAGTTGGCTAAGCCGGGTGCCTGGCCTGGGCCTGATTTGCATAATCTTGGCGCCGAACATCTTGGTACTCTTTCGGCGCAGGAGATCACCCGACCTTTGGGGACCAGCAGTGCTAATGCTGTTCGTCCGGTTCGCTCCCTGAGCCACTTGTCGAATGGATTTCATGCGAGAGAGTCCACCGCCACCGCCGCCACCACGAGCAAGTTTGTGTCGAGCAAAATTGGCAGGTTCAGGTGTTCTCACCGGAGCTGTGTCAGGCGCATTGGTTGCATGCGGCATGGGGGATGGGGCTTCCTTTTTGTCTTTGAGGCTCGCGTCATGTTCGCTGATAGCCTTGCTATTGGGCGATGAGGGCTCATCCAAGTAAGGAGCGTCAAGATCAACGTCAGGGAAGAAGTCATCGAGATGGTCGATGACGCCTTCGACAGCAGGTCTGCTTGCCCAAATATCTCGGGCAAATGACTCTCGCCGTGGTAAAGGCCTCTCATCTTCAGGCGAGACTGGTCCCCAGGTACTAGAAACCGGTTCCTTCCCATCAGATGCCTCTCCGCTGGAACTGGGACCGGCAGTACTCGGAGATGGTTGGAACCTGACAGATAATTTTGATCTTAATTTATCTTTTGTGTTCACAGTGAGCGATGGCCGCTCCGACTTCTTTTCGGCCTCGGCTTGCGCATCTCTCTGTTCTTCCTGGGCCCTTGAAGGTCGGACTTGGAATAGGCCATCGTCCGAGTCATCGTCAGAGTCATCATCTGAGTCCTGTTGCTGCTGAGGAGTTCGCTGGAAGGAAACTTGATTCTCTTCGAAGTCGAACTCTGGACCGAACGACTTGCGAGATTGTAAGCCCGGTCTCGGCGGGTCTTCAGCAACAGGTTTGTCGGGTGACTGATTGGCAAATGAGACTGGCGGTTTCTCGCGTTCTGTGGCCATCTTCGAAGCGGGTCTCGAAGAGTCTGAAAGATAGTCAGCGGGAGATCGATCAGACCGCGCTGTGTCATGCATATACTGACCAAGGGTTGTTCTACTTGAGAATGTTCCAGTAGAATCAAATGATCCTGTTCGATCAGACTCGGAGCTCGCACTGTCTTGAGTGTTGGCTGAAGGCGTAGATGCAGACGGTACGGAAGGCAATGGCGTGCCAACGGCACTTGTAATGCGGCCAACGCTAGCAATTGCAGCGCCTAAGGACGGCTGTAACCGAGCTTCACGGCTTTCACGAGTGGTGGGTCTCCTGCTGAGAGAATTGACCTTGGTAAGAGTGTTGGACTCGACTGGCGCTGTTGGAGGTTTGCGAAGTGGCACAAGCGGGTCTCCCTTCTTTTCATCATAAGGCGAGATACGAGGACTATCAAAGTCAATGACTTCGTTTCGCCTGTACCCGGTGTCACTGTAGGCATTTTTATTCTGCTGAGACTGCGGCATTTTGGATTGCAAATATTGCTTTTGTTTACGTTCGACTTCACGGAGATGCTCTTCGTGGCGAGCGAGTAAATCAGATTTGTCAGACCCAAGAGCTTGGCTTGCGTCCTGTACGGTCTCTGCCGGGGATGCCTTCACTGTCGAAGCCTTAAGAGTATTTTGCCGAGACCCCAACAATGGAGACTCTGGTCTGGTGCGATGCGGTGATAACCTGTTAAGGGCATCTTCGTCAAGGGGCTTTCTGTGGACCTGGTGGTGTGTTGCCGTGGGGGACAGATTGGACTTGTCTGTGAATGAAACTCCCAGGCCATCGACTCGAGGAGTATTTGATGGCATAGGAAGCATAGGAGTCCCTCGTACAAACAGTTTGAGAGAACCGTATGCATCTGATTTGCTCCGACGCGACTGTGCGAGGTTGGCGTCACTCATAGGATCCTCATGCTCGCTCTGCCCGGGCTGAGTGAGGTAAATCTGGGCACTGGTCGGGTCGACGGAGAGGCTTTCACAGATCCCGGTACGCAATGACTCGAAAGAATCCAGATCGGAGATGTCAATCAAACGGAAGTTCAAACCATCCGCGGTGACAAATACCCACTTTTTCGTCTTGGTGGTCGCCGTGGATGGACGCTCACCAACCGACATGTCGCTAGAATTGTAAGCGGGCTTTATGTAAGGGAGATAGGCTTCATTCGGGCGAGTCTCCGGGCTCGTCGTAGGCGACGAGTCTTCATGCTGCTGATCGGGAGATGGCTGGTTAGAAGCTGTAGCTCTTGCCTTCTTCTTCAGAATATTAGAAAAAAAGCCTTTATGTTCCTTGGAGTACGAAGACGAGGTTTGGTCACTCCATTGCCGACTAGAGGGATCTTGAGGCGAGGGACGAGCACCCTCTTGGCCTGGCCTGCGAGGATCATGTTCTTGGCCTTGTCTACGTGAATCGTAGTACCGGCCTGTGGCGCCCCGACTGAATCCGGGGATCGATTCGGTGCTATTGCCACGAGAGTGATCATACTGTCTTAACGTCAGATCCCCAGTGGAGGATGAAAATGCTCCTGCATAAGCGGGCGACGCATTCTGCATGGCTGGGCTACCACTATTTGGACTTTCTTCATGGGGTCGAAGGGATGATCCCTGAAAAGTGCCTGATTCACTGCCAATGGACGGACTCTGGCGTCGGTGGTCGGTGTTCATTCCCGACAAGGCATTGCGAGTATACTCGGACCGCAAATAGTCAGATCGCACCCAGTTTTCTCGTGCCGGAGAGTCATTGTATCTGGGTGAATCGTGGCCAGCAGGGACCGGCATGGTAACCGAACGTTGCCCAGGCTGCTTTTGGCCTTGATTGGAAGCGTGCAATGCACTCAAATGATCCGGACTCACATCATTGACACCAGGCACAGGGCCAGCAGAGCGTGGCTCGGGAAAAGTATTGGAAAAGTAAGCCGTACTGGTCTCAGGGAATGCAGTCGCCGGCGGCTGCGTCTGATTTAGTGGTGTAGAGACAGTATAGTCTTGCGATCCATCGTGAATTTGACGGATCAGTTTGCGCATGCGCTTTCCTTCATCTCGTTCCCGGCCAGGTTCCCATTTTTTGCCGCTCCGGCCAACCTCCTTTGACAATTGAGGATAAACCACTTGATGCATTTTCCCAAGATTTCCTCGCCCGCCGGATCCATGTCCAAGCTCGAGAAAGTCAGCCCCTTCGAGCTCCAATGATTTGAATGTTTCCTGCCAATCGTTGGAAAATCCATTCTTCGCAAGCCAGAGGAGCACGCGATCCAATGGCCACTGAATCGCAGCTTCGCTGTGAGATAAACCACCCAGCGAAGTGCCGCTGATATTGTGACGATGACTTGTCGTTTTGGTAAGCTCGGTATTTTGAGCTGTCGCCTGCTGCTGCGGACTGTCGTTGGACGTTAATTCATGAATGTTGCCATGAAGAGCGTAAGGCGAAGAAATAGTGCGGCCCCCGGGGGTCTGTGGAAGGCTTGTGTCTGTTTTATACGGGATTGAGGTATTGATGTGGTCGTGCATTTGGCTGAGACCCAACCGTTGTCTCTCGGCATTGGTGTGCGCATATGGGTCGTATGGATGAGCGGCTCTTCCATGGGGGTCGAATAACCCTGGAATCCCGACACCAATAGTATCATTCCCGGGTATATAAGTTGCGGATGTCAGAGGCTGATGGTCATGACGCGGAGGAACGATCGACAACTGAGCTGGTGGGCGACCGTATGTTAGATGCTGATTTGGTGCGGGGGCAAGAGGTGGCGGCGGTGGGAAGCCTGGGTTCAGCGCCGGCCTAGCCCAGTTTTGCTGCCACCCTGTCGGAGTATACGTCGTCCCTGGAGGCGGGCCAGGAGGAGGTGGGGGCACCATCGTTTGGGCTTGTGGATGTCGAGGCGGAGGCGGAGGCAGGTTCATGTGTTGTGCTTGAGAGGAAGGCGGGGGCCCCGGGACATACTGCTGACGTCCATCCATTATGATAGCCGATGCACTGGGTCTGCCTGTTGACTGTAGTTATATCCCGCTGTCTGGACTGCGACGTGCAGGAGACGTTTGGGCGGATGTGGTTTTCGGGGTTGTTCAGGTATGATCATTAACACATCATGCTAAACGTCCCAGGCACCAAACAAGCGGTCGGAGTTGAAGGCTGGATGTTCGTTCTCGTTGATCGCTCTCGTTGATCGCTTTGAAAGGGCAGGAATGAAACGAGTTTAGGTTCTCAGTGCGTGAGTTGACATGGTTCGGTTCGGCGTCGCCGATGTTATCGCAGCGCTTGAGATTGCGGAACAGACTAAGATCGCGCGACGGGCTGGTACAAGGTCAAGATGATCTCAAAATAATCGACTGGAATTTAAAAAAAAAGTCTTCTGAACTCAGTACATGGTAAATCACCTGCCGAGATGAGCTTCCAAGGGTTTTGTAGGGTTTTGGAGGACGATGCAATTGGGTCGAAAGATTGGAAGATTGGAAGGTCAAAATGCGATCGAATGAAATTCAAGCAAGTGGAAGCGAGCAAAGAACACCACAACTCCTTACTTCCGACGTATTTCAGAAACGAATGGAACTCACCGAAAATTCTTAAAGGGATAATATCAAATGGTCTTTATATTGCTTTGATGCCTTGAGAAGGATCGTCACGTGGCACTTGGATTTGGTTCCTCTTCCTATCCTTTTTAGGGTTATCGTAGTACATATGTAGTCCTTAGTACGGAGTACGGACTACCTAGGACACAGTATACAGTAAGTAAGAAAGAAAGAACAATTTATCGTACTTTTTACTGTCACTTTCTCCATGAGATACCCTCCAGACCCCGTCGGAGGCCCTGCAATCTCCCAATCTCACCTTCGGTGGCCCGTGATCAGCCATCACCTGGTATGCGCCAATAACAGCCCTGTGGCGTCTGTCTTCGTTTCTGAACTGTTCTCTAAAACATTGTGGAAAGACATAGTCTAGGATATGCCTATACCCGCCATGGTCCTGAGAGTAGTCCTCTACGGAGTACTTCTACTAGAAGCATTGGAGAAGTCAATCACTTGAAGAACTGAGTCTAAAAAGGCAGGTATAATTAAATTGTATCTCGCTAGTAAGTAAACAGAATGCATGAAAGAATTATTTTTGAGATATCATAAACATCCACCATTAGACACATCAAGTGGGCCCATTGTTGTACACAAAAAAACTGACTCGAAATCTGAAGACTATATCTCCAGATCTACAGAACAGTACCCTTGTTCTGCTCCTTGTCCACCCTATAATGTCTCCACATACCGATACACGGTACAGCAAGCACAAGAATCGCCGTCGCAGAAATACAGCCGTACTTCTGATTGTATCCATAGGCGAAGTTGATCGCGTCACGCTCCTCGGTGCCGGGCAGATACTTCATTTGAGCAACATAGCCACCGGCATAAATGGCAGCCCATTGATCCTTAGAACTCTCGGGCAGGGCCTCGCGCAGTCCCTGGGGGAAAGTGTTGGCGTAGATAGCAGCGGAGGCGGCATAGCCGATAGCACCGCCCAAGTTGGAGAACAGATAAACCAACGAGATCATCATGGGGATACCATCACGGTCAGAAGCGCACATGACGGCCATCTGCTCGCCGATGACCATCATACCTCCAGCGAAGGCAAGGAAGATCTGGCACATGATCACGCACCCGATGTCGCTGTCCGAGCCGCGCCAGCGCCGAGGGTCATCAATGGTAGAGCGAAGAAGAGACAGCTGTACTCGAACTCCTTCACGTAGCGGATCCAAAGGCCGAAGATCGAGGACCAGTCGCAGGATCCCACGGTGTAAATTGCCGTCATGTATCCGGTCATCGTGACATCGAGGTTGTATACGACCATCACAAAGTAGTAGTAGTAGTAGTAGTAGTAGTAGTAGTAGTACAGATCCCAGGAGTAGAAGCTGAAGTAGAGGATAGCCGAGAGACCGCACGCGCCGAAGACGGTGCGGTCCTTGAAAAGCTGGTAGGGGATGAAGGGGGTGCGGGCGAACCATTTTTCCCAGGTCGCAAAGACGAAGAAGAGGAAGAAGCCAATAACCAGGGGCGCGATAAAGGCGGCTTCGCCGTACTGGGCACGGCCGTAGTTGGCAAAGCTGAAGGGAAGGAGGAACAAAATGAAAGCCGCCATTAGGATGAAGGCATCGATAACTATAAATTCGGTTAGCGGTTGATTGAGGACAGAAGGGAAGATATATACGGTCTATACTCACTGTCAAACTCGGTAGAACCGGATCTACACTGCTTAGCTTTAGTATATTGAGATCATTCCAGGTTCACAGATTTGCCTTAGCGTAAGCTGAAGTGTTCACTGTCAACGCTCATTCGGCAATGTCTTCTTCGCTACTTGAGGCTCTCGTATGGATTATTATTGCTGTTATCATACTTGCTGGGAGTGAGTGGCTCGGACAAGTGTTTCCTTTTGGCTTAGTCTATTCCTTGCTTTTTATTGTTCCACGTGGATGATGAACCATATTTAAGTTAAATCAGATGGGTATAGCATCCGAGTGTGAGGCTCTTTTACTTTCTCTCACCGGCAGGTATCCCAAACCCTAGCGGAGGCAAATATTCTTAGAGCTAAACAAATGAAAAACAGGATTCACATCTGATAACCTAAATTTCTCCCTGAGAATCTCTGAACATGGTTCGCCGTTCTCGCCCAGCCGATGACTGGACAACAACGAACCGGTCCCACTGATACATTCCAGCCTGCACATAAAACGCATTCAAAGGAAGATGCCACTTCCTACTTGCCATAAACAGGATGGCGTATTCAGTCTTAGAAACAAAGTCTGAGCTCCTCCAAGCGAGGTGCCGAGTCACTCATTTGGAAAACGATATGAAGCAAAAAGATTGAGCGGAATCTGCCAAGGCTTGGAAACATTTGGCATTGGAGTTCATGCAACTTTAACTTGAAACACGAGATGCTTATTTTGACATTGTAGACGGTGCTAAGCTTGTACTAGCCGAGGATGCTGGGTTGGCTTTGCAACTTGCATGTTCTCATCTACTTGATAGCTTGATAGATCTACGCCAGGTCTCACTAAATGGTACATGGGCAGACCATTAGGCTTAAAATATGAAGATTTCATTGAATTTCGTGAGTGAATAGCGGAGATGTTCGTGGTACATACTCAATAACGAGCATTATTAAATCCTGCCAGTATGTGACCATCCCCTTTCGAAGCAAACGCCGTAAAAACAGAAAACGAGCCGCAAAGGGCTAGAAAATCCAGAGTTCAGATATTACTATGTTGCTTTCGTGTGCATCGTGACATTACGACAAGAGTCATAATATGATTTCGCGCTTCGAATGGCTTATTTGTTGCGTTGAGCAGCAGCCTCGGCGGTCAACTTCAAGCCCGCAGGGGCGTCATCGCGGGGCATGTACACCTCGACCAGCTAGATAGTGCGTTAGCAGACAATTTGTGACATCCTTGTATTGGTAACTCACTCGGAGCTTGTCGGACACGTTGAAGTCCTCGTCAGCGAACAGCTTGTTGAGATCGTCACGGGTCTTGATACGGTAGCCTTGGTAGTTGTCCTTGCCTCCGAAGACCTTGGGAATGTTGGCAAAGTCCCACGGCTGGATGTCGTTGTAACTCGCATCCCATCCGTGGATGTATCGCTCGATAGTGTAGCCGTCGTTGCAGATAACGAAGCTGGAAATGATCAGTATATATTAGAATTCTGGGTTGGTGGGAATGCTTACACAATAGGGTTCAGCTTATTCTTCAGGATAGTGCTTAGTTCTTGCACGGTCAGTTGGATACTTCCGTCGCCGATGAAGAGGATGGTTCGACGGTCTTTCTGCTCCTTAGCAGCGAGAGCAGCACCCTGACAGGCTCCCATGGCATATCCAATGCTGCCCCAAAGAACTTGGCTAATGGCAGTCACGTTCGCTGGGAAGCGAGTGTCCCAAATACCGAAGTTGGCAGTGCCAGTCTCCGTAAGAACGATGTCCTTTTCCTTTAGCCACTGTCCGACGATCGGCCAGAGCCACTTGTGGCTGATGGTTTGATCGGTAGAGGTTTGCTCGCTTTCGGGCAGTCGATTCGTAATCAGAGGAACAGGAGCAGGGGTCAGAGGATTCATTCGGTCAATGACCTTCCGCAGAACACCTTTCATGTTGATATCAGGATACTCCGAGTACCGCACTCTCACATAGGTACTATGGAAGTCAATGGTGTTCAGCTGTCCAACTCGATAAGTGAAACCGGTAGTGTTGAAATCGGACTTGATCGCTCCAATGCTCAGAATGAGGTCGGAGGACTCGACGGCCTCGCTAACTCCAGCGTTAGACCCACTGCCAGCATAAACACCACCAAAGTTCTTGTAATTCTCATTCACGGCTCCCTTGCCCATCGGGGTCACAAAGGTTGGCAAGCCAGACTTTTCCACCAAGTCGCGCACTTCTTCTAGCGCGCGGTGACGAATTGCACAGGCGTCAACCAAGATGACAGGGTTCTTTGCACCATGGAGATACTTCAGGACAACATCGACCGCGTAATCCTCCTTCTCCGGGTCATTCTTAGGCAATGAAAGATCAATCGGGGTCTTCAGGCGATCGCCGTTGACCTTAGCAGTGACAATATCAGTTGGCAGAGTGATGTACACCGGACGGCTGCGGATCCAACATTCACGAATCGCACTGTCGATCAGAGTGGCTGCGTCATGGGGGTCGTTCAGGCGTGCGACGTAGCAGGAGATGCCCGCGCTCATTTTGGAGAAGACATTAAAGTCGCCGTTTCCGAGAGTATGGTGCAACAACATTCCATCCCTTTGAGACTGAGTGGTGGGCTGGCCAACGATATGGATGACTGGGACAAATTCGGAGTATGCGCCTGCGATGGCATTGAGGGCGGACAGCTCTCCAACACCAAATGTGGTAACAACAGCACCGATCCCATTCACACGAGCATAGCCATCGGCGGCATAGCCTAAGAGGAACTAGTGTTAGATCGAGATCGTTCGTTCATGGTAAAGTCTTTCTTACCGGCATTGAGTTCGTTGCAGTTTCCAACCCAGTGAAGTCCACACTTGGGCAGGTAATCCAATGCTACAAGATTGTAGTCACCAGGTACACCATGCAATGAGCGGATTCCAACCTCGTGAAGACGTCGGAATAAGTACTCAGCAACATCCATGGGATTCTTTAGCTCCCTGGTAGCAATATCGGTAGACGCCATGATGAATTGATGTGTTTGGGGGTGGGGAGAAGTAGATGGATAGAGAAGAAGGAAAAGGTGAGAGGTGAGAGCGAGGGGTAAGATATATAAAAAAGCGCCGGAACCTTTGTTGCTTCCCTGATGAGAAAAGGTGAGACCACTTTGACTACGTCATTGAATTGATGTCATGCCATCATTTGGTATTTTTATGAGATTGGATGTGCTATTTTAGAGCCATGTGTTATTTTAGAGCCATCTAGAACATATTAATAGATAAGGATTTGTTATGTATTTAGTAATTATAAACAACATAACTATATACAACAATGTACATAGTACCTAGTTAGGTAGTCCATGTAACAATAAGCATATGGGATGTAGAATGCCCAGGGTCGATCCCCGGCTAAACCCAACACAGGTCATCTCCCGGCCGATCACACAAAATTCCCCCACCACCTCAAACCACCATCCTGGCATATCAAAAAGCTAGGATTATCTAGATTATCTAAATGGGGAAAAGAGCTATGCCTGACAGATCAAATCACTCTTCAAAGAAGAAAAGGGTTAGTTTCTAACAAATCTTGATTACCAGAGCACTAACTAATGGGACTAGGGTGGTGGTGGAAAATATGGGAAGCAGGCAAACCGCGTCCCTATTGAATCTGGCGATGTAGGTGTCTTTTTGACATGCGATATGGGCAGAGAAGGAAAATGTCTGTCCGAGGCAGTGGATATCTTTTCTCAGGTGAGATGATTTTTTTTTTTTTTTTTTCTTCCTTTTCGCTTCAAATATTATTCCAACAGTTTCGCTAACTCTTTTCCTAGGCCATCGAGGGCACTGAACATCAAGAGGAAGATGAGCAAGATACTGATGATGAAGATATCGAGGCCCAAATCAGAAGGGAACTGGAGGGCCTACAGCCCAACAAAGACAAAAAACGTCAATTCCAGCCCGTGCAGATGGACATGCCGTGTGGTACGTCTGCGATTATTCCCAAAAACGCCATCTCGCTTATGCGCTCGGCACTCGGAACGTTAATTGGTGCTAATCCCTGATAGTGACATTCATGCGTCTTGATCCCTCAATAGACCCGGTGCAGCTTGTGCACCGTCTGTGTAGCGAAGCACATGCCCATCCGGAGACTAAGAAAAGCCGATGGATTAAGCGCATGCATCCAATCACGTCAATCCGGAAGACTTTGAGTGTGGATCTAGCGGCGTTTGCGAAGGAGATTCTCAAGCCTCATTTCCATTCGGGAGGGCCACTGAAGACGGTGAGTTCAAGGCCCCTATCTCCCTCTTTGGGCCTCTGGGCAGTCGGAGATCCTACTGATCTAGGAAATGATCCAATCATGCATCTTGCTGTGGGGGGAAATATACTTTGAGCATTGCTAATCTGTCACCTATTTAGTATGCAATTCGGCCTACTGTGCGAGGCAACTCGAAGCTCAACCGAGACATTATTATTAAGACTGTTGCCGATGCTGTCGGACCTGAGCATCCGGTGAATTTGACGAACTATGATCTAATGATCCTGGTCGATGTTGCCCAAGTGAGTAATACAAACGAATCCTCTCCTACTGGATCTTTAACTGACTCGTCGCAGAATGTGATTGGAATGAGTGTAGTGCAAGGCGACTATGATAAGCTGAAGCGGTTCAACTTGGCCGAAATCTACGATCCTTCGCCGAAAGAAGAGCCAGAGGCCACGGCCACTGAGTCTAAGGCTTAGCATCAATGGCACAGTACTTTCCATAGTAGGCACAAAGTCACTTCAATGGAATTTTGTTGTACACATGCTATACCGCAGGTTTTCATGCACTTATAGCCAGTCCTTTCAAGTAAACCTACTCGTATGTATATAAATTACGAACAATAACTCAGAATAGTAATTTTGGCTTCGTGTGTAGCAGGACGACTGAATTTGGAACAGAAGCCATCAGGCATCTTCGATATTGGGATTTGCGTCAAATGCATGATCTATGCAAATTTACCTATAAACATCATGTTCAGTGGGAGGCCCTTCTCCACTTGACACTATTGTCCAGGTCTGCGTGCGTCCAGTATCGAGTAATCCACCATGGTTGGAAGAACTAAAGACTATAAATAAAGGCTCTTGAATTATGGGTAACCGATGAGACATCCAGAAAGAGAACTGGAAACCCCCTATTGTTAATTATATTTTATTCTTGGCTTAGAGTATTGTTGCATTTTTTTGGAGTGGGAAAAGAAATACTGTAGGAACATTAGCGTGATATCGTTGGCTTTGGCCAAGCATGAGGCGGATATATATTTGACATGATATCAACTACATCGACGCTAAAAACACACTGCTTGACGTGGCACCCCGGTCTTCGCTACATATATCACATCCCCTGCAGGTAACATCTTAGATGCTACCTCAGAGGGCCCCAAAAAGCCTCGGCGACTTAGTTTATGCAGTCACAAGCCGTCCCGGGGGCATTGACGAATCAGGTCCATAATTAAAAAAGAGTGAAAAAGAATTATGAAACTGGATGCAGAAGCTATGTAGTATATGATAAAGGTCCATTGTTTCAGGAACTCTCTGTAATGACTTGCATTTCATTTAAGAGTAAGAAATCTCCGGTGGCTTGCATGGAGTGTTTCAGACCCCAGAAAATAGAAGCGATAGCTATATGTAAGCAGAAATAGACGAGATCGGAGTACAAAAGGAGTTTCAAAGTCCAACACCAAATGGAACAAATGGAATAGTAAGCGAAATAAATGAGTTCGGAAAGTAGCCGAGAAGAACAAATGGAACCTTGAGAGAGTTCTATAATCCTGAATCCACGGGAAGAATTCGGCAAGGGACCGTTCTGATTGGTCGGGAGTCAAGTGCTCGGATGATCACCTTTCTTAGAGCGGGATCGTTAGGCGAGACGGCTTCACTTAATTTACTTTGTCCCATATTTCTTATTAATGAGCCAATGTGACAACACGGTCCTGGGACTCTCGCTTGGCCATGCTTCTCAGCGAAACATATTCTTCTAATTTGACTCCGCAGTCTGTGTTCAACCTCGGATAGCAATGTCTTCTCTTTCCTATCTCGCGTGGATGAACCTAGAAGCGAGAGTCATGGCGCAGAAAATACGCTGTCGCTGTCCTTCTATTGCAGTTTACGCACCAAGTAGACAATCATGGCGGTCTGGTATGCCCCATTGATATTTGAGGATCTCTACGGAGTACTCCATACTAAGGATTCTTTCGCGAATTCTCTACTCTAGAAGCGAATTTGCGCCACGTCTGCCGGGAGTATGCTTAGTATGCTTTTCAGGTCAACCCATCTCCTCGGCATATATCTGACCCCTTTGACTTTCAAGGTGTATGATCGTGACAGCCTTGTTCATACATCATCCCCTGCCAATATATTTTGCAAGGTTCATGAGTCGTCATAGTCTTGCTTATATAGCATCCCCCCTGTTCGCCAATATTCCCACCGAATAGATCACGATGCAACAACTTAACTTGAAGACATGGTCTGCGATGTCATCACTCAAGGAAACAAGCGGCCACAGCGAATCTTTTCATCGGCAGTCTCATGCCGTCGAGGTAGACGAACACCATAGACTGGACGATGTCCTCTCGCTGCTGTTTCCTTCTATAGTCCGTGTGCAACACTCACATCCAATTTTCGGCCACATGCACTCATTGCGGCTTCTGATGTTGTCGAATGGAGCTCATTTGTTGCTAAAAGGATCCCCAGCATCACGGACCGCCCTCCTTCGACGTGAGCGGTCGTTCCTCGAAACCGAAGCCCAGTTTCTTTCTCTTCTAGGGCAGAGTGCAAACCCTTGCATCCCTCAGCTCTATCATTATGATCCTCATGGAAGACTCTGGGGATCTGCCTATTTGGTCCGGCAGTATATGAAAGGGAAGAGTCTGTCAGAGATGGAAGGGGAGCTCACCTCCCAGCAACGAGACGGTATCGACCGCCACTTGGGATTCTTGGTGAGCACCATCGGTCAAAATGCAGCCCCTGGTTTTGGGTCTTTGCAGCAAGTGGCATTTGGCGCTGGAAGACCCTCCTGGCGAGAGGCCTTCTGTGCCTTGTTTGAAGGCATTCTTCGCGACGCCGAGGACATGTTCATCCACCTTCCTTACTCGGAGATCCGACACGAGCTGAATCGCCTGGCACCTGCTCTTGAATATGTTTCGCTGCCACGTCTTGTGGTTGTGGACTTTGGTCGACCCTCCCACGTTTTGGTAAACGAAGAATCTGGACAGTTGTCTGGGGTCGTAGACTTCAGCAGTGCCATGTGGGGTGATGTGTTGATGGCAGAGATCTTCGCGAATGCACCCCCGGCAGTCTTGCAGGGAGCAGGGATGGCGATGTCCAGGACAAGGGAAGAAAACATCCGGCTGGTCTTGTATGTATTTGGAATACCTTCTACTGTCTCAATCTGGTGCGATGTTGCTAACTATTTCTTTCCAACCTAGGTATGCATGCTACCGGCTGGTGTCCCAAATCACTGTGCAATATTATCGAAACCGAGATGAGACGAGCGAATTTGATGCGCGGAGACGATTGACAACAACGATTGCGGAAATGACGAGGCTTAAACTGGCATAACGAGGCAAAATGATTTAACTGCCGCTTTATATGTCCAACGTGATACCTAGATGGCCATCATTAGACTGGTTCTGTTGCATAGCGAGTTTCCTTCAGGCGGGCCGGCCCTATATAGCTGCATGTGATTTGGAGTTTTGTTCTTTTTTTGGCATTGATATATAGCGTTTTTACCAAAGAGTTCCAATCGAAATAAAATTCAATCTTTATATCAATATGCTATAGAACATACAACCTTGGAAGAGACAAGCAAAGAAGAAAGAATCACGTTTTCTTCAAATGCCAAGTCGGAACTGATAGGGCGATAGGGCGGAGCGGGGCAGATCCGTTGTTTAGCTTCTGCATGGCGTCAATGGTGTTCTCTCTCCGCACTTGACTTCAACTTTTCCATAACCCGCTTCACCTCTATCGCAGATGGCTCAGTTCCTGCGAGGAAAGCAAGCTGGTATCCAGAAGGACCTGTCCGAGGGCTTGTCCCCGGACTTATTCCTCCTGGACGATGTAAGTTCTTGGCATCCCAGGCATCCTCCTTTTCCCAACTGACACCGCTGTTCTCAGTTCGCACGATGCGGTGTGAATTCGCAGATTAGTGCCATCGCATACGATCCCATACAGTCCCTCATCGCGGTCGGCACCAGCGATACCCAATTCGGAAGCGGGCAGATCTATGTCTTTGGGCAACGACGGGTTTCGGTGGTCTTTGAGTTCCCGCGCAAGGCGTCCGCCAGGTTCATTCAGTTTTGCGCCGACAAGCTGATAAGCATCGACTCCAAGAATGAAATCTGCGTATACTCCTTGGTGACTGGACGCATGGTGGTTTCCTATGCGCCACCGGGCCAGGTGACTGCCTTGTTAACAGACCCGTGCTTGGATTATGCGTTTATCGGCATGCAGAATGGTTCGTAAATTGCTATTGGGAAGAAAAGAACTGAAGACTGACCTGTGAATAGGTGAAATTATTGCGTACGATCTTGATCGAGAGTCCTTGACGCCGTTCAAAGTTCCGAACTTGTGGTTGGAACGAAACCCTCGCGCGCGGTTCTTCCCTGTCGTGTCTCTGGAGTTCTCTCCCCGAGACATTGGCAAGATTCTAGTGGGGTATCCAGAGGGAGCAGTGACATTTACATTCAAGCAAAATATCGCTCAAAAGTACTTTGTCTACGAAATCCCTCCTGGGGCACCGGGTGGAGACACCCTACCGTCCCACGATGTGCGCAGACCCAAATTAACCAAAGCGATCTGGCACCCCAACGGAATCTTCATTTTGACAGTTCACGATGACTCAAGTTTGGTGCTCTGGGATACAAAGGATGGCCGTAAGCTTCACGCCCGAACTGTCCAGACACCCAATGTCGACCAACCAGGTGCTGGTGGCAGACCGGGCTCACCTGGAGGGGCTGCTGGACTCAAAGAGCCAATCACAAAGGTTATTTGGTGCACCAAAGCTAACCCGGATGACACTGGTCTTTTGGTGGCTGGTGGTCGACCAGTAGGTGATCAGACCAAGGGCCTTGTTTTCCTGGACATGGGCCCAACCCCCAACTATCAGACCTCCTCCTGGCAAATCCTGTCTACTTACCTCGAGCGGCCACGACGACAAATAAACCTCTCCGTCCCACCTGGAGCTAAGGTTGTCGACCTTTGCCTCATCCCCCGATCCTCGCCCTACTTCAATGGCGCCCATGATCCAATTGCACTTATCGCTATGCTATCCTCGGGTGAAATCATTTCCCTGAGTTTCCCCAGCGGACACGCAATCACTCCTACTAACATGCTTCATCCGTTCCTCACTTTCGTCCATCCCTTTGTAAACAAAGCTGTGCTTACTCCCGTTGATCGGTCGGTGTGGCTTGGTCTGAGAGAGCGCCGGCTGCAGGGACCCAAATTTGCGATGGGCGGCGTAGAAGCGAAGAACCCTCTCAAGCGCTTTGAGAACCGCAATGTCATCTCGACCGCACATGCAGATGGAACCGTCCGTGTCTGGGACTGTGGGCACGATGATGAAATTGAGAACGGCGACGTGGTTCAAGTTGATCTTGCCCGTGCCATAGGGCGAGTCAGCAATATCGAAGTGACCGAAATGTCTCTCGCCAGCGGCTCAGGCGAGATGTCTATTGGACTCAGGACCGGAGAGCTTGCTGTCTTCCGATGGGGCAATAACCCCTCATATGGAAATGAGGAGTCTCCCGGTGCTAATCAAGGGCCAGGGAAGCTGACCCCGATAACCAAGCGAACCGACCCTGGTCTCAAGACGGGAATGCTACCTCTGACTCTTTTGGATATGCAACAAGGTCCGGTGACAGCGTTGAAGCATGGGCAGGTTGGATTTGTAGCGGCGGGTTACCAAAGTGGTACCTTGGTGATTATTGACCTACGCGGGCCTGCCATCATACATACCGCACATATGTCAGATCTCAAGGGACAGAAGCGGAGTGGTTTCCGCAAGCACCGTGGCTCGGACGAAGTCCAACCAGAATGGCCCACTCAGATTGAATTTGGTGTGATGACTTTGGATGGCGAAGGTACCTATGCATGACTCGGGCTAGCGAATCAGACCAATGTACTAACCGTGTTCTAGACTACTCAAGCATTTGCTGCTTCGTCGGCACGAATAAGGGCAATGTGGCAACATTTAAGATCCTCCCTGGTTCCAATGGCACCTACGAAGCTGCCTTTGCTGGATCATCGGCCGTTGAAGACAAAGTGATCAATGTCATCCCCATCGATGCCGAATCTGGTGGTCTTGCTTTGGCTACACCAAGTGCAGTCGGAGGCTTGAGGAATGGTACGAAAATCAACGGAGTGGTCATTGCCGTGACTGCCTCTGGCTGTCGAATCTTCAAACCCCCAATATCAAAGGGTGCCCACAAGACATGGGATGACTATCTCTGCGACTCAGCAGCCGTCGTCAAGACTGAAGGACGAGGCTACAGTTTGGTTGGTCTCTTCGGTGACGGCCACGCGCGAGCATTCTCGATCCCCTCTCTTCGAGATATTGGTTGCACCAAGATTAATCATATTGCGGACATGCGACGCCTCTCGGAAGCTTGCATCACCCCTACTGGAAATATCATGACATGGGTCGGCCCTTCAGAAGTCGGAATGTTCAATGTCTGGGGAGGTGGACACGGACTGTATGCGTCCCCCATCAATTCTCTGAAACATGGTGCTAATGCTAACCCTACCCACAGACACCCTTCAAAAGACAAACTTTTCAACCCAGAAGCCGTGGTTCCCCCGCGTCCTACGATCACGAACGTCCAATGGATCTCCGGTACACAATATATTTCACCGGCTGACATGGACATTCTAAGTACGTCACCCCCAATCAATGCCGCTCTACCTAAACCTAACATCCAATCTAGTCGGCGGTCCAGAGCGACCACCATCGAAGGAGATGGTCGAACAAATGAAATCCGAAGACCAAGAACGTCGGAAAGCCCTAAAAGAAGGACGGACCCCATCGGCACCTGTACAGGGTAGCAGCCAGGAAGGCTACTGGTCTTACATGTCGCGTCAAGTCCAAGAACGCACGGAGCGTCTCGGGATCGTCGGAGATAGCATGGACAGGCTAGAGGAGAACAGCAGCGGCTTTGCTAGCGATGTTGGCAAATACGTACAGTCACAAAAGAAGAAAGCTGTCTTGGGCGGTAAGTCGATCTTCCTTCAACAAGTTTACAGGTCCACGGACCCATGTATAGCATTAACCCCCTTGCATTACTGTTGCTGACCGGTCTTTGACAACAGCGCTTGGTTCCAAGTTTGGCTTTTAAGCTGTCTCCTACTGAGTACGAGGTTTTAGAAATATCTTGACTATACATCGTAGGAGTTTTTACCCCTTTTTCGGCGTCAGGTTAGTTAGGTCATGGTGCCCCGGGGATGTGACAGATCACTTTGCAATTTCACCCCTCCACTTCTTGTCTCCCCGCTTCAGGTTGGATCCACCTTGATCGGACGATTGTAGGTATTTATTTGTCTTCGTTCGCAAACTTAGAGCAAAGGGCTGTTTTCCATTAATCAATGGGCTGGTAGGCATCTGGGAGATGGTTTTATGTGGTACAAAAACGGCCCGCAGCAGTTCCTACATCTGTATTACGATATATTTAGAGGAAAGGAAGATTAACTGGTGACTGAAGGCCAGTGGGATTCAAAATTATACCAATTCTATTTCATAGACCTATAATCAATGCCGATTCAGGGTAAGAACATGGAAAATCAGTCCAAGGGTCGTAAACATTGCGTTCTGGCTGTCGTTAAATAGCATTCAAAAAAGGGATCGTTTAAAAGCAAAGAAACCACTCCTGCGAGCCGGTGGGACACCATGATTTAGTGAACCATAAGCTCGGGCTGGGGCTGGTGAGTTGGCTTGGCAGCATCGTCCTTGTGTTCAGCGTCGTCGCCCATCTCGACATCGTCGTCACCTTCGCCACCCTCTTCCTCATCAAGCTCATCCTCATCGTCGTCACTCTCCGCCTCAAGATCTTCACTCTCGGCATCGGAGATCTCTTCTTCCTCGTCCTCCTTGCCAGCAGGGGCCTCGGCGCCTTCCATCTCATGGTCATCGCCCTCGGCGGGCTTGTTGGAGTCCTCGAGCTCCTTGAGGAGCGCAGCCTCGAGCTCACGCTCCTCGGCACCGTAGGCTCCACTGTCATCATCGAGACCATCGGCCTCGGGCTGGTCAGGCGGGTACTCTGCGGGGGCAGAGTCATCAGAGTCCCTATGGAGAAGAAGAAAAAAGTAAATAAAAGCCCCACTGGGTATGTAAACAAACAAAACAAGGGGTCTCACCATTTGATGGCAAAGCGGGTCACACGGGGCTTCTCGGCGAGGACATTGCGGCGAATGCGCTCGATAACGGGCTTCGCAGGGGGCTCGGCTGACAGCTCCTCGCTGTCGTACTCGTTGTTCACGTAGTAGCCAACCCGGACAAACTCTCGGCCGTCGTAGCTGCAGGTGAGCAGGATAACGGTGACGCCGAGCATCTCGGAGGTAGGAATGCGCTTGACATCAGGTGCGTCGGCCTCGAAGATGAACTTGTTCACTCCGACCGGGATGGGTCCGACGAGAAGGGAGTCGAGTTCTTGGTCATACTCGGAGCTGTGATAGTTAGACTCTGCGGGATTGGTATGAAACAAGGAGTGTTGGGAGGGTGGACGTACGAAGTGGCGGATCCAACGTAGGTGAGTTTCCATTCCAAATCTGAAAGAACTCGTTAGAAGACTCGACTTCGAAGATGGGAAGACAAGCCAATACTCACCCTTCTGAAGCTGCTCGAGGCACTCGAAGGTGATTTCGAATTGGTAAGAGGCGGTGAAAGGAGCCGGGTTGTTGAGGTTTTTCACTCCGAGGAGTGAGACGACGGACATTGTGATAAGATATGAGAGTATGTACGGGGATTAAAGAGATGAAGAGGTAAGAGTAGAAGATTGTATGGACAAGGGGGGTTGGAAAGAAGAAGAAAATAGGGAAAGCAAGAGAATCAACAGGTCCACAAGAATGCAGTTTACTCTCAACCCCTCTAGCTCAATGCGAGGAGCCCCCATCGATCGACGCGCCTTTCGCGTCCCTCGCATTGTCCTCACCGCCCGCACGTGACCCCAATTTCACTACCCGGGCAACTTGCATCACAGCCATCGCAGCTTTGCTCTCTCTCCCTCTTGGTTATTATTTGCTATCAGATACATTGCGGCTGAGGGTTATCTCGTCAAAAGTGGCTGTGCTCCACCTTAATCCTTGACCCTCGGAAGATTTGTCTTTATTTTAAACTATCCTGATATCACATCGCGCAAACCCTGCTTCGGCTTGCGCCGTGAACTTGTCACATTCCCAGTTACTCACTTTTCTTCAACCTTGCAGTTATCGCATTAATCATCCCATCATGGCGGACGATGAAGCTGAGGCTGCCTTTTTCCAGGCTCAAGCCTTGAATCCCGATTCCCAATCCCCCAGTGTGGAACAGGAAGGTGATAACTCAGACGCAGAATCAGATGACTACGACCCCTCACTGGCATTGGGGGATCAGTACTCGGCCTCTTTTCCCGAGACCACGCAGCCTGATACCGGCCCCGCTGATGCAGCTCCCTCGGATGAGACGGAAGATTCCATCCCCAACCCGACTGTCGCCTCAGACGCAGAGGTCGCCTCAGAAGTAGACGCAGACGCTGGCCAGACCAGTGACTCCCCCGACCCTTCTCAGAGCCCCTCACATGTTGAGTCGTCGACCCCTGTGCCAGCATCTGCTGCTGGGGCACAGCCCAAGACCCGAATAATTGGCGGATTTGAGGTTGATGATGATGATGAGGATGACGAGGGTGATGCGGAGTATGAGCCGCCGGCTGTACTTGGGGGTGAAGATGTCAATGCTGTGCCTGTGACCATGTCTGAAGATCCCAGCTCAGGAAATGCAATGCAAAACACTTCCCCTGATGTATCATCACACCAAGCTGAGCAGGCACCTGCCAGTGGACCAGATGTTGCCAATAGTTCTTATTCTCCTGATCCTGTTCATAATATTGATCCCTCTTCTGTTCCTGTCCAATCGCACTGGGCTGCGCAAGACTTGCAATCCGCAACCATGCAGAACAGTACTGTTCCTACTTCTGTACCTGACTCTCCAGCTTCAAAGGGTCGTCTGGCCCATGACCGTGTCGGCATGCTGGAAGACCGGATTCGAGAGGATCCCCGAGGTGATATCCCTGCTTGGTTGGAGTTAATTGCCGAGCACAGAGGCCGCAGCAGACTAGACAGTGCACGCGACACCTATGAGCGGTTCTTGACGCTGTTCCCCATGGCGGTAAGCCTACCTTTACTCCCTTTCCTTGTGCTTTCCTTTTCTCTCTCTCGGCAAGGTGCAAGATTGCTAATGGGATACATCATAGGCCGACCAATGGGTGGCTTATGCCAGCATGGAGTCTGAGCTCAATGAATTCTTCCGCTTGGAGCAGATCTTCAACCGAACGCTCCTGACGACCCCCAGCGTTCAGCTCTGGTCTGTCTACCTTGATTACATCCGTCGTCGTAATCCTTTGACAACAGATGCCTCTGGTGAGGCAAGGAAGACCATTTCATCGGCATATGATATGGCCATTCAATACGTTGGGATGGACAAAGATTCCGGAAACATCTGGGCAGACTACATTGAGTTCATCCGTTCTGGGCCAGGCATCGTTGGTGGATCTGGGTGGCAGGATCAACAAAAGATGGACCTGCTACGAAAGGCCTACCAACGAGCCATCGGCGTGCCGACTCAAGCCGTCAATACCCTCTGGAAGGAGTATGATCAATTCGAGATGAATCTAAACAAGCTCACGGTAAGCTGGACAGTACTTGAATCCAACTGGCTTGTATTAACATTTCTATCAGGGCCGCAAATTCCTTCAAGAACATTCGCCGTCCTACATGACTGCGCGTAGCTCATACACCGAATTGCAAAACATCACCCGCGATTTGATTCGTACCTCGCTTCCACCACTGCCTCCTATTCCAGGATCTGAAGGAGATGTTGAATACTCAGCACAAGCAGATATCTGGAAGCGCTGGATCGCATGGGAAAAAGAAGATCCTCTGGTACTGAAAGAAGAAGACCCTGCTGCTTACAAGTCACGCGTGGTGTACTTCTACAAACAGGCACTCATGGCACTGGCCTTCTTGCCCGAAATGTGGTTTGATGCAGCTGAGTTCTGCTTCTTGAACGATATGGAGGACGCCGGAACCGAATTCTTGAAGAATGGCATTGATGCAAACCCAGAGAGTTGTCTGCTGACATTCAAACGCGCGGACCGACTGGAGGTTACCTCGGATTCGGAACAGGATTCTGCCAAGCGCGCTGCCAAGGTCCGGGAACCATACGACAAATTGCTTGATGCACTTTACGAGTTGATCAATAAGGCTCGTAACCAGGAAACCCAGGATGTCGCACGCATCGAAGCTTATTTTGCTCCACAAATTGTGGAAAACCAACCTCAAAATGAGGATGAGGATGATCCTGAAGCCAAAGAAAGAGAAGCCGCCAAGACGGCACAGATTGAAGCGGTCCGTAAGGCCCATTCCGTTCAGATCAACATTATCTCCAAGACTGTCTCCTTCGCATGGATCTCTCTCATGCGTTCGATGCGTCGAATCCAGGGCAAGGGAAAACCAGGAGAAATCGCTGGCTCTCGCCAAATCTTTGCCGAGGCCCGGAAGCGAGGTCGTATTACCAGTGATGTTTATATCGCGAGTGCTTTGATGGAGTACCATTGCTACAAGGACCCTGCGGCCACCAAGATCTTCGAGAGAGGTGCAAAATTATTCCCGGAGGATGAGCACTTTGCGCTCGAATATTTGAGGCATCTGCTCGACATTAATGATACCATCAGTAAGTCGACATCCCATGTTTCTAAGAGACTTACTAACCACCGCCAAAGATGCCAGAGCCGTGTTCGAAACAACCGTCAGGAAATTGACATCCAACCCAGAGAATGTGCGCAAGGCTAAGCCCATCTTTTCCTTCCTCCACGAGTATGAATCTCGCTACGGTGACCTCACCCAAGTGATCAACTTGGAGAACCGCATGCGCGAACTATACCCGGAGGATCCTGCTCTGGAAAAATTTGCCAATCGTTATTCCAACTCCAACTTCGACCCTACATCTGTGCAACTGATTTTGTCCCCGTCCCAGACAAAGCAAAAGACCAACGTGGCAGGAATTTACGCGGAAGCCCACGGTTCTCCCATGGCCAGATACATGGATACCTCCCTCAATTCACCCAAGAGACCTTATCCCGCTGATGATTATGATGAAGAATCTGGTCGCCCACGAAAGTTTGTTCGCGCTGAGTCGCCAATGAAGAGCACGCAAGCTCGGCGTCTTGACCAGCCGAAACGAGTACAACAGTTGAACGGCCAAAGCACCTCATACAGACCGCAAGGATCCCCAGCCCCTCTGCCTCGTGAAGTGGTGAATCTCTTGAGCATCTTGCCTTCTGCAGCTGCCTACAACATCACCCGCCTTTCTCCCGAGAAAACAATAGACCTTCTTCGCCATATTGAGATTCCTTCCGACATTTCACAAATACAGATCCCGCAAACGGCACATGGACCAGGTGGAGGCCAAAACCCGGGACTGAACCCCTACTCCGGTAAGTCTTATCATCTCTCTCCCCCCATAATGACATCCACTCACATAAAATCGCCAGGTGCTTACCGTTGAGCCCGTGGTTGTTCGTTTCCCTCTGAGGACCACCATTCACTTGCAGTGTAAAATCCCTTGCTCTCTGCTTTTGCAATTTCATTTCTCCGGCGCGCAAAATATCCCGATTTGTCTTTGAGGACTTGCCCAGCTCTTTTTTCGTGGGGAGCATTCATGAAACATGGTCGGGGCATACGCGGTTGTTCAGACCCCCCTTTGCATCTTCCATCGGCGTTGATCTATCTGGCATTTTTTCTTTCTTTTTTCAAATAGGGCCACAGGCCACCAACTTCTGCTTGCTGGTTAGGCCCACAACCATGCTTTGTACAGACTCAAGCAGATAATCTCACAGATAAATTAAGCAAGCACCCTGCGCACTTCGTAGATTCTTGACTATCTAAATAATTAGTTCATCTTTTTGGATCAAATGAGACCCATACCCTCCTTTGCCCATAGATCTTATGTCCATGTAACCTGAACCCTCTTGTTTGGCTGACCGATTCTTGTCTCACGGGACTTTCCCTCATTCCATGGGTGTCCATGCAGTTTGTAAATAACTTTAACATATAAGCTTAAAGCAAAATCTCTTGGAACCTCGGGAGGGTGATAGGTGGGGCACGTGGAAACATCAGGGGTAAGTAGTGGGTCTCTACGTCATTATAAACTTCACATAGTGTGTCCAAACAATATGAAGCCCAAGGAAATGTCTTTTAGCTTACACAGTTGAGATACTGATGGGAAAACTCGTGACCGCGGCCTCAATTCGGTTATGTTGTACATAGACACAAAACTATACATTGGATTTCAGGGCGTTCTCCATGGCACCCGGACTAAACGGCTCTCGACCTTTTCGATGGCTTCTCATCGGGATATTGTTCTCGATGGAAGTCGATCACACACCCATGGGGGTTATCTTTGAGATTTCCATCACAGCACGGGAACGTAAAGCACTCTGGGAAATCCTCGCGCATTTCATCAGTGTCCACCTCAAACTCATCATAATTGTCAACATAAAGATCTTCGCCAGTGGGCTCATTTTTCTCTATTATGAATTAGCTTATTGAGCATACAGGACCCCGATCTCGATTTTGAGCAGTCGTACTTGGATGATATCGACAGGCTTTCTCTGTATTGGTCGTGACATCGAATTCCTTCTCGCAATTGAGGCAAAACGCATAGCGTGGTACTGCTCTCTTGTTGTTGTGAGAGCTCTCTTCGGTATCGGTATCGGTATCGGTAGCTGTCACCAGAAGTTGGCTCTCGGCTTCTTTGCGAGCTTCGTCGTTTTTCGCACAGATGGATTTGAGAACCGCGCGTAGAGTCTGGTCGGACGCGTCGTTGATCGCGCGACCGAGGACTGTGGCCTCGAGCACTTCCTCGGTGATTGGCATGATGATGTGTCTGAGTTGGTGGGTTTGACTTCGTTCCTTCGTGGTGACCAAGACTGTACGTTGTAAAGAGTGGGCTGGAATGGACCACAGATCTGTACTAGTAGGGGAAAGCACCAACAAAAGGATAATAGGCCCCAGCCGCGGGCGGGACCTCGCGCTAGCCTGCTCAGGAGTGAACCCTATGTTGTAAGTGCGAATTATACTGAAAAATATGTTTTAGTTAAATGTACTGTTTGATAGTATGTCTACGTCATAATTGGCTTATTGCAAATGTATCAAAAAATATACCAGCCGTACAAAATAAATACTCTCTCCAATAAAGCCGAATCCGGCGCGCTTGCTAGTCGTATAGGGTCCAACATACTAGAAAATCGAAGCCAATGTAACTTTGGGATCTATGGTTTATATTTAAAACACAGTTCTAAAGCCAACAAGTAGTAAGATCTAGACTTCACTCATGATAAACTGGTTCAAGAGGAACGGGTAGTTGTACGCTAAGTAACGATCCACAAGTAGACGGAAAGCGAAAGAGCCAGGGACTCCACATCTTTCCATTGATAACAACGGCGATACCAATAGGCAAGATGACTTTTCCGAACAGTCTCTACTTCTTCTTTGGCGGCGCAACATTGAACTGGAAATGTACAATGTCGCCATCTTTGACGACATAAGTCTTGCCCTCCTGCCTGTACTTGCCAGCTGATTTGATTGGTCCCATCGACTTCTCGCCGTTGCAGAGGTCGTGGAAGTCCTGGTACGCCACAACTTCGGCCTTGATGAAACCGCGCTCGAAGTCGCCGTGAATTACACCAGCTGCTTGTGGAGCGAGTGTTCCCTGCTTGATCGGCCAGCAGCGGATCTCTTTCTCGCCGGCGGTAAAGTAATACTGCAGTCCCAGCTTAGTGAAGCCTGCCATGACTGTTAGTGTGGGGTACGTGAGGCGAAATATCGGGGACATTACCCTCGGTAGTTATCTTTCCTAGACGGCTTTGGACCTTAATATCAGCCATGAAGGCATCTAGCGCTGGCTTGTCATCCCTCAGGGACCACAGCTTCTCCTCAAACTCCACGGAGAAGGGGATAATATCTGTGCCTTGGCCGCCGTGGGCCTTAATCCACTCCGCGATCTTGGGCAGGTATTTGCATTTTTGGCGGAGGTAGTCTTTCATCGTAAGGTTGATGAGGTAGATTACCGGCTTGGTAGTGATGAGGCGTAACTTGATATTGTTAGTATTGTCTCTGGGTATTATAGAATCCTAGACAAACCTTCTCGTTGATCAACTCGATTTCCGGAGTCGTCCACTCTCCATCTCTAACAGGCTTATCCTGTTCCAAGAGCTATAAGGAAGTTAGCAAACTACACATCTCTTCGAAGAGAGATCGTAACGTACCTCCTTGATTTTAGCAGTCGTCTCGTCGAACAGCGGCAGCATCTTGAATTTTCCTCCAGCTTTCCGCACAATTGCCTCTTCGGCAATCTTAGCTTTGGCAAGAATATCCAAATCCTTCTTACACAGCTCGCTCTGAATTGTGTCTGTACCGCAGCACCATCAGTGTCTATTTCTCCTGCGTTAGGGGGAATTTCTTACCTAAGTCGCGGACAGGATCAACGGAGTCATCCACATGAAGAACCTCATCGTTATCAAACGCCCTATATGATAGTAAGTATCTGCTTCATTCCTCGAGTTTCTGCAACGAACGCACCGGACAACGTGGTACATGCCATCCACAGCTTGAATGTGACTCAAGAACGCATTTCCTAAGCCAGCTCCCTCACTAGCTCCCTTGATTAATCCCGCGATGTCCGTAACCTGCAAATACGCCGGGTATTTGCTCGGTGGGTTCCAGACCTTGCACAGGAAGTCCTATCTCACATTAGCTAGGGCTCATCGTATTTAAATACTGACCAAAAACGGGGAGCCTCCCGGGAAGGAGGGCTAAGATCCATCACGTGTCACACAGAAATCGAAAAAAGGGAAGAACATACATATCTTGGATCAGGAACCATGCAGCGCGCTTCATTTGGCTCGATGGTACAGAATGGGTAATTTTCTGCCGAGGCGCTCTGCTCCGTCATGAGGTTAAACAGCGAACTCTTGCCCACGTTCGGTAGGCCAACACAACCCATCTTGAGGTTGGACTTGACGCGTCCGAAGGCGACGACATTGTTCGTCGGCGCTTCTACTGCTTTCTTTGGTGCCATAGTGTATTATCGCTTGGTTTCCAGAATAAGGATGGAGGTGTTGTTTGCCTACGGTTCCCAAAGACCAGTGTGCGTGTAAAAAGTGCACATTTTGTCATTGGTCATCTTTTAGTGGACTCCTTTCTCCACCTTGGAATAACGGTCTCTACTTAAATTTACTATACTATATTAGATATTCTACAAAGAGCAATTGCAGATCATCTTCACTCAAGCCTCGCTAAGAAGGTAGCTTCCAAGTATCACTGCATGGATACTTTGGTAATTGAGCAGGTATTATCTCTGGAGGAATCTTGAAGATACATAAAGACTTTTCTGATCGAAGAGTTTAGGCCGTTTAGAAAGGGAGATGATCAAGTATCCTGCCAAAAAAAAAAAAAAAAAACAACCAACTTGGAATGTGTTTCTTACGCGGATGTTTCGATTGACCAGATTTTGATCAAAGGAGCTAGACAAAAATATACAAATGTGTAGAAAGCAATTATACTTGGGCGCCGTTGCCTAGTAAAGCATTATCTTAAGAATATCTAGAAACCCGCGTAAATACGTTGGCTCTCTATAGAATAACCAACATTGTGAATATCTTCTGCATAGCGTCTGAGTACTTCGTGTCCACACAAAGCAAGCTGGCAAATGGGCTCAGTTAGCTTATATTGGCCAAGCTCCAAACACCACCTCGATACCGCTATAGCGGCCCCAAAGCCTCGCAACTACAGAGTAATAAACTAGATTTCTTCAAAGTACCCGGCAGCCTTCGAACAGCTGATCCCTAACCTATTACCACAACTGCTCGCATATTGTCCCACATCTCCCTCAAGCATCTCTCATGAATCTGCCAAAGGTCATCGGGATAAACGGTCTCGGCATTTTGGCTAATGTCTCGTCTGGCGACTCGACAAATAACACATTCCTAGGGTTGAAGTCTGGATCCTTCCATTTGAGATATTGTCGCATTCTACGCGAGGTCCCGCTCCGCAGCTCGGGCCTATTATCATTTTTCTACTGTAGCACAGATCTTGTAGTCCTTCTACCCAGTCCTTTAGATTAATATTTTGTCAAACGACGAAGAATCAAACTCACCAACATGGCATCATGCCAATTACCTACACAGCGGTGGCCCAATCAGGATTCGAGTGAAAAGCTTGGGTTTTGCAGGGGTTGTTCAATTTTCATAGTCTTTATAGACTAATCCATTTGGTTTTAATATGTAATGTGAAACTGCGACCTAAGTGAGCATGAGATATCAAAAAGATTCCAGAGCCAAATTATATGGAAGTATTTATCCATGTCTCACTTTGCTCTCACTTTGGTCGCACTTTGGTTGCACTTTGATTGTACTTCATATTCTGAAAGTCCGTTTGTTGCTTGAAGTAGATCACGTCTACGGAGTATACCGAACCTGTCTTAGCCTTTATCGAGCTTGAATCGCATGATATTTTTTTTACCACCCTATACGCAGGTGGTGAAGCAGTGTAAAGAGCAATCAGCTCCGTCAGCTTCACGGCCACTCTAGAAAAGCCCACCAGTAAAAGTAAAAGGAATACTCTTAGCCAACCCATCGAAGCAAAGTGATACTTATACGTAGACTATTCGCTAATGGGTTGATTGTGCTTATCTTACCCAACCTTTTTCTTTTAATTTGCACCGTTGCTTAGAGACTGAGTCCCACGGATACTTCTTTTGCGAAGACATCATCCCTATCGGAATCCGATCCATACTCATGGCTTGTCTCCAGGCCTTCCACGTATCCTCCCTGTGTATCGTCCTCTGTTCGATGATAGAAGTCGACAGTTAAAGGGACCTGAATACGGAGTAGAGGGTCGTACCTTTAGTTTGTTTACTCCCCGTTTCCATTACGACTGGCTTTTGGCTGTTTACCCTATCTCGGGTACGGGCAGAAGGGGCCCTTTTGTCAAGCTCTGTCTGACTCGCTAGCCAGTTGCCTAGGACTGCTCATCAGGTGCTGTCATACCGAGCACAGTTGCCAGGGTGAGAGGGGTATACAACATATTTGTTGACTGGGATTTTGACCGGCCTCGATAAAAATAAAAGTAGATACTACACTACAACATTCGTATAATAGTACGTAAAGAGCTTGATAGCTACTATATGATATGGTATAGTAGAAATGATAGAGATTTTAATTTTCAGCTTTAAATAACGCGAAAGTGCGAGATGTCCAAGCACCGGGGTACCTAATATTGTTAGGAAAACCCTAGTATAAGCAAGTACCTTTTAGTCACATAGGGCGGACTTTGACTGCATTGGTGATCCATGGATACATACTACGTAGTGGGTATTACCTACATATGTAGTTATTCTATGGGTTGCTCCTGCCCTGGGAGATGTTATAAGATAACCTTGGAATCCCTACCTACATGTGTAGGTAGTGCCTAAGAAGGATGCTTCATAACATTCATCCTCAAAAGGAACGCACCTGCCTTCTCTATACCTCCTCTACTTTCCCTATAAAAGGGGTTCCCTCGTTGATTTCATTCCTTCTCCCTTCTTCTTCTTCCTCCTCCATCACTCTTCTTCACTTTGTCTTCTGCATTTCGGATTCCTGCACTTGTCTGCATACTCCTAAGCCGAAGACATTTCTCACTTTCACGTTACATACGTCTACCTTCCTGTGTAATCCCCATTCATATTCTCTGTTACAAACGTCACGTCTGGCTCACTCGAGTCCCTTAACCTTGTAAGTGATCATTCTAACAACACCTTGTCCTCTCCTACACCCCCTGTCCTCTCCTACACCGAGTCAAAACAAAGCTCTTCACTTGACATCGCCGAGCTGTGACACCACTCTGCTGTCAGAACAATCTCAGTTGGCTTTATCAATCTTACTTGGCGGCTTCACATCTGTGATCATATGCAGACATGACCTGAAAGGAAATAAAAGAAGAAAAAATATTTGACTAACGCAAGTTGATTATTAGGAGCATTGTCTCTCCATGGCTCCCAAAAAGGCCATGAAACCCTCGCCAGAGGACGAGGAGGAGCACAGGTCTCGCTCTGGGCACCGCTCCACGACCTCCTCCAAACACCAATCTACCCCCACATCTACTGCTGCTACGAAGACGTCTTCAAAGCCTCCCAACTCCTCTTCATCCTCCCGTCAACCCAAGCTTAGCCTTGATCTTCCTCTGCGTCCTTCTGCCCCTGTGGTAAAGCCTCTGGATCCGCGCCAGGCCCAGGAGTTGCGTGACCACAAGGCCAAATTGGAAGATGATGCAAGACGCAAAAAAAAGCAGAAAGCACTGCTTGGATGCGCCGAACTCGATACGACCCTGATACAGGTGAGCAGCGGAAGCCCAAGAGCACCGGTTCTAGTAGCAGTGACTCTCCCATCCGTCGAGTCGAGACCCCTCCAGAATTTCCGTCCACCTGGACAGCGGAAGAAAAGGCCAACTATGAGCGTCTCGCAAGAGAAGGCGTGAAAGTGGCTGTTTTTGAGCAACATAGACTCGACCAAGAGAGGATTGTCCGACACAAAGATTACATGACGGTTGCCTGGGATGGCTGCAAGAACATTGACATTCCCTGGCATCGATTCAAAATCAGGCCTTCTTCTGTAAGTTTGCGACCGATAATTCCTAGTGGCTCTACATCTGTGGATAATGAATTTTGCTAACCTTTTTTTCCAGGGTGCCCCCGAGGAGACTCAAATCCAGCGTCGTGTTGGCTACAACACTTCCGGCAAAGAGATCGAGGTCATGATGAACGCGTACCCGATCACTTCTTTCCCAGACAAGGCGGTTTACCAGTACGAGGTGAGGATTTCTTTAAACCCCGTTCAATGCCATTGTTTGCTCATCAATTACTAGATCAATGTTCTCCACGGAGACCAAAACGAGACCGACAGACGGGTCCTGAGAAAGTGCTGGAACAGTGCGACTCGAAAGGCACATATTCCTGATGGTATCTGGGATGGCGGAAGAATCTGCTGGTAAGTATAATACCTCTCTGATTGCTGGTACGGACTTTCTAATCTGTGTTGCAGGTCGCTGCGCAACTTTGATAACTGGAATGAGGGTATCGACTTCAAGGGTGACTTGACCCGAGACATCAAGACTCTTGCTACTGTTGATGAGTTCAAGAAGAATCCTACCTTCAGAATGTCTGTCATTCAAAAGCGAAAGATCAATCTGTCAGTGATCAACGCCTGGCTGCAAAACCGCCGTGATCTGGATGAACTCGTTATTGAATCTCTGAGTAAGTGTGCCCTTATTTCGCGTATTACTCTGTTTTTAATTCACCAAGCTGATAATGACAGGCTTCCTTGATCACTTGCTCCGTGAATGGCCCACTAAACAGTTCGCTGCAATCAAGCGGGCCTTCTTCTTCGACAAGCTTGGAGATGACGAGGAGCTGAAGCAAGAGTTTTACCAACCGCTCGCCAATATGGGTGCTTCCGTGTACCGAGGCATCTACCAAGCAATTAAACCGACTCCTGTAAGGCTCCGTCCGTTGATTCAAATTAAAGATTGGCAAACTGACGTTTACTTATAGCAAGGTCTGATCCTCAATGTTGATGTCGCCCACTGCGTCTTCTTTTCTCGTATTAGTCTTATGGGCTACATGATGAATGTAAACGGGTGGAACGACAAGTCAACTCTGGTCAGGAACCTCCAGTCTACCCGCGACGAATATGGTGGTACGAAGGAATCGAAGTGGTTCGCACAGGTGAACAAGAAGATCCAGGGTCTTCGAGTGGCACCCAACTACGAGGGTTGCCCTTTCAAGATGAAGAGTTTCATTGTCAAGGGCCTGATTCATGCTAAGCCCAAGGAGTTTTTCATTGACTATACCGACAAGGCTTCTGGGAAGTCTACTCGAATTCACCTTGAAGAGTATTTTATGAGACGGTACAACATCCGCCTCGAATATCCCAATATGCTCTTGGTCGAGATGCAAAAGGAAGATGTGCACTACCCAGCCGAGTTCCTGGTCATCAAGGGCCTTCAGAGATATCGCTACAAGCTCACCGATGTGCAGGCGGCACAAATGATTCAATGGTGTGCAACCAGGCCTCCGAAACGTTTGGCCAATGCTCGCCAGTCCAAGGATCTTCTTCAGCACAAGGATGACCCGATTCTGAAACTTTATGGCATGAAGATCAGTGACCAAATGATCAAGACCAAGGCCCGCCTGCTTCCGAGTCCCGAGATTCAGTTTGGGGGCAACCGCAAACACAACCCTCAGCATTCGGGAAGTTGGGATCTTCGCGGTAAGAAGTTTTACAAGCCCAATGAAAAGGCCCTTCAGGCTTGGGGCGTCGGGTTCTTTTCCGGACATCGAAAGTCAATCAGTCAGGATCAGACCCTTAGCTGGGTTGAACAATTTGTCAAGATGTACAAGAGCATGGGTGGGGAGGTGACTGGCCGACCGGTTGTCAAGGGATTGAGCGAAGACGTTGGCACCAGTGTCAAAAAGCTGTACGATGCGATCGCGGCGCAGAACCAGAGAGAGCCCCAGCTCATGGTATTCATCGTTCCTGACAAGGACTCTTGGGTCTATCTTCGCCTCAAGAAGTCTTCCGACTGCCGATACGGCACTCCCTCTCAAGTGCTCCAATCTGCACACTGCATCAACAATAAGCCTCAATATCATGCGAATTTTCTCATGAAGGTGAATGCCAAGCTTGGAGGAATCACTGCTCGGGCTGTCCCCAAGTCAAAGAGTTCAGGTCTACGGCCAGGCTCCATGATCATTGGGGCAGATGTCACTCATCCAATGATGGGTGTGTGGACCCCATCATTGGCAGCTATGTCAGTTTCGGCAAATTCCACTGCAACTCGCTACATGGGTGGATGTGAGACCAACGGAGATCGAATTGAGATTATCCGGGACAAAGTGGTCGAGTATATCCTCCACCCCATGGTTGCTGAGTGGAAAGCGACTGTTGGGGGTGGCAAGGCTCCTGAGTACGTCTACTATTTCCGTGACGGTGTGTCTGCGTCGGAATACCAGAGAATTCTTTCAGAGGAGGTCCCTGCAATCCGCTTTGCCATTGCACATGCATGTGGTCAGGCAATCTGGGGAGGCAAGATGTGTGTTGTGGTTGCCAACAAGCGCCACCATCTTCGAGCGTTCCCTGACCCCAAGAATCGTGCGGCTGCGGACGCCCACGGTGCCCCCCTGCCGGGCACTCTTATTGATCGAGATGTGACTAGCCCACACGATTGGGACTTCCTGCTCTACACGCACATTGCTCTGCAGGGAACTCCTCGCCCGGTCCATTACCATGTCTTGTTGGATGAGATGGGCCTCAAGCCCAATGACCTTGAGGGAATGATCAATGATCATTGTTACCAATACATCCGCTCCACAACCTCTGTGTCTGTCCACCCCGCAATTTACTATGCCCACTTGATTTCGGTTCGTGCTCGCCACCACGAGGATGTTCCTATTACCTCTGGCCCCCAGAGTGGCCCGGAGGTGAAAATGACAAACCCGAAGCCCAAGGAGCCCCGAGCCAAGAGATTGCTTCCCATTGAAGGCACCTCAAACAAGCTCGCCCTGGGCATGTGGTACGTCTAATCCAAGTTCAACGCTTCTATGGTTGTGAACAAGATTCACCTTGTTTGCTCCATCACGGTGCCGGTTCCCTTCCAAGGCACTTGTCCTATGATTCGACTCAGTTTTCTCTATCTGCGAACTGCTTTGCGTATTACTTCACGTTTCTTTTTATGTTATTGCTCGAGCGGAACTTCGATGGCGTTACTTTTGTGATGCTGCTCTTCAGGATGGCTTGATCTGAGCAGTAGGGCTGCGGTAGCTGTTGTTCGCAAGAACGACTGGGCTGCATGCTTGAGGCTGGTCTTGCATTTCTGAATGGGCCATATTTCTTTCTGTTGTATCTTAGTGGAAATTGTTTCCGATTTTATCGTTAGCACTGCTCGATCTGGACCTGGTTTTAATGGGCGGTTGTTCCTAGAAACAACTTAGCTCATTGTATTCCGAGGCTGATCTTCAGCCCATGACGATTTAGTTTCATATTTCTTTTACCATGTTGTTAACCCAGAAAATACAAAAAAAGGCCCCCTTTCCCCAGGATATTTTATTCCCTTGTGCAATCAATAGATTTAAAATAATTAGACGTCTTTTTTTATTGTGGGATTGAACTTTATAGATAGACATTGAAACCCTTCAAAGTGGATTGGCTTGCTCTTTTTTCTTTTTTTTTTGTGCGGACATCTATCTCTAATACAAGACTAAAGGATTCATTCCAGAGAGCTTTGCTGGAGTCATGATTGGAGACAGCTGCTAGTCCCTACTTCTAGTCATTTCTAGGGTTAAGTAGCAGGGCAAGGTACCCATTGATCTTAGCTTGAGCTAGCACCTAAGGACGAAATACAAGTCACACGAGAATGAATCTGAATTGAATAAATCTGAATAGGTATTCGGTCACAAAATGAAAAGTCCCATCAAGGGACGTTATGATACAAAGAGACTAAAAGGGGAATCATCCAGTTGCCTTTCCAGCCAAGGACAGGAAAGAAGGGAAAGGAAAATCAAAAAAGTAACCGGTAAAATACAAGGACTGGATTATGTATCGCTGCAAGTTTGAGGGTCAAAGGATACAGTCCGCCAATAGTCAAATATTGGGTACTGGCTGATATGGCTGCTCACTCCCTGTTCGTCTATTGTATCGTGGCAAGGGGACACAAAAGCCTGTCTGGTTGTGTCGTGATACATGGGTCGCAGATATCGAAAATCAGAATAAAAATGCAGGCAGGTATGCAAAGGTAAAGCATGCGACGCAAGAGAAGGAGAGGAGGTCGGAAGGAAAGTATAGGGCCATGTTCGAAGTCAACCATAGACCTACCTGACCTTGGAGGTTACACATCATGCTCCGTTGGTCATGGATTCACCGGCGCCATCAACGAGGCCGGTTCCTTCGGTCTTCATATTGGTATTTGTTGCCTGGTCACCAGCCGTCTGGTCGCCTTCACCATCGGGGTTGAAGTTGGGCATTTCGAGGGCCACGCCACTGTTCTTCTTGGCTTTCTTCTTACTTGGCTCTGCGCCGCCAGTTTTGGATGCCATCGGTGGAGCAGCTCGTTTTTGCGGGCTGGATGTAAGACCCGGGAGATTAGACTGGGGGATTTTGCCAGAGGCTGGGAGACGGGGTTTGATCGCCATGGGCCGCTGCTTAGGGGGCAGCTCCAGGTCTTCCACAAGAGGTTCATCATTGTGTGCGTCAAGCTTGCCCTTGAAGAACTCCTGTAGGAGTCCAATCTGGCGAGATAAGTTGTCCGTTGAGATGCGTCCGTATGGGGGCGGAGGAGCGAAAAGAGTAACGGTCGGTGAAACACTCGTGCTTTGCGGATTGGCCGCATTGAACATCCGATTTTGAAGCAGATGTAAGGGAACACTGAGCGTGGAAAGGCCAAACTCCCGATCCAAGCCCAGTTCCTTGAAACCGAAGAAATCCTCATCAATATCCTCAGCAAAGTCACCGCCGACGAATTGTTCACTGCCGTCGGCAAATGCGTTTGAGCCATCTTCGCCGCCTTCAAGGGCGGGTCGAAGAAGTTCTGTCAGGAGTGACCTGAGTCGATCATGAGCAGTGGTGAGCTTGGTTCCCAGACGATCCACATCATCCTTGATATAGGACTCCAGTTCATCTATGTGGATCCCCACGGTAGACAAGGTGTGCAGAACAATTTCAGAACGAGTGTATGCAGGTTTCCATTCAGCAGCCGAAGGTGTAGCTTCAAGTGACTCGGTAGTAGGAACCTTTGGTGTTTCCATATAAGACTTGAAGGTGGACCCTAGCTTATGGAAAAAGTCGGCGGCAATATCTGTAACTGCCTCAAGAGCAGATGGCTGGTATTCCTCAAAGCCAGTGTGATAGAAAACCTTAGCGACCGAACGCTGCAATGCTGCCCTACAGGCCCAGGGGGCAATGACAGGGCCGTTGTCATTCATGACATGTGGTTCGATGTCTTGCTCGAGAAATGGCTCGGGTTGATATTTTTGGAATTGATTTTGGTACATCTAGAGAAAGGTTAGTTGAGAGCTCGAGTCATAACAGAGTAATGGACTCGCATACCTGAGATTGAAGCTGCATCTGCTTGACGATGCCAATTTTTGAGCAGATCTTGCGCGTTTCTTGCATCTGCCGCATGTTCGAGTTCATCTTCTGAGTCAACTTGCTCTCCGGTTGAATGAAACGACCTTTTGGAAGCATATGAAGGAACTCTTCAGAGGCATCAACAACATTGCCTTGCGCGTCTTCCTTCCAGAGTAGCCGCTCAGGAAGATCAGGAACACCAGACATGACATCATAATAATAAGGCAGCATCTGGTCTTCTTCCACCTCAATGCCTTCTGCAAGGCTCTCGCCTGCGGCCTCGGGTTCCATGGCCTGGGAGTCGCCATCGCGAGACTTGTCGGCTTCGATAGTAGCTTGTTTCTGGTGTCGAAGCCATCGGCGCATACCAGCTTTACTTCTGAGTAAAGCGGGTTCTTCGGAGTTGAGCTTGTCTCCCCGGAGGAGACGATGTCGCTCCGCCGCAACGCGCGCTCTATCTCTTTTGGTGACTTGCTTCCACACTTTGTACTCGGGGTCTTCCGGTTCTACGCCACCGGAAACTGACATGGCACTGAGCGCAGTTGTCGACGTACTCGGGCCGTCGATATCCATATCATCCTGGCTCGCTGCAGCTATCGCGCCTGGACCAGCAGGGTCAGACGGCGTGTTAGATCCAGGAGGTGGTGTGGAAAATCCATTTTGACTAGCTTCACCGGCAGCGTCCGAATCTGCGCGAACTGGTGCAGTTGGTTGAGTGCTAGGGGCCCTGGCAGGACTGGGAGTATTACGGGAAGGGGCTGTTCCTTTTTTGGAAGTCTTCTTGCCAGGAGCTTTTCTACCTCGCGAGGACATGATGGGCTCATCGTCACTCTCCTCAGCGCCGTCGTTGTCAGCAAGCTGGAGTCGACGTTCTTCGGCTTCAACTTCGGCACGGTCCCTGATGACAATTTCTGGAATGAGAGGGACAAGCTTCTCGGTCTCCTTGCGCATGTAAAGTGCGTGCTTCCGCAGAGGATGTTCGGTGTTCGTATTGTATTTCAAGCAATTCGCCCAAATAAGGGTGAGGTCATCGACAAAGTCTTGTTTTGATCTATACTGTAAGCCTTTCAGCTTTTTGGTCATTGATCCAAGGTCCATCGGGTGCTTGATGACTAGTGGGAAGTTAGTAGATGAAACAGATAATTGCGTTGCAAGGGCCGCTTACTCGTATGATAGTCCGGCGCATCGCGTTTGTTGACGCGAGTCAAAAAAGCAGTTGAATGTTCTGTCATAGCTTTAAGCTCACTGAGAACCTTTTCCGCAGCTTCATATAGCTCTTCCTGGCCGACTTTGTCTTCGTTCGCCCATTTGCTGCGGTTCTTGCGAACCTCACTCAGCAAGCTCCGCAGCTCGGCATCCGATGCCTGTACCCTGTCTCGCTTCTTGTCAATTCGTGCGATAAGGTTTTTCAGAGTCAAACTGGAAGCACCCAGGTTGGTATTACTCAAGGAACTGTAGCCATTAGAAGCCCCGGAGACATTGTTGCCGCCCATGTTGGCCTGGCCGGATATCTCTGCCTCGACTTGTCTTTCCGACTCTTCCAAGCGTTGTTGATCAAGCATGGCATCCCGATCATTCTCAAGGGTGTAGAAAATAGTGTGGAAGCTTCTTCTGGCAGCCTCCTCCGTTGCTTTCTTGTCTTCCTCGAGTTGCTTTCGGAGATCCTCCATTGTCTCCTTCTTGGGCTCTTTAAGTCCATCTGCAATGGTGGATATCGAGATGCTGGGACGTAATGGCGCGGCACCACTAGGTTCCTGTGACGCAGCAGCAGACTTGGTTTTCAGAGGGGATTCAGCAGCATCGTCCATTTCCTCGTCTTCGTCATCATCATCGTAGTCATCGTAATCATCGTCGTCGAGCTTTCGGGCAGTCTTTTGTGGAGCGGTGGAAGGGGGAGGCGCATCATCGACGCGTTCGGGTTGAGCCTCGGACGGCTCAGTAGTTTCCCCAGCCGCAGGGATATCGTCCGGATATCGTCCAGAGAACAGCGCACTTATTTTCGCCTCACTGCGGCGATACAATTCACGGAATTGAGCAATGCGCGGGTCCTCTTCGGGCGCGATATCGGCTTCGGATGTCGAGCTGGGGTTCGGTGCCTCGGCGCCAACAGAGCCGCGTATTTGGGGTGTCCGGGAGCCAGATAAAGTCTTCACTAAGCCATTGACTGGTCGGGGAGAGTCCTGAAGATCATCTGGGGGCCGAATATTGCCCGGAGGCCAGGCGTTGTGGCCGAGCGACATGCTCGCTCCAAAACCCCGGTTCTGGGGCGGGCGAGACTCGATTCTCCGCGATTAGGATTACGGGCCGATCGGACGCGACACGGGGGTCGGAGAAGGGACAAAAGGCATAGAGATAGAAAACACCGCCGGTAAAATTGACTGAAGATGTCAAAACGGCAAAAAATGATAGCGTGGCGGAGAGGTTTGATGAAGAAGGTCCGGGGGAGCTTCATAGGAAGTTT